ATTCCAGCGACACCGCTCGATGCGGGTGGCGATGTGGCGATGTGAAGAGGTGACATGTGTGGCGGGATGTGATAGAAGAGAATCAGCTATATAGACGTCCTCAGCCACCGGCCTCTCCCTCATTCGCTTGTACTACGAGCGTAAGAGGGTGAGTGCCGTCCAGACGTCTAACACATAACGCATACTTACCTGTACCTAGTCTGATCATTGTCTAGGTACATCAATATCTATTCGCTTGTACTACGAGCGTAAGAGGTCTGATCATTGTCTAGTTCTAACAGACCTAACTCGCTAACCAGTATCACCACGTAGATTCCATACAGTTCTGGCCGGCTAGATATTATACAAGCTGGGAAATCCAGGGATGGGTCCGGGGGTGGTATGTCTGTGGTAACACATAGAAATCTTTGGTTGGCATAGAACAAAGGCACTTAGGACTCACATGTCTTGCCAGCAAAGGAAACGCCTAAGAGAACTCCGGACACAGTGATTTGAGCCTACATCAAAGCTTGAGTCCCAGCATTCGGATACTGCCATGGCTACGCACGACTACCAATGTAATTAGTATTACGAGGACAATTCTGTGGTGATTCCACAGAATGTAAATACGCATAGCAAAGAGTACTGGGGTTTGGCTGAGTAGAATTTCTGCTGAATCACCTGGCCTTGTGACATACCTTCGGAGGAGAAGATTGCCACAACTTCCAAAGCTATGTGCAACGTGAATGTAAGCTGGGCTATTTACTCACTTCAGGAAACTCCATACCACTATACGAATAGACCAGAGGAGCGCACACCTAAAAGATTCAATCAGTTCATAAAGCCAGCAAACGGACGCGACACCACCGCTAACCGTGTAAGCGATCCCATACGGAAACTCATCTTTATATGCCGATCAGCCTCATGGCTGGGACTAGAAAACCTGAAACTTACATATAAGTATCACAGGCAGTGATAAAAATGAGCTACACTGGGAAAGAATATATGAAACCTTTCCTAGTCCTATTCCGTGTCCCGCCCATATGTAAGCCCGTCGACTTACTACGAGTTCCCCGACATGACCGAGCCGCGGCTTCCGTATACCTCGAAGACTTCCGGCGTAATTATGATCGACGATCATTCTCCTATCTGTCATATGAAGACTCGGCCCGCATTCCCTTTTTACTTCCGCTACGAATCTGCTTCCTTGTCATCCATACTTCCCGATACCGCGCCTCAGACATTCTTTCCTTGATACGTCATTCCCTCTCGTTTCTCTTATTTATACGAACACGAGCTCGACTACGATACTCAGCTACCTGCTCTGCTCTCCCCTGTACTCCTCGATACGCCTTATCAATCCACTGCCGTTCCTGTTTTGTCTTCGCCCGATTCTAGTGTTCCCGCCTCTCGGCGGGCTTCCACCATAGGTAGTCAACCTGGAAATATGTAGAGCTTCTCAACGAGAAAATGCGTCAAACATGCTTACCTCCTCGGCAAGCATGATGAAAAAATCATATACCTAGCAGCCACATAAGCGGTGTGGCATGGGTAATATTGTTGTTTAGTTACCAGTATAGTGCTAACCGAAGCTTATTAGCGCTTACATGAGCACATTGTTCTCAATTTTAAGTTGTGCTTACCATCCATGTACTGTAGACATTGTGAGGATATGACGGTGAAGGAATTTTCTCTTCATTTTTCAACAAAAAGAAAAACTGAGACGCACATTTGTGAGCTGTATGCCTTCCAGAGTCTGCTCAAGAGCGCTATCCATGGCGGAATATAGAATTTGGGCCAAACAGTTCTGTAATAAATTTGCGAGTCGTTGGAGCTAGAGGGGAGGAAGGGTGAGGCCGCGCTCACACGTTGGGCTGGTTTGTCTGTATTTATATGGCAGGACATGAAGACATTGTGATGCACCGCGCATGATGTGACTGGTGATCTTGGAAGTCCAGCTCTTCTGATACTCCAAGCCAAAATCGATGTTTCGACACTGGTGTGGCACATCCAGCCATGGATGCAACACAGGCCGCGTTTCTATATATAGAGTTTACATCGAGAGAGAAAAGGCAAAGGACGTCGAGCTAAGAAAAGGAATACTAGTACTAGTACTGGCAGACACAGCGGAAACCATCCAACCTCGTAGCCGCGACTTTCTGGCGTGTTCAGATGGGCCGCTTGGATTCTTTAGATGATATATTCGTGCTTGTACATTACCCTTGGGGACTGGCCACACAAGCCATCCGGAGCTGCACTAGGCATGAGACGAGAAGAGCATGGAAAATGGTGTTTGAAAGATCTGCGAAAAGCTCGATGGGAAATATAGCACCTACGCGGATATTCTCACGTTGCACAGGAGGGTACGTGGGTATTTGAGTAAAAAAAACCTTTTTGAGTCCATTTTTCTGTCAAAAAGCCTCGCGAATACTATCCAAAAGACTGGGACGGATACGCTGCTATGTATATCACGCTACAGCGCCGCCACGCGATCCGACTTTTCGACGTCATGATCACCCATTTGGCCTCTTGTCAAAAACCAAACACGAACACCGACTCAAAACATCGTAGCTCTGTGTAGTCCTCTCTGCGCTGCTGCTACGATACTGCATCGGACATGCATCCCCGAAATCGGTACAACACCCCGCCTGACTTTACCTCTCTTGCAAAACGATATCCACCGCTTCGGCCTTAGTATGTGCACCTTCTGCTCGTGTTTGAGCGCTTGCTGATGTCCTGTTGCCACATGAATAGCGTCTTCATCAACGAGGACAATGTGGCCATCCTCGATTTCCAAAACATCGATGCACAAAGGTGAAACACATCACGTCGCCAGTCTTTCACGCCCACCTCACCGTGATTTCGCATATAGGCGGCTAACAGAGGCCCTGCTACACTGCGACTTCAACCTCAAGATCACTCTGATGGAGGACAGATTGTGTCCACCTGTTCCAAATCGGTGTGCGCGCTCATTGTATGCTGCATCTCGGTCTTCATGGCGCTGACCTCCGTGTAGTCTCAACTACATCCTCTGGATACAAGACATCATCCGTTCGTGCGATCTCCCCGAGAGACCCGTTCGCGGGATAGATGTGTACGTCATCATCAACCACTTTCACAGTTTTTCAGGCACCGGAATCTCATAACTTCTTCCTCCCAGTGGTACAGGCGCATCGGCCATCTACCCTCTGCTAGCGTGTAGCATGGATCCATCGTGGCATATGGTGGGACTTGGTACTTCTGTCACTTTCTCTGCTCCTCCCTCTGCTCACACACACTTTATGCAGAGATAGACGACGAGTCGGCCCGCTGCGCACTGCAAAACGTTGCAGCTAACAACCTATCCGATCGCATTGATATCCGAATGTCGGTACTTGATGGCCCCATCTTCGCGCTCTTCGACGACGACCTCGACACACAGTAAGTCCCTGCCACGCTCTATCTGATTGTATGCGAGCTAAAGGGAAAGCAGATACGACTTCACGATGTGCAACCCGCCATTTTACGGAAGCGCACAGGAGATCGCGGAATCGGCGGAAGGAAAGTTGTATGGGCCGCGGAGCGTGAGTGGGCACTGTTACGCGCCGACATCCAATATCCTCATGGCTGTTCTGGTGATATTGGCTTTGGTCAGGTATGTTCAGGCGCGGCCGTTGAAATGGTGACACCCGGCGGAGAGGTCGCGTTCGTCTCGCAGATGGTGCGTGAGAGCGTTCAACACAAGACGCGGTGTAGGTGCGTTTCCTTGATGGGATTTGCTTAAAAGGCCACATTCCTAACGTTCAAGGGGCAGGTGGTTTACGTCCATGCTGGGCAAGCTGTCGTCTGTTTCCGTTGTGATCGAATTGATAAAAGCACTCGGTGTGAGCGTCATACAGTCTCTTCGTATACACCTCGTATTCAAGCATACGATTCCCCTGACAGATAGACAACTACGGCATCACCGAGTTCGTGCAAGGCCAAACGCGGCGCTGGGCGGTAGTCTGGTCGTTCGGACGCGAGCGGCTTCCAGACGTATGTTCTCGCATGTTCCACCTTACTAGGCGCTCAGTGCTAACGAGACAACGAGCAGTCTATTACGCGCATACGCAATCCGTCGCTACAGAAGCACATGCCACCACATAACTGCCTATACCAGCCATTCTCCAGCGAGCATACAGTCACTCAGCTTCAGGATGCTGTCCAGCGGGTCTTGGACGCTATCGAGGGTGTGTCCTGGAGTTGTAATATGCACAAAAGCGAGGATAGCGGAGAAGAAAGCCCAGCTCCCGAGACGAGCTCTCGCATGATTGTTAAAGCGGCGCAGAATACGTGGTCGCGTTCCGCGAGACGAAAGAAGAAGGCTGAAATGGAGGAGCAGAGTGATGCATTGGCGTCAGGCCTGAGGCAAGTGGTAGAGCCTATACTGAGGTGCAGTATGAAGTGCATGGACAACGTGGAGGAGCTGGAGCTAGAGTATACGTGGACGGAGGGTGAAGATAGGGGCGTCTTTGAGAGCTTTGCGAGTCACGTCAACCGGAAGGTTGGTGATTTATTGGCCGGAGGATGATTGATGAAGTGAAGGACGTTGTTGGTCATGTGCATATATCCTGGTGTAGCTCATAATACATTGGAGGCACCCGTAATTGATACATTGGTGCGAGGATGGGCGATAATACAGTACAGTGCTAAGTAACATACTGCGTGAGCGAATGCTTAAATAACAGCAAGCAGAAGAAAAACACCAAACATGCAATACATCACGTCTGATAAGACGTCCCAGGCTCCTGAAACGCTGTCCTCCTTCGTCTCTTCCTCAACGCCGCTGGTGACCGCGGACCATAAATCGGCGGCGGCGGCTTCTGCGCTGCTTCCTGCTGCAGCTTCTTCGGCTCCACCTTAGTGGGCTTTGGCCAGGGGCGTGGCGCGATGCTCATAATCGCCATCTTGAGCCCCTCGGCCATCCAACGCCCACAGGCACCGACGGCGAGCCCGGCGATGGACGCGACTCCGACGAGGACGTACAGCGGGTAAAGCGCAGTGAGGATGCCAGTGGCGATGGTGTACGGCGTGACCACGAGCGCATCAAGCACGAGGGAGAGAGCGAGGTAGAAGGGATAGAAGAGTGAGGTGATGAATGGGAGGACGAAGAGGAGGGGTTTGAGGAGGAGGTGCGAGGCCACGGAGAGGGTGTTCATGAGGACATTGAAAGTGAGGGAGGCAATGGTGGCGAGGATGGGGAATATAGCGAGGATTGGGGGACCGCCGGTGATGTCGCCTGTGACGCTAAAGGGGGCAGGGGAGGCGGAGGAGAGGATGGCTGTTGCTGCTGGAGAGGCCATTGTAGGACTGAAGCTGAAGCTCGGAGTCCTAGGAGACCTGTTTGTTTGCCCAGGGGACCTCGCAGACTAGAGCAACTTCTCCAAGTCGCAGATTACGTTGTCCTAGGGAAGCTGGTAATTGTGGTGTGTTCCCTGGTTGGTCACTTCCAGCTACAGGTCGCGTTGACATTGGCGACTCGTTGGCGTCATCGACGGCCTCCAAGCGTGGGGATTTGTGAATGCTTCCGAATTGCACCCCTATCACGCCTGTGGGGTCAGCCGACGCGTCGCGAATCTTGTCCTGGATGTTGGAGAACGCGCACCATCGTGGCCTATGCCAGCCCTTCAATGCATATCTATGCTTCCTCTGAGGCTTTTTTTCGTCTTAACTTACGCTAGCTTGGCTGCCGAATAACACTGGACACTGACACCGACAAGCATCACAGGCACCGCGATACCCTCAGCGCCTTCCGATTCTCACCCCACCGAGCAGACTCTATCAGCGCTTCAGCGATGATTTTAATGTTACCGAATTCATCTAAAGGCTCCCACTCGCGATAAGTCCAGGGCTGGGAATCCTCTGCCTTTGGGTGAACCACACGCCCGGCAACTTGGTTATTCGGCACGGCGCACCCGCGCTCTCTTTCTTTAGCCTGTTATCTATCTACCACGGAAGGCAGAACCGGTCATGCGCCAGGCGTCACGCAATGCGCATACGTTGATATCGCATATGAGTCTCCACTGAGCGCCAATTCCGTCTCTCTTTCTCCCTTTCTGTCTCTTTGTCTCCTTCTGCTCTGCCATGAGCTCAGAGTCAACATCTGACGTCGCCAAGCGCAGATCCTTCAACGAGAAGGAAAACAGGGAGAACCATGGCGTGTCGGTGTCGACTAGAGAGGTTGATACGGGTGCGCAGCTCGCGGCTGGATTGGAAGGAGAGCTAGAACCAGAAGAGGCGTTGCGGATCCGGTGCGTTCTTCTGCAGTTTCCTTTATCCCGTCAAATAAACGCTGAAGGTGAACCAGACGGAAGATCGACTGGCATATTCTGCCGATGATGTTCAGTGAGCCATGAGCTCCGATCAATTGTTCAGTGCTGACGATTTGCGTGGTCGTTAGTGCTATATTGGTGCGTATCAGACCATTTCCGTTGATTGTATGCGCCTCATACGCTCGCAGGGTCCAATTCATGGACAAGACAACGCTTGGCAGCTCGGCTATCTTGGGTATTGAGTAAGCACCATTCTAATCATGTATTGTACACAGCTGACTTCTTGGTATCCTAGACAGGATACACATCTATCAACCACAGAGTGAGTCTCCTTCGTGCCTTTACTCAGATTGTTTAGCTCACAAGAAATCGTCTCGAGATACAACTGGTACGCTGAATGTGCTTACGCTGAGCTCTGCATGGTTGACATGGCTTGGTACGAATCAGGCTAGGAACAGTGTTCTACCTCAGCTACCTGGTGTTCGAGTACCCGCAGAATCTGGCCCTGCAGAAGTTCCCCGTCGGCAAATGGATGAGGTACGCAACATCCGCCTCGCAGATCTTCGCCACATATATTCACATTTGATCCGAAGTATCAACATATTCACTTGGAGTGTGGCTCTGGCATGCCACGCGGCATGCACGAACTTTGCAGGTCTCCTGGTCGTGCGACTCATCCTGGGCATATGTGAGGGCTCGATAACGGCCGGCTTCATGATTGTCAGCTCGATGTTTTACACCCGGAATGAGCAGACGCTGCGTGTCGGGTATTGATGTGCGTTTCTCTTTTGATACCCTACGCTCGACTGTGACGCTGGTATTTTTCTCAAGTCCTGATGAATGGGACGGGTGAGTTGCTTGTGTTGTGCTTAGCTTTTCGGTCGGCTGATAGTACCCCTAAGCCCAAATCATCTCGGGATTCATTAGCTTTGGGTCTCTACACATCCAGACAAATGGATTCCGGCCGTGGCAGTGGTATGTTCATCTCCACTCGCACGCTCCCGGGGATATAGACTCTGATCTTCCTAGGTTGATGATCATCACCGGCGTCATCACGTTCATACTGTCTGTTTGCTACTGGTGCGTTCCCGATAGCGTCGTGGTGCTTAGAAATTTAGGAGATGATTATTGATCGACCCAGGTTCTTCTTCCCCGACTCGCCCACGAACGCGTGGTTCTTGACTAAGGAAGAGCGTGTCAAAGCAGTGCAGAGAATCAAGGTACGGTTATACTGCGCATGACGTCTCGTTTTGAAGCTGATGGTCTGTAGGAAAACCAAACTGGTGTCGAGAACAAGCACTTTAAGATGGACCAGTATGTCTTTAGTCACGGTAATCGTCTCTTCTGCCTTTTGAACTCCATTACTAGGATGATTGAAGCCTTGCGAGACCCGAAAACGTGGATCTTCGCACTGTTCTCCGCGCTTGACAACGTTCCAAACTCTCTCACGAACCAGCAGCAGCTCATCATGGCCTCGTTTGGGTTTTCGGATCTGCAGACGACGCTTTTGAGCTGTGTCTCTGGTGTCGTCGAAATCTGCACGATATGGACGGGCGTGAAAATCGCCTCACGCTGGCCTAACTCACGGGCATACGTTGGCGCAATCTATTTCATTCCGACATTGATTGCCATAGTGTTGCTGAACCTGTTGCCGTGGAAAGACAAGGTTGGACTGTTGTTCTGTCAATGGGCGACAGGTGAGTGCTGCACGACTCGAGTTTAGATCCCAGTAAGGCAAGCTGAACATTTTCGTAGGGATCAACACCACGGGGTTCGTCATTGCCTTATCATGGATCGGGAATGTGACGTCCGGACACACCAAGAAGGTAATCCTGAAGACGCGATGCCATGACCTATCTAGCTCATTCTTTGTCCAAAGGTGGTCACAAATGCCATCATGCTCTCGGCGTACTGTATCGGCAACGCTGCTGGGCCGTTTATGTGGCTCCAGAAGTACAAGCCTCGGTATGTCTCAGTATTCCCAGTCGTTGCCTATGAGTTGACGTGAACGTAGTAACCACGTCCCATGGATCGTCATCGCCGTGTGCGACATCGCATGCCCGCTGCTACTCCTTCTCTTGCGTTTTCTCTTGGCTCGCGAGAACAAGCGGCGCGATGTGGAGCCCGCAGACGATACGTACGACGAGGTATATATTGAGCGTGTTAACGAGGATGGAAAGGTCGAGCAAGTGAGGGTGGACAAGGTGCGCTTTGACACGGTGTCGTGCATGCGGTTTGAGCTGATGCAGGTTCGTGATAGGAATTCCTCGATTTAACGGACAGGCAAAATCGGGACTTTAGATACGTTCTGTAATGATGACATGATGTAACAACACGACCTTACATGGAACGAACAGTAGGATGTACGACTTATACCGAACAATGTCTACGTATGAAGCTGTGTTCACGGATATTCAGAGCTCGTACATGCATCTGTGTTCATGCATTGGTAGGTCTTGTAATCGCGTCAGGGGCTCCGGATGTTTTGTCATCCTTTGACAACCCGTGGAAGACGCGACGCGACAAGACACACAGACGCGTCTCCTTGGATCTCCTCCCGCCCTTTCTCGTTAACTCGTTAATACTGTAATCGCCACCCGCTTCAAAATCCTGCCTCCCGTCCATCTCCCTGGGGTGATGAGATAAATACGAACACGAAAACAAGAAACATATAACATTCAATGCTAGTGCAGTACTTCAAGGGCTCCACGAAAGCCTCAGTCGAGCTCGGTACCATTCCACCTCCGAGTCGCCCCACACAAACCCCATCGCTGATAAGCGCCTACGCTATTCGCTTACCGCTGACGACAATGCCAGGGCTGGGAACCAACATGCCTTTCCATATGTCTGCGGTGCCTTCTCGGCAGCTACTTTGACACGTCCCGCACGGGGAACGTTCTCTCTCCCTTATCTTCCTTCCGTTGCGGCCAGACAGGCCCGGTCATATACGCCATCGCACACCAATACGTGCTCTGAGCGCTCGCTCGGCGTCTGACCCTCTTGCTTCGCTCCGCCATCTACCATGAGCACTGAGTCGGTCTCGGAGCTTGCGAAGCGTAGGCCGTACGGCAAGGACAGCGAGAAGGGCCATCATGATGGTGCGGCGGTCTCGACCAGAGAGGTTGACACAGGCGCGCAGCTCGCGGCTGGGTTTCAAGGAGAGCTCGAGCCGGAAGAGGCGACGAGGATACGGTATGTGCCTTCGTGCTGAAGTAGCTTTTGAGGATGGTGTGTGCTCAAGACGAATCAGCCGGAAGATTGATTGGCATATTCTGCCCTTGATGTTTCGTACGTGGTTGTTCACTGTGGAGTCAGGAGAACGCTAAGCGCCTATTGTGAATCATAGTGCTATACTGGTGAGTATAGGAAAACAAACTATTGGCTATATGCGCTTCATACTACTTGTAGGGTCCAGTTCATGGACAAGACGACTCTGGGGAACTCAGCTATCTTGGGCATCGAGTGAGGTCGTCTGTTTACCCATTGGGCTTGACTAACATCGTTCTTTCTAGACAGGACACACATTTGACGAACTCAGAGTGAGTTTCTTACCTGCTACTAGGAGTTCTCACTCCCTGACCGCGAGCGCCGTGTAGATACAACTGGTCAGCTACTTTTCTCGCACTGGCTAACTGGCTTTCTTGCTGATCTTCAACCATTTACCGTTCGCCAGGCTGGGAACCGCGTTCTACCTTAGTTATCTCGTGTTCGAGTACCCGCAAAACCTTGCCCTCCAACGTTTCCCAGTCGGAAAGTGGATGAGGTTTGTCCAATTGATTTCTGCTTCTCCGAACGAGCCCTCAACATCCGCATGAAGCGTCAACATCTTCGTCTGGGGAGTCGCACTAGCCTGTCATGCAGCCTGCAAAAACTTTGCTGGGCTGTTGGTCGTACGGTTGATTCTCGGCGTCTGCGAAGGATCCATTACTGCAGGCTTCATGATCGTCAGCTCCATGTTCTACACCCGAAACGAACAGACCTTGCGTGTTGGATACTGGTGTGCGTGCTTCTCGCAAACATCTTATCACAATCCATGTGTCTGACGTCCCCGATTGACAGTTTTGATGAATGGGACTGGTGAGCATATTGAGACGCGTCCAGCTGACTGGTCATCCGACAACGTCGTATAGCGCAGATCATTTCGGGTTTCATCAGTTATGGCGCTCTGCATATCCAGACCAAAGGCTTTAGGCCGTGGCAGTGGTAAGTTCGCGCGCGTATCCCTATCGAGTCTTTGTCTGATGAGCATAGGCTCATGATCATCACCGGCATCATCACCTTGGCCTTATCCGTGGCATATTGGTGCGTTGGAATGGAAGTTGCGTTAAGGATCTGGAGTTTATGCTTTTCATCAGGTTCTTCTTCCCTGACTCTCCAACCAATGCATGGTTCTTGACCAAGGAGGAACGTATCAAAGCCGTTCAGAGAATTAAGGTAAGAACGATTCGGTGTCCCGATGGAAGTGTAATTCATTGGTCTCAGGGAAACCAAACGGGCGTCGAGAACAAGCACTTTAAGATGGAACAGTGGGTCCTTTTGCTCACTCCCCCGCATCACCCGACTGATTTACTACGGTCAGACTGATGGAAGCGCTTGGGGACTACAAAACTTGGATCTTTGCCCTTTTTGCTGGGCTGTGCAACGTCCCTAACTCGCTTACAAACCAGCAGCAGCTTATCATCGCCTCTTTCGGTTTTACCTATCTACAGACGACACTCCTGGCCTGCATGACAGGTGTCGTCGAGATCTGCACTATCTGGTCGGGAGTCACCATTGCCGCGCGGTGGGCTAACACACGAGCATACGTCGGGGCAGTCTACTTCATCCCGACCTTAGCAGCAGCTATACTCATTAACACACTACCGTGGAAGGACAAAACTGGATTGCTCATTTGTATATTCTTTGCGTGTAAGCGCCAAGTCCAGCGATTCGATGCCGGAGACTAACATTGATCCGCATCTCGGTCACCTTCAGACTTCAACACGACGAGCTTTGTCATTGCTCTTGCATGGGTTGGTAGTCTGACCGCTGGACACACCAAGAAGGTAGGAGAAGACGACGTGGATGTCGGTTTCCCCCACATTGACTGAACCGATTTCACAGGTTGCCACGAATGCGATCATGCTCTCCGCGTACTGTGTTGGCAACGCTGCAGGTCCATTCATGTGGCTTGAGAGGTATAAGCCTCGGTATGTCTTGCCTCTCAAATCTTGTCACTACCATTCACGCCGCCGATAGGAACCATATTCCATGGACCATTATCGCTGTTTGCGACGTCATCGGTCCCCTTTTGCTCCTTCTTCTACGGTTCCTCCTGGCTCGTGAGAATCGGAGGCGCGACGCTGAGCCCGCAGACGAGACATACGAAGACGTGTACATTGAACGGACCAACGAGGATGGGACGGTGGAGCAAGTGAAGGTGGAGAAGGTACGTTTGTTGCCTTTCTAACGTTTCGCACTTCGCTGTCGCTCACGATTCGGCGGAAAGGAATTTCTCGACTTGACGGATAGGCAAAATCGGGATTTCCGATACGTTTTGTAGCAGCGATTTATTGGTTAGATGCACAGCTATTACATAAAGCAAAGACGAGTGTTGGTTAGCATTACAAATGCTTCTGGGCAAGCCTTCTGGGCGTAGTGAATGTTTCAGGGGTAGGAGCGTGATTGAGGCTCCGACGCGACGCGTTCTCGGACGACGTGTAAAACCACAACGCGTCGCGTCAAACTCTCACCATTGGTTGCCTGACATCACTGGAATTTTGAGATATCTAAACTATCAGTCCTTCATATTCTTCTTTAATTCACACAAGCGACCTCGAAAATCCGTCAGGGGATGGTGGCGACTCTCTTATCTTCTCTATGGTCCAGGAAGCGCCAGGTATCATAACAAACCCACATCTATTCCATCAACTGCCGTAACAACATCTCATCAATGGTGGGTGAAGGCTATGTGCGACATAACTTGCATCACGGAGCCATAAGACTTAGACGGATGACGGCACATACATTGGACAGCTGTAGTTTCACCTTGAGGGACCCATGTTCCGACTTCGTCGAGGTTATCGCGGTGGCGAGTACATCCTTCACAGTCATCGTCAGTCAGGATATCAGTGAATCTCATCCTACCACATTCACTGCTGGTCGTATTCTAATAAATAAACGCGACACAGCGCAGCAATGTTCCTTCAAAGGGTTGACATACGAACTCCAGCCGACATCAACAGCATTGAATGTCCCAGGAACAGACTGGCCTCATCAACTGATCCCGCCGTCATTCTGTCTTGTAGGCCGGGGCCTATCTTCCCCAACTGGATACATATAAGCGCCAATGCTTGGCGGGATGGAGCCCTCTATCGGTTCAAGGCTCGAACGTTCGCACTCCCTTCCATCTCGTACCTCAGTACGCTCACCATGAGCTCTGAGTCACTCGAGCCCAAGCCCGAGGCCGAGAAACATCATGCCATCGCGGTGTCGACTCAGGAAGTTGACACGGGGGCGCAGCTAGCCGCTGGGTTCTCTGGAGAACTCGACCCGGAGGAAGCTTTGCGTATCCGGTATGTTTTCCACTCCCTATGGCTTCGCTCAGGATTGTAGTTCACCTCCGGCTGTAGGCGAAAGATTGATTGGCACATCTTGCCTCTGATGTTCAGTGCGTCCGCATTGATATAGGCCTTCCGGTCATCCAACTGATAGCAACGTGTGCACCTTCCAGTGCTGTACTGGTATGCATTGAGAAGCTTCCCTCGCTGAACTGGCCTGATCCTCTTTAAGGGTGCAGTTCATGGATAAGACAACGTTGGGTAGTGCAGCGATTATGGGCATCATGTCAGTACTCCCATAGTACCTCCTGAGTTAGACTGATAGCACGCGCTGTAGTACGGACACTAATCTAACCAACAATCAGTACGTTCTATCCATAGCTATCTAGGATTGACGTTTAATGCTCACGTCCTATAGGTACAATTGGTATGCCAAAATTCGTTTCCTTCCGCGAATTGCCCTAAAGGAAACTTATCACGCAGGCTCGGCACGGTCTTCTACCTAGCATACCTCTCATTCGAGTATCCCCAAAATCTTGCCTTACAACGCTTTCCTGTCGGCAAATGGATGAGGTTCGACTCAACCTTTTCTCTTCGTTTAAATTGTATCCTTCTCTGACATGACTAGCATCAACGTCTTCATTTGGGGCATTGTATTGTGCTGCCACGCTGCGTGTAAGAACTTCGCCGGGCTCATGGTTTGCAGGATCATGTTGGGTGTCTGTGAGGGCGCCATCACCGCCGGCTTCATGATTGTCACCTCCATGTTCTACACGCGGAAGGAACAGACGTTGCGAACCGGCTACTGGTGTGAGTGGTCATCTTGCACAAAGTATTCGTAGAAGCTGATGCGTAAGATAATGCATAATTAAAGTCCTGATGAACGGCACCGGTAAGCGCTTGCCATCCTCGACGGTGCATTTGACTGAGTGTACCGCAGCCCTAATCATTGGTGGCTTCATTAGTTTTGGCTCTTTGCATATTCGTACGCCCGGCTTCGCGTCGTGGAAGTGGTAAGCAGTGTTATCTCTGTTTCAAGCGTCTTTTCGCTTACCATCATCGTTTAGGCTCATGATCATCACCGGCATTATCACTCTAGTACTCGCCGTGTGCTACTGGTGGGTTTTATACGGTTGTAGAGACTCGATGTTCTGACCTTAAGCCGCAGGTTCCTCTTTCCCGACTCTCCTACGACTGCTTGGTTCCTTACCAAGGATGAGAGGATTAAAGCTGTCAATAGAATCAAGGTATGTAACCAAGCTAGAGTTTTATTGAGATTCACGAACCCAACACACGCATGCTAGGAAAACCAAACTGGAATCGAAAACAAGAAGTTTAAGAAGGAACAGTAGGTTCTTTTTCTTCAAATTTTCAGGTAACGTTCTGAACTTGCATTTCAGGATGATCGAAGCGCTTCAAGATCCCAAGACCTGGATTTTCGCAATCTTTGCCGCTTTGACGCAGATTGCCAACTCGCTTACCAACCAGCAATCCATCATCCTCAAGTCCTTCGGCTTCACGACACTGCAGACGACTCTACTCAACTGCGCATGGGGAGGCATTACCATCTTCGATATTTGGTCGGGCGTTGTCCTTGCCGCGCGCTTCAATCAGCGCGCATACGTTGGCGTTGCTTACTTCATCCCGTCCCTAGTTGCCATATTGATACAGAACCTGCTCTCGGGGACCGCCAAGGTCGGGTTGTTGATTACCCAGCTATTCGTCGGTATGGGCCTCCATCTCCCCCAGGGATCTCAGTGGGAATTGAAAACTAATGTTTGATTTCGCTCAGGAATCCATATCACCAGTTTTGTGCTCGCCCTGGGCTGGGTTGGAACCGTAACCGCGGGCCACACGAAGAAGGTGGGACTGTTTCGATAGATGGCCCTGTTACTTGCTAAACTCTTCACGTTCCAGGTGGTTACGAATGCGATCATGCTGTCGGCGTACTGCATCGGCAACGCTGCCGGCCCATTCATGTGGCAAGAAAAGTACAAGCCTCGGTATGTTCCAGCCCTCATAATCACGAGCCCCTGTCCGCTCACCCACGCTCTAGGAACCATGTTCCCTGGATCATAATATGCGTGTGCGATATCGTCGCCGCCATCCTGCTCCTTGTCCTAAGGCACATATTGGCCAAAGAGAACCGTAAGCGTGACAGCGAGCCCACGGACGATACATACGAGGATGTCTACATCGAACGTGTCTCCGAGGATGGGGCCGTTACAAAAGTCCGCGTGGAAAAGGTTCGCAAGATCCGCCCCTTGATATTGATTGATGTCGCTGACAGGATCATGGCAGCAATTCCTCGATCTGACTGATAGGCAAAACCGCGACTTCAGATACGTTCTGTAGAGGTACGGGTATCGATGTATTATGAATCCGTTGTTACAAGTGGTAGTCGAATAATGATATGGATCGGCAATTGCATGCGGTAACAAAGGAATAATGGATACACGAAGCGGAAGTAAATATGACTAGACGGCATGTGGGATCTTATCTGTTGAACCTGGCAACTCTGAGGAAACACGATCGTAGTCACGGTCAACTTTCCACCGGTCCTCTGAGAAGGTCTGTAGGTCGATGTCCACTCCAACCTGAATGACGTCATCCGCCCGCCGTCTCGTATGAGATGGAGGCGTGAATACAACTGTTGACCGCGTTCTGTCGCTCTTGGTGGGGCGCGATCCAGAGCCTGAGCCCGAGCCCGAGCCCGAGCTACCGTGATGGCTATCACTGACGTGCGTGAAGAACGCGACAAGTACGCTCAGGCTGGCAACGATCAACGTCACCGACATCTATTATTAATACTAGTCAGTATTTGAGCACATGAGGACTCGAGCTGTGAGTACCAACCTCGGCGATGCCGGCCATGATCTCGTCGAGTCCGCCGACTCGAAGAAGGTAAGCCATGTGTACCAAGCTTACGATCGTGGTAATCGCGGTCGAGCAGAAGATGGCGATGAGACGAATCTTCTGAGCGGGTGTCAGCTTGACCTTCCACACCAGGCGTATAGGTGCGGCTATCAGGATGAAGTCCGACAAAACGACAGCTACGCGTGGAGGCCATGGTCAACTATATTGAATGGGTGTCGAAAATGCGCTGGCGACGTACTAATAGCTTGGGTGATGGCAACTCCCTCTCCAAGATCGCATTGTGGAACAAGTTCAGCCTTCCATGCTGGGTTCACCTCGCATACGCCGATCGCCTGGAAGACCAGGAGAACTATGATTGCGATGAAGACACCACACAAGCCCATAAGAATTCGACGCTCAAGTTGACGGACAGTCAGGCGATAGATGATCAAAAGGAGGGATATCCTGGAGAACCAGATGACGCCGTAGTACGCTTCTGAAGCCCTAGCACACGTGTCAGATAAGTCGGAACGGCGTCTGATTATCGGGCACTCACATGTAGTACGCGGCGACCATAGTGGTGTTAGTGTAGTCCTCTGTCAACAAGAACGTTAGCTATCCGCCCTTTTGATCATTCCATCCAATAGATGTGGACCCACCAGGATTGTAACGAATGAGAGTAAAGACCAGCTGGAGTAGCTGAAGAACCATAGCCATGCCCACGGCGGCATCATCCCACCAAAGCCGTTTCTGTGACGTACGTATCCAAAGCCGACCTATTGTCGCAACGATTGACGATAGCGACAAAATCAGAGCCGCCACTACAGTGATACGCCATTAGAACAAGATCTCGCCATCAAGAGCACCATCAAGGCTTACCTCTGATACCATTCATTGTGAGGGCCATGGTGTCAGGTGGAAAGGAGAGTGCTCAGAGGCACACTGCGGGGCCTGTTTTATGAAACAATGAACCTTTTAGTAAGGATGAGGCGCTGCCCGACTAAGACACGCATGGCCAGTTTCGATCAAACCCACGAGAACAGCATTGGGACCTGGGCACTAGAACCGCGGGAACACCATACTCGGATCCCAAGATAGCGCCCTGTAAAGCCATCACCGGATCGTCAGAGCGCTCCTGCTTAACCTAACGAGTGTGAATCGGACGATGCGGACCCATGTTTTGAGGTTAATCCATAGAGCGGGACCTATGAGCTGCGGCAGATATGGTTTGAATCCGGGAGTTCTCGGCGAACGCTGCTTACCGCGTGCGTCAGACTTTGTGGGTAAGCCCTTGACCCTCGGGTTACTTCGCTTCTTCCTGCGCATGCGTCACCGCCTCGTTCGAGTTTACGACGTGGATGACTCTGAAGCCTCAGAACACACGGAGGCGCAAATTCTCAAGTTATCACTTCCATCGCGGCTTCCTGGTCGAGGGTGACAGGTGTCGTGTGTCACGAATGATTGCCCGCGTCTTGGCTTTGACATTTCCGGCCCTCCTAGAGTGGCACGACCTGCAATGAGGCTCTTTGCGCGCTAAGATATGTTCGATGTCGCCCGTTGGAGTTGCGACACCTGGTGGCACCTATCCGGGCGCAGCGGGCAGACACTGCCCTTTGCTAAGCTGTTTCAAGTGCAACAATCGGCGGAGTAACCTTACTGGGCTTATTTGCGACGATTAGGACACCGTCCGATCATCTCGAAAGCCCCGTCGGGGAAAGCTGAAGGAGTTCGAAGCTGATATCGCTCCGGGTGAAGTGTTCGAGCGAGAACATCAGCAAGTGACAGAAAGAGTTTGATCAAACCATCATCAGATCATCAGAACAGAATCTATCTTCACATTCATCATTCCATCAAATCTTCCTATAAAAAGTGACGCATCAGACTGATGACCTCGACCGCTGCCCCTCCGTGGCAAGCCAGGGGCCAAGAAGTAACGATAGAAGGCTGATAGTGAGAACGCTGGCCATGGGACAGACCATTCTGCATCGCGTTCTGCCGTGCGATGGGTCCACTGACAAACATACTATGACAGTCTCCTTTGATCCCCGTCATCTCATCAGTTGGGGAAACCAATCACGATCTGCCGAAGATCATGATTGACAAGCGTTCCCACTGGCCCAGGGGACTCCAGGGGAGCGAGGATAAGTGTAGAGAAGTGGGTCAGTCGACTGCACAATCGAACACTGATATCTGAGCGCTGTGCTGGAGGGGCCCGACATCATTTCTGCCCCGCTTCTCTTGTCACCCGCGTCAGACGGGGTGATCTACGTGTATAGCGACAGCTCCGATCGAAGTGATATTGTCACCGTATGTATATAAAGGGCGTCTCCCGTTTCTTCGCAAGCCTCGGGACCAGGTCGACACGACACACGCAGAGAACGGGACAAACTGAAGAAATGGCGTACACACCCGTAGTGAAGCAGCTCAAGTCGACCGACGGGAACGACATATACGCCGAGGCGGTCGGGGATCCGTCGAAACCCGCCGTAGTGCTGGTCCATGGGTTCATGTTGTCGGCTGGGGCATTCGACAACCTGTTCGCAGACCAAAAGCTACTTGACAAGCTCTACCTGGTATGTCTCTGCACAGTGACCGATAATTACTGTGAAACCCACGGTATCGTGCTAGATCCGGTATGACGTACGAGGCCAAGGACGAAGTGGAAAGCCAGCTGATGCCGAGGGCCACGCTTCATCGCTGTACGCGGCGGACTTCAAGACAGTCTTGGATGCGTTTGGTGTCAAGAAGGCGGTCTACTGTGGATGGTAAGTAAGGTCACGTTATGGACCTAGACATCCACTCACCTAAGTGTGTGGTGCACAGGAGTCTTGGAGGTAAACTTTCAAATGCACACCCTACGAAGACCGTCGTGTTAACATAAGCTTTCAGGAAACGGCGCAGCGGATATATGCACGCACCTCGACCCCAATCCCCTGACCGGCATCGTCTTCATGTGTGCCCTCCCATACATTGACCCCGGCCTGATCGCCGCCTGTGGCACAGAGACACTCGGGGGCCTCCTCGGAGGCGTGATGGCGGACGAGCAAGTCGCGCCCGCGATGGACACGCGCCTCCGGTTCGTGGAAACACTCTTCAAGGACCATACGTCCATCCCGTGGGACGTCAAGTTCGCATGGCTCGGCGCCGGGTGCTACATGAAGCCCGCAGACTGCCGTAACGCCGTCGGACGCGCACAGGACGGCACCAAGATGCTGGAGGCAGGGAAGAACGGCCTGCCCGCGCTGGCGGTCGTTGCGGCCGACGACGAGCAGGTCAAGGGCGAGGAGACGGCCAAGGCGATGCAGCCTCATTTCAAGAATTTCACCGTTGCACGGATCGCGAACTCCGGGCATGCGGTGCATATCGATCAGCAGGATGAGTTCGTGAAGGTTTTGTTGTCGTTCGTCCAGGACAAGGTGCGTTTCCTACTACGAGATTACTTCTACAAAAGCTGATGTCAGAACGACAGTGTGTCAACTGAAACCAACGAGACCAACAAGAGTTGCACCATTGGAAACCATTACCCCCAAATTAGTCTTGTATATCATAACAATAACGGAAGATACCTGCGATACCACCCCTTGTTACTAGTAAATGGAATTCTGACACATTGGAATAGGAGTTAATTGAAGGCCTCAGAGATGACTGAATCGGTTCTTTGGAGGTTAAGCTCATGATATGTTTGAAGGCAGGCTAGAGATGCGGAGAAAGTAGCACCATTGATAAGTGGTCTTTAGGTTGCTGAGGACCAGCACACAGTGGTGGTGTTCGCCGTCCGCGACAGGACGCGTCGGGACAAGAGCAGCGCGGTGTACAGGACCTTCCCACGGTGTCTTACCAGCGTATTTTGTCGAAGGCTCTCGCGTCAGTGGGTGAGTTGTTTTGAGACTAAATTCCATTTTATTCCATAATGCCCTGTAGATACGCGCATAGTAAAAGATTTTCCTAGATGATACAGCAGTAAGCTTGTTCCAGCTGACCCAGCAGATGCTACGTTCCCTGGATGAGCAGCGATTTGCGAGTAGGGTATCGAAGTAAGTACTATATGCGAGGAAGTATATGTCGTTAGTATATATATATGCCGCTAACGGGCGCGATGTAAGCGTATGTCGTAAGAGTCGTTGAGACTTGGCTAGAGTAGCCACCCTCCTGGATCCGTGATCATCGCACCCCATCTCGGGCGGGAGACAGCCGGGGACGGAACCAAGCAATTTCGCGACAGGCAGATCCATAGGTGGACGAAAATGTCGCCGAGTGGTGATGCGTTTTTCGCTCTGAGGGCATTGCGTGTTCACAGCCAGGGGCTCGATCTCCTTTTTCGTGGCAACTCTTCGTCATCCAGGAAGTCGTTCTCATCGTTTGGTCCGAATTCAGCCAACGGAAGGTCGGGCTTGTTGGGGCTAAGTGGGAAATACAAAGGCGAAAATGTTAGAAACTCACTTCGACGACAGAGACGTTGCCAAGAGGCACGCTGGTAGATCTTACTGCTCCACTGGAACGGCTGGCAGCGCTTCGATGATGTGTGCCAGACGAGTCCGTGATCACCGTTTCGTGATCGATCGAGTTGCGGCGATTGTTGAGAAGCACGAGGAGGGAGTTGCTGTAGATCTTAGAGAGCATGACTGCGGGCAAGGCATAGTATATGTCCTGCTTGAAGGAAACGAAAAGAATGAGAACGCAAATGGCGCAGGCGGCTGGGAATACTATTAGTACCATGCGTATCAAGGCCGCGTACAAAGCGTACCGGAAGCCAAGCCAGTCTCTACGGTCAGCACGATGATCCGGTTTATCATCATATTCGAGTTGGCGCTTGTAACGCTAGAGCGTCGTGTTGATAGCTGGAGGGAAAGGTGGGTAAATTCTGCTGACATTGGCATTGAAAAGCAAGTAGGCTCACGATCCAAGTCATTGCGGAGAATATGGTGACGTCGCAAGCCGCACTGATCGTGAGCCAGATCTACAGGTTTTGTCAGTAAACACGCGGCCAGCACCAAATGTTACTTACGGTGACAGGAACCACATCATTAGTAGTGTTACTTGCGACATCACTGGAGTTCGCAGTCACCACAATGACTCCAGCGACGATAGCCGTTACTCCTTGCGTCAGGGCAAGCTGCCGGGAATAGTGAGGCGACGGTTGTGGGTGCTAACGCAATGACTTACGACAACGATGAAAACGGCGAGAAGACGGATGTGGCAAAGAATGTATATCCTATAGGCATAGAATATCTGCGCAATCATGCTGACTAGAGTTCATCTGGTCAGTCTCCCCTAACATCCAAGGCCATCCTGAACGCGTAGACTACTCACTGATGCCAACCGTAACCGGCATGGTGAGCCATGTAAGATACGCCTCCGTGAGCATGTCCGGATCCCCGTAGGAGAGCACCAGCTGATAATACGAATCCCTCGACGTGATGGCCGTCTGTGCGGTCTCCAAAAGAAACGATCCATATACCAAAAACTGGATGAAAAACCGGTCGCGAAACTTGGCGGTGTGATAGAGGTCTATTCAGAGGAAGAGAAGCGATCAACACGAGCCCACGAGGAGTGATCTCAGTCGAGCACCCACAGACTTGGACCGTCAAAATACCAAAAAGCCACCAGTTCAGCTGATAACCGAAGGTCTGGGAAAAGAATGAGCCCCGGTGCAGCGCGGACGCAATGTGAACTGGCTTACATATGTGGAGAGGCTGTGACAGATCAGCTTCAGACATCAGATGCGAAGCAAACGCAACACTCACGCATGATATATGCCTGGGGGATACTCAGCAGCCATGGGGCCCAGGGACGGAGAGGTGAAGAGCAGCAAAGAAGGGGGTGGGCGAAGATGTCAACGACGGCCAGCGCTCCCGGTCGCTTATTATTTGCTCCCACGCGGAAGGTCCCGCCCTGGGCGGGAGCATAAGACCTAAGGGGCAAGTCGCAACCAATAGCGACAGACGGCAACCTCCTGCAGCACGCGGGCGGCACGCTGTCGCGGTGCAGAGATCCCGAGAACATGCTTACCAACGCCTTGACCTCGGATGATTGTTCCCCGAAGATTTATTCAAGGCCCAAGGGACGCATTGCATCCATGTGGCCGTGAAACCAGGGCCTACCACAGTACCACTACCGCTGGCAGCTCAAGCTACTGCACGCAGTGAAATGGGTCAAATGTCGGCAGAGGTCGGTGACCGCTGGGTCCGCACCAACATGGGACTCCAGCTCGCGTGGGGCTCTGGCGCGTGTCAACTTGAAACTCGAGAACGTCCTGAAACTATTGTTGGCGCGATGTCAAGTTTACCAATTTCGGCCTTGGGCGGAACATGCTAGTGAGCTTGCGCCAGCGACTGGTTCTCCGAGTATCATTCCGAGCTGGCGCTCCGACTTCCTCGTGGACTGGACTGCTTGCAAAAAACACCCTCATTCTTCATTCCTTGGACTATACAGTTACGGACAACTTGAAGCAAAGTTGACAACAAGTATTATAAGGAACGGCTATAGGCTTCCGCAATCTATAAAGGTCTGCCTACGGGAGACTAACAACAAGTAGTGATACAGCGAAGACAAATCTCAAACATCAATGGTCCGCAAAAACTCGCTACTCAACGACTCGCTAAGCACCCCTTCCTGAACGTTGAACCATTACACCTGCTGCATCGACGATCCGCATGGGTAACCTCTTTACCTGGGTGCTTCGACCCTCTGAGAAGGCCACAAAGAAACCCGTTAGAGGATTGCATACCCTGAGCTGAGGCCCCGCCACGAAGGTGGGTCGTTCCGCGTAAAAGTGCGTGATGCACAACGCATATTTATATGCTGGGCGACCATCTACGCGCCTGTAGGTAGGCTAGCATCGAGAAACTATCGTCCTCTCATATCACCTTGACATCAGCTATTGACTGACGGTGCGCCCAGAATCAACATTACGTGACACGAATTGATAGAGGTCAAAGACGGAGATAGAATGATTGAGCTGCGGTTTAGCATGTGGTTGGTCAATGGTAGCATACTTGGTGGAAGCGGAAGTGCATAGTACTTGAACGGAACAAGTGCATCGTTTGACGTGGATAAGTTAGGGCGGCGATACAATTTATGAAGCCTTCTGCGTAAGTTTCGCCTTGCTTTCGTGACATCACCTCGGGCTCGATTATGTGAAATATCGTTCAAACGGTCGGTGAAGGGATGAACTTTGGGCTTCCACAACGACTTTCAGAAAAAAGACAAATTATAGATACATTATAGTAGACACAGCCTATGCACTTCCATCTCGGGCCTCTCTTCTTAACCTTCTGCGTTCCAGGACAAATCTCAGTGGGGATCGGAAGGGCCATACGGATTAGTTCAGCTGTTTGTTAAATCGGAGGTTCATGAGCGCTCACCGGCAAACCATCATCAGGGGTGTTACCACTCGAGAAGTTGGAGTCAGCTTGCCTATATGGTAGGTTCGATCGGTCTTTCATCGCGAACTTGATCACAATAACTTACCAGATCAGAGCTTCCGTGGGACCGCCATTGATACCAGTAGAGTACCAATCCTCGTATGTGGAAGTCTGGTTCTGGTATGCATGGACGCCGAATTCTTCCATGATCGATATCACCCAGCAAATCAGGTATAAAGCTTCAAACACAGAACGGATGCACGTCGGAGATTGAGTATGAAAGAAGTCAATACTCGGACGATAGAAGCTATCTAAGTAGATACTGCATTTACATTTTGTACTATTAAATCTTATACACATCCTATCCCTACAAAGAGTCCCCTCATGCGATAAGTCATGCTGTCATTACGACGTAAATCCCAGGAGCGTCCAACGCCGAGCGCACAAAAGAAAAAGACTCAGAGTACCGTCAGCACAAGCCCTGCCACACCTCCAAAAAGCGCTGCCCCCCATGCGGAGCGCGCAACGCCAAGCGGAACCGCAGCGCCTTTCGCGCCGCCCTGCTCCAGCCTGTCGCCAGGAACCAATGCCACTGCGCCCACCCCGCCGAGCGTGAACCCTTGCCCGTCGATACCGACGCTCCCGCTGCTCAGCGCGCTCTGCAGACCGCTCCCGCTCGCGTTGATGTCGGACCACTGCACGCTGCCGTTCGTGTACTGCGTGTTCGCGGCGATGACGAGCGTGTCGGAGCCCATCGTCCACGTGGCGACGTCGACGCCGTTGACGAAGTAGTTCGACCGCGTCGCGTTGCCGCTGAACAGGAACGGAGTGAGGATGGGCAGAGCCAGCGCAAGCATGGACGCTGAGGACTTGATGTCGGATGGTGTGGGGTCGTTCCAGGGCACGACGCCGAGTGCGCCGCGGTTCATCCCGAGGAAGGACTGGACGATCCATTCTTCGCCGGTCGGGGCGCGGGGCCAGTATCTGTGGTTGACGAACTATCAGATGCGAGCAGTTGAGGGGAAGAGTCGATTGGCACTTACTCTCCGTCACCCCCAAACGCCTGCGGGACCGTCCACATCGCCTTCGTGCGCTCCCAGCCCATGACCTCCAGCCGGTTCTGGAAACTCTGCACCCGGTCACTGATCGCACCGAATGTCCCGACGCCGCTGTTCGCCGGCACACCCTGCGCATACATATCCCAAAGCGTGCTGTTGTCGGGATAGAGCCCGCCCACGTCGCCTTGCGGGATGCTCTGGCAATTATCGCATCCGCAGCAGCCGTAGTCGGCCGTGCAGACGGTGTTCCACTCGCTCGAGAAGGTAACGTTATTCGAGACCATGTACACGTCCTGCATCACGACGTCCGTTCCCGCGGTGTAGTTCACCCAGTTGTAGTCCTGACAGTTGAGCACGAGCGAGACGGGGTGGTACCCGTCGAGCGAGTAGATCAGGTCGTACGCGCTCACGGTCGCATTCAGGGGGTCTGAGGTGCCGTCGGGCTCGTCGCCGGTGTACCAGAGGAGCAGGTTCGGTCGGCTCTTGATCATGTTGACTTGCTCGGTGACGGACGAGGCGTTCATGTAGGTGAATCGCATGTCGTACATGAGATACAGGCCGACTTCTTGCATACGGTCGAGCACTTCGTCCAGCTGTGTCGTGTTGTCAAACGTGGGTACAGGGTGAACCTGTCGACCATCATTTAGCTAGACTTGAAGGGATGAAGAGGTGCATGACCCACGATGGTAAACCTGTCGTGATACTCAGTAAAGTTTCATTAATGAAAGTAAGGTTGATACATACCCTTGTTCCTTGAGCTCATTAAGGACCGACAAATTAGACGTGAGGTATGGATCATAGGTGGTATAGAATCCAATTGGGAACACTGGTGCGTAGTCCCCACCGGTCCCGTTCGCCGGTTTCGCCAGCAACGCACCCGTCCGGAGGTCCATCTTTGTCACCGAGCTGTTCGACGGGTTCGGCAATACAGAGAGCGCGGCCGCCGCGTTGTATGTCTGCGACCCGGAGGAACCAGAGTACGTCGCAGAGCAAGACACGCTATACGCGGCCATCTGGGGCGTGAAGCTCTTCAAGCTGATCGGGATCTCGTACGCGGTCGCATTAAGCGGAACCTTGGCCGTGCCGAGCGTCGTCCCGTTCACACTGACCGTCACGTCCAGGCTGCCCGCACTCGAGAGCGACCCGCTGCTCGGGAGACTGATGGGCTCCGCACCGGCGATCTGGTAATTGACGACGGGGGTGTCGATGAGGATGCCGCCTCCGGAGCCGACGTCTTCCTCGAGGTAGGGCCGGATAGCCGGCGCACAGCGGAACGCTAGCAGCGGACTAGACGAGTACGATGGTATCGCAAAGTTGCCGCCTGGCGCTGAGGCCGTCTGGTTCTGCATGTACGGCTTTCCGCACCTGCGAACATCCGATCAAGCGTAAGTCATTCCGTTCATTCCCAAGTTCATACACACACGCTCGAAAGTTCCTGAGAACCGCAACTCACCATGTCTGCCCATATGCCCCCGCGATAAACTGCAATCCAAGAACGACACCAAGCACCGAGCGATACATCTCTTTCTCCGGGGTGTTCTTGAGGGAGTGAAAGGGGAGAAAGAGAGCAAGTCGCACGAGCTGCAAAAGAGCGGGAAGGGAACGAGGGAGAATGTTTTCCAAGTGAAAAGCAAAATAGCGACTATTGATACCGAGGGCTTAGCGGAACCCCACAAGTGCTCCTGGGCGCTGTGCGCTGAGAGTTGGATTGGAGCACCATGTGGTCGTCCCTGGCACCTTGGCGGTCCTGTCGTCACTGGCTCGTGCGTCGCACGCAGGAATAGCACAGGAAGGACAAAGGCGCGAGTCATGTTATCGGTCCTGCCGCAACCCTCGTCTCCGAGTGTCTGGTTCGACATATGGAGTTCTTTGCTGTTCTCACACTGGTCCGAGAGGCCGAAAAATGAAGAATAAATGACATGTATTGGATTGGAGTATTACGGTACGAGAAGGAAGATGCAACGTTGGAGACGTATGCACTGTGATAGCGATGCGTTAGCTTGAGTACTTCCATAAGCAAGAGAGAAGAAGAAAAGTCAGAATAACAGAAAGTTCTCGACACAAGTCATTAAGACAGGGATAACTGATGAATAAATCTCATCGTAAAGGTTCGCATAGCGAAAAGGGCGCTAAGGAGAAGGGTCCATGCATGAACTCACCTCTGGAAGATCTAGTGCCACCTCTTGTGGTTCTGAACAACGCGTGGCAGAGGGACGTGAAGCGCGCATCCTGCTTTTTCATAGCCAGCGCGGAAATTTCCGGAAATTTTCGACTCCCTCGAAGGGACTTCAACCTACTTCAACGCCTCGACCGGTTTCAATGAGCCTACCAAAGTGTGTTCGCAACACCATGACCTGAAAGTTATGACTTGATCTCTATACCATTATTAAATACAGGTTTGCACGGCAGTGATAAATACATGATTGTCCAATGGTGCTCAATGATAAACGAGAGTGTTCTCAGAACTGGGAGACTTGGAAAGAAAGCTGAACATGTCTACATCTACGACAAAAAATCAATCGGATCTGGCTCGCCGTCCGTCTCGTCCCCGCGCGCCTGCGTCGTGCCCGACGCAATCCGTGCCCTTACTTCTGGCGGTAGCCCACGGCTCGGGGCCCGCGATCTGGGTATGGCCCCTGACGACGACACTGGCTTCTTCCCGCCTTTCCCACCTGAGGGCTTGCCGACGCCGAGCGACGATGAAGGTTTCTTCGCGCGCGACGGGGGCTTCTCGGCACCAGAAGATGAGACGGGTTTCTTGGTCTTCAAGGCAGGCTTCCTTCGCGACGATGCCTTTGACTTTGCGTTTGACTTGGGCTCGGGCTCGGATTCGGGGACGAGGTCGCCGGCTGAGGGTTCTTCGTCCGCATCAACGGACCTCGTAGTCTCTTTAGCTTTACCCTTGCCCTTGCTCGACTTCGACGCCGCCTTGCTCAGCGCTGGAACGGCGTCGGACTCCTCAGGCTCTGCGCCCTCGTCCTCGCGGCGATGAGATGACTCGCCATCCGCCTTCGCCTTCGAGCGCTTCTTCTTGGTGGGCTTCTCCTGATCGTCTGCAGTAGCAGCCAAAGTAGCTTTCTTCGCTCGTGACTTCGACGCGAGTTTAAGCACTGGCTCGGGAGGTGGAGAGGGGGAACGTGGTCGCTCTGCTTCCGGCTCTGCGACATCTTGCTCCTTGCTCCTGCCCTTGCCGTTGGCTTTGCTCTTGACCTTGGACTTCGCCTCTTCGCGAGTCACAGGAGCAGGTACAGGTGCGGGCACGGGCGCGGTCGTCGCCTTGGGCTTCGGTGCAGGCTCGTCCTGCTCTTCCTCGTCTTCGTCCGCCTCTTGAATAATCGACAGCTCTCTCTGCTTCTTTGCCTCCCTGGCGCCCTCCTTCTCCGCAGCCACAGCCTTGCCCTCCTTGGTCTTGCGACCCCCGGCATCCACCCGCTCCTCCTCAGTCCCTCTCTCGTCGTTACTAGCGCTGGCCGCTCCACGCTTCTTCACGGCGGCTTTGGTTGAAGTTTTGCCATCTGACTTGGGCTCAGGGTTGCGATTTCGTGCAGGCGTGGGCGGAGAGGGTGCGCGTGCACGTTCCGAGGTCGAAGCGGGAGCAATCGAAGGCATATCCGAGGCAGATTTGGAGGCTTTCTTGTGGACGACAGCAGGCTCTAAGAGTGTCGTAACGATTTGTCAGCAAAAAAAAACAGCGTCATCGGAACAGAACAGCGCACCATCGTCAGAACTCTCCGGGTCGGGCTGCGCTGCATTCTTCTTGCCCTTGCTAACAGACGATGACTTGGTTTTTGCCGCTAACTTAGACTCCGTACTTGCTTTCGACTTGGCCTTAGCGGAAGGAACATCTTTAGACTTCGATGTAGAGGGCGGGGGTTGAGGAGTGTCATCGTCGCTATCATCGCTTGCGCGAGCATGTTTGACAGGTGGCCGGTCCGCCCTCGAGTCCTCATCATCGGACTCGGCGGTGCGTGGGCGCTTCTTGGGTTTTGATTCGACGTTCCTTTCCTTGTCCTTGCCCTTCGTAGCCGCTTTGGCTTTCGACGCAGGGAGCGCATCATCGTCTTCATCTTCGGATTCGACTTCACGGGGAGCTTTCTTGGCTGGTGCTTTGTCCTTGGGTTTCGTAGATTTTGAATTCGTGGAGGTTCCACTACCTAGGACTTTGGCCTTGGTTTTGTTCTTCGTAGATTTCGATGTTGTCGACTTCAATTTCGAGGCAGTGGCTTTACGGGAGGAACCCGCTTCAGCTGCCGAATCGACGAGGGTCATATCATCGTCTACGGAGACGGTGAACGAGAAAACATGAGTCTCACACCAGCGTAAAAGAGCATATACTCAACGCACCAGAATCATCCGCCTGGGCAGCCGCCTTCTTCCCGCGCGCCTTCTTTCCCTTCGCCCCTGCCTTGGTGATCCCGACGCGCCTCTTCTTCGCCACCTGCCCATCCTCATCTACCTCCTCCTTCTCTCGCGCGTCGGACTTGCGCTTCTTCTTCGCAGAAACGGCGGTCTTGATGGGCGAAACCGGAGACTCCACCCTCTCCAGGGCAGTAGCGCCTATGGACTTCCTTGACGTGCCGGATTTGCGCGGTACAGTAGCTTGCTTGCGCGGCGAGGTGCGTAGGGGAGTTGCACGACGGTCACGGGCGTCTGGGGAAGTGGTGACAGGGGGAATGAGGGAGCGACGCGGGCGCTTCGGAGAGGGAGACCTTCCGGTGATGCCGCGTGCGAGGAGGATATTGACCAGGGTGTTTGTGGGGGCTGGTGTAAATGTACTGAATGGGTTCTGTTAGCTGTATGTTCAAGCTTCAATGCAGGAAACGAATAGGAGCGAATGGGCGTTGTTATGAACGGGACATTTAGGTGATGTACGAGGATGAAGTTGGAGGGATAGAAGGGCGCATATATGCAACTAAATGCAAGAATGATGTTTCGGGGGAAACAAAAGGAGTACGTACCCTCCTCGATCGCGAAAGCGCGATTGCTGTCGCTGTTGGCGCTGAGCCTTCGAATGTTCGACCGACGGAGGCATGAGAGTTGGACCCTCGGGTGCAGGGGTTGTCAGCTTAGGAAAGGACATATTATAGGGTTGGGGAATGCTTGATGTGACTGTTCAGCAATGAAAGGACGGAGAGAAGTGCAGATGCTAGTGCGTAAATGTTGCGAGTTGTGGTCGAGTTGCGGTCAATGTTGAGAGTCGACCAGTTTGAGAGATATGTCGTCGAGGAAAGAAACAGACGTAGATGCGTCAGAGGGAAATAGAGCCTTGTATGAGCCTCATGGGCTTCATACTTCGTTCAAGTCGAACCGAGGAGCTGAATGTCGACGTAGTTCAATGCACACGTGACCGTGGCTCTGACGCGCATTTCGAGCCAGCCACCGGGCCGATCGCTCTTCCCACCTTATGCTTGCCTGCTCTATAGGGGGGCCAGCGCGAGAACCCGTCCCACGTTAAACTTGTGCACCTTTGCGCATCCCTTTGAGGACTTACTGAAGAGCTGATCTTGACGCTCCGTCTTTCCACCAGTCCGGCTTTGGGCTTATCTATTGACCTCTAATTTCTGGAGCACGATTCAGCCATAAGGGCTACGCGGACATCAGCAAGCACCGACAGGATACTGCTCGAAATCTCGCCATACCATGTCCGAGCTACGCCAAAGGAAAGCGGGAGAAAGCAGCACAGCACCTCCCGCAGACTCACCCGAACGTCCACCAGTGCAACGTTTTCCCCCTGACGACGTCACCTCCCAGTTCCTCGCCGAACACGTTCGTCAAACCCCAGGTAGCACAGGCGCCGGCACCGAGGCCATCGAGGTCTACATCACCCACATAGACAACTCCTCTGCGTCCTCCAGAAGGTGCGCTCTCGCTTCCTCCTTCATCTGTGTGTTCGCTGAGTACTTCTTACAAAGATGGCACTTCGCCACCCTGGCGTTCATCAACACCGCCTACACTTTCCTCATTCTCCGACGCCTCTGGGGTGCCTACACGCGCTACGGCCTCGCGTATCTCGTCCACGCCCATGTCCTGACCCTGTTGCATCCCTACCTCCCGGGCGCAGCGCTGCACCTGCGCCCTGCGCTTGATGCGTCCCTCGCGGGGCACGCAGTCCTCGACCTCTTCCTCCTTCTCACGATCACACCGCGACTATACACATTCGCAACACGCATCGTTCCCCTCCGGCTCGCGCACGGTTTTCCCAGTGTGGGCGAGCCGGTGTTCAGGACGCTCTCAGCCGGCTCGGTGACGACGCTCATTGCGGAAGCTGAGTCGTTGACTGTTGCTGCGTCGCAGTCGTCGGCTGCGGCGACGTCCTCAACTGCACCGATCTCGAAGGCAGAGAAACGGGACAAGGCACTCGGCGCGCTCTTGCTGGCTGCGACGTCACCTGAGGGCCTAGTGGACCGGTGGTACGATGTCCCCGGGGAAGACTGGGACGTGGACTGGCGAGCAGTGCGTGCGGCGCTGCTCGCCTCCGAGGAGGGACGTATTTCGATGCAAACGTGGTCGCTTGGTGTATGGATGCGCGATCCTGTGGACGAGGACAAGAAACCAGGATGGGTCAGGCTCGAGCGCAGCGCGCTGGTCGATAGTGCGCGTGCAGAGGCAGGAACTGCCACGGGAGCGAGTGCTTCATTAATGCCAAAGCTTGGTCTAGAGCACATGGAATGGACACCCGATGCCCTTGAACGACTCAAGGTAAATTCGTCATCGCATATATGGTTGCTGGTGTGAATACATTCGCTCACGTGTACTTATTTCAGAATGTCCTCATCCGACGCGGCAAACCGCAAGTCTACCACCGCCTGATCGAAATTGCCCATCGGAAGACGCACAACCCAGACGGAAGCACCAAGGAGCTAACAGGCGCACAGGCGATGGAGCTCGACGCTGCCGTGGAAGAGGTGTTCCGGCACGAGGGGCTGGATATTGGTGACATTGTCGGGGAGGTAGTCGGGAGCTCGTCAGCCCAGGGCTCGGATGTGAAGGATAAAGGAAAGGGCAAGGAGGTGAAGAAGCAGCGATGACAAGAGAGGCTCTGAGCTCGAGAGTGTCTTGTGATATGCTCATTTCTTGAATTTATTTTGGGTAACATATATTCCGTCTGAACCGAACCTCGGAGCTGCACAACTATTCCAAATCCAACACTGACACTGCCGAAGCGCTCTCACGCGAATAGGGGCTTTAACTCCAAATATAGTATCAGCTTCCCACGGGCTCGCGCCTACAAATTGACGAACCTCAGCTTTTGTTTTCTCTTTGATTCTTCCACGATCATACACGCCCATGACGATATCCTCTGGTGCAGAGCGCTGAGCGTGGACCGCGTCTTCGGGCGCTGGACCCGCGGTGATCGCGCCCGCCTGGCACCACCTTACCTTGTTACATCGTAGGGGCGGGCTTGGTTCAATCTGATGGCGTGCTTCCTTCATTATTTTTTTCCTCCGTGTTTCTCTCGCATGGATCTTTCGGAAGAGCATGGAGCAGGCGAGGAAGAGCAGCTGGAGGGACACTTGGGGGTTTTCTCAGTAGCTTTTAGTTATATGCGTATGTTATTTTGTGAATCATATAATGCAATATACATATCTTCTACCGTTCTCTCTTCATTCGTCGTACCAACTGATCGACTATCATAGCATGCCTATGAGCTCTACATCATCTTACAGTTTCCCGCTGACTTTACTTGGTCTCACTTTTGTACCATGAACGCACGAAGTGCGCAGCGCAGTGCGACTCGCCGAGTCCATAGCGGAGGAGGTACAGCTGGTGGTTGCTGTCGCTGCCCGAGGCGGGCGTGAAGGGATAGTCCTTAGGCGGGACGATGTCGGTCACGATCTTCTCCTTGAACTTGGGCCCGAGCTCTTCGGTCACCTCTTGTGCGACCTTGAGCTGCTCGTCGCTCTGGCAGAAGATGGCGGAGCGGTATTCTATCGAAAAGCAGCAAGAGGGATAGCAAAAGGGAGAGCAAATATGAGCTATGATAGATGCGTAGAGATGTAAGAATGAAACGCACGATCGCCCATGTCGACTCCCTGCCCGCCCAGCTGTGTCGGGTCGTGGATGGCGTAGAAGAACTCTGCGAATACGTAGTGTAATCAGCGCCCTGCCCCTCTACCTCTACACCAACTCGATAGTACTCACTGACGAGATCGCGGAACGACGTCTTGCCCGAGTCAAAGTCGACCTTGACGACCTCAGCGTGGCCCGTGTCCGTCGTGCACACTTGTCTGTAGCCTGGGTTGTCCACATGTCCACCCATGAACCCCACGCTCGTCTCGAGGACGCCCTCGTATGGGTACTTGGTCACGAAGGCGTGCTCGACGCCCCAGTAGCATCCCGCCGCGAAGTACGCGAGCTGGCGCTCGCCGACGGGCTCTGTGCGATGTCATCGTCAGATGGCCAGCATAACCGCAGATCGGAGGATCGAAGAAACGCACTGTAGCTCGAGTCCGCGCGGTACTTGCTTTCGTCAAAGGTTTGGCCGTTCATGAGGTTCCGGAGGTACGATAGGGGGTTGGACATCAACCGTTGAGAGGATGAGTATGAGGGTAAGCTTGTAGGGCGCGTATGAGAGAGGGTGGTCGTCACAAATCTAAGTGTAGCCATTCATCGCTGCGCCGATTGCGGGTCTTCTTATGCATGGGCCCGACGGAACACTGAGCTCATTGCAGGTTAGCGATCGCGTAATAGGGGCACATGACTGGATCGAGGATGACAAAACCGTCACAGCCACTTTGGTCAGCGTTTTCTCAAGTGCAGGGCCCTTGCAGTAAGCGTGAAGAAGCAGTGAATTCATGAGGTTTCGATCGGGTCGTGCTCAAGGTTTCAGGCCCCCACGACGCTTACACCACTGTCAAACAAAGAATGAATGTCTAGAAGTGTCATATTTGTATATTATCTCTATCATACACTGCGTCGTGTTTACATCTTTAAAATTGATTGTTTTAAGCACCATCCTAACCACAATAAAGCGCACCAGGGCACCCAATAGTCGTGCCGAAAACCGAGCCAGACACACCGGCAATTGTTAGCACAGCAGTTACGATACCGCCGAGGCCCTCCCCAGCGATGAACCCCGCAGCGACGGCGAAGCAGTACATCTCGTAATTCTTGAAGAACCTACACGTGATGGATGGGTCAGCTTTAATCAGGGATTCTTTCCAAGCCAGCGATGCATTGAGCTTACATTCGACGCCAGAAGAAGGTGACTGTGGACCCGAAAAACATGGCAACGGGGTATGTGCATACGTCTACGAGCACCGCATTGAGTGAACCTGCAACTGATATCTGCGAATGTACCCACTCATGATAAAGCCGATCCCAATAGCGTTGAAGTTCCTGAACAACTCAGAGTCAGCTCACGCACGCGAGATTTGTTTCTGAGAGACATACGGAACCCAGACGTGGTATTTCGGTGGTACAATTGTATACTTTACCACAACAGAGAGTACTGCAGCGATGCCAAGCCCGATCGCAGTGTAGCCCGACGAGGTTGGGATGGGAAGTGTGTCCGACGATACAGCTATCGCGACTGCCTGTTCCAAAACAAAAAGGTCTTGGTCAACGCTCGGCCAGCTGAGGATATGAACCGGGACTTACCCTCCAAGCTTGGACATCCGGTGTCGGAAAACTGCACGTCTCGTACCCGAGATTATTGATGCACGGGTATGCAGTCGAGAACACCACATATACACCCGCTGCCATAAACACAGAAACGACGGCGCCGCAAAGCTGCGCCAAGAACACGGCGCGGGGTGACGCGCGCAGAAGATGCGTCGTCTTTAGGTCCGAGATCATGTCCGACGCCTGCTCGGCAGCGCCGAGAGCAAGCATTCCCGAGAGCGAGTTGAGGAGCTCACCCTTGGCGACAGAATATCCGCGTCCTTTCGCGATGCCGCCGAAGACGAGCTGCGACGCGTTCCCGATGGACGTGACGGGGTTGATATCTGTCCGCCCGGAACTCTCACATCCGATGAAGCTGAAGATGAATGCGAAGATGATCGCTGTTTCAGTCGGTCAGCGAGACATCCCAATCCTTGACAGGGATTATTCAAGGAAAGACACGTACCAAGGATGGTAATCCCAACGTTTTGTCCAAATTGCACACCCATCACGATGCACGTCACTATAATGCTCGCAGCAAGCACTCCACCCCAGAGCCACCATGGCACCTGCTCGTTCACTGGCACAGGGTCCACTATCTCTACAACTTCGGCCTTGTCCTTTTCTCCATCACCTTCGCTGTCCAATGAGCTGCTGCTGATCCGGGAAGCAAGGAAGTGCGTGCGGAAATTATGGTACGCGGATATGGCCGCGGCGAAGAGCGAGCGCCAGTTGCAAGCCACTTCCGTGAACGAGGCGCAGAGGAGCATGAGTGTGCCCGGCCAGACGAGCCAGTACCGCGGAGAAGGGGCGTTTATGGGGTCCGAGAGTTCCCTTGATGGTTGTGCATTCATTAGCTGAGTTGCTACAACATTGTATTTAGAAACGTACATTCCCATGTAGTTCATGTAGCCAGTGATGTTCACAGGAGTTGCTTCGAGCTGTCCAAACGCCTAAAGAGCTAGGTGAGCGGAAAAGGCCTAGTAGCCGTTGAGGGTGGAGCATACCATGCCCTTCGACACGATGACTGGACCGATGATCGCCCATGCAAGGAAGGCCTGATAAATTCGAGTCGGTAAATTACCAAAGAAAATAAGAGAGTACTCACTCCACCCAAGAAACTGTATGATGCGTTGATACCGGTAAGCATCCCAGCCCCAATGAACGCCGGTGTCCACTCCCATATCCACCCCTACCCCAAAGATAAGCCAGATTCGCAAGGCGTGTATGATGCTAAGCCGACGTCAACGCACCCAGCTCTCCGCAGCAATGATACCCTCCCACCCAACGCGGTTGAGCGCATAGAACACATGCCAGTCCCACAGCAAGCCCGGCGCATACTCGCTCACCACACGCAGCGTGATCGCCGCGACGAACGACCAGAACAACGCCCACGTCTTCTTCCTCGCCGCCTCCGCCGCATTTCTACCGACGTGCAGCGACCGGATCGTGTACGCGGCCGCGATCCCGCTCGGGAACACGAGCTTGAGCTTGAGGATGTAGAACCGCCGGAGAGGCACGCTGAACGCGAGCCCGAAGAAGGCGCAGCACACCGTGAAGGTGAAGAGCCTGCCAATGTCGGCCGAGGGCGACTCGAGCAGCCCGAGCTCGTATAAAGCAGGGAAGCCGGACGTGAACAGCAGCCCGAGCGAGCCGGCGGCAGAGGCAGCGGATTGGCAGACGTTGTTCTCTTTGGGGCCAAAGGGCCCGCCGCCTGCCCAGCGTGGGAGGGCGGTCGAGAGCGGTTTGAGGATCGCGAAGCCGAAGATGGAGCCAAAGAGAGAGGCGCCAAATGTCCAGCCCGTCTGTTAGATGACAGGGTCAATGCTTGAGAAAAGTGAAGGGGAAAGCTGAAGGGTGTACCTTGAGACCGAGGTAGACGTTACTCGCAGCGATAACGGCACCTAGCCCACATCCCACGAGTACAGCGCGGAATGTAAGCTGTTGTTCTTCGACCATCTCGCCTTCCTCGATTGGGAATGGATCGTCCGTGTTGATATTGTTCACATTGATGATCCCGCCCTCGAGGCCCACCTCCGAGTCGATCGCAGAGGCGTAGTCGATCTGTTCGCCACCACGCTTCTTCTCTTCGCTTGCATCGTCCAACGAAGAAGCAGGCTTAGAGTGCCTCTTCTCGTCCACAGGCGACAGTTGAGGAACATTAGAAATGAAATCAACGGTGTCTATCGCCTCGAAGGGCGAAGAACTTGACATCTTGCGGGCGTGGGGGCGAAGCGTAGGGAAGACGCAGAGAAGACACGGAAGAGCTTATATGAGACCGATAGCGCGCATAACGTCTCTTTTCCTAGAGCGGACGCTTATCGCACCACCCGCAGGTGGTCGGTCGAGTGATAAGGCTCGGTAGACTGAGGAGCTATAATTTGCGCGTTACACTATACTTAGGACCTCGATTGCGTGCGTAGTTGGCCGAACACAATGGTCAATGCGCCACCTGCGAGCACTATCAGTCACAAGACGCCATAGCAAGGAACGCACGGTCAGGGTGAGATGTTTTTGCGGTCAACACAACCTTTCGTGGCAAACGTTGGCCCAGGCTCGCATGATAAGATGCCCTAGAGAATGATGAGGGAACCGAAGTTTATTTCGCGACAAAAATACAACTTTCGGTAAACCAGGCCATCTAATCACTAAACTCTATGTATCAGTATATGAGAACGTGATTGTAGTAAGTCAACGCACCAAGGACACAAACAGAATTATCGATAAAAACCTCGTGAAATGGCTACGGCTATCTGGTATTACGACGACAGCCGCAAAACCGTGACTGACCCAGATGTAGAACCAAGAGCGACCCGACCCGACGTCTCATCGTAGTCTAAACAAGACCAGTTGCTACAGGTATTCGGGTATGAACAATGTATCCGGCTTTCCGGCTCGGGCCCTTTCAGGAGTCCTGGGAATAGACCAGCGGCAAGAGACTGCGGTGCTACCGAGACTGGTATCGCCTGCAAGTGAACGTCGTCGGATAAAAGTCCAGTTGAGGCTCGATCGGCAGGTTGGACCCATACGGCGCTGCCATAGGCGCCCAAGACCATGTTGGTACAGTGCAGGGGGCCGCTGTGAGGAGAGACGAGGCTAGCTGCCTCAACGGGAGGGAAGGCGTAGGGACAACCGGAGGGAGAGTTGGCGGAGATAATCTCGTCTAGATCTTCAATGTCAAACATGGTTTGACGCTCGAGTGTCCATAGCTGTAGTAGATGATGGGTAGACCATGGATCCGCACTCTTCCTGCGAACGAGAATTGAAAGGCGATGATCCTCATCAAGGATATCTGAGGAAGATCCAGAACTTTGGGGGGTGATACACGCAGCGATGCCGTCTGGCCAGCCAAAGCTGTGGCTTACGATTGGGGAGATTATGGGTGCGCTTGGAAAGAAACGCAGCTCTGGTTCCTGGAAGAGGTGAATGGACCGGGCTCTCACGACAAGAATACTGTTGTAGCAGAACAGGATCTGCAAACACTTATCCTAAAGTGCAGATGGAGGGGGTGCAGTATGAACCAGAGTACACCCAATTACAGGACAGGGCGCAACGTACCTGCCAGCCGTCCATAGTTGCAGATGTTCGGAGTGTTGCATAAGAGTTATCCCTGCAGTTCCAGATTACTGCTTCGAGTTCGTTATCGGCCAATGCCAATAGCTCCCCCTTTAGAGTGATGGGACGGTGGTGTGTATCGACTGAGTTTAGGGACCTGAACCGAACGGTCTCAAAAGTGACGTCGGTATCAATGCCCAAAAGCTCGACTTTTGAGACGCTGAGCAGCGAAGTCCAGTTATTGTGAGCGCACGACATAGACGGCTACCAAGACATACCCATCTTGCTGTACAGATACAGCTAGACTGGCCACGGACGAAGGATCCGTGTTGACGGCAAGTCCATTGAATATAGCCTTCCGTGGAGCCCATCGACACTTCTCAATAGCCAAGACGGTGTCCCATAAGGTAATGGTAGACCATATGCCCTTGGAAGCGACTACGACGAAACGCTCACCAAACCCAGGCAGAAATCGGATGTCTTCTACAGGGACTGCCTTGCTGACATTCGCCGATGATACTTCGTCCAAGCGCATTTGCTCAGAGCGCCAGCAGCTCCCAATCTTATATGCCCGCTTCACCCGCGACCTGAGCCCCTCCGCCGACTGATCTGCTGGGTTGATTGATCGGAAAGGGATACCTTGTCCAGTGATTTGGAAGGTTGACGCGTAATGCCAGACGATCCGTTGTTTAGAGATGGCATATATACGTCTCGACACCTGCTCAGACATAGCATATATCAGTGCCTTCAGACAAAAAGCATGATACCAAAGTTCTACCTGTCCGAACAACAAAATATTCGGAATGGAAAGAAACGAAAACACGTAGATCAGGGTATCGTCATCGAGTTGTTCAAGGGTGACCATGATTCCAAGTTTCTATGAAGGCTTTCAGGAAAAACAACGTATAATGTGAAGCATCTCAAGAAGAATAGAGCTGACTTTCGGTCAGCCCAACGCTGCTTCAGTCGACGACGTCCAAGGTAGAGTCGCATCATCCTCTAACCCCTTCGGACCGCGGGATGACATTCAAACTCCGACAAACCCGAAAAATCGCGAACCAGGGCAAACGCGAGACCACTCGACTAGAGCGCCGCAGACTTCCACCAAAACCCAGCGCACCCGCCGCCATGAGCTTTTCATCGTTCTTCTCGTCTTTCCTTCCCACCGTGTACGCCGACGCGCCCGAGGAGAAGGAAGAAACCAAGAACGACGCCAAGGAGGAGGAGCCCACCGAGGACGCTACTGAGGACGCTGCCGCCGAAGAAGAGGAAGAGGAGGAGCCGGAAGACGTATGCAAACTGTCTTACCATGCTATGGTCATAGGCTGATCCGCGAATGTATAGCCTCAACCCGAAATTCGGGAGGAGTGCAAGGCCACCTCAAAGTGCGCACCTCTGACGAAACACTTCGAGCACTGCCAGGAGAAGGTCAACGCGGGTGAGGGGTACAAGGGCGAGGACTGTGTTGAGGAGCTGTACGTCATATTGTCCATCCTTGCTCAGATCCACTTACTGATGCTGCGCTTCGGTTACAGGTGTACGTTTTGTTGTGGTTATCGGTATATGCCTGGCTGACTTCTTCCTTCTTCATCCTCTGCATCTCCGAAATGATAGTCCAGTGAGTAAATCATACTTTTCACCTGTTTCCACAAGCTGACAGGGTCCGTTAGCATGATGCATTGCGTCGACGTAAGTTGGCAAAAACTCATGACGTTAAGATCCCTGTACTAAAGGTCCACTAGCAATGCGCCGCACCACGGCTTTTCTCCAAGCTCCGCTAGACGATCATATTCTCGGTATGTCCATACCACCAATGCGTAGTATTGATCCGTGGCCTTACCGTTACACGTTCAGTAATAGAAGCTGCCTTAGACACTCGCAGCTACACATTGGGGATTCAGTTAGCCACAGAGCTTATATATAATTCATTCCATTACTGTGAACGAGTAGTCTTAGCCTGCAAGCGCCTGATAGCAGCTCCTGTGTGGTAGTACATCTTTCTGGAGCGCTATCTTGGCGCCTTCGACATTGCAGTTGCCCTGATTTTTTGCTAGAACAGGTATTGGGATCACGTACATCTTGCAAGAAAGTAAAAACAGAAATTATACTTCTCAATTGCGAACTGTTTTACTTACTTAGAGTTTAATAATTAACTATTAGCGTTTGTGTGAATGATTATTCGTGGGAATGTAATTCGGGAATAGTTCAGAATAACTGCGTGAGTTATCTAGTGAGAAATAGACCAAGATTATGAGTCTTGAGAACAGCTGTTCAAACGTCGTTGCGGAACTGTATGTTTGGATTGGACCTCATGTATATCCCATAGCTGCTTTAAAATAAGCCCATATACAGATTCGCCAGTAGTGCCAAGGGGATCAGTTATTTTTTCTTCTACTGATTGCTCCCGAGTCTCCAGCTCAACCGAAAGCGCCAAATGAAGCGCCGCCGTTCTTCCGGGGAGAATCTTGGGAGAATCATAACACGTTCCTTGACACGTTCCGGAGTCTAGGGCCAGTCGTGATTAACGCCAGCTTGATAAGCACTGTACAACTTGAAGCAGCACTGCGGTGCTCAGCGCTTACTCCGACATCTTATTACTAGCCTCCAGCTTCCCACAGAGGCGCCTATGTCTCTTTCCGTTACCCACGAAAACTCAGAATCCGGGCCTAGCTTACGTCGACCATCATCCATCCTTGAAAACTCTACCCTTGAACTCATTGACTCTGAAGAAGAAGACGAAGGATTCAGACCATTTACAGGGCATAGAAATGGTATTATGGCAGTCGCATATGCGCCGGACGGCAGGCATCTAGCCACCGGTTCACCTGACAAGACTATTCGCGTATGGGATGTGAGGACGGGCGTGCAGGTTGGAGAGCCGATGGAGGGTCATACGGACGAGGTGAATACCATCTGCTACTCTCCTGATGGCAAATATCTTGTCTCAGGCGCCGATGAAGGGACGATACGCATCTGGAATGTCGAGAACGGGGCATATTCTCCCGCTGGGGAGCCTATCACGGCGCACTCCAGCTGGGTCATGACGGTCAGCTACTCACCCAACGGAGGGCTCATTGCCAGTGGTGGCAACGATAACCTGCTCAAGTTGTGGAACCCCCAGACCCAGACCCTTGTCCACGAGTTCAAAGACCACGAGAAAGCAGTGAGGCAGGTAGCATGGTCCCCCAACGGCAAACTCCTCGCCACGGGCTCGAACGACGACAAGATCAGGATCTTCGATGTCGAAAAGCGCAAGCTTCTTATGGATCCTATCACAGGGCACAGGGAATGGGTCCGAGCCGTCGTTTTCTCTCCGAACGGGAAGTTCCTTGCCAGCGCATCTGACGACCATAGCGTGCGCGTCTGGAGCCTTGAGTCGGGCAAACTCGCTAAAGGCCCATTCAGGGGGCATACCTATTGGGTCGGCTGCATTGAATGGTCTCCAGATGGCAAGCGTATTGTTAGCGGCGCACACGACAAAACCGTCCGCGTATGGGACGTCGAGAGCGGTCAACATATTTTCGGAAAGCCGCTGTATGGGCACTTCAATGACATTCGCGCCGTGGCCTACTCTCCAGATGGGGAGTTCATTGCCTCAGCAGACATGGGCACTCGTCCCCGCGTCCAGATCTGGAATGCGCAGACGGGAAAGCCCCATTTCCCTTTGGTGCGTGGAGTGTTATGACACCAAATTAATGAAACTCACCTCATGGTCCGCCGCGGTAGATTAAAGACAAGCAACAGGACGCATTTGAGCAGGAAGCAAAGAAGCCACGCTCGGAGGACCGTGAAGTCAGCAAACCCGGCAAGATGCGTGCTGGCTCAGCCATTTTGGCAGTTTGTTGGTTCCCTGACGGACATCGTTTTGCAAGCGCCGGCGAAGACTTTGTGATTCGCTTGTGGGATGCAACCACGGGTCTCCAAGATGGTGAGATCGCTAGCCATGAACAACCTGTCAATGGTCTATCCATTTCTTCCAATGGCCACCTACTTGCTACCGCGTCTGATGATCGTACCATTCGTCTGTTCAACCCTGATACGAAGGAACTGCTTCTGCCACCCCTTACAGATCATTTCGAATCCGTGTATACTCTCACGTTCACTCCTGATAGCTCGCGTCTCGTCAGCGGTGGTATGGACAAAACCATCCGAATATGGAACACCTTTACAGGCCAGCACTTGTACGTCATAGAAAAACACACCGAGTCCGTGCGCTCTCTTTCTATCTCTCCGGACGGAAGCAAACTCGCGAGCGGCGGCAATGATAACTATATCTATGTCTGGGATATGCTCTCCTACGAACTGCTCGCGGGCCCATTCGCGCATGACGACTGGGTCCGCGCAATATGCTTTTCACCCGACGGCACGCGCATCCTGAGTGGGTCAGACGACTACTGGGTCCGCGTGTGGGACGCCTCAAGCGGCGAGCTTGTCTTTTCCCGTATCGAGAAGCATACGGACTGGGTGGGTGCCGTAGACTGGTCAAACGATGGCAGGCTACTCCTTAGTGCCTCGCACGACAAGACGGTGTGGGTATGGGACGCACGAACGGGCGAACGGGTGCTTGGCCCGCTGAAGGCACATAAAAAGGGGATTCGGGCTGCTGCTTTCTCGCCTGATGGCACACGTTTTCTTACAGGGTCTTTGGCACATACCCTTCGTCTATGGGAAACGGATACCAGCGAGGTCATACATAGACAAGAGGGGCCAAGTTCGTCAGAAACTGATTCGGGATCGGAGTCGGATTCGCAATCTGGAGAGCAATCTGAAGCTGATGTAAGAGTAACTGTTGACATTGGAATATGTTTGGCTTCTGATGTTCTGCTTCGTAGTCGGAGTCAGAGAACAATGGTCCGAATAATCCAAAGGAAGCCACGGCGACTCCAGCAAGCCGGCGAGCTCCGGGACGACAGGTCTGTCTTCAGGATGTAACTTACGTGATTTGGGTTGTAACCTTCTGCGACAGAGTACAGATGACAGTATCTTGAATGTGAGCTAACAACCATTCTTAGATGCTAAGCATGGTCCGTCAACACGTGTTTTTTTAGTTGCCAGCAGTTCCTACCAGGTTCGATTCCAAGCAGCAGAATTCAGGGGCAAAGAAATTCTGGGACGATGCCGACGTAATCAACCTTTGGAACTCTCATTTTCATCTTGTACTAATTACCAGTTTTATGCTCGCCTAGGAACTTCTTGGCCCATCCGGAAGACATAGAGACCCAAAGCGACAGGGAAGATTCGATGAAAGCAATAAGAATGCTGACACCAAAGCGCACAAAAGGAGGCGCGGTGTGTTCAAGCGGCTTTGGACTCGGGGTCACGGTCACGGTGCGCAAGATGATCGTGGTAGCGTTACAATAGAAGAGGAGCGAAATAAAGGAAACACAAAGCGGCAGATTGCAAAGGGTATGCAAGATGTAAGTGATACCGACTCCAAGCAATCCCCGACTGCCGAGGCACACGCCATGCGCAGGTTAGTATCTTCTGCGCGAGCTAAGATGGTGAGTCCTATCCCCTGCCATTTGTGTAAAAATTCATGGGTACTTTGGATGAATCGTTTCTATTGTGTACTTTACTAACATTCGTAAAACTCCAGCGTATACTTGCAGCGGGCGAACGACAGCCCGGGGAGGGCAACCGAGATCGAGAGGCGGTGTCGGATTCTGACGAAGATGAAGGCGGGGATGACGGTGACACACCAGTGCAACCCGACGAGGGTCATCGATCACTACATAACGAAAATAACGAGAGCGACGATGAAAGTGTGCATGGATTTCTAGACGTGATATGTTTCTGTCTATGCTTGCCATGCTGCAAGTGACAGCTGGTTCCTGATCTACGTCGAGCGCCGGCTAGCTTCCACTCCTCCCAACAGTTCTCAATCATAAAGACACATATCACATACACTTGTGTAGGTATATTACAAGATGATGTTCTCGATGATGAGCGCCAAAATGTGCTTTCCTAATTATGTCACCGGAGTCGGTTAGATTACCGAACAAACATTGTGAACGGACTAATATAGCCTCCAATACCGCTGACTATGCCGTTTGCAGTTTTGGACTATAGACTTATTCGGAATTGTTACAGACTAATCACATTTGGTTGACTTGGTTCAGTAGGATATACAATGCATTGTTTACTTAGAAGCCTCGGTGAGACGATTCTCCGCCTCCTTAAAGTTAACAACGTTCCAGATGGCGCTGAGGTACTGGAAGAAGATAGACGTTAGCTATGAATTAAGCAGAAGTATAAGGATAGAACTCACGTCAGCCTTGACGTTGTGGTACTGAAGGTAGAAGGCGTGCTCCCAGATGTCAACACCGAGGATAGGAGTGTGCGCTGTGGAGTGCCATAAGTCTCCAAGGGCTCAATCATTTCGAAAACGTACAGATCAGGGGATCCTGGTTCGCGGTAGTGACGATCTCGAGTTTTTTGGTGGACGGGTTGTAGCCAAGCCAGCCCCAACCGGAGCCCTGAATGGCAGCAGTAGTCGCGTTGAACTTCTTCTTGAACTCTTCGAAGGAGCCAAAGTCGCGCTCAATAGCACTCTTGAGGGCACCGTCAGCGAGCTTGCCGCCGTCCTCGTTGGCGGGGGCAAGATTCTTCCAGAAAAGGGAGTGGTTGATGTGACCTGAGCGTCCGGTAAGTAAGACGCCATCGCAAGATACACCAAATGGTGATGGCTGGAACGTACCACCGCCGTTGAACTTGAGGGCAGACTGGAGGGCAATCTTCTCCTTGGTCGAGTCCGACTTGGCATACTGCTCCTCCGCAGCGTTCAAACCGTTGACGTAGGCCTGGTGGTGCTTTTGGTGGTGAAGCTTCATGATCTGCTCAGAGATGTGAGGCTCAAGAGCCTGTCCCCAGGAAACACATGTCAGATACGCATTCTCTTAGGAATCAAAACCACTGAACGTACGTTGTAGCCATAGGGAAGCTCAGGAAGCGTGTGGACCGACGCGCTGGACGCTGGGGCCGCGAACGTGCGAGCAAGAGTAGGGCGAAGGACAGAGCGAGCGATGGAGAACATGGTGGTTGCGAATGAAGAGCAGGAAGTGCGGATATTAGTGAGAAGGACGCGAGTTGGCTTTCGTCATGCGCGGCGGCCTCAGACGGCGCGTGGACGTCATAGCGGAATCGGAGGAAATCGGCCGCCGTCCACCCGGAATTCAAATTGTGTAGAAATCCGGGCCAGAAATTTTCTATCTATGGAAGCTTATGGGACCAAACGATAGACCCCCTGTTCCAAGACCGCGCTTGTCCCATCACCGAAGGGTTCATTTACAACTTTGATGAACACGGACTACAATGATTCTCCAGAGAACGTTAGACGGGAATTATCTCGCACTCAATGACCAGCCCCCGCCGTCACCGAAAGCTTCGACCTACGTTCACCCCTCCATTACCTCTTGGCTTACGCCATCGACATGAACCGTTAAGGAAGATTCTGGCATCATCAATCACTCACTTATGACGCAACCTATCTTCTTCTACTCAAAGTTCTACCCCAAGGGAAACACCTTCACTTACCTCAACACCCGGTGCGAGATTCATCATTGGCATGCTAAAAGTGCGATCAGAGAGCCCGCGGTTGAGTATTTCCAGTTCGCTCCCCCTCTGCGGTTACTTCCGTTGGAGCTTCTGTAACCTTCCTGCTTGCGCAAACTGAGACAGGATTCCACGAGTTGAAACCACGCACAGCGCAGTAACAGGCACACCCATATCGCGTTGTCAATATTCGGGGCATTCACCTAACCTATAGATTTAAAAATGAGGTGGTTGAGTCGTGTCCGTTCAAAGGCGTAATGTACGGACGCGAACATGCGAGGTTGTCGTTTGGAAGAGCCATGAAACTGAAGTTAAATAGTAATACTGTACTTTTCGACCATTTGATCGTGGGAAAGTGACTGCCTAATCCGGATGTCCAACTTTTTGGCTCGCAGGTCGGAACCAACGCGGGACACTTGGCTCGTCAGGGGCTATTTTCCCCAAACAGTGTGGGATGCTGTTGTGTTCGGCAACCTCTCCAATCCCCAAGCGACGGTAGGTCAGAAGTTGTAATCGCCCGGTGATATCTCCACGTGCGAGCTGTTCATTGTGTTTCAAGATGGCAGTAAGGTGGCAGTACACGCCGGCATTAAGACACGACTTTCGTCTAGGAGCCAGTAAAGTAGAGAGGAATGCATATAATGTATCCAACAAGAATTATAACCCGTCATTAGGCCATCAGACACCATTTGCGCATTGCAGAGAAAATTCCGGATTTAATTAGATTTTTAGAGCTATCTTACCATGTGTCCCACTTTTTGGCTCATAGGGCCTCAAGAGGGTGGGACAGTCCCACCCTTTTTGGCTTGCAAGCCCGGCCCATGGGACATGGGACGAGCGAGTGGTCGAAAAAGTTGTATCATTCGGTGGTCCACGTAGTCGTGAAACTAAGCGTGTGCAAATACAGTGCATAGAACCATTCCTCATTAATTGTTGTACATGTGCCTCTTTCATCCAGCCCGTGTCAAATTATACACCGTTCTACGTACTAACTTCACCTGTTTATACCCTGGAAACATCCGTCCTCCACTATGTTGACTGATTGAGGGTCTACCATGCATGGTGTCCGCCGCTTACAAGGATGCTTCATCGCCATGTAAGCCCACTCAACGCATAAGGATGGACAAACGACACTTACTCGCTTCCAGTGCAGAAACTCGAGGCATCAGACGCGAGCCAGGTGGCAACGCCTCTCAGCTCGTTAGGACGTCCAATCCTCTTCAATGGGTTCAGGTCAGACCAAATCTCGAGCTGACCCGGTGTGCGATCGAGGAATGCCTTTGTCATACTATGAAAAATGTGGTGAGCGAGTGTGGTTAGTCAAGCCTGGTTCATCACTTACTTGGTGTAGATATATCCTGGCGAAAGAGAATTGACGCGGATGTTCTTGGGACCAAGTTCGCAGGCGAGACTGCGAGTCATCTGCAGGACGGCAGATTTGCTGGTGTTGTACGGAATCCAGGCGTGATCCTAAGGCGAGTATTGAATCTATGCTTCAGTCATATTGATTTCCTAGAGGAGCAAGCTTACCCTGTTGGTCAGGCTTCCGCTGATAGAGCCTATCGTAATGATACTTCCAGGACGGCCAAAGCGCGACATCTGCCTTCCTGCTGCTTGGGCTGTGTAAAGGACTCCGTTGACGTTAATCCCCATCACCTGTCAATCACGCTCCCAGTCATCAAAAGGACTCGAAAATGTATGCAGCGGATAAACGTACGTCTTGGAACTGAGCAGTCGTTACTTCCAGACATGGAATTGGCGGCCTCAGGACGCCCGCGTTGGCAACACACATATCCACCCTTTGCTCCCTATCGCCAATCTCCTCCACGGCCTTCCACATCGCTTTTTGGTCTCGCACATCAGCCGCCACGTATTCAAGCCGTGACCCATTGCCCAGCTTCTCCACAAAGTCGCGGCACGCCGTCCACTCCTCCGAAGGCGCGGAAGCAATATCAAGACAGTACACGGCCCGAGCGCCGGCCTCGCAGAACGCGAGCGCAATCTCGAGTCCGATGCCCGCGTTCCCACCGGTGACGATCCCAACGCGATCTGTGAGCGCGAACTCATCGAAGATTTTGGAGGTAGGTTTGTAGCTAGGATCTGAGGCGGCTTTCTCCGCCGCTTCGACGCCGAGAGGCGCGATAGGCGAAGCTGAGTCCGAGGGACGTGGGCTGCTCCGCATGATAGGGGTAGTGGAGAGAGGGCGTTGAGATATCAAAGGACGCAGGGTTGCGCCTGTGGGAGGACGTCTAGTTAGGACTCTGGCAGTGACTGCGAGCCTTGCTGAGGACATGGAGATGACAAGGCGTAGGGAAGAGATGAGAGAGTGCAGGAGCAGAGACGGTGGTACTTTATGCGAACACGGGTGGTAACCATAAAAGTTCAATTCACTACGTCACGTCCAGCTGACCTACTCTTCACGAAGAATATTCAATACATGAAAGATCCTAAAGAACATGCGCATGATGCACCGCAGATGGAACACTGACCGCTGTATGTGCGGTCGATGAATTAGAAGAACAATTCAGTTTCGAGAGCTTAACCATAATCAGCAGTCCAGGGTCTCTCTTCGACTGAATAACTTTGCGTTTTGACAAAATCAACGGCAAACTTACCTCGATTAATACTCGTGCATAAGCATCATCTTGAACGCTAACGTAACATGTAAGAAGATGATGGGGGCTGTAAGAACGGTCCGGAACGGTTAGCACCATCACGCGCCCGCGGCGTGTGAGCTGAAGGAAGTCCCAGCGCGCTTCGCGTGGGTAAATCTCCTCAGCCAGCTCTCAACCTTGCAATGAAGAATTCGGCCCATGTTATATTTCCAACATAGATACACCGCGAAACCCCTAGGTAAAACATATTGAACCCAGAAGAAAAAGGATTTCGTTACCATGCATGATGTCCAGCGGTTATAAGAATGCTGAGAATGTCGATCAGAGCCAGGACTCCAGAGAGGGAAAAGCAACGCACTCGCTACCAGTACAGAAGCTCGACGCGTCGGACGCGAGCCATGTTACAAGTCCTCGCAGTTCTCGAGGACTACCAATCCTCCCCATCGGGTTCGACTGCGCCCAGGAGTCGACGAGTTCAGGCTCGTCCACAAGCATCATTGAAGTTAGCCTAACGACTGTGTTGAGAAGGCGTCAACGCGATGGACGGGGGAAGACGTACTTCGTCAGGATGTAGCCAGGAGATATCGAGTTCACGCGGATGTTGTATGGCCCGAGTTCGCAGGCCATGCTTCGGGTCATCTGGAGCACGGCAGACTTGCTTGTGTTATAAGGCAAACCCTCACAACCCTAGTAGACGTCGGAGATATATATCAACATGCAACGTAACGAGCAAGTATTGACGCACCTTATTGACGATGTGTCCACTAATCGACGCAGTCATGATGATGCTGCCAGGTTGGCCGAAGCGCTTCATCTGCCGGCCTGCAGCTTGTGCTGTGAAGAGAGCGCCATTCGTATTGACATCCATTACCTGAGGCAACGAATGAGTGATTGAACGAGAACTGAAACACGTCACGAAGACTCGCCTCCTGGAACTGCTCAGCCGTCCAATCCAGACAATACGTTCCAAACCGCAAGATCCCCGCATTTGCAACGCAGACGTCCATACGTCCCTCCTTATTCGCGATGTCCTCGACCTTGTCCCATATTTCCTGCTGGTTCCTAACGTCGGCCTGGACGTACTCGAGTCTCGACCCATTGTCCATCTTGCGTATATAATCTCGGGAGATTTTCCAGTCCTCTGAGGGTTGGTCTGGAATGTCTATACAATACACGGCGCGAGAGCCCGCTTCGCCAAGCGCGAGAGCGATGTCGAGTCCGATGCCTCGGCTTGCCCCTGTGATCACGCTCACGCGATCCGTGAGGGCGAACTCGTCGAAGATCCGTGGTCTGGGCTTGAATGAGGGATCTGAAGCTGCCTTCGTGGCTGCATCCAGACCGATAGGCTCTGAGGATGGGGTCGGTTTCAGTGAAGGCGCATTGGAGCAAGGGATGGAAAAAGAAAGGGGCCGTATTGCTCTCGCAGATCGATATGGGCGAACCTTCGTAGCAGTACGGAAGAATCTTGTAGCTAGCATCGCGGAATGACGAGGTACAGTGATCAGAACCCATGGCCTTGAAAACGCTTTTATATGTGAAAAAGGGTATGTGTTAGCCAGGGTGCCCCTGGTTCATTATGAACGGTCAGCTGATGCCCGCATGCTCGGGATCAAGGAAGAAAGCTTGCGAGAATCCAGGAGATTCCGCCTTATCAGCAGAGCAGAAGAGCCAATTTAGCTTTATGCCAGTCATAAACGTGTGAGGAAGTGTATGAGGAATGTCGTCGGCCGTTCGTCCCGTTAGTGAATGTACTAGAAGCAAGCGGCGAATCCAGACGCGCATTGGAGGTCACAGGTTGAGCGATAGGGTCCCATAAGGGACTCGTGGTGGTCACGGGTGTGCCGGCAGCTACCTTTGTCCGACAGCCAGGCCAGAGATGTGGCTCTTGTCTCGACACAGGGCTATCGTGCCGCTCATTGAGCGCAGATAACCCAGAGGGTGCCCTGTGCATAACGTTACTATACGGGTGTCAGCAAGGACGTGATACTGTAATGATTAGTCGCAATGCGGACCAGTCGTAGCGGTGCCGAATTGAGAGTGCGGGGGAGGTCCGAGGAAACTTGAAGGAGGAGGAGAAGGAGGATCCGAGACGTCGGAGTTCGGAAACTATCTTTTTTTCCTCAGGGGCTTCCGCCTTTTTCGGGCCGGTAGCCGTAATATCGTCACCTATCCTCTCTTCCTTCGCAGTGTCAAGTTTCAACCCAGGTCTGCTGTTTAATGACAGCCTCAGCAGCCTCTCGTCTTGGACGTGCAGCACCTCAATCAAAGAGCTGGCTTCGACATGTTCTCTATCACGACCGCAAGCTAATCGCGCTCAACAAGCCTTCTGGACTCGTTTGCCAGGGGACTCTGGGCCAGTCATTGGAGAACTCTCCCCAGGACCATGCTTACGTATCTGAACAGGACAATAGGTTCAACACCTTGCTTGACGGTGGGTGGGCCCCTACCGCTGTAGTATTAATACGTATTCATCGAGCTCTGTAGACATGCAACACCGCTTCAATCTCGCTCAACGGCCAAGTAGCGTTCATCGCCTCGACAAGGTGAGTGGTTAACCCTTCACTGGTTGTGAGCTGCTCGATATAGTTAGTTTCCTGACCTGCACGTTCTATCCAGTCGACCACTGGTGTGCTCCTGCTCGCCAAGTCCCCTGCAAGTGCACGCGACCTCTCTACGCAGCTAGCCAAGCGAACCGTGGACAAGACGTACCTTGCACTCGTACGCGGTGGTGCACAGTCTTTTGAAGGGTCTTCTGGGGAGATTAGAAATGCGCTGCAGGCTGACGAGGGCCGTATGTCGATTGGCGACAGCTGTAGTGCACGCTTTGCAGCGACGGATTGGGAGCTTCTAGCTTCTTCGGTGAGCGTTCATTAATTCTTCTGTGAATTTACGGAATCAACTTACTCATACAACTCTCGTGTCCGAACAATGACGACACGTCAACGATACAGCCCATATGCCCCATTTCCCTCGTTCGGCTTCGGTTACATACGGGCGTGAAGCATCAGTTACGTGTTCACCTTGCACACGTCTTACATAGTACGTCTTCCTCGGTTGCTTGCACTGCATCTCGATATTCACGAGTGTCTTTTTGCATAGCCCCCATCCTCGGTGACACGACCTACAGTCGTTCACCCCTCGCACCCGCAATAACGAAGGTCACCCCCGTTCCTCAGGACCGCGTCTTCTTGCATGCATCGCGGATCGCGGTCTCGAAATACCGGAAGCAAGGCAAGCAGAAGCATTTCCGCTTAGACATCGCCGCCCCGCTTCCGCACGACTTTGTCGCCATATGCGAGAAGGCGAAGATTCCCCTAGGCAAGCTTGATATCGCTGGTGGCCTGCTTGTCGATGGCGAGCCCACAGACCAGACCATCGAGGACATCGGTGGCAAATGGCTCGGATGAAGTTCATTTGCTATCATTCATGATCCTCATGTCCACAACGTGCCTTCATTAGAGAAACGCCCTCTTTTTTATAGCTCAATATGCAGGTGCGTTGAGGTGCTTGTCGATCAAAATTGGCTACACCCGAACCCCTCCGAGGGCTCGATTCGACTCCATTTTCAGGCTTATCGTGCTCTACATGCTACATATACTGTACACGGTACTACTAATGTGCTTGTCATATACAATAATATCTGTTTAAATATCCTTAGAAAGAATGAAAGTCCCAATCCGGCCCACCCTTGCCCGCAGGCATGCCCGAATGAAATGCGCCTTTCGTCTAACAGTAAAGTGGTGGTGAAGAAGAAACTGTCTCGGGGAGTGCCCATGACCACACCGTGCCTCGCGGGTGCACTTAGTGACCCGGCTGCGCGGCCTGGCCCTGCTGTTGCTGTTGCTGCTGACCGTTCGTCGCCTCGATGCGACCGTCCTGCTGGGCCTTGAGCATGTTGCCAACCCCGACTGCGATAGCGCCGACAGCCTGTGCGACGCCGGTCGCGAGGACGGTGCCGCCAGCGATGGCAGGAATAGTCGGCAGTGTGCCGGCGGTGATGAGGATAGCGCTGATGGTCGACATAGCGCGCGGGTGCTCGCAGGTGAGGAAGTCGAGAGCGCTGCATGCGTTCAGGAGCCATGTGGGGGCATTTTGGACCTGGGTTACGGCTAGAGGATCGCAGCAAAGTCTGGTCAGTCCGCGGGTTTGACACTTAGACAAGGGGACGTACCATTGCTGTTTTCTGAGACTGTCGCGAGCTCAGTGCTGGTTGGGTCGATTGAGTTCGCCCGAGAGGGCGTTGGGCGGGGCTTGAGTGCGGAGGAGGTCTGGGTAAGGGTCGTAATGAGGGCGGTGTCGGTGTTCGAGCGCGTCGGAGTCCTGCGCTTATCACCCTTCATCGTGGCTAGCCATGATGAAGGGGATGACTTCTCGTGGTGAGGCTGGTTCTCCTTGTCCTCCTTGTCCTCCTTAACATCCTTAGGCGGGACGGGCGGCGCTTCCTTCTCCTTCGAGCCGGACATCTTCCGTGTGATCCAGAAAATGCCCGAAGGTTTCGAGGTGAGCTGGACGGTCTCCGTCGCTTTCGGGTCGATGTCCCCTGAAAGTCAATCATCAGCTACTGGCGGGGATCAGCGGACAAAAGTAAACACTCACAGCCCATGTTCTTCATAGCAACCGAGAACTTCTTCCAACTCCATCGGTACTTGCCGCCGTTGACCTTCGCCATGACATTCTTGATCTCCTGGAAACGCGCCTTGGCCGAAGGGCCCATGAAGCGCTGGGCGACCTTGTGCCAGTACTCCTCGGGGACCTTGCGCTCGACGCTTCCGGCCTTGATAGCTGCGAGCCAGTCGTCGACGGGCATGTCGCGTGAGGGGTCACCACGGAAGATGGGAGGGTTGGTCCATGCTTCGATGACAGGCTCAAGGTCGAATTCCTTGATCTTGAACGCGCCGAGCATGCCGGACATGGTGAAGGTATATGGAGAGAATTCGAGGGTGTTAAGTATGAGATGAGGGGTGCGAGATGGTAGATGCTAGGGGAATGCGAGTAGGATAGACAACGATCGCACGAAGCGCGAAGTCTGGGTGATGGTATGCGTAAACGCGGTTGGTTATTTGGTTGGCTGGTATGAATGATGGACTGACCTTCGTCTTCTTGCTGCGTTTATATACGTACTGAATATCGTTGTTTGAGCGCTGCATCGTGTTCTTGAGAATATGAAAGTAGCCGAGGCCGGAGAGAGTAAAAGATTGGTAAACCTCTCAGTGGAAACACCGCACCAACGCATGCGTTTCCGACCAAGCGTCCTTCATTGAAGGAGTTGCCTGCAACTGCAGATCACAGATCACCGGATCGGAGATCGGAAGAAGCCTCGTGTTCGCGTGTTTGGTTAGGCGAACTCCGGGGAAAGGTGGGACACAGCGGCAACGTGTGCGACGTGCGGCCTCGTGCCGCCATGAAAGCCTGAGTCGCATACATAACCCGCCACCTCGTCGACAAGGGCCCAGGATGATGCGACCCTCTGCAGTGCCTCAGCCTACCGTCATCATGTCGTGTTACACGTCTAGGTCGGCCCGCCATTCTGCCTGGCGGGGAGGCGCTGTAGCCAGCTACATTGGTACCTAGCTGAAGGGGCTGTTCTGTGCCCAGGTCGCATGTACCATGTCACACGAACTTTGATTTTGGACGCACCAGATGACCCCTCGGACCTACGTTGGAAACGTGTGTATGCTGGGTGATTGAACGTGATAAGTTGGAGAAGCGATGGAGGAGAGGCAACCAAATAGTGTACCAGATGACCCGTAGGCGTTAAATGTTATGTTATCACAGTCTGAAGCCCTCCAAACCCGTTCAAAATGGTTTTCTGTGGAAACCGGTTTGTGAGCGGTTCGCGGATATTATGAGAGCATCCCGACGGTTATGTGCTTACCAACGATCTCATTTCACGATGCTGCGGTGTGAATCTCCGTCGCCTGGTCCTTGCCAGACGTTGATGGCATCGTACAAAACGTCACATAATTGAGGCTAAAGGCATGCCTGTGGCTTACCGCGATGCGGACCTGTCTAGAATCGTCATCCGTGGCATAGTGAGAGGTCCGATATTACCCAGTCCCTTGAACCAATGCTTATGCCACATTGCATCGCGACTCGAAAATGCTGCTCGTAGGACAGTTCCGCCGCAGTAGATGGAGTAAAAGAGACCTCATAGGTCATACATGACGTTAGGTGTCGTCGCCGCGAGCGCAACGCAGCGTGGATTAGCATCGAGTGCCAACGCCCTAAATCATGATGAAGTAGCCAATTATCAGGGCACCAACTTTCGAGGGAATACCGGACCAGGGTATGAAGACCAAGCAGGATGCCCTGCAATTGACCCATCCCCTTGGCTCTAAGAACCAGTATCTGGGCTCCAAACTTTGAAAAGCAACGGACGCCCCCGCCGGCGCCACAGTACGGTGGAGTAGGAGTGTGAGGTTTAATGATCTACACGCCCTCCGAATCGACGCCACAGACTTGTGAAGTGGTGCCCATCGAGCGAGCCCCCGGTCCTCAACGCCGAGCATGGATTGTTGAAAGTTGTTATAGGGATCCACCCGAATCGACCGGGGGAGCAGGGGAGCAGGGGCGATGGGCATCTCGGGCGTTTTGAGAAATACGTCAAAAAAAAGGATCAGAGAAACCCGCAGACCTGCTGCATCCCTGCCACAACTCGAGAGAAAGAGGGAGAGTAATGACCTCACTGACTTTGGTGCGATGTGAATTCGAATGGCTCCAGAGAATTACAGAGGCTGAAACTGAGTAAAGTCCGATTCGTCTACTTGGGGAGACAGAACGAGTCAGCAGTGCCCGTGATCAAGGGGATTGTCTGAAGCTCACCGGAGCCCATGGGGGATGTACCGTAAACTCAAACTGCGAGAGTTCCGTCCCGAAGAGACCACGAGGGGTAAAAGCCATGCGAGCAGAGAAGAATGCTTATGAACCTTCCCGGTTAACCGAACGATCCAGATCTGTGATTCTTGAGAGGTGCCTACCCTTCCTTAATCAGCAGCGTGGCGGAACGAGGCTAGCAGCTTGCAAACGAACTCAAAAAGGTCCGTCGGTCGTCTGAGGAAGTCAGAAGACCGAGAATCGCTTTGACTGGCCTGCTCGCACGACCTGAGCGGTAAGTGGTAGTCTATGCCCAGTGAAGCAGCTTACATTTGCAATCTAGTCAAGGCGGGGTGTTGACTGAACGTTTCCACGGCGTTAGGTCCTGACCAAAGATAGCACCGCAGGCTTCATATCTTCGAATGCTGATCCGTTGTGATATCCGCGAAATAGACAGCGCCGAATCTCCTGAGAAGGCGCATTACTTATCTTTGGATAAGTGTAGAACGGAACCAGGACCATCTGACTGCCGACGGCAACGCTAGTTTCAGGAAGAGCGTTAGAATTGACAAGCTTCTCGGTACGTGAAGAATACCGTCGAGCTCATCAAGTCTTTTGAAACACACTTTGCGCGATCCGTGTCTGTAATAAATTCGAGGCAGTAACGGTGTGCGTATGCCTGGTACATCAAAGCCACGGCCGTCGAGACCCGGGCGCACTGCATGGGCAAGAGCCTGCAGTGCACGGAAGACGTGAAAGTTGAGTGTATGCGTGTGTTTCCTGCATGGAGCGCTACCGGAAGGTGAAAGATGAGTATACGCCAGGCATACTCACTCGTTTACAGCGAGATAGAAGAGATGAGGGAACAGAAAAGGTCAGCACGCCACCTCAACGTGAAGACGCGAGCCGTCCGAAGGACGATGCGCGTCTTGCCATAGGTGGCGAAAGGCACACACGCGGAGCGATTGGCACATGGATTTAGTAGGATGTAGGGAAGAAAGCAACGGGATGGCCTGTGGGGGGCGAGTTTGCTCGAATTCAGTGAACGCGCGTACATCGAGGTACGAAGGGAAGCCATGTCGCGTCTCGTTCTCAGACTTTCGCACACTGTTTTGGGCACGAGACATGCCACCAACGTGAAGTACTACTAGCTAGGACTCCCATGAAGTGATCACCCAAGGTTTTCGAAGAAGCTCATCTATATTTGTCAACAGATGAACTACCAGTTACTAGCTCACCCAACAGTGTTGGGGAAGGAGTAGGGGTTAGAACCTTCAGCCGCATCTAAGGTGCGTCGCAGATGACTGCGTCCGCCCTGCCCTTCGTCGAGGGATCTTGCCGGCCAAGGAATACGGTGCCCAGTTGCCTGAGACACCGCCAAAACTTCCCCCGAGAGCAGAAGCGCGTAAGGCGCTCCTGCTCCTACCACTACTCCCTGAGCTGCTACTGACTACGACGCGTGAAAGGGGGAAAAGGATGTTAAGGGCAGACGCTGGTTGACACAAGCCCAGCCAAACGAGTGAGGACTTTCGAATGGAAGGCAAGGCAACAGAACGATGAAAAGAAAAAATGTTGATGCGTCGCATGCCACGAGGGTGGGCTGACTCGACGATCAGACCACCTCAACGTGAGGAAAGCAAAGTGATAACAGAAAAAACATGCCAACAAACCCAAGAGAACAGAAACGCACCCCGTACAGTGGCTGTTAGTGACCACCCAGCCACCCACACAGCCACTGATCCATGAATCTTGACGGTCGAAATGTTGAAGCTTGAGGTCGTCGCGTCGAAGTCTTCTGAGCCTCCGTGTACGCTGGGACCGTGGAGCCCAGTCCGTCACTGCGGACCCGTGGGCCGGCTCGGGAACTGCGGCCACTTCCACAAGTACGCACATCTAAGTCATCGGGCAGTCGGAGGGCGCCCGCGTTGACGGAACGCGCCTCTCAGTCGCCTGGACCGTTGGGGCTCGGGCCATAGCACGCGTGGCAGAGCCGCGGATCCGGAATGCACCAGCGGGCTACTGCCGTGGGGGACATCCGTACGCTCTGCGGGGTGGGTGTGCTTGTCGACCTGCGCCATCGTACCGATTGGGAGTGGGACCTCGTCACGAACATCGGTGAGTCTCAGTGGCCAAGCCCGGGGTCACCGAAAGCGTGCGGCATGAGTACAGGTCGACGTCGATCGGATTTGGGCCGGGGCACGCTCTGCAGCTCGGCGCCCTTCGGTCCAGCAACGGCTGCAGACAGGCGGGCTGAGGCGGCACTATCGACCGGTCGCGCTGCCCTCCGGTAGACTTGTGCAGGTGACGACCCTTGGGGAAGGGCTAGTGTCCTAGACGCGGCGGTCAGTATATAGGCGAATGGGACAGCGACGAAGGCACTCACTAGCTTCCTTCCGTTCAACGGACATCGTTGTTGTCCATATATCTGTCGGCACGTCAGCGACAGAACCCTACTCGACGAGTGGCACCCTACCTTGTAGCGAAACTAGCCATGGCCTGCTAGAGGGGAAGGACGATAATGAGAAGGCTGAGGGAGAGTAGGGAAGGAGGAGGCCCACCGATGAGATGATGAGGGAAGAGAGGAGAGCTTGCTGAGAGACGAGACGAAGAAACCCTCGCCCTTTTATACGCAACTGGCGGCTGGCGGAGTCGAAAATGGTCAAAGTCCTCACCTCAGCTTATGCCAAATTGAGATATGGTCTGACATAGTCCGAGCACGCCTCTTCGCCAAGGTACGCGCGAGCCGAGGGTCGAACAATAGGCGGTTTTATAATTTCACCTTTTCAGGAAATCCATAGCCCGTTGGGCAGTTATCGACGGCAATCGTTGAGAGAGTGGACCCACAAAGTATTATATATGGGTGATCATGCGCTGATACAGCGTTTCAAGTTGACAGCGAAGACGCAAAACGCTGGGGTTCCTGTCAATAAATGTCATGAGACCTGTTCTTCCATGTACGCGTGTCGGTAGGAATGCAAGGGGACAATGGAGGAATGAAGGATCACTGGGCACTGAGGCACGTAGGAATGGGTACTGACCCTTTCGGCTCTCTGGCCCTGACCTTCTTTTCCGTTGAAATTGCCCCATTGAATTTTCGACGGCAGGTGCACCAATAAGATGTTCATCCGTGCAAGGCTGCGGTGGCACCAGTGATCAAAGGAAAGGATCGCCACGGTAAATAAGGTCTGGGTTAAGCCTTGACCACGACCTTTAAACACTTGCTTGCTTCTACATGGTATGTCTCTCGAGATTTTATCCATGGTCCCGTTCAGACTGCCAAGGGGCAGTAGATTTTCGGGCAGTAAGGGTTAATTCAAGATGTGGGAGACAACGTGCGTCGCGACGGCGCGTCCATGACTTGAGTGAGTGGAAAATAATCACGTCAGTTTGTTACTATTTGTTCCCTCTTTTTCCTTTTCCACCTTAAACCCCTGTCGCTGTCCTGCGGGGTGCGAAGAGAGGCTGGTTCCTTCCTCCCTTCCTTTACCTTATGCCAACGCGAAGAGTACACGAACGTTGCAACTTGAATTTATCAACCGGTCCGAATCTTTGTAAAGCACAGAAGTGAAGGATAAACATTGTCATTGTAATCGACCATCATCGATTCAATCCTATTTTTACTATAAAACGAGTGAACGGAATGCGCTCCCCTGACGTTTAGCACCGTTACCCCGGGATCGTTCCGTTGAGCCTGAAGTCCCGACTGCTCGCCCCAACGGAAAAGGTGACCGTGCCGTTTGGCTTCGCCCATCCCTGCCTGACGACGTCCCAAACCGAGAGCTGGTGTCGGCTTAGCGTGATGCTCGCCTGGACCGTCTGCCCGGGCTCGGCCCACACGTCCGTGAAGCCCTTGAGGACCGAAGGCGGCTCGTCGGCCTCGGGTGGGTGGTGGAGATACAGCTGCGCGATCTCGCCGCCGAATCTGGAGCCCGTGTTGGTGATGTTGAAGGTCACCTGGTACGCGGGCATGTGCAGCCTACACGCGGCAGAAAATGTGGTTAAGTACGTCTCGATTGCGAAGATTGCACCTGGAGCTCACCATATTGCAGTTGTCGACCCTACAGCGATAGGACTCGCACCCCCGTTCTCCCAGTTTGTTACCAGAGCCTGGTCGATACCGTCGACGGTGTTGTTCACAGGCGTGATGGCGAGGTCGGAGAACTCGAATGTTGTGTAGCTAAGTCCATAGCCAAACTCGTACCGCGGTGTGATGTTCTTATAATCGAACCAGCGGTAATCAATGTAGAGCCTTGAAATCCGAAAGCGTTAGAAATGCCTATAGCGTATCACTTCCGCAAAGACACACCCTTCGGTATAGTTGATCGCGATATAATCTTGCTCGGTACCTCCCGTCGTGAGGTTCGCAGAATAGTCGTACATGTTCTTTGCAATCGTGTAGGGTAGCTTGCCTGACGGGTTCCAGTTACCGTAAAGGATGTCCATAATCGAGTTTCCGGCTTCTTGTCCACCAAGACCTGCCCAGACAACCTAATCCCGTCTTAGTTAAAGAGACTGGAGGTACGGAAGTGTAAAACACACGGCGGTGACATTGGGATGCTCAATCCAAGGCTCAAGGATGAGCGGACCAACACTGTTGATGACGACAATGGTGTTGTTGTTATTGTCTGCGACAGTCTTGACAAGCTCGTCGCCGCCGTGCCAGGCAGTCAGGTTCTTCCTGCCAGCAAAAACCTTTTAGACAACAACATGTGAGTCAGTGAGCAATCCTCCGTACCTGTCTCCATAGTTGCCGTCAACCTCAATGTACCCTTCTCCGGAGTCGGAGTTGATGAATACAAGCGCAACTTCCATGTCTATGACACGATTGCCAGCCTGCCACAAGTCCCAGTTGTCAAAGTCCCAAAAGACGCTCGTCTGGTCTTCGCGGGCGCGTGCTTGAATCACTTCATATGGCTAGGGAGGCGGCTCAGCATCTGGTCAAGGGAAAATCCTTACGAAGAACATACCGAGACAAGATAAGTGAAGTTATCAGTCCTGTATGACACTGATCAGCAAAAATCCCTTTTCTCATTGTCCAAGCCTAGCGTACCCAGATCCCCAGCCCATAGCCAGAATCCCAGACGGATCTCCTCCCTGATCCGTATACTGGTTCGGCCCCTCCTCCGGCGGCGCCGCATCGCTTCCCACCATCACCAGCGTGCGCGGTTTATCCAGCGGCAGCGCACCGTTCTCGTTCTTGAGCAGCACCGTGCCGGCAGCGCCAATCGTGCGCACGACGGTGCTGTGGTTCGCCTGCACGTTGATGTGCAGGTTCGTCGCGGGGTCGTACGGGTCGCGCACGTTGAACGACACGGGCGGGTAGCCCTCGTCCTGGTGCATGAAGTACCACGATGCGATGACGCGCTCGGCCATGTCGTCGAGACGCGCCGCGGAGATTGTGTCGTTGAGCACGAAGGCGGTTAGGTTGGCGCCGAAGTAGGAGTTTGGGCCTGTGCCCGGGGGAAGAGGGCCGGGTTGGGAGTTCTGTGCGTTACGTGAGTTGCGTGAGTTAGTGTTAGTGGGGACTTTGAACACGTAGAAGGCTTACATCGAGACCGTTGATAGCACCGAGCGTGTCCATTGTTGCCTCATAGTCGGACTGGATCCCTGAAATGCAGTGTAAGTAAACGTCGCTAACACATGAATGTGGCACGCACATCCTTGATAACCAAACTCGCGCTTCAGGATGTCGTTCATTGTCTTGTTGTTGTTGCATGCATACGTGCCGTTGATCATGTCTAGACAAAGAGCTCAGCATATAGCATGCCAAGTGAGATTAGCGGGTTCTTAAGCTTACTGTAGCTGCACATGACAGATGTAACACCAGCCATAACCGAACGCATGAACGGATGCGTGTAGATCTCGTGCTGAGTTCTATCGTCCACGTTTGACGTGTACATGTCGCGTTTCCACTCCTGATCGCTGCAACCCCTAGTAAACACCACAAACTTCACTACGAGAAAATACTTTGGCCACTTACTTATCCACAAAGTGCTTCGCAGTCGCTTGCACGCCTCCCTGTTGCATGCCCAGCACTGTCTCGTACGCAGCCTCGCCGGCCAAAAAAGGATCTGCGCCGAAACCTTCCCAGTTGCGACCACCTTGAGGGACGCGACCCATGTTCATCATGGGGCCGAGGGCGATGTTGACACCTTTTCCCTTGAACTCTTCGCCCATAAATAGGCCGCGGGTACGCATCAGCTGACGGTTCCATCTAGTACAGAGCGAGTATCAGCGACCACTCGAAAGCTGAAGTTGATACAGAAAGATACGCACGTTGATGCTGTGGTGATTCCAGCCGGGAAGGCCGTCACAAAGTCGTTGTATCGAACACCGGTAGGCGAGTCCTGCGCACCATGTTAGTATCGTTATGGTACCAAGCACGGCAAGGATGAGAGAGCCTACCTGAAGACAAAGCCCCGGAAAGTTTCCGACAGCCAACACGTTGCCGACGCATCGACCGACGTAGCCCGTGGTGATATTCACCTTGTCCCATATCGTAAAGTTCGAGATCTATCGCCTCTACTTCAGCTACAGCACAAAACCTCACGCACTACCCTCAAACTCACCATCTGCCTCGCCTTCTCATGCGCAACCGCCCACGCCGGTCCGAAATCCGGAACGACCGTCGGGTCCTGGCTCGCCGGCGGTGGGCTGAGCGGGTCGAACGCGGGATACACGGGTGGCTCAGCCGGCGTCGATGGCGTCGGGAACGCGCCGAAGGAGTAGTGTGAGATCGGCTCGGTGAGCGGGCCGGTGATCGTCGCGAGGTATGTCGTCGGTGAGGAGAAAGTCGTCCCATCGCTCACTTGGATGCCAGATGGGAGCGTGGTCGGTGCGCTTGTTGTGCCAGTAGCAACACTCGCGGACGAAACGGAGGAAGAAGCAGTAGATGTTGCGGTTGCGGAGGACGCGGCGCTCGAGGTCTGACCTGCCGCGAGGGGCAGGAGGAGAAGGAGCGAAGACAGCCGCAGGAGAGCCATGGCGGGCTACACGACTCTTGAGGTCCTTCGATGGAGGGGAACCATGGCAAGGCTAACATCGCGTTATAACGGCGGCGACGCGGAGCCTCACTTCGTCCCGTGTTCCGCATGAGAAGCTGAAATGTATCACAACGTGACTACGCGTTCTCGCAATGAACAAGGTTATTACCTGGCAGAATAGACTCCCCAGCTCCTTCTGCCTCGCGCGTCGTCACCTGCGCTCAAGTTAAATGCGTGACCTACAGAGGGAAGAATATGAGTGGTCGATTTTCTGGGAGACCATGAGGCCGGGAGAAGTTCGGGACGTTGAGAGCTATTGATCCTTGTAAAATAAGTTCTGATTGAAGCAGAAGCACCAGTGAGAGGCTTTGGAGATGTCGAAAGCCGAAGAAAGGTCCGAGGGTGGTGCAAGAAGATAATTATGGGTCATGACGCTTTTCTTCCCTGGTTGTGATGGGAGTGTGAGATGATGTACCTTCTTTATTAGACAATTTTGACATAAGTATAAGGGTATTCGCAAACTGTATGACAAGATCAGCTTCAGTCATGAACGTACGAGTGAAAGAGGCTGGGACAGCACGAGTCCCAGGCGCGTCGAAGCCCCTGGGATTGGTCGACCGTCTTCTCAGAATTGGTCCCTTGCACACCTGTTCACTGCCCTTTCAGTCAGAAAAAGAAGAAAAGACATCAGTCGCCTGGCCCTTCGAATTCCTGTAGGCCTGGCCGTCCGATAGCCCTCTAGATTATGCCTCGATAGTCACACCCTCCTTCAGGATGCGTAGAAACAAAGACGACCCACTCCATCACCGGCCTCATTAAACATCCGTCGCAACGTCGTAGAACGTCGTACACGGCTGGCCTTTGAGGGCAACCTTGGATGGTCCCAGGCGGTGTTGTCACGAGGACGTCCACAGGCACGGCTGAGGACAAAATCGGGCGGATGTCTTGAGCGAGTGGGGCGGCTTCGTTAGCTCAGACCGATCCAGGGATAGCCTTGGGGCATCAACGCCCGGCCTCAATGGCGCGCGTTCACTCACTCAGGGGCTTCGTCCATATCCGTACATGTTGTGTTCATATGTCATACAATCGTAAATCGTTTTATATTCCCTTGTCCGGTGAGGTACAGACATACAGACAGGACGAAAAGACAAATTATTACAGTAAAATATTCCCTCAAACCCGCTAGAAGCGATACTGGAGAGGGTTGGGCTGCGACGGGCCTGCTTGGGAACTAGCGGCGGCTGAGCCTGAGCCTGCGACGCCTGGCAATATGGGTGCCGGCCTTCCAACGCCTGGCGCTGCGGCAGAGGACGTGTTCCACACCGTGCGTTGGGAGGGAGGGGCGGTGGTGGGAACAGAAGGAATGTATCGCGGGACGGGATAGCTCTCGGGAAGGGAAAATGAACAAACACCGTATCTGGCTGCATCCTCTGCGAATAAGTCACTATAAAACCTGTAAACGTCGTGAGTGTCTATTGCGATAGAAAAAGACGGTGTTGACTCACTGCCTCCATTCGGTGTTCTTTACATCCCGGCCGTTTTTCTGGACCGCATCCGCAAGCCGCTGTTCCATGTATGGCCAAAAGGCCTGGTCCTTGGGAACACGGCCTGGTGGCGCCGAGCTACGGCGAAGCTCATCGGACGGTTGTTGTTGACTAGCGTTCGTGACGTTGGAGATGTTGCTGCTATTGTCGTTGTTGCGGGCGCTGTCCTCTTCGTTTTCGCCGCCGCTGTTCTTCGGTTTGGTCTCGTACTTGTGATCCTTGGCATAACGTCGCTGCCCGCATTATAACACATCAATAATTAGTATACATGCGCAAGGGGGAGACTGACCAGCAATAGAACTTGAAGGTAATGTTCGATAGACAAGCCGGTTGCCCCGTTTTTCTTGAACGCTGCCATAATTTCGTGGGTGTGATCGTCGAGCTTGAGAGCTTTCCCTTTCAGTGGGAACACGCCGCCAAGGATCTATCGCACGCGAGTCAGACAACGCGCGGAAAGGTGTTCACAAACATACCTTATCTTTCAAGACATTGCGAGCCTTTCCGCACGCTTCCTTACAAAACCTCTTCAGCACATCCTCCCGGATCTTGTCGCCGAAAACTTTAGAGAGCCCGAAAGAGTCGGCGTCCTTCTTGAGATGTTCCTGAGAGAACTACATCAGCAACGCTGTCCCCACTGTCCAGTATGTAAGTAGTTACCTGTACGCCGATTTGAAGTGCTTCGCCGAACTTAGTGCGCCCTGGGTTGACGATCGTGTCCCGGATATGGCGGCGAACCTGGGTCTGCGATGGGAAATGAGTAGTCAAATTAACAACCAGAGGAAAGACGACGTACTTTCTGAGGGTCGGATAAGTCCCAAGTATCCTCCATCTGCCCTAGAAGTTTCTCGATTGCGGGGGCCATGCGCCGGGTCTCCTCACATGCAGCACGAGTCTCGTTTTGCGTCTCGTATTGGCAGGCAGTCATCCATACGAACATCTGAACGATGGGGACAGCCTGAGAGTCAGCGAGCTGGAAAGGGAATGATCAGTGCCAGTCGATACCAAGCTGATGGCATGAAAATACAGCACCTCAACAAGGCCAACCAAGTCCTCACGCTGAAGAGGGTCGAGGGCCTTCTTGTTAGCGACGGACTCCGCCCAGTTCCTCATCTCGTTAACTCTATCGAGCACCCGGGGCACAAGAGGAGGCCCCGGCATAGTTCCGTAAACCAGTCGTTCTCCGTCTGGGCGCTCGTTGCCTTCACAGCGAGCAGCTGGCTGATGGAGAGGGTGGGGGATTGTCAGCTCGTCATTGATGTCGGCAGCCCACCTGTTGACTCCCGCCGGAGGTGCGATGGTGTCGCTACGAAGGTGGTTTTCAATCTGGTTAAAGAAATCGGGATCCGCAGGAAGGTCCGACTCGCTTCCCTCGGGGGCAGTCCACGACATCTCGGACGCCCCTGATGGCATTCGGCGCAAGGGAGGATCACGAGGAATGGGTGATGGGGAACCAGTGTATAGTGGGCTTGAATGTAGTGAAGATGGCATGGAATCTGAGTTTGAGTGCGTGCCGGAATGGGAGTGGCGTGATGAATGGTCTGAGTATGTCGGAATGGGGAGGTGAGGAGTGCGGCCACGGTGATCATCCGAGTGGGAGGCCATCGTGAAGTTGTTGTGAGCGCTGGAAAAGCGAGGAAAACGGGTGATGCTCACCTTTTAGCAGATTTTGAGCACTGTCGAGCTTGCTTGGGCCACATGGCTGCAAAGGCAACGAGGGTCAGAAACAGGTTACGCGTGATAACAAATAAACCCACATGTTTTAAGACATTGCAGCGACAATGTTCAGGCGCGATCGAGGGACTGGCTGCGGGTGGATTTGAGGGGTTGGTGCTACTGCATTCTGGGTCCTCGGCACGCTCGGCTGTTGCGAGTGAAACTCATCTATTGCTCCTGCCAAGATTGCCTGCTCAGCATCAAGAGGGGCTGGGGCAATGCGATGGCGTTGGACATGCCCAGCATCGCGCATCTGACAGGTGTTCAGAATGAAGTTAGTGTCATCTCGGTGCACCATAACTCGTCGAGTCCGAGTAGTCAGTTCGCGTTCTTCGCGGATCCTCTCAGTCCCGGAGTCTGCACAACCAGCATGGGCGCAATTGTGCTGGACGTTGACGAGGCACAAAATATTCTGTCAGACAAAATAAGAAATGTAAAATTTGAAATGCAGATTAGGAAATTGGCGCACAGTGGCATGAACCAAGCGCCATGCCCGGGCAGTAATGGCGGGGAGTTTGTATGGCTGCGCGATACCACAAGCCACGAATTCTTCAAGGAGCACGTAGCTGGCCACTCCATCAAGTGCGGAGGAAGTGTTGCAGACTTGGAGGATCTCAACGAGGCGTCCAATAATGGGCTGCGCCTCCATGCAAGTGTCAGCGCAGAGGATGAAAGCAGAAATAGGGCACGTATCGCCATTTCGGGCCTGTATGCTTCGGCATGTTTGCACCTTGAATCCTGCGAGAGCGTTGAGTACCCCAGGTAACTTGTTGTGTGCCAACGTCTGGGTGGGGAACTGGGGTTGCGATCCATCCGTGGGTGCCAGGCCTAGAGGACAGTTATAGCGCATTTGAATACAATGATGAAATCAGTTTTACGCACCTGGTATAGGGGTCTTATCGACTGCCCACAGATGAAACGCGTCTATGATGGCGTTCTTAACTGGCCCAGCTGAGGCTGAGGATGTCAGTGCAAGAACCCGGCGCCCTGCATGATGCCAAGCGTTGGGGTTATCATCAAAGGGGCGTGGGCGTTCATTGGATTCGGCGTCCTTCGGGGGGTGTTCCATGAAAAGGCCACCTGCAAGCACATGTCGGATAAGACTGCAGCGCGAGAAACCTTCACCAATGTCTCGTGATGGGGCCAGTCTGTTTGTGTGGACACTGAAATCACGAATGATGGCATTGAAAGATTCGAAGCCCTCAGTGGCGAAAAGAATGGCAGGCCCAAAACGTCGAATGTGATCAAGGAGGTGGCGAATTAAGTGAAACTTGGGCTTGTTGAACCATCTGGGTGTCCAACGAGCCGTACAGAGCAGGAAATAGTCAACCGCTGCCTGTAGCTGAGGCTGCATGCGGATTGAGTGTCACAAAGATCCATGAGAGTGTATCAGGACTTACAAAATACGTGTCGACATTTTCGATAACCGGCTGCCAAATGAGTGGCACAAGCATCGAGAGTGCCACGAAGGCGTCATAGCATCGGTGAGGCACCAATTGTAGAAGCACGAAAGGCGCAACTTGAGCGATGATCCGAAAGTCGCGACCAGTCAACGATCCCGCGTACTTCACTAATGTTGTCCCAGCTAACCGAGGGCATCCAAGCCCAGAAGTATCCATGCAGTTGAGCCGTGTGATGACGAGCTCCTTCTGAGGATCGCTCAGACGATTAACTGCATCGCGCCATAGATACTTGACAAACCCCAACAGTACAACATGCAGGATTTCGATTGGCGTATCGTGGTGAGGATCAAGCCCTGCGTGGATTTGAGTTCATGCTGGTGAGAAGTGTGGGACGCAAACTTACCTTTCACACGCCAAACTGGGCTCATGTATGAGCGCAGAATGGCGTCTTCATCGAGGCCTCGTGTGAGGGCATCTGCTTCTTGACGCTGACGACCGGTAGGAAGCGAGAACACGCGCCCAACAAAATGCTCGATAAACCCATCCTTGAGCCCTGTCCTGGTTTTGGCGGAGGAGTAGTGGGATTTGATCCCACCGGCCTGGGCATCCATGAACATGCTATGGAGCCTGCTGACACTGTCAGAGCGTGTTCGAGGCGGGTTGCTCTGCAAAGGTCAACCCTGAGGGATGGCAAGGATAAATGATGGTGAGACTCACCCCAAGGAATCGATGCGCCCGGTCCACCAACCCTTGAAGAGTCTCTTTGACCACCTTCCGCGTGCGACGCTTTGGTGTATCACTTGCATCGCCATCGGATCCAGGCGTAGCAGCACGTGAGGTGGGAGGGGATTGATTACCACTCGGCGATCCCGGTTGATTTTGATGCGGAGCGGCACCCTCGCGATGATCATCAGCTGTGTCGCGACCTTTGACCCAGCAGTTTCTGCAGAAATACTTGCCCTTCATACCAATGTGGCATGCGAGTTCACTCTGCATGGGGTTATTGCCGAGAAGGGCCAACACTGCGGGAATGATGAGCACCATCTCCTGGGCGCTCACATCCCACGCCCATATGCCGTTGGTCTGCGCATTCCTGTATTTGAGGTTAGTGTAATCAAATGAAATGAACCAGTACACTTACTCAAGCTGATCCACAATGCCATCGAGCATCTCAAGGGGCGGCGCAACATTTGAGGTACACAGGAAGTGGATGTTGGATTCTTGGTGCACCATGGATCGAGGTAAGCCAGCGGACGTGAATAAAAACGAATTATGTTTGTTCCATTTCTTGGAAACGTTACCCGAGGTATCATCACAGTATAACCACATCATGAAGTTGACGACGCGATGGCCTTTAGCCCGGGCTCTCCATGCATTACCCTCGCTTGGGTTTGTTAGCGTCCATGGGCCGAAGCGCCTATTGGCATCAATAACCCCTGAGCAACAACTAAGTTTGTAGCGAGCGATTGGACAGCAAAAAGGACTTGAAGGCTCACCGAGAATAACCGTGGGATCCGGCAACCCATCGCGTCCATATGTTTCTTTGAACAGAGGGAATGAAGTGAGAAGCTGGCTGGCGGGTATCTCGTAGGCGGCATACTGATGCACTGTATACCCTGCCTGACCCGTGGGATGAGAGGTGACAGTCGTGGGCCACACGCGTGCATAGAAGCCGTCAGTCCCATCAGGTGCTTTGCGAGTATACCAGCGCTCGGGGAGGACCACTTGTCCGTTGACCAGTTTGGTGGGTTCGAAAACATAGAAATCCTGCCGGCCCATCCGGATCATGGGTGTACAGAGTTCAGGGTCGATGTCGCGAAGCCATCGCTGCCCTTGCCATGCCTCGCTGAGACGAGGGCCGGAGTCTTCGGGGTAATGGTGTATGTGTGGGCGGATGAGAGGGTTTGACATTTCCTACGGGTGTGATATGTTATGTGAGATAAGGATAAAGCGTCATCCAACTCGCACCTGGGCTATCAATGACGCCAATTCGTTGATGTAATACACATGTCCAAGGCGCCCTTGGTATCGTGTGGTGGGTACACCGTAGTGGGAGTGAATTGCTGTTCCAGTGTCCTTGACAACCTTGACGGAGGGGAGATCATCGACTTGTAGAATGGCCATGGCCCAGATGATAGTGGCCATTTGTTTGTCGGAGAAAAGGGAACGAGGGAGGTGACGCAAGATATCCAAAATGCAAGTCTAGCAGACGGGCGTCATCTATCAGGAAACGTAGAAATGGTGAATGTACTACATACCTCCCTGTCGTGCCATGGGTACCAGTCACTGTCGCCCTCTGTACCTGCACGTCGTCGGCGACGTTGTGCCCCTTCATCCGGTCCATTAACGTCTTCAAGTAATCATATAGAACATATACATGAGTAAGGACACTTGAGAAAATGTGCACAAACTCACCGGCATCCGTATCGCCTACTTCCAGTCCTATCCCATCGTTGTCCTCGTGTTCGAGCCCCTGAGACGTCTCGGAGTCAGTCGACGTTGTCTCCAGCCATTCTAGAAATGCCTCTTGAAGGCCACCGTGCTCGAGCGGCTCCACATCGATTAAGGGCGCTGGATCAACACTTTCCTCGTCATCATTGAACCAAGGAGGTGGCATGGGCATCAGAGGAGGTGGAGGAGGGGCTGGAGGGGCTGGAGGGGCTGGAGGTGCCGCTGCAGCTGCTGTGACAGAACGCGGCCAAGACTGGTTCGCATTTCTCAGCGTCTCAGCCAAGGGACCGAGGACACGGGGTAAGGCTGGTGGTGGTGGGAGGTGGCGCTGTTCTTCATAATATTCAACGCGTTCAGCATGACTGATGCCAGTGTCGTGCCGAAGGGCCTTGTAGAGGGGCCACCATGACGTGTCGCATGCCGTGCAGCGCCATTTACCATAGTTGCCACCCTGTCCGGGCTGCCAGTCTGCAAACAAATTTTGGTCAGACGATGGGGCTGCAAGAGACTGATGCCTTACAGTGGGGGTTCCGGAAACCCAGTTCCCGGATCTCGTCGCTGGATTCCATGGACGTTGTCGGCTTTTGTCGGGACAGGGCAAGGAACTGGAGGGAAGGGGAGAGATGTTCAACTCTGCGGGCTGGTGTTGCAGATGAGAGAGACTTGCGTGGGCTGAATTCAACGATTCAACAAAGACTTGCGTTGGAGGCAGGTCTAAACATGGTCTATTCCGACGCGTTGGCCCCAGGACATCCATGATATTCGGTCACATGCAAACAGGCTTGACGCGTCGTGTACTCGACGCATTCCTCGACGCATTGAATCAACATTGAATAGTACTTTGCGAATAATGTAATAGTGATGGTACAGTTATGCTAATACATCGTGATCTACTCAATGCTTCTCAAAAATAGCAAGAAAATCCTTGACTTCAGTGGGCAGCGACTGTGAGTACTGAGTCTGAGTTTCTTCCAAGCCTGAGGGATTATTCTGCGGGGAACTGACAACCAGACCGCCTGCATCAGAGGCTTGACTCTCCTGTGAGTACTGAGTCTGAGTTTCCTCCAAGCCCGAGGGATTATTCTGCGGGAAACTGGCGACCAGACCGCCTGCGTCAGAGGCTTGACTCTGGGATGGATCCACTGCAGTCGACACGGGGATTTGGCGGGTCTTCTTGTTGTTACGTCTCTGTAAGAGTTGAATATGAGTAATAAAATCTATGGATACCATGAAAAAAGCACGCACCAGGGGAATCCTCCATATGTAAGACTCCAGTGGTTCCTCACGCTCCGGCTCTGAAGAGCTTTCTTCATCCTGAAATGTGAACAACAAGTTAGCATGCAAGGCAAGTGTGTATAATGAGATCACGCACGCCCCACTCAAAGCGGTCCTCCATGACCACTGCCTGCTCCTCGGCAGTTAGGCCTTGATAGACACCCATCTCCAGGTTGGGATCCCACCGGAGTTTATCGGCAGTCTTGCGGATGCATGTGGACCTGGGGTCGGTTTTGAGCTGTGGTATGTCGGGTGAAACCGAGTCGAAGCGTCGAAACTTGATGGCCCCAAGAGCTGAACACATAGTGGGGGGAATGGTGGCGACAATGGCAAAGCTGAGAGTCGCAAGGGCGCTGCAAAACCATTTGAAGGTTCGTGCAGGCCGCCAGATAGATTCTGGACATCCTGCGGGTGAGTACTATGTTGGGGCATATCTCAGGGATGTCCCTAGGACATCCGCGCGACGGTTACAACTGGGTCATGTATTCAAGGACATCCCTGTCACAATAACACAGCTTTTGGTCCAATGGCTATCCGAATTAGGCCTATATGCATCCGGCGAGATTCCTACTCGAATTCAAACCCGCGTTCCTACTGTGGACATCCCGAGCGTCTGGCCGTGTAGCATCCAAGCCTCGTCTCCGTGTACAACCTTGGCGCCATGTCTCTGAGTGCAGCCTACACCTTCCTTCGCCAGGCCTGGCCCCCCGCCCCAAGCTGGAGTACGGATCAGATTCCCGACATGTCTGGCAAAGTCGTCCTCATCACCGGTGCGAATGCTGGTCTCGGTAAGGAGACCGCTCGGGTGAGCCTATCATCATACGTTCCCCTCCATATCCTCGCTGATGCGTCTGTCCGTTTTCCCTTAGGTTCTGCTGGAGAAGAACGCGAAGGTGTACGTAGCAGCGCGAAACGCAGACAAGGCCCAGCAGGCTCTGCAAGAGCTCAAAGAACAGACCGGACGCGAGGCGCACCTCCTCATGCTGGATCTGGCGAATTTGGGGATGATAAAGGTTGCTGCTGAAGAGTTCATGAGGTTCGTGTCCCCCTCGGTGTCGTACTGGTAGGCGGCTGATGGTCTGGTCGATAGCAAGGAAACAGAGTTGCACGTACTATTCAACAACGCAGGACTCATGGCCCCGCCAATCGACATGGTGACCGATGACGGGTACGATATGCAGTGGGGTGTTCATGTACTCGGTGCGTGGTTTCGTTATTACTGTTCGCGTTTCCCTCACCTCGCCTGGTGCCCTAGGTCACTTCTACTTCACCCAGCTCCTATTGCCCATTCTGAGCTCGACCGCGAAAGATAAGCCGAAGGGCACCGTGCGCGTCGTGAACTCGTCCTCGGTTGCGCACCTTTTTGGCAAGTTCAACTTTGATACATTCAAAGATGGTCCCGTTCGACGCAAGATCCGTCCTGAAGAGCTATACGCCCAGAGCAAGATGGTACGTACTTTACCGACTACTCATCATCGTGCCCGGGACGTAAAACGGAACGTGCGCAGGGAAACGTCGTCTACGCAGCGGAGTTCAGCAGGAGGTATCGGGAGACGGGCATTGTCACCACGGCTATCCACCCGGGGATTATCAAGTCTGAAATAAATCGGCACACGCCTGCACTCGTCACGCGAATCCAGGTATGTGCTACGTGCTTACGGCTTCACCATTTCTCGTACCCTGTTCGAGTACACTAACGCGGATTTTCTCTTCGTTTTTAGGACGCCCTTATCACGAAAGATGTCAAACTCGGTGCGTTCACGCAGTTATACGCGGGGGCAGCACCTGAGACTGCAGACCTCGACGGGCAGGTAAGCACTCTTTTGTCATCCCGAAAGCTCGAATAGCGGAACGGCAGTCTGATGATAGTTGCCACGCAGTATCTGATTCCTTTTGCGCGGGTGGGAAAGCCTGCGCCGTACTCGCAGGATCCCGAGCTGGGGCAGAAACTGTGGAGCTGGCTCGAGGACCAGGTGAAGGACATATGACCTAGTAGATTTTCTGATAATCTGTTTGTTCTACTATGATAAGCGTTATGCGTCTGGGTACGGTTCTAACTGGATGTTGTGGGTTTTGGCTTGGTGTATCAGACATGTCAAGACTTCAGACGGCAAGAGCCAGGAGCAAAAATTCCCCCAAACTTTAGATGTACGGTTTACGATGTGATTTGTTCTTTCTGCCTCTGGTGGCGGGAGGTGTCAGATAGAGCAATAAACTACAAACACAATTAAAAGTGGGAAATAAAACATAGATTTTTCGACGCGAAGCCAGCAGTAGTCACGCACAAAAGCCCCTGACGAACAGCTTGTGCTTGCGCGCTTGTTCACAGCTCTTTGACAGGCGGTGCTTTATGGTCATTCTTGTTCCCTCTCCACCATGCTGCATCCTGTGTTCACACCTTTCACTCTCTCCGCCTCCTTCCTCATACAAAGCCAGCGCTCTGAGTCATAGACGTCCCTGAATCACCCCCAACTTGAATGCAGCAAGGCCATGGCACTCGCGGTCTGCGTCTTCTGAGTCTGGGTGTGTTTCCCCCTACAGTACATTTGTGCCTCCACTCGCTCATCTGTAAGCTGCATTCCGTAGATGGAGGCGGCATACGCGGGCTCTCGGAGCTCGTCATCCTCAAAGAGCTCCTCGCGCGCATCCAAGCTGTCGAGAACCTCCCGGAGATGCCGCTCCCCTGCGAGTACTTTGATATGATCGCCGGGACGAGCACAGGCGGGTGCGTCGCATCCTTTTCCCTCGCTTCTTCGGTCCGAACGCAGCTCATTCGAGTACCTGATGGTGGTCGTGCAGGCTGATAGCGATCATGCTCGGGCGCCTGCGCATGTCCGTGCAGGAGGCGATCGACTGCTATGGTATGCTCTCGGAGCGGGTGTTTGGGAAGGGCAAGAAGCGCTTCGGGGACGGGAAGTACAAGGCGTCGGCGCTGGAGAGTGTTATTAAGGATGTGGTCGGGAAGCGCACGGGGCACGCGGACGAACGAATGATGGATATGAGCGAGGGAGCGTGTAAAGTGTGCGTCTTCACTTCCCTCCCTCCTCACTCTCCTAGGCTCTAGTCTGACCTAGAGCCATCTTTTGTTGGACATACGTGCATGATGCAGGTTCGTGACAGCGCGCACGGCCTCGAACCTCAACGCGAACCTGCCCGCGCTCTTCCGGACGTATCGCGCACCGCGCAACGCCTCGCCCAACTGCACGATCTGGGAAGCCGCACGCGCGACGTCGGCCGCGCCGACATTCTTCAAGCCCATCCGCATCGCGGACGGCCCGGGTGTCTCGCAGACGTACATCGACGGCGGCTTCGGGATCAACAACCCCTGCGCGGTCATGCTCACCGAGGCGCAATCTATATTCGCCGACGCCTCCTCGAGCGGGCGTGGGGGAAGGGGAGGGGGCGGGGGTTTCCCGGGGATCGCGTGCGTCGTGAGCATCGGCACGGGCGCGCCGCACGTCCTTAGGATTCCGCCTGCGGGGCAGTCGGGGCGGATTGGGATCCCGGTCGGGACGCTCAAGGCGCTCGCGAGTCTAGCGACGGACTGCGAAGCCGTTGCGCAGGAGATGACTGCGCGGTTTGCGGATGCGCCGGGCGTGTACTTTCGGTTTAATGTCGAGCAGGGGATGCATGATGTTAAGATGGCGGAGTGGGAGAAGCTGGAGGATGTGAGTGTGCATACGAGTACGTATGTCAAGACGATGAAGTGCGGGGAGAGTATGGATGAGGTGGTGAGGACGTTGAGGTTTGGCTAATGGCTACGAGGTGTTCCTCAGGGTCGATACAGTTGTAGTGCTACATGGATTCGCTTGTATACCCTGTTTAAATATGCTGCATATCTTACAATGAGAGTGGAACATCTTCCCGCTTGTTGAGCAGTCGACCTTCCATGCCACCTTCGACCATAAGGACCTGGCCAGAGACGTGCCCCGACACCGCATTCGACGAGAGCATCGCGACCTGCGTTGTGATGTCCGCTGGCTCTGCAACCTTCTTGAGAGGAGTTCTGAGGCCCAAATCGCAGCGCGTGAGCATAGGAAAGGTAAGAAGAGACGGATGAGAGAGGGACGCACGTGGCGAGGGCGGCGTAGACCACATCTGGGTCCTTGAGCGACTCGGCCGCCATGGGCGTCTTGACCCAGCCTGGGGCGACGCAGTTGACACGCCCACGTGGGGCGATTCTGACGATCTCGTTCTTGAGAGACATCGTCAGGCCGTACATCATGCCTAAAGGCACGCATGGCGTGCGGCATTAGTATTGAATGCGAGCCGGCCTTCAAAACGAAGTGGAAACGCACCGCTCTTCGTCACAGCATAATCCGCATTCCCGGCCTCGCCATACTTGCCCGCTGTACTCCCGATCAGCACGATTGCCGCCTTGCCCTTCTTGTCCTCTGATAGCGCCCGTAGGACCCTGAGGTACTCGCGGCAGACGAGGAAGCTTGAGGTGAGGTTCTTGCTGATGACGCTCTCCCATTGGGAGAGCTCCATGTCCGCGACGGCGATGTACGAGATGGTGCTCACGGCGTGGTTGACGACGATGATCTGTGGTGAGCCGAAGGGCGATGCGTGCATCGCCGCGAAGAGGCTCTGGACCGCGGACTCGGAGGCAAGGTCGGCTTGTAGGGCTTGGAATTGCGTGGGGCCTGCAAGCGCGGAGAGGGTGCTCGCGTTCGTGTTGTAGTGCGCGGTTACATGGGCACCTAGGGCTGGGTTGTGCGTCAGAGGAGGTGAACGAGGGGAGGATCAACAAGAGACATGCAGAGGTATGTTTTTACTGTTTCAAGGCCGATTCCTCCGCTTGCACCTGGGGTAATCTCCGAGTCAGATCCAGCACAGCGAAGTTGCTTTGGCGTGCACTTCGGACTGACTCACCTGTGACAAGAACGTGTACACCTTGGAGCTTGAGGTCCATGTTTATTTGTTGGCCTGATCTGGTTCAGTAAGGAGTTGGTGGGGACGCTGTGTTCTGTGCGAAAGGCAGAAATAGCCCCTGTCGACTATCCGGGGCACCGGACCCGAGTGCCGCCACCAAGTTGTTTACCCCTGATTGGCATATCCAATTGATTTTCTTGGACGCGACCAGACGCGCTCCGGAGTCAAGCGCGCCAATTACAGCACCTAGAGACCACAGCACCACTACAGCATCTCGCCTTGTTCTTTCACCACCACCACCAATCTACCACTCGAACCATGGGCGACCCTCCTGCCCCTTCTCAGCGCGCATCGCGTCTCCTCGCTGCACTCGACGGCGCGTTACAACCACCACCTCCTCTGACACAAGCCGCAGACCCCTTCAGGAACACATTTGCTCCTCCTGCGCCTCAGAATGCCTTTGACCTGCTCAATGGCAACGGCCCCCCTAGAAGAGAGCGTGGATACATTGCAGGCATTCGCGAAGGACGGGACGAGAGCGCGCACAACCGCATGATCCTCGACGCGACCGCCCTGCTCGGCTCGGGCGCGTCGCTCACCAACAGGCCGACTGCGACGAGTACGTCATTTGTTTCCACCCTCGTCTAACCGACACCATCTGATCGCCAAATGCTGATCTTGGTGGGCCGCTGTAGTTGCGGGTCCGTCTTCCCAGGCACAGGCGATTCGGACCGGTGGTATACACGAAGTCGCGGTCAATCTCGTCGCCTCGGGATTCAATCTCAACTACGACAAGGAGACGCCGGTGCAGTGGTATGATAAAGGGGGGAACGATCAGGCTGAGAAGTTAGTGGTTTTCTGTTCTGAATATGTGTGGTTATATGCTCTCGGATACGCTGGCTGCATCTCACATGTGCGGCTCTTGCTAACTTACGACTCGGACAGGTTGGCCGACTTTGTGTACAACTCGATCGACAAGCTCAGCCAGGAGCGCTCCGTCAGAGAAGCCATGGAGCGGCTGGGCCTAATGGACAAGCGGGATCTGATGCCTGGCATGGAAGTCCGCCTGCTCCCTCATCAGGCCATTGGCGTCAGCTGGTGAGCGCTTCTCTATGTATGTGCATCGCCAACTGCTGCTAAGAGCATGAAGGATGGTCGACCAAGAACTGAAAACACCGCATAAAGGAGGTATATTAGGGTGCGTACTCCGTAGCGAACCCGTATCATCAACCCCTTTTAATAGTATTGTTCAGCGACGACATGGGCCTCGGAAAGACCGTGCAGATGATAGCAACCATGGCATATAACCTGCCTAAGGAAAGCTCGTCGGCAAAGGTCACTCTTATCGTGGTTCCCGCAGCACTGCTCCATCAGGTACGTAGTCCCTTCGCCACATCCGGGTCTCGAAACACTCACAAGTCTCGTGCATCTGGCGTGTAGTGGAAGGAAGAACTCGAGACGAAGACAAACGACGTTTTCAGCGTGCACATACACCACGGCAGGGATAAGCTCCGTAGACTAGATCAGATTGACGATTACGACGTGCGTCGCCTTTCATCGCCGATGCGTTCTCCTAGTACTGATGGTCTAAAATTTGCATTCGGGCACCTGCAGGTGATTATTACGACGTATCAGACACTCTCCATGGACTTTTACCTACCATCTGAAATTGAGGATGGAGACACGATGCGGTACCTTGCGGAGAATGGGTATGTTCCTTCCTGTTTTCTTGATAACCAAACGCTGATCCCCGTATGTGTAGTGGCATCCTCGCGCGCGTCAAGTGGTACCGTGTCGTTCTTGACGAAGCACAGTACATCCGGAACAGGTGAGGAAGCGTCCCCTGGCTCAGCCCGTTCCAGTCTTCTGACAGGAAAGACATTAATGCATTGTTATTCTTCATCAGACGCACCGCCTCGAGCCGCTCCGTCGCGCTCCTCCGCTCGACCTACCGCTGGCTGCTCTCCGGCACACCCGTCACGAACACGCTGTGCGTCCTCCCTCTACCCTTCTATTTCCTCCCGTTCTCCTTCCACTAGCATCATCGACTCACTCTCCGCAGCGCCGACATCTACGGCCTCCTCCGCTTCGGGCGCTTCCGCCCGTGGAACGACTGGGAGTCCTTCCACCAGTACATCGCCAAGGTGCAGGAAGACGACCCGCCGCTCGCGGCGATGCGCGCGCAGGAGATCCTGAAGCCGCTGCTGATGCGGCGCACGAAGAAGTCTGAGATCGAGGGCGAGCCGATTCTGCAGCTGCCCGAGAAGCATATCGAGTTGGTGTATCTGGATTTCTCGGAGGACGAGCGGGAGGTGGGTGGTGCTGTTTTTATTGCTGTTGATGTTATTGTTATTGAAAGGGAATTCGTACTGATGTATGCATGGGCGTTTTGTTTAGCTATATGACAAGTTCGAGTCGCGTTCGCGGGTTAGGATTAGCCGGTTTATCAGGAATCGGACGTTGTTGAAGAAGTACGTCCCGTTTTACTCTTTCTCTTTTGTGCTACGCGAGGCAAATCGGACGCTGACAACCCGTGGTCTCCAACAGCGCGTCAGCTGTGCTGGTGCGTTATCTTCCTTATGTTCCAGGTCCACTCCGTCCCACAGACCTAAACGCTCGCCGTAGGTGATGATCCTCCGACTCAGACAGCTGTGCTGCCACCCGACCCTTATCCTGGTACGTGGATGACACTCGCTGGCCCATCGCCATACTTAACATCGACTGACGCGGATTGCTTCGAACAGAGCCAAACAGAGCAATACGCAGACCCGACGCTGCTCATGTCCGACGACAAGGACAAGGAGCGCGGCAGGGCCCTCAAGGAGATGGGCGTCGCGTGGGTCGAGAGCGTACGTCGTCTTTTTTTTCTCTCTTTCGCGATATTGGGGCTGAGACTGAGACTGCTCGTCGGTGGGGATACAGCAAAAGAAACGGTAAGCCCGATCCACGCTCTCTCGCAGTCGGGACGTGCTCAACTCGGAGAAACAACACAGGTTCATGCGCCGTGCGCTCGCGCAGGAGATGGGCATATTTGAAGACGAGGCGGACACGGAGCCGCCGGCGTGCCCCGTGTGCAAAGACAGTGCGTTGAATCCTACCTTCATACTCTCTCGACTAACACTTTATCATTGTGTCTCATCATTTATAGTGTACGTGAACAACAGCATGCGTGTTCTCTCGTGCAGCCACGAGCTCTGCAACGACTGCATGATGGAGCTGCGCCAGGCGCCCATCGCGCACGACAACATCTTGTGCGTCCCTCTCCTCTCTCCTCTCCCCTCCCACCCGCTCTCTCCGCTCCGCGCATACACCCAGCCACATGCATGCACCGAATCTGACACGACGTAACCCGCAGCGGCTACGGCACCGAGCAGGAAAACGCGCGCGCGGAGCGCGAGTACGAGACAGCGGCCGCGAAGGGGTGGCGCCCGTGCCCGACGTGCAGGACGATGGTCGACTTTGCCGCGAAGAAGACGTTCTTGGGGAGCGCGTTCGAGCCGGACGACGATGTGCTTGCGGGCGAGGCGCGGAGGGTGAGGCGGGAGCGGGCGGTGGCGCGGGAGAGGAGGAGGAGGCCGGGGGCGGTGGTTGAGATTAGTGATGAGGAAGAGAAAGATGGGGAGGAGGAGGAGGGTACGGAGGAAGAGGAAGAGGGGGAGAGTAGTGAGGAGGAGAGCAAGACGGTGAAAGGAAAGGCGAAGCCCAACGGAAAAGGAAAAGGAGAAGGAAAACGTACGTCCTCCGTCGAGTTCTCGTCAGACGACAACTCCGATTCCGACTCGGGCACGAAGCGGGCCGCGAAGAAGACGAAGAGGAGCAGGGCGGACTCCCTGAGCGGGTCGAGCTCCTCCTCCTCCGAGGACGATATGCCGGACTTTTCGGTGCTCCGCGCGACGCAGAGCCAGAAGCAGAAAGAGAAAGAGAAGGCGAAGGCGGGCGGTGGTGCGGGGAAGGAGAGGAAGGACACGGGGATGATTGATCTGACGATGTCGGATAGTCTTGAGGAGGAGGAGGAGGAGGAGGAGGAGGAGAGCGATGCAGGACCCAAGACCAGATCGAAGGCGACAGGCAAGGCCGCGGTTGCGCCTGCGACTAAGGGTAAAGGAAAGGCCAAAGGCAAGGGCAAGGTCGCAGCGAAGACCAAGAGCAAAGCCACTGCCAAAGGCAAGAAAGCGGCCACTGGCAAGAAAGCCGCCACCGGCAAGAAAGCGCCGGCCAATAACAGAGACAGAGACGGGGACAGCGGCGCGGGCGCCAGCGCGGGCCCGTCCGACGCGCTCATCGAGACGTGGCGCCGGGGCGACACGACACTCGAGCCGAGCACGAAGATGGTGAAGCTGATCGAGTTACTCGAGGAGTGGGAAGCATTGGGGGACAAGGCGATATGTTATTCGCAGTGTGCGTTCTCTCCTTCTACGATCCCTCGAAATTTCCTTCGCGCACACGTGAACGTGGTCTGACATTTACAATCCACAGGGACATCGATGCTCGACCTCGTCGAGTCGCTCTTCACGCGGTACGGCCTGCGCAGCGTGCGGTACGACGGCTCGATGGACCGCGCGGCGCGCGAGCGGGCGCTCGCGGCGTTCAAGCGCGGCGACGGGCCGCGCGTCGCGCTCATCAGCACCAAGTGCGGCGGCGTCGGGCTGAACCTCGTCGCTGCGAACCGGATCGTCAAGTGCGTATTATGCATGGCTCTCCTCCGGTTTATCCCGTCGCTGTACTCAACGGGCGCGTGCGTGCGGGTGTAGTCTGGACCTGTCGTGGAACTACGCGGCGGAGGCGCAGGCGTACGACCGCGTGCACCGGCTCGGGCAGGACAAGGAGGTGTTCGTGAAGCGGCTTGTGGTCAGGAATACGATCGAGGACCGGTGCGTTTGACTCTCTCTCTCTCTCTTTCTCTCCTTTTCCTGTGTTTTTCTCACCCTCGGCACAGCATGCTGCACCTGCAGGCTGTCAAGACCGACCTCGCGGACGCGGCGCTGGGCGAGGGCGGCGGTGTGCGGCTGCACAAGATGAGCGTGCGGGAGATTAAGATGGTGCGGTGCCCTTTCTTTCTTCTGTTTCTGTGTCAGATGGATGGTGAGGCTGATATGTGTGCAGTTATTCGGTATGTCGAAGAATAACGCGGACGGGCAGGGCCAGGGCCAGGGTGCGGGCGGAAGCCAGTCCTAAGATCGCAGTGCCCCGTGAGGATGCGGAGGAGAGGAGATGATGGAGAAACGACATTACTTGGACGAGTGGGTTACTACTCATTCCTTTATACCTACCTTATGCTCTCGCTTATTGTACTACAGTACTTACCCACTCATACTCACGATTATGCATGACACGAAACTCCTTCTATAGGCTCGCTCACGAAAGCCCACAGTAAATCATGTAAGCGGCCTCGGAATAGTTACATCTCGTTAGGATAGAAATAGAATACAGGCGTCGTCTCCGCTACTAGGGAACGGTATAGTAAAACAACAGAATGGTTATGCAAGGTAGTTGCGGGATATGTCATCGTGACGGTCAGTCTTTCACGTCTATCTGTGTGTCGTGCTTCTCTTCTCCTTCTCCTCCGTTTCTTCCTGTCGCACGCTCTGCCTCGCCTCGCACGCTGCCATCGGATATGCTAGCTTAGAGCATCGCAGCCGCGAATGCTGCAATCGCTCCAGCTACCAGGACCCCCACGCCCGCGCCTGAACTTGCATGTACACTGACAGCGGCGCCTGTTGAACCTGAGCTTGTGCTGGTTGCACCGGGCGCGCTGCTGCTGCTTCCGCTTCCGCTGGCGGTGGTAGAGATGGAACTCGCGAGGCTGCTGGTCGCGCTCTGCCCGACAGAGGTGAGCGAGCCGATCGGCGTCGTCCCGCCCGAGAGCGCGGAGGAGACGGCGGAGGACTCGGAGGAGATGAGGGAGGAGAGGGAGGAGAGGGCGCCGGTGGTGTCGAGGGAGAGGGAGGAGAAGGGGAGGGTGCCCGAGCTGGAGGTCCGCGGTGGTCGGTGTGATGTCATGAGAAGGGGGTGGTGCGCGTGTGGATGGGGAAGGAAGAAGCAGGATGTGAGTGGGATGGGTCGATCGCCTGGAAGCGGGAGGAGGGGCTTACAAGGGTATGCCGCTGGGTGTCACGCGTCCCGAGGAGGAGTCCTGGGCGAGCGCGCCTGAGGCGGCGGCGGCTACGAGGACAAGAGAGGCGGCAGCTGAGTACTTCATGTGTGTGTTTTGGTGGTACAACTGTTCAAGCTCAAGGAAGGTATGAAGAAAATGTGGGCTGGCAAGAGAGATATAAAATGAGTGAATCCGCAGCCGCAGCCAGGTCGGGGCGCTAACTAACCCACTTTATTTCGTGTTCTGGAGTCGGATCGGGGCACGCGTCTTTCCCGACAAGCCATATATAAGCCTGTCCACAAAGGCCCCGCCACTTACGTTCGCGCTCCACCTTTTTCTCTGCTTCCTCCAGTCTCACTCCGCTCTTCGGCATGGGGCACTGGTTACATTCTATGACCAAGTCAGCTGATGTCTTTTGTGGCCTTGGGGGCTGAACAGACAGACAGACCAGCGCGAGAGAGAACCGCCACGGTGTAGCATGCCCTGATTGAGGCACATGAGGCACATGCGCCTCCCGTCAGCGTCACTGCTCTTGCCCCCTCTTACCCCACATCGAACCGAGCATGCTGCCACGACCATGCCACCATCGAAGACAAACGCCTCCACCCACCCCACCTTTAGAAATATCTTGTCCTTTTCTTGATGCTTTCCCTCCTCGGACGCGTCGGCCCGTGGATAAGCTCGCCGTCCCAGCGGAGTCTGTTTTTGGCCTCGTATATCCCCCGTGTCGATGTCATGATGACTACCGACGACCGCTCGAGCGTAGGGATCCAGCTGCCAGGTTACCCATGGTAAACTACCCAGGGCGTTCAGCCTCCGCCTTTTCTCATACACTCACGTCGCATCCCGACGTCTCCCGATCCTCTAGAACCTTTCTAGACATCCCAAGTTGAAGTTGAAGAGGCTGCTAAAAGTATAGTAGCAGGGGCGATATGGCTAAAACGAATGGTGAGGACGCACAAGCTACCACGGCTACTCCGGGATTCCGCAAGTTTCTCGCGACGTATGCGCCTGACTGGTGCGTCACAGTGTTCCGCTTTTCACCTCTTGTTTTCGTTCGCTAATGCCGACGGCAGGATCACAGCCGCTGTCCTCTGGTGTGTCTCCTTTCTTTCACTATACCATAATATTTATGTAACAAACGCTGTTTCGCCCTACGTTGACAGGGCGGTGTACGTCGTCGTATGGACGCAAGTCAACGGCTTCCGGAGACAGTTCTCGCTCGACGACACGACGCTGCACTACCCGTACGCGGAGCACCAGCGCGTGAGCGTACCCGCGCTCTTCGCGATCTGCACGCTGCTCCCCCTCGCGTGCCAGTTTGTCGTGAACCGTCTCACGGTGCGGTCGTGGGTGGATGTGCACCACGGTGCGCTTGGACGTGCGTTTTTGCGGTTGATTTCAGTGACGATGGAGCAGAGGCGCTGACGATGGTGTCGGCGGCCAATGCCAGTTCTCCTCGGTCTCTCGCTCACGGGCTCGCTCACCCAGCTCGTCAAGGTGGGTGTTGGCCGGCCGCGCCCTGGTACGTTTCACCGTCGCACCGACGCTCTCCCTCCCCCTCCTGACACAACACACATCGGCAGACCTCCTCTCGCGCTGCCACCCCGCGCCCACCGCACACGACCCCGCCTTCGGACTCTCGACGTGGCACATCTGCGCGCAGCCCGACGCGTCGCTGCTCGAGGACGGCTTCCGCTCGTTCCCGAGCGGCCACTCGAGCATGGCGTTCGCGGGGCTCGGGTTCCTGGCGTGTTATCTCGCGGGCAAGATGCATCTGTTTGACGAGCGGGGGCATGCGGTGCGTTTTTTCTTCTTCTTTTCTTTTCTTGTTCGCTGGACTTTCTCTCGGTTACTGTGTGTTGATGGGACGTGCTGGCGCGGAACAGAGCAAGGCGTGGACGGCGCTGTTCCCGCTCCTCGGGGCGCTGCTCGTTGCGATCTCGCGCACGATGGACTATAGACGTGTGTTCTTCCCTCCTCCCTTCCTCCCTTCCCCTCAAGCAAAATCCCCAAAGCTGCACTGACGACGCACGACAGACCACTGGGAAGACGTAACAGTCGGCTCCGTCCTCGGCCTCGCGGTCGCGTATCTCGCGTACAGACAATACTTCCCGCACCTCGCGGACCGCGCTGCACATCTCCCGCTCACGGGGCGGCTCGAGCGGGGGGCGGCTGCGGATGCTGAGCGGGGGTCGGCGTCGGCGCACGGCAACGGGGTTGGGCGTCGTAATGGAAACGGTGTTGCGAATGGTGGACACGCGGGGTATAGAGATGAGCCTGGGAGCGAGGATGGGGAGGACGTTGGGGAGGACGTTGGGTTGATGAGCGGGGCGAGGAAGGGAGCTGCGGGGAGGGGGAAGGGCAAGGGCGTCCGGAGGGGCGCTTGAGGCATAAGGGTAGTGCGAGAATGTCACCCGAAGAATCAGTGTGCAGAATCAGGACGAGCTAGCGGTATCATTGATATCATGATGTTGTACGGACATTATCATCGTGCAGTAGTCTATGTGATATATATCCAGCAATGTAAGATCTCATCTACGTCCGCCTGTTGAAGGCGGCCTTTTCAGAGACTGCGTCTACTCTTCCTTCTTCGTGGCCGCGCGCGAGGCGTAGATCTTGTCCGTAAAAGGCCTACAAGTACTTGTCAGCCTCAAGCAACAGAGAATAACACAAAGCCCGGACAACGCACCCCTCAAACCTCAGCGCAATCGCATACACCACATACACAAACAACGTAATCAGCAGGCCCACAGGACGCTCGTACCACAGCGCCGTCGCGGCGAAGCACAGCGTGCTGCCGACGTACATGGGGTCGCGGAGGACGTTGAACGGGAACCCTTCGACGCGCGCGTCCATGAGGATGCCGAAGTAGTCGCCGAGGAACGTGCCGGTGACACCGAGCGCCCAGGTGGAGGTGAGCACGAAGAGCTGGCCGAGGGAGAAGGCGATCGCGGGGAGCTGGGTGTCGTATGGCGAGCGCAGGAGGGGCACGCGCGGTTGCGTGAGGAGGGCTGTTTGGTACCTGGGGGAGCGGGTTTGGCGTTAGTGGTAGGGAAGGGGAGGGAGGGGAGGGGGAGCGTACAGGTGGTCGCGGAGGATGCCGAAGGAGAAGATCATGAGAGCGAGGAAGTAGCATCCCCTGCGGGCGCTGCCAAAGAGGCGGGTGAGCGTCTTGTTGGCGTACTCTGTGGGTGATGTCTATAAACAATTACTTGAAGACAATGAAGACGGCTGACCATTGCGAGCGACGATGTTCCACGCGGTGGGATTGAAGACAATGGCAGCAAGGGAGACAAAGAGAGCAGGCTGGGAGGTGTCGACGATGTCCTCGAGGCGGAGAGAACGGAGCTGGTTGACGTCGACGAACTTGTCGAGAATCTCAGCGAGGGCAAAGTCCATCGTGAACGCGTCGGATCGTGTCGTGAAAAAAGAGGGAGCGTGTTCTGAGCAGAGACGCGTCGTGGTCAAAAACACATGTCAGATCATATACCCACCCGCATAAAATAGTTCCCACGCACATACACATGTTGACTTTCGATACACGTGATGCAGAACGCGGCATGCACTGACGCCAGCCGACGATGCTCTTTCTTTTTCTTCTCTCCAACACACACGAGCTGGTCTCGCATACATCCACATTTCTATCGCCATTATGCCAGCAAGCAACACTAAAAAACGCTGCACTACAAAACCCTACTCTAAACCCAACTCGCCTTGTCTCTCCCCACAGCTCTTTAGCCCCGCCCTATCAGATCTCGCCTATCCCGCTTCTCCGGCTCTGCTCCCACCAGCATCACCCTCACTCGCAGAGCCGACCACCCACGATGGCACCGACCACGACGGACACCCCGAGGACAGGCCCGGTCTCCCCACCTTCGAAGAATACAAGCAGCTAGAATCCAACTACCTCAACTGCCTCTCGCCCCGCAAGCGCGACAAGGCCCTCATCACACAGGCCATGTTCGACAAGATCTGGGACGTCCTCCAGGCGCCAGAGCTGTGCACGATCGAGAACCCCCAGTTCCGCTTCTGGGTCCGCAAGATGTTCCGCCTCAGCCACCATCACCGCCAGCACTACAGCCAGCACCCGTCCTCCGCCGCCCCCAGCCCAGGCAAAGGCCTCGCGTTCGCCTGCGGAGTCGGCGTCGGAGTCGGGATTGGGGCGGGCGCCAGCGCCGGCGAGCCCGACATCCCCCCGGTAGTCCTGCACGAGAACCGCCCCGTCGCGGTCGTCGAGCAGCTCTACGACCTCCTCTGCTACTGCCACGAGCAGGCCAGCCACGGCGGCCGCGACAAGACGTGCGCCGTCATCCGCCAGCACTACTCGTGGGTCCCCAAGGAGCTCACCGCGCAGTTCGTCAAGGCGTGCCCGACGTGCTCGCTCAAGCGCTCGGGCAACGTCGATTTTGCGCTCCTCGCGCATGTCGCGGCGATCAAGCAGGGGCAGCAGGAGCAGGAGGCGGCTGTGCAGGGGGCGGCGGGTGATCCGGCAGTGGCGGATGTGAAGGGCGGGGTGCGCGAGGACGAGCGGGTGCGCGTTGGGAGGATGGTGCATGTGGCGCGGAGCTGGCCGCCGAGTGGAGGGCCGAACGATGTGCGCCTGTTGTCTCCTCGCGAACCTGAACGCCACCACGGTACGCCAGAGCAGCACTACGCGCACCCAGGAGCGCCCGTGGACGCTGCCGCCGAGCAGCACGCACACGCAGCTCAATACTACAGCCATGCGGTGCAACAGAGCCTGTACGCGCTGGGGTGGCAGCCACAGCACCCGTACCCGTACCCTGAGTACAATACGAACGCGCCGGGCGGCGGGAACGGACACGAGCACGAGCACGCGTATTTCTTCGAGCATCCGCCGACGCTGGACATCAACATCAGCGTCCCGCTGCGCATGCAGCGCACCCTTGGGCACGCGCACACGCACCAGGACATGGTCTTGCCCGCCTACAAGCACGCGGGGGACGAGGACAGAGACGAGGACGATGGGTACATGCACGACGCGGGCGCGCAGAACCATCCCGAACCTGCGATTCGGAGCGCAATCGGCGGCGGCGGCGGCCCGGTCCATTTCAGTGTTGCAGCCAATCGCGATCAGCTAACGCCGACGCTCGAGCCCGCCAGCCCGTGGATGGGCTACACCGGCCCCAGTCCCACCCCCAGTCCGCTCATTTACTCTTCCAGCCCCCGCTTCGCAGACACTCTCAGCTTCGGCTCTTCTGCTGCATACCCTTACCCTTACCCTCAGGCTCGGGCACCGCACGACGGAGAGCTGCCGCTCTCCGCCTCGCTCGAGAAGCTGCACCTCGAGAACACATCGTATCCGAGCCCTGTGCCGCCACCGCCGCCGCCGCACTCGACGCCTGCGCTCGGGATGGGCGGAGGCGACCACTGCCATCATGGCGGTAGCTTTGTGCCGACGGCGCTGGGAGCGTATTACGCGCCGCTGGCGCAGATTGATCCTGCGCTGCTCGCGCTTGACACTGGGGATCGCGGTGTTCAAGGCGATGGAGGGGAGGACCATCTTCACGATGGCAGTAGCAGTAGCAGTAGCAGTGACAGCGGCGGCGGCGGCGGTGGCGGTGGCGGTGGCGGTGGTGAAAACCAGTCGAGTGCAAGTCCGAAGCTGCACGACGCCCGCGCACGAGTGAAGCTCGGCTCCGCGCTCGCGCGCCTCAACGCAGCCGGCGCCGTCACAGCCGGTAACGCGTTCTCGCCCAACTCCGCGCGAGACTGGAGCGATGCTGGCACCAGCAGCCCCATTCAGGTTCATGTCAATCTGAACCAGAACCAGAACATGAAAGGCCACCACCACCATGGGCGCTCGACGAGCGTCGAGCTCGTCTCACCGTCGTCTTCCTCGTCTAGCCGGCTCGGGCTTAAGCGCCGCGTTCTGGCTGCGCCAGCACCGTCGTCGCCAATGCCGATGCCAGAAGCAGCGGCCTCGCCAGTCCAGATGTCGATACCGATGTTCTCGAACGGAGTTATCAGGCGCGATCTGAGCGCGTCTAACTCGGGCTCGAGCTCGGGCGGGCGCCTGCCCTCGTCGGCGCTGTTGCCTTCGCCGAGCGCTGAGCTGGACAAGCTGTGGGCGGTATGATGATGCGGCGTCAGCTGCATGAATGAATTAACAGGCTGGACTCGGATACAGACATACATACACATATACCTACGACTTCGAACTTGCGTGTGGCGGACACTCATTTTAATCATGTAACATCCTGTAGTATTAGCCACCGCACACGGACTCGGACACACATTAGACGCATCAGCAATCACTATACCATACACCAACCTATGCAACGCTCACAAACCATCCCTTACCTTCACATTAATTCAGAAACATATTATACAACTGAGGGCAAGCCGCGTCGATGACAGAAAAAAAAAGATATGAATAAACAGAGACAGAGAAAAAACAAAAGGAAGAGAGTTCTTATGCACGCGTGCGATAGGTAGGCAAATTATGTACAAACGATCCTTCCTGCGATACGGGTACGAGGTACGGGTACGGGTAAACCGAGAAACAAAGAAGAAACTTCGGAATCGGAATCGGAATCAGAATCAGGAAAAAAAAGAACGCCAGGAAAGCTGGGCACTGTGAACTAGTATTGAAGCTTGACCCCCAAGGAACTGCGACGTGAAAGAGAGAAAACACAAAACGCAAAAAAAGAAAAAGAAAAAAAAGCGGGTGCGAAACACAAGGCGGATGGTGGGTTGATTAGGAAGATGAAAGACATGGGGAGGAAATTATAGGTGAGGCGAGGGCACGGGGACATATAGGGGTTTGCCACCATACGGGACCGACTGAAAAGCCAAAAGCCAAAGGGAGAACAAGGGAACAAGGGAAATAAGGAAAGAGAGGTCGATGAGATGTATGATAACATGTTTGGCTTGGTTTGCTTTGTTTATTGTGGATTTTGCACATGCGGTTTTGAGGGAGACCATGGGTTTGTTTAGGCGACCTGAGAGAGCTAAATGGGAAGTCGGCGGGCGACGGTAAATGTACACGAGGCAGGCGAGCTAGCGCAAGGCGTCAGACGACTACCGCTGCAGATCCGCGCGTCTACAAATCCAAATACCCATCAGCTCCGAGAGCATCAAAAAGAAAAGGGAACCAAAAAAAAAAACGCACTCTCGCAGCGTATCATACAAGAACTTGTAGCTCCTCAAGTTCCCCTTCAACCGCCGAATATCGATCGAATACGTGTCCTTCAACCGGTCGATGCGCGTCAGCTCCACCGAGAAGCGCACTTCGTCTCCGGCGTCCTGCTGCTGGTCGCCGTACACGGGCTCCTTCACGCCGTTGGCGTTGACACTGGCGGTAGGCGCATCCGTCGAGGGCGTGGTGACAGTCGGTGTCGCTTCGCCTGCGGCCACGGTGTTGTCCTCCTCGGCGGGCGACGGCGTGGGCTGCGGCGAGGCCGTCCCCGAGACCTGGGAGGACTGCCGGCGCATGAGCAGACCACGGAGCATACCTCCAGGCGTCGACGGGGTGCTGGGCACAGGCAACCCGCGCCTGTCGAGCTACACATCATCGTCAGCCAATCCCACCCCTCTTCAGGAAACAAGACTCACCCCGTTCGAACTCGCCGACCCAACCATAGCAATCGCCGCGATCCCATTCCCCGCAAACCCCCCGCCCGCGCGCCGCCGCTTCGCGCGCACGCACCGGTACTTGAACTCGCTCTCCGCCTTGAACTCGATCCCGAGCTCGTCCAGCACCGCACACACCCGCGCCATCACCTCGGGCGGCGGCCGCGTCGTAATCGTCGTCTGGTCCAGCGGCCCATGATGGATCCTCAGCTGCACATCCGCGAGCTTCGGCACCACCGGCGGACCCGCCGGCGCCTGCTGCTGCTGGGCCATGCCCGCTCCGAATCCCATACCCGCAAACGCACGCGCAGCGAGCGGCGTAGACACCGAGCCCGAGCCCGAGACGGACGGCGCGATGCGCATAGACGCAGGCGTGTTGAGTGCCGAGCTGTGCTCGGGCGCGCCGTTGTGCGCGGGCGGAGGAGCGGGCACAGCGAGCTCCTGCGCGTCGTCCACCGTCTTGGAGCTCCGCCTGCGGAACCAGCGCATCACGTCTCGCGCCTTCGTCGTCGACGCCGGCATCGTCGCGCGGCCCATGCCCGCCGCAGCACCGCGGTCCGCAGGCGAGGGCGTCGCGGGCGCAGCCCCAGCCGCAGCGCCCTGCTGCTCGTTCTTGAACGGCATCGTCGCGTTCGCACCGGGCTCGATGGCGCTCACCGCCATCGCCGCCTTCTCACTGCGCACAGGCGTAGCCGCAACAGCGCCAGCCGACGCAGCACTGGCGCTCGTATCCTTGACAGGCGTATTCTGCTTGCTGCGCGAGCGCGCCTTGATCGACTTGACCGGCTCGAGCATAACAGTGAGCGTGTTCCTTCTCGTCTTCTTCCTCGCGCTCCCCTTCTCGCCCGCGTCCTCGCCCGCCGCCGCATTCGGACTCAACAGCGCCCTGTCCTTCTCGCTCCCGCCCTGCCTGTCCCGGTCCTCGGCCGTCGTCCCCTCGCTCGGCACACGCGACGCCATCGACCCATTCACACTCGCCTGCTCGCTCGTCTGCCCGCTCTTCCCCTCCGCCCCACCCCCACCCCCACCCCCACCACCGTTGCTCGCACCAGAACTCGCACCAGCACCAACACCAAAAATCTTGCCCAGCCCAAACCTGTCGACCGAGATCCCGCGCTTGTGCCTCGTCGACGACGACACACTGCTGCTCGAGTCGCCCGTGCCACGTCCCGCGAACGACATGTTGCTGTCCGACGACTCCTGCGTCGGCGGCGGCGGGCTCGTCGGCGTCACCGACAGAATCGGCGGTGGCTGCGGCGCCGCCGGCACACTGGCTTTGGCGGCCGGCGGAATGGCGGGCACAGGCAGCGCAGGCTGCGGCTTGTTCGTCACGAGCGAGATCGTCGGCGTCTGCTGCTGCGCCTGGCGCGACGCCCGGTCCTTGCCCGTCGACTGCGACGCCGTGCGCTCTCTGCCCTGCTGAGCCTGCGCTTGAGCCTGAGCTTGCTGCTGAGCAGCGGAAGGCACAACAGGCACCGCAGGCAACTGCCTCTCCCTCTCCTTGTCCTTGCGCGACGACGACGACGGGCGAGACACCTCGTCCCCCCTCCCCTCGCCGTACTCGACCTGAATCGTATGCCTGAACCCGCCGCCGCCCGCCTTCTTCTTCTCCTTCTCCTTCTCTGCTGGCGCCTGGCCCTGGCCTGATCCAGACGACACAACCCCATTCTTCTTGCGCTCCTCCTGCGCAGGATACAGCGCAGGCACCGTCTGCCCAACACCCGGCGGCGGCGCAAACGGATCGTCGTCAATCGCCGCACCCGGCGCACCGCCAGAACCAGCGGCAGAAGGCATCACAACCTGGCTCGCCGCCGCCGCCCGGCGGTCGCGCCCACCGCCGTTGCCAGCGGCAATGCCAGCAGGAAGCGCAGGGACAGCAGGCGCGCTGGACGAGTATATACTCTGATCCACGCTCGCATTCGCGCTCGTCTCGTACAAAAACTCGGGCTGCACCGGGTCCCTATAGCTCTGGCTCCTGCCCGCAGGCACCGCAGGCGAGCTCGCGCTCGGCGAGGGCACCGCGCCGTCCGCCACACCGCCGACGCGCGCAGACTGCGCACGCGCAACACGGGTCGGATCCGCCGTACGACCCCCGTCCTGCTGCGAAGCCCCCTGCTGGTTCGCGCTAGAAGAAGAACCAGTCGCCGCCGCCGTCGTCGTCGTCTGCTTCATCTGCCTTTGATACGCCGCGCGCTTCACCTGATGCTGCTCCATCGCCGAGCGCTCCAGCTCATCGACCCCGCGCCCAAACATCGCCGTCCACATCGCCAGCCACGGATGCGCCATCACCGCGCGCACATCCGCGCGGTGCGCCGGGTCCGGCACGAGCATAATCCCCAGCAGATCGCGCGCCTCGGGCGACACGTGCTCGGGAAACGACAGCGGCGTGTTCACGATGTACTTGTACAACAGGTTGATGTTGTCCCCGTCCGGGTTCGCCGGGTCGTCGTCGAACGGCAGGTACCCCGCGAGCATCGCGTACAATATAACACCGCACGACCAGATGTCGACCGCGGAGCCGACGTAGAGTCCCTCGGAGATGACGAGCTCGGGCGCGGCGTAGCACGGCGAGCCGCACGAGGTCTGCATGAGGTCGTCCGCGCGGTGCTCGAACCGGTTGGCGAAGCCAAAGTCGGTGATGATCACGTTGCGGTGCCGGTCAAGAAGGAGATTCTCGAGCTTGAGGTCGCGGTGGACGATCTTCTTCTGGTGGATGTACCACACGCCCGAGACGAGCTGGGCAAAGAGCTTCGCAGCGTCCTTTTCCTTGAGGTAGCGATGCGCGAGGATATGGTCAAAGAGCTCGCCACCGGACGCGTACTCGAGGATAATGCCGATGTACTTGTCCGTCTCGATCACGTCGTACAGACGGACGATGTTGGGGTGCTTGAGCGTCTAGTGGTGGGTTCAGAGGAATCAAGGGTCAGCACCACGCATCACATCGCAAGAGAAAAACGCAACTAACCCTAAGAACCTCGATCTCGCGCTCGACCTTGGCCATGCGCACCGAAGAGTCAATGTTCCCGCGCCGAATGAGCTTGACAGCGACCTCCTCTCCCCACTGCTGATGCAGCCCCAGCTTGACCTTGCCGAACTCGCCCTCTCCGAGGGTCTGGAGGAGGAGGTAGGGGCCGAATCTGGGGATGGTGCGGCGCGGGTGGGCGGCGGCGTAGGCGACGGCAGCGGGGTGTGAATAGACGTCACGGAAGGCGGGTTCGTCGTGCTGCTGCTGCTGGGTGGAGGACATGACCTGGTGGGAGGCGCGCTGGCGGCGGGATGCGGAGGCGGAGTTGGCGTTGGTGGACGGGGGAGCGGCGGAGGCGTTGACAGAGACGGAGACGGCCCTGGAGGAGCCGTGTTGGCGCGATGGGCCGGCGTCGGGGATCTGGAGGTTGTCCATGGTGGGTTCTATTAGACTATGCTAATGCTATTGGAGTCCTTGTGTGTTCTGGTTCTGTGTGGAGAGGGAGATGGTGTGGGATGCGATGTTGATGTTGAGTTTGGGTGTATGTTGGGTATACAGGAGGAGACGCTGGAGTGGATACAGCGTAGTGGGCTAGAGTGAGCTGCTGACTGATAGTGCAGTGAACGCGTCTGCGTGGGGAAAAGCCGGGGGCAGGCGCGAGGCAGACACAAGGGAGACATCAGAAGGCAGGAGCCAATGGGAAATTTCGAGCAGACTCACGACACGCTGAGGGCCAAGGGTGCGGTGGCGTGGCTTGCGCTTTTGTTAGCAGACGTGCTCTCGCTCGCGCTGTGATGGACGATGTTGGGGAGGGAGTGGGTGGGGCGTGTCGGATGGAGAGGGAGGAGGGCAGGGACGCTGGTCAACAAAGGACGTGTGCTGGAAAGGGCCGTGCGAAATGTCTGTTTGATGAGCCCGGCTAACAGCGCCTCAACAATACGAAATCCACTCTGCCCGTCCTAAATAAACCTCGCCTTCTAGCCAACCTTGCACCGAATGATATCGGGCTGCCTTGGTCGACGAGAGAGAGCTCGTCGACGTTGAGTGAGTCCAAGTTCGCAAGTTCAGCCACCCCGCCTCGTTTTTCGCTCACAGCCACCCGCAGGGAGCGGACTGCATCTGACTAATTTGGGAATCGGGGCGCGGATCTGACGGCGCATCTGGCGCATCCGCCGGCCTACGCCTCATCCTTTCATCCCTCCCTTCCTCCGTTCGACGTCCCCTCCAGCTCAACTTCTGCAATCAACTTGTGCGAGCTCAGCCATGTTCCTCTTCATCTGCCTCTCGTCCCATCGATAAGCCAGACAGCATTACCCACCCATCATCTTTATCAACACTTCAAATTCGCTGCCGACCAGCCGTCACGGTTGCTATCAACATCGAACGTGCTCATATCTGGCGCCCGAGCCCCGAGGAACACGGCCCGAACTGCACTGTGCTGCTCATAGTCAGGTGGACCGATAAACAGCCCATCTCATACCTAACAATGATCTCGTCGTAAACTGTCATATCATCATGTCAGATCAGTGATATTTCTCAGAATTTCGATATCTCCACAAGTCTAAGCTAGCCTGAGCCCGTCACCAGCGCTCCGCTTCAGACGGGCTTTCACCGTCCTCACCTTTATCCGAGTATCACAAGCAAATCGAGTCTCCAAGATTGACTTGCCCCAGGAAAACGGAATCTATCTTACGCACCCGCTCCGAGCGCCAAATAGGTTACGCCCTCGGAACATCCTTCAAACTTCTCCCTTTAGACTAATGTATGTTTATGTAAGGCACGCGTCTATCAATCAGAGATCTTGCCCCTTCTCTACTTCCAAGACCGTCCCTTATCTCCCCCAAGCTCAGCTACATACATCTCCTGCATCTAGTTTTTCATCATCTTGCGATTCTGCAGTCGCAATGAAGCCAACATAGCTTCTTTTAACATTAACGCGAACCCTACAAATACAAAACCACCCCACTTCAAATCCCAAAACCTCAAACGTTCAACTCAACCTTAACCGCCTTCCCCACCGCCTCGCGCACATCGTCCTGGTCCAGCGCAGGCTGCACATACTCCTTCAGGAACCGATCCACCTGCTCAGGCGCGCGCCCGATGAACCGCGTGGGCTCGAGCAGCGCGTCCAGCTGCCCAAGCACGGGCTCAAAGTACGCGTCCTTCCGAATGCGCTCCAGCAGGTCGTTCTCGAGCCCCTGCTCCTTCACCGCGCGCCCAGCCTCGTGCGAGAGCACCTACCCACAGCCACACCCACAGTCAGCGAAGGACGTCCCGGCGGTGACAACAAATAAGGACGCACCCGAATATGCTCGTGCGCAACCTGCCGGTCCCCACCAGCGCGCACAAGCGCCATAATAATATTCTCCGTCGCCATAAACGGCAACTCTTGCGCAATCCGGCGCGCGATCACGCGCGGATACACCACGAGCCCCTCGCTCACGTTCCGCAGCGTCGCGAGCACAATGTCCGCCGTGAGGAACGCCTCGGGCAGCGTCACGCGCCGATTCGCGCTGTCGTCCAGCGTGCGCTCGAACCACTGCACACTCGCCGTCATCAGCGCGTTCTGGTGCAGCACCGTCAGGTGCCGCGCGAGCGAGCACACGCGCTCGCACCGCATCGGGTTGCGCTTGTACGCCATCGCGGACGACCCGATCTGCGTGCTCTCGAACGGCTCCTCGACTTCCTATCGTCCGTCCATCACTCCAAATTCAGCTTCCTTGGCTCCTCGCAGAATAGGGGGAAGACGCACCTTGAGATTCGCGAGCAGCCTGATATCCGTCGCGATCTTATGCGCCGACGCACCAAGCGACGCCAGCGGCGCGAGCGCGTCCGCGTCGATCTTACGCGAGTACGTCTGCCCCGTGACGGGGTACGCATGGCTAAACCCAGACAGCTCCGTCACGAGCCGGTCGAGCTCCTCGACCTTGTCGTGGTCCCCGTCGAACAGCGCGAGAAAGCTCGCCTGCGTCCCCGTCGTGCCCTTCACGCCGCGGAACCCGAGATCGTCCCGCGCGCGCCGCAGGTTGCGCAGATCCCAGAGGAGTTCCTGTTTTTAGATTATAATAGCTGAGTTGGCATGCGACGGGGAAGGAAGGAAGAAAGAGGGGACGGACCTGGATCCAGAGCGTGGCGCGCTTGCCGACGGTCGTGAGCTGTGCGGGCTGGAAGTGCGTGAAGCCGAGCGTGGGCAGATCGCGGTGCTCGCGCGCAAAGTCAGCCAGGCGCGCGATGAGCACGCCGAGCGAGCGAATGAGATGGTCGAAGCCCTGCTTGAGGAAAATAAGGTCCGCGTTGCTACACAACGCAACGTCTCAGCCGAGTTCACATAGTGAAAGAACGGGAATCAGACTCACTCCGTGACATAGCACGACGTCGCGCCCAAACTGCCCGCACACCATCAGCTCCCTCCAACCCACCAAAAGCAAAACACAGCCCGTAAAAAAACAGACGAGAAACGCACTGGATAATCCCAGCCGCAGCAGGCGCAACCGTCCCGAACGTGTGTACATGCGCCATAACGTCGTGCCGGCGCTTCCTCTCCTCCTCGGCCGCGACGGCGAACTGCTCGGGCGTCAGGTCGAGGTTCGCGCGCATCTGCGCGATCGCGTCGTCCGGGATCGGCAGGCCGAGCTGTTTCTCGGCGAGCGCGAGGTTCAGCCAGAGTTGGCGCCATGTGCGGAAGCGGGTCTACGGGGGTGAAGTGTAAGGGAAGCAATTGTACTGTGATGTTGTGGTGAGACGCACAGCGGGGGAGAAGAGCGAGCTCATCTCCTTGCTTGCATATCGGCTGGAGGCAAGATCGATGCCGTCAGCAACCCGCACACCATACAAGATCAAGCAAGGACGGCCCACCTCGCAAGCGGCGTTGAATACGTCTCGTATGCCTCCATCGTGAGTCCTCCAAAGTGCTGGTGTCCGTTGAGGAAAGATAGGAGTCAAAGGCAAGATTTTGCACCTGCTAAATCAGGAAGGCTCGATAACGTTCTCGGACAAGCCGACATCGTGCCCGTGGGGATGTTGCAGACCGAAAGCTGGGTGCTACGGGCCTATTATCCGACTTCCTCTTGACCACCATAACTTTGCGACAGTATGCACCACGGTTTATAGCGCGACCAGAAGGATCACAGGTAGTACCAAAGCTAGGTTATCCGTCAGAGTTTCAAGAATGCCCATGCTCGCTCTATCAAAGACACTTAGGTTTTAATGGATCTTGGTCGACTACTTACAATGGTGTGCATTACTTTTTCACTTGTATATTTTATGATCATGAATATTTTCGGGGCCCCTGTACCCTTTAATTGATCCCTCTCGCATTCATAGCACTACAAACCGGGATAAAAGAGAGAGAGAAGAAAACATGGCACGTCGCTTCGCATAGACAGGGGAACAAGACCGAAAGGGAAAGAGAAGAGGCAAATAAACGCAAATAACTATCCCTTCGGCCTCATTCGCGACGCGCGACGCGCGTACTTGTTGCCGGGGCCACCGCGTCTTGTCTTTGCGCTCAATGTTCAAATGTTCGCCGTTCCTTGACTACATCAACGAAATTTCTCACCGGAAACGATATCATGCTGGTCACTAACCTGACGAGAGTTGCAGAATCTGGAAACGGGTAGAACAGTGTCAAATAGGACTACGGATCGAACTTTGGTGCCGCACGCGTTCCTTTGTGCTGCCATGCAGATGGTTGGTCTTGCGGACGGCTCACGAAGCGAATCATCGGATAAGAACGTCAGGATGATCAGAAGATAAATGGCAAGTGGCCACCCCTACGCTCCTTGGTGCCCGACGCGCTCCATGCATTTCGTCTCCCGCGTTCCCCACTGTTTTTTTATTTTATCAACACGCGTAGGTGGAAGGACAGGTCTCATGACATTTTTTGACAGGAACCCCAGCGTTTTGCGTCTTCGCTGTCAACTTGAAATGCACTATCAGCGCATGATCACCCATTTATAATACTTTGTGGGTCCACTCTCTCAACCGATTGCCTTCGATAACTGTCCAACATGCTATGGGGTTTCCCGAAAAGGTGAAATTATAATAGCGCCTATTGTTCGACGCTCGGCTCGCGCGTACCTTGGCGAAGAGGCGTGCTTGGACTGTCCCAGACTATATCTCAATTTGGCATAAGCTGAGGTGAGGACTTTGGCCATTTTCGACTCCGCCAGCCGCCAGTTGCGTATAAAAGGGTAACATTTCCTGGTCTCGTCCCTCAGCAAGCTCTCCTCTCTTCCCTCATCATCTCCTCGGTAGGCCTCCCCCTCCCTTACTCTCGCTCGGCCTTCTCATTATCGTCTTCACCATCTAGCAGCCCATGGCTAGTCCTGATGTTGCCACAAGGTAGGGTGCCACTCATCGAGTGGGGTCATGTCGCTGACGTGCCGACAGATATCTCGACAACAACGATGTCCGTTGAACGGAAGGAAGCTAGTGAGTGCCTTCGTTGCTGGCCCCTTCACCTATATACTGACCGCCGTCTCCAGGACACTAGCCCTTCCCCAAGGGTCGTCACCTGCACAAGTCCACCGGAGGGCAGCGCGACCGGTCGATAGTGCCGCCTCAGCCCGCCTGTCTGCAGCTGTTGCTGGACCTAAGGGCGCCGAGCTGCAGAGCGTGCCCCGACCCAAATCCGATCGACGTCAACCTGTACTCACGCCGCACGCCTTCGGTGACCCCGGGCTTGGCCACTGAGACTCCCCGACGTTCGTGACGAGGTCCCACTCCCATCCGATTCCATGCCCGCAACCATAGGCAGTGGCACAGGTCGACAGGCACACCAACCCCGCAGAGCGTACGGATGTCCCCCACGGCAGTAGCCCGCTGGTGCGTTCCGGATCCGCGGCTCTTGCCACTCGTGCTATGGCCCGAGCCCCAACGGTCCAGGCGACTGAGAGGCGCGTTCCGTCAAATCGTACGGGCGCCCTCCGACTGCCCGATGACTTAGTTGTGCGTACTTGAGGAAGTGGCCGCAGTTCCCGAGCCGACCCACGGGTCCGCAGTGACGGACTGGGCTCCACGGTCCCAGCGTACACGGGGGCTCAGAAGACTTCGACGCGACGACCTCAAGCTTCAACATTTCGACTGTCAAGGTTCATGGATCAGTGGCTGTGTGGGTGGCTGGGTGGTCACTAACAGCCACTGGGCGTGGTGCGTTTCCGTTCTCTTGGGTTTTCTGACATATACTTCATTCGCTATCACTTCGCTTTCGTCGCGTTGAGGTGGTCTGATCGTCGAGTCAGCCCACCCTCGTGACATGCGACGCATCAACAACGTTTTCTTTTCTTTTCATCGTTCTGTTGCCTTGCCTTCCATTCGAAAGTCCCCACTCGTTTGGCTGGGCTTGTGGCAACCAGCGTCTGCTCGCAGCATCCTTTCCCCCTTTACCGCATCGTAGTTAGTAGTAGCCCAGGGAGTAGCGGCGGGAGCGGGGGCGTCTTACGCGCTTCTGCTCTCGGGGGAAGTTTTGGCGGTGTCTCAGGCAACTGGGCACCGTATTCCTTGGCCGGCAAGATCCCTCTACGAAGGGCAGGGCGGACGCAGTCATCTGCGACGCACCTCGAATGCGGCTAAAGGTTCTAACCCCTACTCCTTCCCTGACACCGTCGGGTGGGCCCATTCGCCGTTCATCTAGTTGCAAATATAGATGAACTGCTTCGAAAACCTTGTGTGATGATATCGTGAGGCAATGTGCGCAGTGAGAACGCCCCGAGAAATGTTAGCGAACGCTGAGCGCTGAGCACGTGTGGTTCTCAGGGGCTGTTCCAGCTAAGGCAACAGCAGCTTCCAGGCTCCGATTTGTGCCTCAAACGCCGACGGCGAACACACCGTCCTCACTCCCTTGTGATTTTCTTTAGTCCTCACGAGTATACTTACTTAACGGCACCATGAAACTCAACGCAACTTGATCGCAAGTCAGCTTGACTTCGAACCCCAATTGCGAATGCTCAAGCCTGACTCGTTCCTTGTCTGTTCCTCATATCCATGCTTGCAGACATTCTGGCATGCTTGTTCCCTGTCGAGCATCTGAGAGATTGCTCACATATATAGATCATCTTCTCGTAACAACGGTCAGAAACGGCCGTGGCACAGTAAAGCTTGGCAGCCTTATTCCAGGCTCACGCTAACAATAGCCTCAGCTTCTGCGAATCATGAAAGACTCAAAGTCCCTCGAGATATAGAACGACGTTGCTTTCTTCTCTCCTCCCTCGACCTCGCTGATCCCCCGCGTCCCGTTGTGTGGCCAGCTCTTTTTCGAAATCCACAGGTCGAACCCTCTCGAGCAGCATCTAAAGCCCTCTCAAGACATGTCCATTGGTCGCCGTTCAATATCAATGGAGGCGACGGAAATGGCGAGCTCTAGAACAGAGGAGATAGACGCCCGGGCAGCGGCCCGAACTCCAAGCCCTACGCCCAGCGAGCGACAGGCCATCACACCTTCTCGTAGTCTCCAAGATCGGCTGAAGCACCCATCGCGGACGGAATTCGGTCAGTCATGATTCAAAAGATGTTCGATTTGACCATTCATGTCAGAAAGCATGGCTACAGGCTTGCTAGCAGGCATCATAATTGCCGCGCCGATAATCGCCCTTATTTCAGTATACCGCAGTCCGATCTCGTGTGCGGTCCAGCATTTGGGGAAATGGTTCCACGAGTGAGTCTCTGTATATAAGCATGACCAGAAATACAGTAACTAACCTGTCGGCGGCTATGAAGTCTACGAGGAGGATGGGCTATTTTGTTTTGTGCCGCGATTGTCCTCTCCTGTCCTCCTGTGAGTCGGAACGACTTTCTTCGGCGTTAGCACCATCTTTATGACCTCGTTTGATCCCGCAAGTTCCTTGGCCAGGAAGTCGTTGGTATTTTATGTGGGATGGCCTTCAAATCCGGTACGGGTTTCCTGATCGTATGCGTGGGTGAATTTGTGGGCGAGACGATTGTATACGCGTGAGTGCAGTGGGCAATGCAAACTATTTGGAGCTCACAGCAAGTCACCATTCTAGTACTGTCCGATGGCTGTTAAAGAGGAGTGCAGCTCGGTACGAAGCAAAGAGTCTTGACTTCGCGGCTTTATGTGCCCTGATCAGGGAAGCTGGTTTCGGAGCTATCGTGATCGCACGTTTGAGTCCAATACCACCAAATTGTGCGTCGACTGGTCCTAAGCATTCCGTTGTTCATTGCTGAGTTTGTCGCGCTTTGCAGACATGACTGCCGCCATGGCGTCATGTAGCACCCCTATACTGCAGTACCTTCTAGCCTTCTTGCTCTCTCTGCCCAAACAGTTTCCGCCAGTTTATTTGGGAGCATCAACGCAAGATTACTGTAAGAGTACGTACTCTCTCTTCACTCAATATTTGTGCTTGAGCTCTTATCATGTGGCCTAGATCCTAACTCGAACGTTGATTCAGCAGTAAACGCTGTTCTCGGCGTCGCCTTGGCCATCGCCATGCTTCTCAGCCTTATCTATACGCGTCGACTAATGAATTCAAAACTTCCGGAAGTCGTGTATGAACGACGCAAGCGACGGTGCGTTACACCACCCCATTTCATGTGAACGTTCCTGACTACAGAATAATTTCGTAGGGTGGAACTTGAAGCTAAAGTTTGAGAATCTGAACTACAAGCCCAGAACTCGGGAGCTGGATGTACTACCAAGATGCTGTAAACTTTTCAAATTAGTTCTGGATGATGGTGTATAATTTTGCAGGTGCATATATACGTGGGACTACGTAATCATGGATATTACCACTGAGCTGTAACGCATATGAACATCGAGGCGCTTTTGTAGGACTGTAGTCCGTTTGGCGGTACCAGTTTGTTGAAGAGAGTGAACAGGCGCCTCAGGGGCTTTTACCTTCGGAAATCAGCGACTCGCTCCGATTTATGGCGTATGTTTTCGCCGCTCGTCGGGGTTCACGAAACATGTATTGGACTATCACATCTCGGATCTAACTCTCGAAGCTACGGTACTACCCAATGATATCACTCCTTCAAGCTTATTACAGTGCACGCATCCATCCATTCTGTCCCCCTCCAGCGTTCTCGTTATTTCTCGCTAATTCAGAATTAATATGCAACGGCAAGTTAATCACCGTTCACTGACCATTACCTTAACTGACATTGATAGCTCCGGCGTATGTTGGAAGCACCATAAATAACCGATGAAAGATGTCGCTTCTCGTCGCTTTCTTACCACGTAATTCTGATTTGTCGGCGGGAAGAGGGCGCCGGTGAGCCCGTTATCTGCCTCTTAATGTAAAGTCGAGCAACATCTCCAGCTCCTAATGGCGACACCGTTAGTCTCAGGCACGTTCAAGCCTTTGCTATCGCTGAACTCGTTGACGTTGAAGAAATCAGAATGCTTATCGTTATGCGCCCACGCTGCTGTACTGTGTCCAGCTATCTTTCAGCCAACGATGCCTCTACGGCACAAGAATGGTTTATGGAACACCAAATGTGGCGCAAAACGCGGGGATAGCTAGCTACTCGGGGACACTGCTTAACCTAATAATAACATGTTGGATGCTTCTCTAGAGCGGAGAACAACATGGATTTTCCCCGCTGGCCTCTGTTCTCCGCGTCTTGCGCCCTATAAGATGTGCCTTCAATTATTTCTTGTGTACACTCAAATTCACTGTCGACATCGCTTCTTCTCTACATCCATTAAGGAATCCCAGGATATGCGCACTGGGCTTGAACCATCCATCGAGCTAACTACGGTGTCGGTGCAAGACGTGGCAGGTGCCCGTAGCGCCGTCCGCACACCGAGTCCGACTCTAAATGAACGACGTATTCTCGCACCTAATCGAAGTATGCGAGATCGATTCGGGCGCCCAACCCTGAGAGACGTTGGTGAGTATATCTTTATCACTCTGACACGAAACGTCGTTAAATTTCGCCATGAAAGCCGTATTAGTTGGTCTTCTCATCGTTGTCGTCATCGTTGTTATCACATCAATGTACCATCAGCAAATTGGATGTGCCTTTGACCCCGCGGGCAAATGGATTGAAAAGTGAGCCTTTCACAAAATGTATCTATACACCAGCACGTTCAAGCAGTAACAATCTAGTCACCACGGCGCATGGGCCATTCTGTTTTGCGCCTTAATAATCTTTTCGTTCCCTCCGGTGAGTCTTGCTCCGTCCAGGGATGTGGAGCGACTATGCTGACTTGTCGTAGCTTATAGGACAAGAGGTTGTGGCTATGTTCTGTGGTCTTGCTTGGGGGCCCGGCGCAGGTTTCTTTGTTGCATGCGTGGGTAATCTCATAGGGGAGACCGTCTTGTTTGTGTGAGCGTTTTCAGCCTGCATTGCTTATGTTCCTGGTCGAGTAATGTAAGTACTCTTCAGTGCCGTCAGATGGCTCTTCAAAGAGCGCGCAGAGAAGTATGCCGAGAAGAACATTCGATTTGCTGCCTTGGGTGCAGTTACAAAGGAAGGCGGATTCAAAACCATCATCATTGCGCGCTTCAGTGCGATACCGCCTCATTGTTCGACATTTGTTCTTCTCGGTTGTTTTGCGACTCACGCCCTGTAGTTACTATGGCTGTTCTAGCGTCAAATACGACGCCAGGGTACCAGTGCTTTCTGGCCATGGTGCTTTCCCTGCCGAGGCAGTTTCCGCCCATATTTGTAGGCTATACGATGCAAGGCAACTGCAGCGGTATGTCATTCCTTCCTTTCGATCCTTGGTACATTCTTACATGACAATGCCGTCTAGCGCCCAGTTCGCATACCAAGGTAGTGGTGAACGATATAATCATCGTAGTCTTCATCACTGTCGCACTCTCGGGCCTCTACTATATACGCCGACTCATGCGAGCCAAATTGCCCGAGATAGTTTACGAGCGACGCAAACGACGGTGATCCAGTAGCCTTCATTGTTTCCCCCAGTTTACTCACTGCACTCGTGTTTTGATAGCCAGCAGGCTGATACTGGTTCACAGACCGCTGATCAGAACGTTCCTGGAAAGCCAGACTCAAAAAACACGGCACTGGAAAGTAAAGCGTGATTAGTTTGCATTGATTGTAATCGGACTTGCATTACTTCACCGCACATGAAATGGTAACGTGAATGCGGTTTGCATGAGAAACGGCGCACCTTTACCATAGCTTACTCTCGGCCGCGGCCGCCGACATGTGTTGTGTTTGCCATGTCGTCCCTAGCTGGACCGTAGCGATTACCAATGTTCTCGCTAGCCGGTAGAATCCCTTGAAGAAGGGCAGATCGGACCAAAACCTGTTCGTTGCATCTCCGTACACCTTTAGCCGGGGTACAGCTGAAGGTCTTAGCCCACAACCATTATCCACAGATGAATCGGCACCGAATGCACGTCTGGGAAGTTACAATATGCTTTGGTTTTGTGAGATAAACTCTAGTGGTGTGAGGGAGGGAGATCCCCTGCTATTCCCAGGAGGCGTTCGCGACAGGAAGTAACCGATCATCTGGCAGAAGCTGGGATGCTCGGGGCTTCGCGTACGGCCGCTACTGAAAGGAAATCCGAATCTATGTCGTAGAGTGACATGAATGATACAAAGATGAAGAAGATAGTACAGTTTACACAGTTCTCCGGTCTGTCATCACCCGCACGATGCAACCAGTGCCCGCGACTTCTGTTAACTGCACACGATACGTCAGCGTATGATCAACTGAGACAGAAGACATATCATGGCAGGGATTGGATGAGGAGTTCTTATGCCATGGTGACTGGCTGCGGTAGCAGATGGGGGCAGTATGAGGATAGGCTTCGTAACACACCTTCTCGTGCCATATCAGCAACACGCTTCCCGAGACATCTCCCCATCCTGGCATAGCCATCCCCTTGTAAAGATACTTCATCAACGTGTCCTGGTTCTCAACAGAGAGATCCTTGAGCACGGCAGGGATGTCAGCTGATCGTGTGCTGTTGAGGATTGAGACGACCGTTTGAAGGGTCAGGTTCTAGACGTTGGGATGGTCGTGTTAGCGTCCGAGCGCCGCAGGGCGTAGATCGTGACAAGGATGGATGATTAAACGTGATTATGAGGAGGAGATAAAACACCAGAGTGAAGGAGAGGAATAGGTAGGGACCATACATGGAACGAGGGAAGCAACAAACGTACCTTAGCCTCATCAACATTCGGCCCGTATGGCGCCTGGTCCAACGCAATGCTCAAAGCCCCCGTTACGTCGTTCCTAGCACCACAGGTACAAACCCTTAGTGTCTCACTCCATCCTTTCTGGAGCGAGAGCCTCACCTAGCCAGTGCGCTGCGCACATCTGCCTGCTTCTGTTTGGCGTCTGCGAGGACCTGGGTGGGATCGCGAGGATCGGGCTCAACGAGCTCAGTCTCTTGAATAACGTCCTCGTCATACGCGTCGATGTCAATCTTTCGAAAGGACATGGTGCAGGTTGTGGAGATTGGAATGGGTCTGGTAAGATGTGCGGTGGACACGGAGCCTGATGACCGCGAGGCGCGACAGGCGAAGGGTGTTCGGAAGCAATAGCGGCAAAGCAGGCGCAGTCATGCACGACTCGGTCGGACGTCTTTCAGCTGTTCCTCAGCTTTTGTCATTATTGGGCTATGGAGGGCCACCACCCTCAAAGGTGGGCTATATCGTAGCTCACGATACGCCTCAACGTTGAATGTTTCAAGCTAGGAGCCTAGTGGCTTCATCAACCAGGAACGAGATACTATTATTGACGTGAAAGGTCTTCACTAGTACCGGCAGTGTCAAAGGCTGACTAGGACTCACGATGGTCTGCCAGGTATATCGTCCTAGTGAATCCATGAAGCTGATATCTTGTATCTATCAGACATGAAGCCGCCCAAATGCCCTACAATATACGGATATTCTGGCCGCGTCGGTTCGGTGTCTAACTTTCCTAGATTACAACTCGAGTCGGCAGTGCCCAGCTTTGATCGACACTCCCAGATGCGAAGATACACCGAAATGCGCCATGATGGGTGATTACGGAAAATGAAGGTGCAACATCACTGAGGTCTAACGCAGCTTTGAGTCTAGGGGTAATCTTCGTTAACAGGGAATTGGCGGCTATGTTAGTATCGTGGTGCATTCTCCCTCATACTCACTTGAGATGTAAATGACAGTCCGGCAAGTACAGCAAACCACCGGAAGCGATAGTTCACGGTATTGGAACCGTATTTCAGAAACATCGCCATTCATGTTTCTAAGATTGAGCTTCGCTGCCACGATTTGTCGTCCGGACTATAAATACAGAGAGGCCCACTTGGTCCGAAAGCTGGTCGCATTCTGCTGCTCGATCTCCATGTCTTCGCTCGCACCTAGATACGCCTTCGGTGAGTAGATCACTCTTTGATAACCTCCGGCCAGAGCAGTGACCAGCGAGCAGCAGCAGCCATGACATGGATGTCATACGATTATAGTCAGTGACTAAGCCTCCAGTGACATATTTGTTAGATTCAGCAGACTAAAGAAATTGTTATCAACAGTCTTAACTCTGGGTCTCGAGGTACATTACTCTTGCCTGTTAGTCAGCTGTGGACGTGATGATCTCATGCTATTCTCCAGATAGAATTGATTTGGGTTGGCTCACCGATATATGCCGAGGACAGCAGCTGAAGTATGACTATTCTCAGATGAAAAAACGAACTCCAATATCAATGCTTTATGTGCTAGTAAGCATATATGCACCTAAAACGCGAGACTGAACTAAATGGAGCCCTTAGTTGCGCTACGGTGGCATGCTATGGGCGGCGTGAGTTAGGCTCCTAGCTTGATACAAATTTGTTCCGTCGAATTCATCCATTGTGTTCTTTGCAGACTACAAGGTAAAGTTTCATGCTTATCATCTGACACGAAGTCTACAGCGCTTATCTTTCGTTCATCAGTTGTTCTCGTTAAGATATCTCTATCAATCCAAGTAAGCGTAACCGCTTCGTGTCCTAGATAATTTGAGAGTTACTCACGCTGAACTATTCTCTATAGATGTGAGTATTTTAGCAGCTTCTGCCTTCACAGCTTGTAATTGAATATCACTATCTCTTATAACACAGGTGTGAGTTCGGGTTGAGCCACACCGGCTATCAACATTGTTGTTTATGGTAGGAATCTGACGTAGGTGATATTGTAACCGGCATTATTTCGATGACCTCGCTTGTCATCGTGCTCCTGCTAGAGGGTGAGCATCTACTCTACAGCGACTCGTTGTTAAGTGACGCAAAGGCCCGTGCAGGAATGATGGCGCTCCGAGTTCACATCCTTCTTGGAAAGTCGAGGCGTATACTCGCAGTCCTTGTGATAGGTTTTCTGACGAGCCAAACTGTTACGTTCGCTGTCCTAATCTCGACGTTTGCTCGCGGGGGAAGTATCGTGCCACCAGGTAAATTGGAGCGGCATGTTTATTTCCGCTTATTCTGTAGCACTCACGACATATTCCATGCATTTTCAAAAGCAAAAATCGCAATATCTGGTGTGAGGTACTGCAACAAAGCAGTCCCCGAGCCTCAATGGGTCTATCCGCTGTGCGGCGCCGCGCTGCTGATATACGAACTCATGTTGTTTTTGCTCTGTCTATACCACGCTGTTACGCACATTGAACGTCCGCTGCGGACATCTATCAGACGCTATGCTGGGTCTCTAGCGTCAATAATGGTTCGGCAAAGCCTGTTGTACTTTAGCGCGTGGGTGATTTGCCGTTCCTTCAATAAATATACAGCCGCTAAAATCCCACCAGCGTGGTTTTTGGCTTAATAATGATTGTCATGAGCCAAAATCTTACCCTTCAATCGGTGAGTCGTCCGCAGCAATCAATAATACTTTCTAATCGGATTGAAAGTCTACCACATTCTTGGTTATTAACTCAACAGCAGAATTTGTTTTATTTGGTATGATAGGGCCATGGATCGTTCTCGGCCTTCGAGGACAATGCGAAGAAGGTTTCGGAAACTATAATATCAGCGTGCCCCATGGTACAACACTACGCTTCGGAGACAATTCTGCTGAGGATGTATAGAACTTGCATGACTTGACAAGAAACATGTACATTACTTCAAGGTGCAATCTCAATGCGAATCTAGCTATAGAGGGCCAGCACTGTCACATCCACCAGTGCAAAGCGAGAACGACGACGGCGAAGTCGACGTCGCAAATGACAATGGCCCGCTTACGCTGCGCGGAGCAGCCTGCCTACGCACGCTGGGACCACCATAATCCCTCGCAGCCAACCGCTGATTTTGATTCTGATTCTGAGCTGACGGCGTCAAGAGAATAGACAACCGACGAGCGCAGCGGCGTGGTCCATGCAGACGCAGAACGCGAGGGCGAGACGCTGCTCGACACACCCGGCACCGCGTTCGAATGCGAGACGGAGCGCGACGCCGCGGGCGACATAGAAAGCGCGCCTCTATATCCGAATCCTGGTCTGCTGGCAGGAGAACGCGAGAACGCGCGTCCGCTCTCCAAGGCCGACCCGCTCGAGCTGACGGGCGGGAATTGGTCCTAGTCCGATCCGGTTGCTGGGGGTGTCGATGCATCTGAGCCCGACTCAGAGTACAAGTTGGAATTGTTGGACGCGGAAGCAAAGCCGCCGAGGGCAGCCAAGCTCGCGCTGGAGCCTGCCTCGGACTCGGCAACAGGCGGGGTGGACCTCCCTACTCCTCGGAGCCTCCACACGAGGCCTGTGTCTCCTTTTGCCTTTCCCAATCTCTATCTGAGTCTGAACCGCCGGCACGCTGCCACGTAGAAGCCGACGACGTTCATCCCTGTGTCCTGGCTCTCGGCAGAGAGACCCTTGAGCACGGCAGGGATGTCGGCTAACCGTGTACTGTTGAGGATTGAGGCGACCGTTTGAAGAGTCAGGTTCTAGATGTTGGGATGGTCGTGTTAGCGCGCGAGCGTTGCAGGGCGTGGAATGTGACAGGGAGGGATGATTGAACGGGGGTATGAGTTAAACGGGGGTATGGGGAGTGCTAGTGAACGGACAGCGGGGTGAAGGGAAGGAGCAGGCAGGAGCCGTGTGTTGAATGAGGGAAGCAACAAGCATACCTTGGCCTCATCAACATTCAACCCATACGACGCCTGGTCCAACGCAATGCTCAAAACCCTCGTTACGTCGTTCCAAGTGCCAACGTGCAAATACTTAGTGCCTCAAATCATCATGCATAGAGCGCGAGTCTCACCTAGCCCGTCTGAGATGACCTGGGTGGGGCCGCGAGGATCGGGCTCAACGAGCTCAGTCTCTTGAATCACGTCCTCGTCATACGCGCCGATGTCAATCTCTCGAAAGGACATAGTGTTGGTTGTGGAGATTGGGGCAAGATTGGGGTGGGGTAAGGTGTGCGGTAGACACTGGATGATCGCGAAGCGCGACAGCTAAAGTGCGTTCGGAAGCAATAGCGGCCTGGGCACTCCAGGTCTTTCAGCTGCCACTCTTCCGCCTTTTCACGGTCACCCTCTGGTTCTGGACAGCTAGCTCTCTTAATGCTAGGCCGTCTTAAAGCCCATCATACGCATCACGACAAGTGTTTCAACCTAGGAACCTAGTGGCTCCATCAACCAGGAACGAGGTATCGCCATGGAGGGTCTTCAGTTTGACGCTGCACGAACATCATGCATGATACGGCCGAGGGTTAGTGTATATCTGCCAGGTATACCTTTCCAGTGAACCTGTGACGCTGAACTATTCGTCCTTCTCAGACCTGGGCCTGAAGACGCAAATGTGCCCTACGGTGCATGAACATTCCGGCTGCATCGGCCCGGTGTCTAATCTTAAGTCCTAGGGTGCAACTCGAGCCGGCAGTACTAGTGCTCAGCGGTCAAGCGCTCAGCCTTGTTCAACACTCTCAGATGTGAATAATTATCGGAACACTCCATGATAGGTGATTGCGAAAATGAGGATGAAACATCACCGAGGTCTAACACAGCCTATAGTCTAGGGGTAATCTCTGTGAACAGGGAATTGACGGATACTGCATGTGGGTAACGTGGTGCATTCTTCCTCAAACCCACTTGAGATGTGAATGACAGTCCGGCATATAATCGTTCAAGTACCTATCGTGCTGAAACGACAACACAGTATGGCAACTGCCACCGGAGACGATAGTTCCAAGCGCGGGAACCAGATCACCGTGACGGCGTTGGAATCGTGTTTCAGAAACATCGCCTTAAGTTCATGTTTCTAAAATTGAGCTTCGCTGCCACGATTTGTCGTTCGAACTATAAATGCGGAGAAGCTCACTTGGTCCAAAAGCTGGTCGTATTTTATTACTCTCGATAGCCATGTCTTCGCTCGCATCTAGATACGCCTTCGGTGAGTAGCCTCACTTTCTGGTGATATCCGGCCAGAGTACTGACCAGCGAGCAGCAGCTACCATATCATGGGTGTTATACGATTATCGTCAGTGACTCAACCTTCAGGGGCATATTCAATACATTCAATAAACTAAAGAAATTGATATCAACAGTCTTAACCCTGAATCTCGAGGTACGTGGCTTTCGTATTCTTGCCTTTTGGATAGTTGCGGACGTGATACCATGTGTCGTTGATCTCATGCTGCTCTCCAGATAGAGCTAATCTGGGTTAGTTCACCAAATCGTTCCAAGAACAATACTTTAACTATGGCTGTACTCAGATGAAAAGACGTACTGTGATATCATTGCTTTATGTATTGGTAAGTATATATGCACCTTACATGCGAGACTGAACTAAATGGAGCCCTTAAGTTGCGCTACGGTGGCATGCTATGGGTGGCGTGAGTCAGGCTCCTAGCTTGATATAAATACGTTCCGTCGGATTCATCCATTGTTTTCTTTGCAGACTACAAGGTCGGGTTACATGCTTATCATCTGACTTGAGGTGTATAGTGCTTATCTCTCGTCCACTAGTTATTATCGTTGAAATGGCTCCATCAATTCACGTGAGCGTGACTACTTCGTATCCCACATAATTTTGGAGTTGCTTACATTGAATTATTTTCAATAGACGTGAGTATTTTAGCAGTTTCTGCCTTCACGGCTTGTTCTTGAACCTTATAATACAGGTGTAAGCTCGAGTTGAGTTGCGTTGGTTATCACGCCGTTGATGGTAGGAATCTGAATAGGTGAAATTGTAACCGACATTTGTGCGATTATCCAGCTTGTCATCGTACTGCTGCTAGAGGGTGAGCATCTACTCTTTAACGAGCCATTGATAAGTAACGCAAAGGCCCGAACAGCAATGATGGCGCTCCGAGTACACATCCTTCTTGGAAAGTCAAGGCGTGTACTCGCAGCCCTTGTGATAGGGTTTTTGGCTAGCCAAGCTGTCACGTTCACCGTCATAACCTCAATGTTTGTGCGTGGGGGAAGTGTCATACCACCAGGTAACTTAGAGCAGTATGTTTACTTTCGCTTGATCTCGATCACTCACGACGTATTTTGAACAGCAAAAATTGCAATATCTGGTATAAGATTCTGCAACAAAGCGTCCTCCGACCCTCAATGGGTCTATCCGTTGTGCGCCGGTGCGCTGCTGATATATGAACTGATGTTGTTTTTGTTCTGTCTACATCACGCCATCGCGCACCTCGAGCGACCATGGTGGACATCTATTAGACGCTATGCCGGCTCTCTAGCGTCAATAATGGTTCAGCAAAGCTTGTTTTACTTTGGCGTGTGGGTGATTCGCCGTTCTTTCCATTAACATGCAACTGCTAAAATCCCACCAGTGCGTTTTTTGGCATAATGTTGACCGCTATGAGCCAAAATCTTACCCTTCAATCGGTGAGACGTCCACCGCAATCAATAATACTTTCTAACTGTATTGATAGTCTAATGCATTCTTAATTATCGATTCGATGGCAGAATTCGTTTTACTTACCATGATAGGACCGTGGATCGTGCTCGACCTTCGAAGACAATACGAAGAGAAGATCGACAACTATAACCTACGCGTACTGCGCCTTACAACATTGCGCTTTGGAGGCAGTTCTGCTGAGGATGTATAGACTTGACAAGAAACATGTATATTACATCAAGGTGCAATCATCCCTGCACTGTCACATCCACGGGTGCAAGCGTGATCTCACTAACCCCTCATCATCCCGATGTATGTCCAGCCTCCTCCCGACTCATCGCCTCCGCCAAACTCAACTCGAGTGCAAACCTCAAATCATCATCCACCTCCGCTTCTTCACCTCCACCTCCGCCACCTCCAACGCTTCCTCCAGCACCGCCATTGTCAACACTCGCATTCTCCGCACCCTCACCACGCCCAAGCCTCGCCATCTCTGCCGAAAGCAACGACATTCCCCCACGCGCAGCCACAGACGAGAACGACGGCCCCGCAAACGACGATGGCTCGCTCACGCTCCGCGGAGCAGCTTGCCTACGCCCGCTGTTGCTGGGACCACTATATTCCACCCCAGCCAACCGCTGATTTTGATTCCGATTCTGAGCTGGCGGCGTCACAGGAGTGGACAGAGAGCGCAGTGGCGTGGTCCGCACAGACGCAGAGCGCGAAGACTTGACGCTGCTCGATACACCCGACACTGCACTCGAATGCGAGACGGAGAGCGACACCGCGGGCGACATGGAAAGCATGGTTCCGTGTTCGAACCCTGTTCCGCTGGCGGGAGAATGCGAGAACGAGCTCCCGCTCTCCGAGGCAGACGCGCGCTGAGGGCAGCCAAACTTGGCCAAACTCGCGCTGGAGCCTGGCTCGCGTGGCTCGGCGACATATGGCGGAGACACCTGGATCTTCTTGTTGGTCCTCGGGGCTTCCACACGTGGCCTGTGCCTCTCCTTCTGCCTTTCCCTATCTCTATCCGAGTCTGAACCACCGGCACGCTGCCACGTAGAAGCCGACGACATTCATCCCTGTGTCCTGGCTCTCGGCAGAGAGATCCTTGAGCACGGCAGGGATGTCGGCTAACCGTGTGCTGTTGAGGATTGAGACGACCGTTTGAAGGGTCAGGTTCTAGATGTTGGGATGGTCGTGTTAGCGTGCGAGCGTCGCACGGCGTGGAATATGACATAGAGGGATGATTGAACGGGGGTACGAGGAGGGGACGGACAGCAGGGCGACGGAAAGGAGCAGGCAGGGGCCATACGTTGAACGAGGGAAGCAAGAAGCGTACCTTAGCCTCATCAACATTCGGCCCATACGGCGCCCGGTCCAACGCAATGCTCAAAACCCCCGTTACGTCGTTCCTAGTACCACAGGTACAAACCCTTAGTGCTTTAGCCCATCATTTCTAGAGCGAGAGTCTCACCTAGCCAGTGCGCTGCGTACATCCCCGTGTTTCTGCTTGGCGTCTACGATGACTTGGGCGGGATCGCGAAATTCGGGTCCAACGAGCTCAGTCTCTTGAATAACGTCTCCGTCATACGCGTCGGTGTCAATCTTTCAAAAGGACATGGTGTGGGTTGTGGAGATTGGGGTGGAGTAAGGTGTGCGGCAGACACTGGACGATCGCGAGGCGCGACAGCCATTGTGTTCGGAAGCACGCGCGGAGCGCTCCGGCAATAGATGTTTTAGGAATAGGGGCATTCAAAGCGTATAGAAGGTAGAACATCTAAAAATAATGTTTACGACGAGAAGATACGGCACGAAGTAAGCAGAATTTATGTAAGCCAGTTAAGCGAAACTCATGTCGAAAGGCCTTAAGCTGATGTCTTTGAAGGACCGGCCACGTTCAAGCCGAATGAAGTGGTCTAAGGCATCCAATGTTAACTGCTAGGTCGACGGCATCGAATGCAGGAGCATAGTAAGAGGAAAGGTCACACCCGCATTCGTGCTTGAGAAAAAGCTATAAGGGGCCGTCGACGGGGTAAAACCCTTCTTCACTCTCACTCTGAGCACTCTTTAGCATGTTCAAGACCATCTCAGCTAGAGCTCGTACCAAAGACACGACAGAGGAAGACCGCAGTGACAGGCTGTTCGGCCGAGACGGGAGAGCGCGCGGGCGTCAGGCTGTCCCTCCTGGAGAAGAAATAAGACAACGGAACGGATACATGTGGCGAAACACATATACTGATCAGATCTTGAGCGCGGCGCTCGCACTCGTGTCAACGGACGCAGTCGGACACGTACAGCTCAATGTACAGCCGGATAGGCCAGCCGAAAGGATACCTAACAACAAAAGGCACCAATGAGAGACCTGTGCTACCGGTCAGTAGTAAGGAGAGGAACTGTTGGAGACCATGCCTCTTCAACGACCAAGTCGATACCATGAGTAGGTTGCAGGGTGAAAGGAATGGTGGTATCCAGCCTTTTCCTTACGATCGCACCTGTCACGCTCTGAGGACAGAGTGAGGGGAAGTGACTTCACGCGCATGTAATGTAGATAGCATCTGGCCTCGGACATCTTCAAGATCCTCAATACATCGCAGGGGGGGAGGATTCGACTCGTCAGAACGTCGTAAGTGTCACAGGCAGGAAAGGGAATCTCGCGCAGACGAGGCATGATGTGGAAGGATGGTGAAAAAGTGACACACACACGGGGACCAGTTCATATAGCGCAGCAGTCAGTTAGGGTCACCAGAAAGGAGGGCCCATCAATTAAATGAGCATTAAGCATGATTCTACAAAGAGTTCAGCAGGAGCGTTTCGACGGGCGAGAGCACTTACTTCGCTGTACTGTGCTGGACCGTGTTCCGCACGTATTCAGAGACAGCGAGATCAAAGCGCCGTATGGGTGGTGCAGGTCCATCCGACGCTGTTGCCGGACTGACGCGCCCGACCGCAAACAACAACGGCATATCGAACTCGGGGACGTTGTCATAGTACGACTCCTGCGACGGATCTCCTGGAAAGGGGAAGAACTGCTGAGGCTGGGCGTCCAAGAGGATCGGGCCATCGCGATCGAAATACGCCTTAGCGACGACGAACGCGAGCGTGTCATCTCGAGCAACCTGTCCTCCTACAGGGCTATACACACGAAGCTGAGCGGGGGTTGACGACGTAATCTCGGAACGGAACGCAGTGTCGTAAAAACAGTGAGATCCCCGTCTGCTCTGAGCGGCGGACGCGGTTGATCAAGCTGAACATTCCGACGACGAGTGCGGTAGACATGTTGGCTGGTGGCCGGAGGGTGAGGCTGCTATTTTGCGGCAGACACTCACCAGGTTTTAACATCCTCCGACTGAATACATTCCATACTCACAGGTCGAGGGAGCTGAATCTTGACACTGCAATGTCGGAGGGATCTCAACCGCGAATTCCCATTGGGTGCGGAATAATTTAATTCAATAAAAGGCGTATTTGCGCCAGCGATGCATTCGATGTCGACGACTTCATGTCCACGGGACCACTCTTTTGGGCGACCCTATGTGCTGGCGTCCACCGAGGCATTCAATTGTCCACAATTGCATTCAATCCGACCCACGTGGGAAACAGGGAAACACACAGGAGGCTGTCGACCAAACAACAACATACAAAAGCCGACCATCTGCTTGTAGATACGATTAATAGCGACAGGGCAGGCGCACGACGCGTCTTTCAGCTGCTCTTCCGCTTTTGTCACAGCCTTCACTCTTGCCAACGGGTTCTGGACAGCTAGCTCTCTCAATGGTAGACCATCTCAAAATCCATGATACGCATCGCGTTAAGTGTCTCAAGCTAGGAACCTAGTGGCTTCATCAACCAGGAACGAGGTATCGTCAAGGTATCGCCATGGATGGTCTTCAGTTTCACGCTTCATGAACGTCATGATACGGCCAAGGGCTAGTCATGTGTCTTGCCAGGCATACCTTTCCGGTGAAAATGTGACGCTGAACGATTTGCCCTTCTCAGGCGTGAAGACATAAAGGTACCCTACGATGTATGAACATTCTGGCTACGTCGGTCCGGTGCCTAAGTCCTAAGGTCAAACTCGAGTCGACAGTGCTCAGCCTTAGGCAGTGCAACCAGATATGAAGATGTATCGGAACATTCCATGATGGGTGATTGAGAAAATGGAGGTGAATCATCACTGATGTCTAACGCAGCTTTTAGTCCAGGGGCAATATACATACACAGGGAATTGGCGACTATGTGGGTGCCGCGGTGCATTCCTCGAGCCCACTTGAATGACGGTCCGGCATAAATCGTGAAAGTATCTCCCGTGCTGAAACAAAAAAAACAGTATGACAAGCCACCGGAGACTATCCAGTGCCGGTGGCGGGAACCAGAACACGGCGTTGGAACCGTGTTTCAGAAACATCGCTGATCATGCTTCTAATATTGAGCTTCGCTGCCACGATTCGTCGTTCGAACTATATATGCAGAGAAACTCGCTTGGTACGAAAACTGGCCACATCTCATTGCTCCCAATAACCATGTCTTCACTCGCTCTCGAGCCTCTGTCTAGATATGCCTTCGGTGAGTAGACCAATCTTTGATACTCTCCGGTCAGAGTGGTGACCAGCGAGCAGCAGCTACCATATCATGGATGTCATACGATTATCGTCAGTGACTCAACCTTTTGGTACATATTCAATTAACTAAAGGCGTTTTCGACCACAGTCTTAACCCTGAACCTAGAGGTACGTGGCTGTCAGATTCTTGCCTTTTGGACAGTCACGACCGTGATAGTCTCATGCTGCTCTCTAGATAGAGCTGATTTGGGTGAGTTCACCTAACTACGCCAATAACAGCAATGGACCTATGATGACCTATGGTTATCCTTAGATGAAAAGGCACACGGTAATGTCATTGGTTTATGGAGTGGTATGTATATCATTTTACACGCACGCAAGGATGAGCTAAAAACGATACACATAGCTGCGCTATGGTGGCATGCTATGGGTGGCGTGAGTGGGGCTCTCAGCTTGATATATATACGTTCTGCCGGATTCATCCATCATGTTCTTTGCAGGCTACAAGGTTAAGTTGCATACCTATCATCTGACTTGAGGCATGCAGTACTGACCTTTAAATAGTTGTCATTGTGAATATGGCGCCATCCACCCGAGTAAGCGTGACTACATCGTGCCCCCGACACTTTTAAATCTACTCACATTGAAATTATTTCGGTAGACGTAGGTATTTTCGCAGCTTGTGCCTTCATGGCCTGACCATTGCTTCGCTCTTCGGTGTAACACAGGTGTAAGTTCAAGTCTAGCTGCACTAACTGTCAGATTATTTATGATAGCAATTCGACGTAGGCGATATTATAACCGACATTTGTACGGCAACCGAGCTTATCATCGTGCTTCTGCTAGAGGGTAAGTCTATACTCGTCAACGGATTATCCTTGAGTGACGCAAAGGCTCGGGCAGGAATGATGGCGCTCCGAGTACACATCCTTCTTGGAAAATCAAAGCGTGTACTCGCAGCACTCGTGATAGGTTTCTTGGCTAGCCAAGTTGTTACGTTGGCCGTCATTGTTTCATTACTTGCGCATGGGGGAAGTATCATACCACCAGGTGACTCCGAGAAATCTTCTCTCCGCCTGATCTAGAGCACTTACGAAATATCCCACATGCTCTACAAAGCAAAAATCGCGATATCTGGTATGAAGTCTTGCAGCAAGGCATCTTCCGACCCTCAATGGGTCTACTCGCTATGCTGCTCCACGCTGCTGATATACGAGCTGATGTTGATTGCGTTCTGCCTACATCACGCTATCGCGCACCTCGAGCGACCATTGTGGACATCCATAAGAAGTTACACTGGTTCTCTGACATCAATAATAGTTCGACAAAGCCTGTTCTATTTTACCGTGTGGGAGAATCGCCGCCTCTTCGATGAATATACAGCTGCTGACATCCTCCTACCAGCGCATTTTTTGGCATCCTGATTACCGCTATGAGCCAAACCCCAGCCCTTCAATCTGTGAGACGTCCGCCCCAGTTACTCTTATTTTCTAATTAGATTGAAAGTCTGCTGCATTTCTTATTATAAACTCAATAGCAGACTTCGTTTTACTGACGATGATAGGTCCGTGGATCGTGCTCGACCTTCGAAGACAGTACGAAGAGAATATCGACAACTATAATCTACGCGTACTGAGTCTTACAACATTGCGCTTTGGAGATCGTTCTGTTGAGGAGGGATAGACATGCCTGGTTCGACAAAAAGTACCTGCTAGAATCTGACAAACAAATAGGGGACGCAACCAGTAATGTAGCTCTAAAGAGACAGATATGTACTGCTTGAAGGTGCCAGCCTGACATAAAAATATGAGATCACCTTCCTAGTTATGGTGTACGAGCACTGATAGGTGTATGTGAATATTTCGTAGCGGCCTCTCATCCTCGTGTTCTATTGTAACTCTCCATTTCACTGAGCCTCACAGTCATACATCCCACTTGCCCTGCTCTTGAATGATTCTCTCAGGCAGCTCACAGGTCGTAGGCTATGCATATAAAGCCCTGGCCCGCGCCCCCAACGTACTGGAGAATCTTGATGCTGCGCAAAGATGATCAAAAAATCAGGGCGTAAGCATAGATCAGTGCACGTCTTTACTCACATTTCTCTTTCTCGCTTCGGATTATTCATATTCGTCCTGCTGCATCGTTTTCCGGCTCGGTTACCCGTCTGTATACCCCAAGCTGGTTTACTACCTACTCCATGGGTCCGTTCGTGTGACTGTTAGATGTCGTAAGCACCAATGGATAGATAGGTTTGAAATTGGCTGGTCCTTTGGGTTGTTACTTTCCTGTCCAAATGACTTGGACGTTGATCGAATGATCACGGATCTCCACCTGCCAATAACTAGTCGCCCTGTCCCAAGATCTCCGATATAATCTACGGTAGTAACATTTCGGGGCCGTGGTTGTTTGAGAGCTTTAGCATCCAACGATCATGGCAGAACAAGGGGTTTGAATTCAAGGAACACGACACCAACACGGCACCTCCTGTCCCTCCCCCGAGCTACTTCCTTTCACGGAACAACATCGAACACCGTTTCAGTCGGGGGCTGTGAATGGCAGAAGGCGTCTATATTATTTGAAGTTGTAATCTTGACATACGAACCTAGCTATGGAGTCATGGTACTGTCACATCCACGAGTGCAAAGCGTGAGTTCACTAACCCTTCATCTACCCGACGTATGTCCAGCCTCCTCCCGACTCCTCGCCTCCGCCAAACTCAGCTCAATCGCAAACCTCAAATCATCATCCATCTCCTCTTCCACCCCTCCACCTCCAGCACTTCCTCCACCACTTTCTGCAACGCTTCCTCCAGCACCGCCCGCTTCAACACCCGCATTCTCCGCACCCTCACCACGCCCAAGCCTCGCCATCTCCGCCGAAAGCAACGACATACCCCCACGCGCAGCCACAGACGAGAACGACGACGGCGAAGCCGACCCCGCAAACGACGAGCCGCTCACACTGCGCGGAGCAGCTTGCCTACGTCCGCTGTTGCTGGGACCACTATATTCCATCGCGGCCAACCGCTGGTTTTGATTCCGATTCTGAGCTGGCGGCGTCACAGGAATAGACGACGAACGCAGCGGCGTGGTCCACGCAGACGCAGAGCGCGATGACTCGACGCTGCTCGATACACCCGACACCGCACTCGAATGCGATACGGAGCGCGACGCCGCGGGCGACATGGAAAGCGCGGCTCCGTATCCGAATCCTGGTCCGCTAGCGGGAGAACGTGAGAACGAGCGTCCGCTCTCCGAGGCCGACGCGCTCGAGCTGACGGGTGGGAAGTGGTCCTGATCCGATCCGGTTGCAGGGGGTGTCGACGCATCAGAGCCCGAGCCCGAGTTGGAGTTGGAGTTGTTGGCCGCGGAAGCAGAAACACTGAGGGCAGCCGAAATCGCGCTAGCGCCTGCCTCGCGTGGCTCGGCAACATACGGCGGGGACACTTGAACCTTCTCGTTGGTCCTCGGAGCCTCTACGCGTGGTCCAGGCCTCTCCTTGTGCCTCTCTCTATGTCTACCTGAGTCTGAACCACCGGCACGCTGCCATGCAGAAGACAACGACGGGCCCGCCTGTGGGACATCATCAAAGTCACCTAGGAACACGCCCTCGTCGACGCTGGACGCTTGCATTTGCTGTCGCCGCTTCCGCTCTTCCTCGTCGCGCGAGAGCATGAGCACATACGCGACCGCCTCCTGCTCGCTCAGCCCGAGAACGTCAAGCCCGGTGCGCTGCTCGCGCTCGCGGCCATAAACACGCTGCGCATATGCGCGCTCGCTCTCGAGCTCCTTGCGCGACTCTTTGATGTCCTTAAGCATCTCGTATTGCGCTACACCGCCCCATTTACACGTCAGCCCTACTTCATCCATTACAGGAAAAACAATAAGAAACTCACAAAACCCCTTACTCGTCGCAATCGCCCTCGACGACCCCTTACCAGCGTGCTTCCTCGATGACCCTTTCCAGTGCCTGCTATCCTTCCCAGGCACAGGCCCAACGACCCACGACATCACCCTCCCCCCAACACCAATGCACACCGACTCGCGCTCGAGCAGAATCTGGCTTACACCCGCCCAGGCACCGCCCGCGCGCGGACGCGACGCAGGCGAGACAAAGTACCGAAGCGGCACGAGTGTTATGGCGTCGTACACTGTTGTACTCCCACGCGAGGAGCCTACGACTACCACTGTGGGTGACCACGCGATCGCGGTGACAGATCCGTTGTCGAAGGCTTGAAATTTGTGCGTAGGGAGGATGAGGGACGGTGCGCTGGCGGAAGAAGCCCTAGGAGGGGAGGTGTTGATGGGGCTGATAGTGCTTTGTGCGGTAGTGCTGGAGGATTCGGTGAAGGAGCTCCAGTCGAAGATACTGATGAATCCGAGCTGGTCCCCAACAAGAACGAGAGCACGTTCTTTGGTTTCCGGCGAGGCTGAAAGGGACGCAGTGGGAGTGAGGACGGCTTCGACGGCGGAGACGTATCCTTCTGAATCTTCGCCAAAGAGATACGTGGTCACTGCCTTTGTGACCAGGTTCACATGGAGGCGATAAAGATATGGCTGATCGGCATAAGCAACTAGAAGCGTGGCGTATTCGGCATCAAGATGCGTGATGGAAATGGAGTGCAAGTCGGGATTATCGAGGATGCTATCGGTCCTACGAAGCCGAATCCGCGGCGATGCGATGGGGATGCTTGCCACTGTCGCCTCTGTAGAGTCGTTCAAGAAGCCATCTAGTCCGGTCCAGAGAACGATATCACCGTTCTTCAGCGCCGCTACGAGCACCCCCGATGACAGATTAGCGGTCATCTTGACCACTGGAACGGGGACAAGCTGCCTGGTCTGCTGCTCGCTCGTCCAGACGCAGCGCACATGCTTGCTCTCCCACAACTTGACCTTCCCATCTGCGCCCGCCGACGCAAAAACACCGCCCTGTACATCGCCAACCACATCAACCACCGCTCCATCATGTTGGTCAGCCCCATGGCTCCGCCTGAAATGATGGCTCGTCCTTCCCGAGTCCATCGCACGGTTCGCCAGCGTCGTCCCCACAGCGCCGTTGCGGAACCCCCAGTACACCCTTGCGGTGCCGCCGTCCGACGCGAGACGGAGCGCCGAGACGTCGGGGCTGAACTCGGCATTGGGGTTGCCGATGCCGGGCCCGGTGCCAGCGGCATCGAGATAGCCCTTGAGCTTCTTCCCGTTGAGCGGGAGCGAGCGAGCGACGACACCGTACTTGAGCGAGGCACTGAGGAGGCCGTTGGCATTCATGAGGTGCATAGTGTTGATGTCGGCTTCGTCGAGCGGGGAGTGTGTCACCGTGCCATTGCGCGAGAGCTCCCAGCGGCTGGAGAAAGCCGAGGTCGGTTAGCATATATCCTCGGTTCGTTCAAAGGAGCGATGGAGGGGGAGGTGAGGATAGGAGACAACTCACCGAAGAATACTGTGCCGAGCGATAAACTCTTTGCGCCACGTCCTCTCCGTTCGACGAAGGAGGAGTACGGTAGCGTCATCGAGGTCCCGTTCTGGGCCTACGCCGAGGAACTGGCAGATAAAGGCACGCCGCCAGGTGTTGTCATCCTTTATGTGTTCGTAAAGACGACCATTGGTCTTCGATAGGTTGAAGAGGTCTGGAGGAGGCAAGAAAGAGGTGATATGCGTGAGGGATTCTGTGGGTAGGGCAAGAAAGAGGGAGAAGCGGGGCGCGTCGTCTCCATGTTGATCTGGGTGATAAGGGTCTTTAAGAGTGTTCTTGTGTTTCTGACTGTCCTTTCTGTGTGCTTGATCGGGTCTATGAAGCATATAACAGTTGGATCGTTACAAGTGAGAGTTGTGTCGCAGACAAATGGGCAATGGTGCCTGCGTGAGCGGATGGCGGTGAAAATCTGAGGAGAAACCGAGTCGATGACAGTTCACGACTCCCGATGAGTCAGAGTGTTTCTCACGGTCCATCGCTGGGAGTCATCGCGATGACATTCAACGACTTGACTCAAGCAAGGCTTCAAATGATGCAGGATGACTAGTGTTCGAGAACAAGCTGGATATACTCGAGCAGCCGAGCTCAGAAGTGCAGCACTTCCGGCACCCCTGAGACTGAAGTTTAACTCGAGAGTACGACATCCCCACAGATGAACATGCCCCAAACGCTCACTTGCTGCCACGGCCAAAGAAACGCCCCAGCCAGCTTTTGCGAGCGCCGCCATTATCTTTTTCTTTTGTTGTTATGGGCTGTCGTCTCTGTCGCCTGACTGGAGGCGGCTCCTCGGACGAAGAGAGTGATGACTGGGATGGCGGTTTCTCAGCGGTCGCGTCGCGGTAGCGCTTCTTGTACTCAGCCACAGACTCTCTTGGGCCCGACTCCGATTCCCACATCCCAACCTTCTTTTTCCTGAATGAAATGGATCGAGGTCAGCGCCAGAGTCGTAAGAGGGTGATGAAAGCGACAATGGTATAACGTAACGACCAGGCTTACCGAGCTTCTTCTTCGCATCTTTCGTGCTCTTCCTTGCCCTCAGGTCCATACTCGGCCCCCGTCAGACTGTATACCTCCGCCCATCCTGCAGAGAGCATCTCGAGCGCCAAGTTTTTCCCGCGGAAGAACGTGCCAGGGAGAAGTCGCGGCGGGTAGGTTACCACAGCTACCTGCGCTAGTCAGGTTCATTGTATTGAACCTGTTAGCAGGTAAACGGTCGAGGCAACTGAAAAGAGCACGCACAATCCGGGAATACTGGTCTCGCCGTACCAACTGGCAGTAAAGTGTCTTGCCTTCGATCTTGCTCTTGAGCCATGCCAGGCTCTCTGCGGAGTATGGCTGCGCTTCACGGCCAAAATGCGAGGCCTGATGAAAGCCCAGTGCTGTCAGCTACGATAACACTGCCAGCAAGAGATTAGGGCCGGGAGAAGGAACAACTTACTTCTGGGGCATCCATGCCAGCAATCCGAATGTGGATAGTCTCACCCGTGAGGTCTGTTCATAACAGAATAACTAGTTGAGCGCGCCAGAAGGAAGCAGTCGAACACAGACAAAGGCTTGTACCTTTAGCTTTGGAAGGTACCCACCGAAACTTGATCGGGCGCCACCGCCACCCGAAGGCTGGTGTATGATACAACCTGAAGTTGTCCGCATCACCTACACTATTACATAAGGTGTATCAGCACTATTCGGCGCCATCCGCGAGGCGCACACGAGTAGCAGCAGCACTCACCTGGTCACTACACCCCGCACCCACCGCTTTCGTTCCAGCACATCCGGCGTTACCCACCCTGAGCTCCTCAACCTCCTGAAGAAGCGGCGATACACAAACGCGCTACCAATCGCAGACCCAGCGCCGAGCGCGAAGCATGAGAGCGCAAAGACTTGCTGGGATGTGTCAAACTTGTACGTGCGACCTAGCACATTCGCGACAACGGGAGGTTTCGAGCGCGGATCCGACGAGTTGCTAGAGCGAAACCATGGGATGGCGGGCATTGCGTCTAGAGGTCAGGCTAAGGCCGCCTCCTCGTGGTCACAAACAATCCGTCGGCAGGTGGTGGTTCGGACATGAGTGCAGCCTGCAGTGAGGCTCTGGCGCGGTGAGCTTTGTCTGTTCGCAAAAGGAAAGCCCCTGAGTGCGACTTTTTTGCATTGACCCGAGCTCAAAACAGAGATCATCATCTACGAAAGCTGAATGCTAAACTTTCCGTGTTTCTTTGGCTTGTTCCTCCCCTCGCAAAAGATCCATGCCTCATTTTTGTGCCACCCAATGTTCTTTCAGTACCACGACCCATCCCAAGCAAATCAAGTCCACACCACACAATAAATAGAACGGACCCTACACGTCACTCACGACCTAAGACCAACAATACCTCTCCAAACAACTCTCACACACCCCACTCCTCGCCGTCCCCACGCGCTCCCTCGCACGGTCCACAACCGCACACGCCAAACACGCCGGCCACTCCGGGTCCATCGTCTCCCCAGCACTCGCGGGGTAGCCCTGCGTAGCGAGCACGAACGTCTGGTCGAGCATCGCCTGAACCTCGCTGTCCTCGTACGAAAGCTGGTACGTCGACGTGTTCGTCACAGGCGCGGCGCCGTCGTGTGGCGGGCCGCCGTTCGCAAGGTAGACGACGAGCGGGGTGGAGAGGTTCGCTGGCGTTGTAGTGCACCCGAAGAAGGTTGGACGCGTCGTTAGGTTCTGCGAGGTGAACTCGGCTGCGGTGGTTGGCACGGGAGGGAAGGAGTATGCAGAGGGGAAGAGGGCGACGCGGTCTTGAGTTGCCTGTCAGTGCGAGATATGGGTGAGTTGGGATGACGTTTCTGAGGGCTGAACTTACAATGAGAGCGCTTCCATCAGCGAAGTTATTCTCGTCGCTGCTCTATAACGGACTTAGCCTCGCGGTGCACTTCCCATGTCATACAGTAGCAGATACTCACCACATCAATCGCAACAATGATGTCAACGCCCCGGGCTTTCACAAGCAATGGTTGCAGCGGCACATTCTCGCCATCTTCACCTCCGTCAACGAGGTGCAAGCTACTCTGCTTAGAGGCACCGAATGTGTCGGGAGCGACCCCATAGAACGGATTCGGCCAGTATGCGTACAACTCGTTCTGCAGGCCCGGTAGGGAGTCTGACGCTGCCGCCAGAAGGGGGCCAAAGGTGTCATTGAGCAACTATGAAAAACGGTATGCGAACAGCACATGTGAGTCGAGTAAGCAAACCAAGTGTTGGAGCACGCACCTCAAAAGTAAGCCCATTGAACAGTTCCGACGACGAAGCAGCGACAAAAGACGACTGGTCGTAGTTTGTCACGCACAGGCTGCCGTTCGTCGTTCCAAGGTACTTTGTCGGTGCGAATGCCGAGAGCAATGGATCATAGGAGCCCATCTCATCTGAAGAAAACACCATTTCCGTCACCCCTCCGTGGCTCAGTTCATCATAGGAAATGTGTACCCACAGACGTTAAATTCCATGATAGGATTTGTGATAGGTTCGACGTCGCCCGGTATGATGGCGGACGCGTTTGTGGTGGGGACATCAATGTCCGTGACGACAATTGGGAACGGTATCTGGTACGACTCGAACATTGACCTATCTCAGCCATCCGGACATAAGCAATCTACATCTTCAACGAACTAGATCAAGGTGGGTTGCAACTCACGTATTCGCAATCTCCGAAAACAACACCCCCGCACCGTGCGGATACGACTCATCGTAAAAGTTGCTCCCCGTCGTTCCATTCGCGAAGTGCCTCGCCAGGGTCCGAGACCACACATCCCCAAACGTAACAGGGTATCCAGCAAGTTGCTTACCCAGGATCTCATCCACGCACCAGCTGACGTACGCAGCATCCACAAGCGGATCGTCGCTCGGCGTCACAAAGCTGTAGTTCGCATGCCACCCGCCCCAGTATGCATTCGCGTCGCTCGCACCGCCGGGTGCTGCGTACTCCGTCGGCGGGAAGATCAAATTCTGGATGGTGGGAAAGTTGGCTTGTGCGAGCGAGCTGACGAACCACGCGCCGCCCGACAGACCGGAGAGGTACGATGCGCCCTGCAGCAGTCCTCCCGTGCCCGCTGCTGCGCTCGTCCCGTTTCGCCCGTCAAGCGCGTTTAGGAAGCCCGCGCCGACGATGGCCGCTCTGTACCCACCCCCGCTGGTTGCGATTCCTAGCGTCGGCCCGCCAGATTCATTGGCCAGCAGCGCTGAGACATATGAAGGGAGCGTCGTCCCACTGGCGGCGGCCTCCACGTTCGACAGGTAGGTCTGCCACGCGCCGGGGATGACCTCGCTCTTGCGCGACTGGATGTATGCGGCTTCGCCAGTGCTTAGTGTTTGGTTCGAGGCGGCGGACCCGGCCATGCGGACGAGCTGGAAGTCTGCGGGGCATGCGCCCTTCGTGGGTGTGTATGCCCCAGTTGGAACAACTTGTGATTGTGCCGTTGTCCCGATAAACGCAAGAATAAGAGAAAGTGAGACAAAGGAGAGTCTGGAAGCCATCGCGAGTCGGGCGACGCTCCGCCGGGTATGAACGATGGGTGCGGAGGCAAGTCAGGAGACGCAGGTGCATTCTCGTCCCGCCTTTAAAGCGTCGAATGAGCCTGGCATATGGCAGCATATGGCCGACGTCAAGCACCGGGGCCGTGCGAGTGTGTCTTAGAATACCCAGAATCCCAGATCGCCCGGAAAGAAGCGGGGGAGTGAGACACACAACGTTCCTTTCACCCGAACCGAGGAACGGTACGCGTCCACTCTCGTTCCAACCGCCTTCGCCAAGCCTGGCCATTGAGGTTCTGCTGGACAATCAGGCTTGGTTGTGAGTGAGGGGTTGAGGATGGACAAAGAACACGGCGAAGTGGGTTAGATGAGAGAAGCGGCGAAAGACGCTCGTCCATGTGGAACCAACTCGGTAACGGGCTTCGCCGGCATCATGCCGGCATCACCGCATAGGCACAAATACATACGAAACATCCTCGCAACGTTCGACCACACGCGCGTTCGAAACAGCGGAAACGTGCGAGAATGACCTCACTGCGCAGTGCAATACTGGCCAATAATAGGGCTCTGAACCGTGGAGAGTCGACCGCTGCTGCTGACCGGTCCCGGACGACAAACCATACGAAGCTCGGGCCGGGGGCATATAAACCTATCAGACCTAGCCATTCAAACGAGCGTCTGGTTCGAGACTATTTGAAGGAGTATCGGGAGGGTTGGTAAGGTTGCGAAGGGAATGTCACAGTTCCTATCAGAGAGGATGTTTGCAGCAACAGTACTAGTAAGACTTGCTTGCAACGGAGTGAAGTAGGCAGGAACAAGGACGAACCGCCCCCGCTCCAGCTGATCCAGCGCAGCTCACTCAAACCTTTCGAACCTGTTTAAGAAGCGACGACACACGAACACTCCGCGTAGTGCAGACCCAGCGCCGAACCCGAAGAGTTGAAAAGTTGCTGGATGCTAGAGATACGATGCTCAATACGGTGTTCATTCAAGACATGCGGCGGACTTTTGGCTAGCTGCTCAAGACAGGGCTTACATGGGCATTTAGATGGTAAAACAGGCTGCGAGCTGCAAGTCTTCCTCGCTGTGGGCAAACCCAATCTGCTTCCAGAATCCAGAATCCAGATGGTGTTGAGGTGGTGGTTCGGACGAGAGGCACGGACCATCGGCGCGGTGAACCGCCCTCGTTATAAAAAAGGAAAACCCCTGATCGCGACACATCTCCCAATTCGCCTTTCTATTGGCCAGCAACTTGTGCTCGCTCCCCTTTCTCAACTTTTTCCTCATCGCGTTTTCCGTCTTCACCTAAGGCGACCTTGATGATCTCTGGAGGCAACTATACACACCAACTAAAATTCGCGGCTCTCCTACGGCATCTGCTCCATTAATATTCAACATTGGTAAACGGCCTCGAGACGTTATCTGAGGCGCCCTCCCAACTTCTTCTCCGATAAGAACGCTGCGCCCGCTCTGATGCCCCACGAACTCCAGGATATCAGCAACTGCTCCAAATAGCTGCTCTGAGACGGTGTATGTGCGCTTATTGCATAGCGGGGGTGGGTTCTCCATGACTGACGTGGCGATGAATAGCCTTCAAGTTACCGTTGGGCCTGAGGATGGTTTTGAACGAGTCGCTGGAGTTGCGGACCAGGTCTGGCGATCGAGCTGTGTTCTAATACTTGGGTAAGCACATTTGCATGTCGGCTCGCACTGTTCTGACTTCATGAGGGTGTAGACATTGGCGCTTTTCTTGTACCAAGGTTTTTATAGCAGGGACTTTGCTTCCTTCTCTCGGCGAGGCTGGGCTGTTGCTTGTAAGATTCCTTATAATGATACACTGCCTAATGTTTATCATGCACCATCGGCCATATCAGTTGTCAGCAAGGTCGTATCTAATGGCTCAATCACTTTCTTAACATCGTTGAACTGACGCATAATTTATAGGCCAGTACTTCGCCCAATGTTTTCAGTGAGCACGCTTTGTTCGTCATCTCGTACGCCACGAGGTATGTTGGTGGTCATTGACTGAAGTTACACACTTGGACGGAAAACTGGTCGCTACCCCTATTTCTTCCAACCTAAAGCAGGTGCCTCTTTTCCCGAACCCCCCGGGAATACGCATCAGTATCTATTTCTCGTACCAGCAGTGGGTATACAGGGTGAGAACCATACTATCCCCTGGGATCAGAACCGATCACATAAGGAAGAAGCAGCCTTAGACAATATCTAGGAGCCGTCGATACAGAAAAAAGATATAAGTAGACCGTAACATCACAGACCAAGTACACGCTCATTCATATCCCTATTTCATCTGCTCACAATGACCGCTACTTTCACAAAGATCGCACTCGTTGGTGGTGGTGGAGCTGTAGGGAGACCCATCCTTGACGTTCGTTGTTGCCCATAGCTATCTCTGAGCCACTCTGACTTAGCTACGATAGAGCCTTCTCGCTGGTGGCGCTGCTACAGTCGTCGTGCTGTCCCGACCAGAGTCGACATCGACGTTCCCTTCGCACCCAAACCTTGCTGTTGAAAGAGTGAAGTACGACGACGTCGGTGCTGTTGCAGCCATCTTGAAGAAGAGCAGCATCGAGGTACTGGTCTCGGCAGTCGGCGGCGGGGGTCTTGAAGGTCAGACCTTGCTCGCCGATGCAGCCAAGCAGTCGGGCGTACAGGTGTTCGTCCCCTCCGAGTTTGGAATTCCCACTGAGGGTGTGACGGAGGGATTCGCAGTTGTAAAGACGCGGGTTGCTGGTGAGCTCACATACTTTACGGTGCTTATGTACCCTTATGCATTACCTTGTAGACTACTCGAAGTCAATCGGGCTTCCCGCTGCTCGTGTCTATGTGAGTGGGTTTGACGCAACACGTGCCGGGGGCAGGACGATCTTTAACCACGCAACTTTGTAGACGGGGGCATTCGCGGATCAAGCCTCATGGATTGGCTCGGTTAAGGAGAAAGGGAAGTTCCTCGTGCTCAATCCAGGCGACAAAGCGTTCAGCTTGACCTCACTTTCCGATATCGGAGGTAATTACTCCGCTCATATCACTCGAACAAATGTATCTCATGATGTGTTTATCACCTTTCCAGGCTTCGTCGCCTACGCCCTTACAAGCCTACCGCCCACCAAGCTCAAAGATGCCACATTCCGCCTTCAAGGCGACCGTCTCAGCATCATAGGCCTTGCAAACCTGTTCCACGAGCTCAAGTCAGTGCCAGTTGAGCGCGTGAACAAGTTCCCCGAGGACATACCTGGCGTTCAAGCCAAGGCATACTTGGCAGCGCAATTCAATGTCGGAAAGGGTAGCTCGAGCTGGGATCATGTCCAGAATAAGGATCTGGGCCCCGGCGCCATCTCAAACAACTTATGGGAAGGGCATAAGTGGCAGACTATTAGAGAGGTGATAAGTTCCAGCCAGTAAATTGACTCGAAGATAGTTTATGTAACACCACCTGTATTATAGTTGCACAGCATGAGTGAAAACTTCAAGTGAGTAAAGTTGATGCAGACGTACTTTGAGCATGACGAACAAGCAACAGGGACATTCAAGACTTGTAAAAGCAATGGAATTAGTAAGTGACCATAGCACTGCTTGAAAATGGGTCTGAGCAGTCAGCAGAAGAAACTCATCGCGTTGATTAGAGCCAGCGCAACTATAATACGTCCTCCGGTCAGCAGGAAGTTTCATCCACCATTCGACGTCGTCCGTGAACCATAAAGCCTGCTCGGCTTTTTGACACTAGAGCATGAGTTCATTTTCACAGCGTCAACCTCATTCCACAACATTTGTGAACGTACTTCCGCGCCACATGACTTCATAAGTTAGCTCCGCACCACATGCCTTCAGCTTATAATCGGATACGAGTCTCTAGAAAAGCAAGGCAGGCCTGCATATCACACCTACTAATTTAATTGCCCTTATGATGCTGCGTCAATTATGCATTATGCAGCATTAACCCGATGGCAGCGTGTCGGCGGTAAACCAAGTCTTGCCTACTTCTTTGTTTAAATGCCGACTCCGAGCTAGTAAATATTCGATTGCCCTTACTTGGGTATTTCTCCCCAGGGAAAGCTGCGCCGACGACGCATGCTGAGCGTTGAACTCCATCGCTAGCACCGGTATTGCGTTTTGCTTCCCAAGCAAGCTTCTCTTCCACCCTTCCTCAATTCTCCGGATCACGATGAAATGCGCTGACTCTACACAGATTTCGAATGAACAGCTTTTTGATGCGGTTGGAGTATGACGGCAGGACATTTATACCAAACCAGCAAGTGTAGAACCATATGCATCTGCAGCGGTATTCAATATCAATGGCTAGAGTTTGGGGTGCCCCTCCAAACACGGGTCACATCGAAGAACTGACAGCATGGATATTTGGGTTGTGCCCCATCTTTATGCACTGTAAAGTGGGAGCACATATAAGTACCCTTGTGTATTGGACAAGACGAAAGGTTGGACACCCCATCTATCATGACCTCTGTCTCCGCATACTTGGATGACGAGTCACAGATCCAGCTGACTAAAGTAAGCGCATCACACGTCCGTTCTGGATTAAGCTGATTGATGTACCAAGTACACTACTGGTGCGTTCTGTTTATCCATGCATAAAATAATAAGTTGGCTCATGCGAGGACTACGATGATCAACATGAGCAGTGGCTGCATCGGCTCTGGTGGTACGTTGTTTCGATACTTCTCATTTCCACTCTTGTTGTTGAAATATGTCCCAGATTTATGACTACCTGCTAACCTTCAAGCACGAGGTAGCAACACGGCGTTCTTTCTATTAAAGCATCTAACAGTTAACCCAGAAAAGCCTCTTCCCAAGCCGAAAATGGAGTTTTGTCCGCGTCATATTTACACTGGCTCGTTATTGTCCTTTCGTAGCGTCAGTTCTAACCACTTATGGTGAGTATCATGGTTGTATCAAATGCCAATGTCATGGCTGAACCCTCCTTAGGTGGCCTCAAACACACGTCCAATGTAAGTAGAGTATTTGACACTGGGAAATGCTGGCATTGAGGATAAGTTGGGTCATATCTGACAGTGCACACCATGGAACTGGACTTCTACAGGTGAGGTACCAGCTGTATGATACATGTCAGCATCTAACCATCTAACTAAGAGCAGCATTTCCCGGTACTTCGATACTTTGTTCTGAGATCCTCGTGGCGTTCCGAGTATACGTGATATGGAACAAGAGCCGGAAAGTGTTATTTGGTATGCTCGCTGTGGCTGCGGTACGTCTGTGATAACATTCAACATTTCTTCCCTCACTTCTTTCGCCTCAGGTTTGCATTGTTGTATCCGTGATCACTCAAATTATTGGTGTATACTGGGACCCTTGGCCGCTCCGTATGCCAATTTTTTCCGCCTTAAGAGCAGATGACTGAGTGAACACCCTTCAGCTGCACCTCTAGAGTATCCATGTGGCCTGCAGAGTGATAGAATTGTCGTAGTGCAATACCTTTGCCTCGTCTTACTCGAATCTGGTAAGTTGAATATCTCAACCCGTCGGATTCATCTTTCTCTAACCACACTACGTAGTTCAACTATCCCTTACTCTTGCAAAGTGGAAGCGGACGTCGTGTTACTCCCATCATCCCCTTGTGGCTGTCATGTACCGAGATACATTTGCTTACATTCTTCTTATTCTTGGTGAGATATCTCTTCACATGTTCCCAAACTTTACAGCATATTGATGAGTCAAAACGATAAAGTAGCAATATCTGTGATTAACTCCATCCTGCAATTCTTACCGGTAAGTACATTATTGGTGGAAGCCGCTTGCAAGGCTAATGGGGAACCAATTTTAGTTTCATACGGCGGGGTTATTGACAATGTAAGTGGTCTTCGAGTACATTTAGCTTATTTTCTAACGGTCTTGCTGTGCCCAGGATGCAGTCCAACATACACGCGATTGTGTCGTGTCGAATTTTCTTCAACTTAAAAGAGACGGATGAAGCTGTTCGCATGCCGTACGGCCGACCGAGTACACCGTTACACAGAGAGATTGATTCATAGGTGGAGGTAGAAAGCTGACCGTAAAGACTTCAAACACCAACATGGTTGTGATCATTTTAGTAGTCGATGCTTTCGCTTTGAAGTGGTCGTGTCCGACCCACCCAGCTGTGTGCTTATAGTACTGTTGCTGGGCGAGAAACAGAGGGAGTGCTAGAAGTATTTCGGTAGTCCCATATACATTCTAAAACCTATGTAGACACAATAGCATCCACAACTATCCCAGTCATCCGCCCATCCCAATACACCGCACTACGCAGCCGCCGGAATCGTCCCGTTCAGCCTAAAGTCCCGGCTGCTCGCGCCAACCGAGAACGTGATCGTCCCGTCCGGCTTCGCCCACCCCTGCCTTACCACGTCCCAGACCGACAGCTCGTGCCGCGAGAGCGTGATGCTTCCCGTGGCGGTCTCGCCGGGCGCAGCCCACACGTCAGTGAAGCCCTTGAGCACCGAGGGCGGCTCGCCGACCTCGGCGGGGTGGTGCAGGTACAGCTGCGCGATCTCGCCGCCGTAGACGGAGCCGGTGTTGGTGATGTTGAATGTGACTTGGTAGGCGGGCATGTGTAGCCTGGGAAGGGAGGAGCGTTAGGTCATAATATACGAAATCTTGTTCGAAGGTTGCGTACCAAAGCGCAGTCGAAGATCCCTCAGCAATGGGGCTTGCGCCGCCGTTCTCCCAGTTGTTGACGAGGGTCATGTCGGCTGTGTCCATAGGACTCACAGGCGTGATCGTGAGATCAGAGAACTCGAACGTCGTGTAGCTGAGGCCGTAGCCGAATTCGAAGCGAGGCATGATGTCATGGGCGTCGAACCACCGGTAGTCGATGAATAGACTTCGTGACATATGATTTAGAAATGAACCGAGGTGACCAAGAAAGAACAGCTCACCCCTCGGTATAGTTGATCGACAGTATATCCTCAACGGTACCACCCGTGATAACGTGTGCAGGATAGTCCGTCACGTTCTTCGCGATAGTGTACGGCAGCTTGCCAGACGGGTTCCAGTCTCCGTACAAAACATCCGTGATCGAGTTTCCGGCTTCGTTGCCTCCAAGACTGGCCCAGAGTACCTACGACGCGTCAGTCAGTCCGATGAATCAAGTAAACAAGGGCTGGGTGTGCATACAGCAGTGACGTTGGGATTCTCAATCCATGGCTCGAGGATGAGCGGTCCGACACTGTTGATGACGACAATCGTGTTGTTGTTGTTCGCAGCGACAGTCTGAATGAGCTCGTCGCCGCCGTGCCAGGCTGTCAGGTTCTTCCTGTAACTCTATTACTGAAAACCCTCATAACGTCATATCAGTGGGTACACACCTGTCACCATAGTTGCCATCGACGTAAATGTACCCTTCTCCTGAATCGGAGTTGACGAACACGATCGCGACGCTCTGGTCAGTGACGCGGTTGCCAGCCTGCCACAGGTCCCAGTTATCGAAGTCCCAGTAGACGCTCGTTTGGTCTTCGCGTGCACGCGCCTGGATCGCTTCGTACGGCTTCACATGACGGAATCAGAAGGGGGAAAAGCACCACCAAAAGCAACAAAGAAGACTCAAATAAGGTATGTGAAGTTATCAGTCCTGCTCAACGGTCAGCACGCCGACATCACCCACTATCCCGACGCAAAAAAGAAACCCACCCGGATCCCCAGCCCATCGCCAGAATCCCCGTCGGATCGCCACCCTGGTCCGCATACTGATTCGGGCCCATCACCGGCGGCCCCGCGTCGCTCCCCACAAGCGCAATGCTCCTCGGCTTATCCAGCGGCAACGCGTTATTCTCGTTCTTCAGCAACACAGCCCCCGCAGCGCCGATAGTGCGCACGACCGTGCTGTGGTTCGCCTGCACGTTCACGTGCAGATTTGTCGTCGCGTTCCACGGGTCGTTCATGTCGAACGACACGGGCGGGTAGCCCTCGTCCTGGTGCATGTAGTACCACGACGCGACGATGCGCTCCGCCATGTCGTCGAGGCGCTCGGGTGAGATTGTGCCGTTCATGACGTACGTGGTGAGGTTGCCGCCGAAGTAGGATTGGCCTTGGACGGCGTCGGAGGAGGAGACGGTGCCGGGCATGGTCATCTATGATCGGGTGGGCGGGTGTGAATGCTAGAAGAATGTGGGTTATTTGGAGGACACGTACGTCGAGACCGTTGATAATGCCGAGTGTATCCATCGTAGCCCACCAGTCAGACTGGATATCTACACAAGGGAAGTTATGGTAACATTCGTCAAGTTAAAGTTGAGGGTACGCACAGCCTTGGAAACCAAATTCGCGCTTCATAATATCATTGAGCGTTTTGTTATTGTTGCATGCATACGTATCGTTGATCAGGTCTTAAAAACCGCAGGTCAGAACATGAGCTCGATAATTCTCGCAATTCAGAAAAAATCAACTCACTGTAGCTACACATGACAGACGATACCCCAGCCATAACCGCGCGCATGAACGGGTGCGTATAGATCTCGTGCTCAGTCCGATCATCCACGTTCGACGACTCCATCGTCCGCTTCCACTCTTGCTCGCTACGTGCCACACATCAGCACCCACCCGCACTCAACCACCACATCGGCATCCACAAGCTTGAGGAAGAACTCACTTGTTCACATAATGCTTCGCCACCGCCTGGACACCCCCACTCTGCATCCCCAACACAGTCTCATACGCGCTCTCGCCAGAAAGGAACGGGTCCGCGCCGAAGCCCTCCCAGTTGCGCCCGCCCTGCGGGTTGCGCCCCATGTTCATCATCGGGCCGAGCGCGATGTGCGCGCCCTTGCCCTTGAACTCCTCGCCGATGTACTGGCCGCGCGTGCGCATGAGCGCGCGGTTCCATCTACTCGCACGTCAGTATCCGCGAGGGAGGCGGGGCAGGAAAGAGGGGCAACACACGTGGATGCGGTGGTGATGCCGGCGGGGAACGAGGTGACGAGGTCGGTGTAGCGCACACCGGTGGGTGAGTCCTATGACAAGCAATATGAGTGCTCAGCGTTTGTGCTGGATACGGTTGAGCGAGGCGGCATACTTCAAGACACAATCCCGGGAAATCCCCGACGGCGCCAATGTTGCCCACGCACCGGCCCGCAATACCCGTAGTGAGATTGACTTTGTCCAGGAGCGTGAAGTTCGACAGCTACATCGACAGGCGAGCCACCAGGTTACTTAGCATTTCCATATGCTAACCTGCTAGAGATCGCCGACTCACCAGCTGTCGCGCCTTGGCATGCGCCGTCGCCCATGCTGCCGCAAAATCGGGCACGATCGTCGGGTCCTGGCTCACGGGCGGCGGGTCGAGTGGGTCCGTTGGCGGATACACTGGCGGATCAGGCGTGGTGGATGGCGTAGGGAACGCTGTGAACGAGTAGTACGAGATTGGGTTTGTCAAGGCGCCCGTCTCTGTCGCGAGGTAGGTCGTGGGCGAGGAGAAGGTCGTTCCACCTGTGACGGTGACCCCCGAGGGGAGCGAGACGGAGGTTGTGGTCTGTCCCACCGCGAAAGGCAAGAGCAGGAGGAGCGACGACAACGCCAGGAGACCCATTTTGGCGGTACGGTCGTCAGCGGGGAGGGTAGCAATGTCGTATGTTGTCTTGCATTAATATAGGAGGAGATTGCGGAGAGCCAGCCGTGCCCCGTGCTCCACCCGCGGCAGCCATGGCGTGCAAGAGCGATGCTTGAAGTTCTCACCTCCAGCCGTGGCGAAAGCGAGTCTGCAGCTTCGAATAACTTTTGTCAGCGTCTATATTAGAGACGCGTCGGACGAAGACAGCTCGTGACTGGTGGATTATCTTGGATAGAGACTGAGTCGGAAGAAATTCGGGCGCGAAGGTAAGTTTTAGTAACGAGCAACTGGCTCGGAACGTTTGCGGAACGCGCAAGAAGTTCTTCCAATGTGCCATCAGTGCTTTCGCGAGGTAGCACGCTATTTTGAAGACAGACGCAATAAACGTTTGTGCGACGCTCGAGCGAGTATTCTGCGGCGACCGCGAGATGAAAGCGTCTATGAAGTCACAAGAAAGATGAGCTCATGCTGCACCCGTTGATGTCCTGTGTGAGCACAGCAAAGATATAGAATCCTCGAGGCAGACCGATCAACACGAGCACCAATAGTCTGAGACTTCTTTCAGGAACGGGGGCTGCTCAGAGATCAGTATCTCGACGTCTGGTGACTAGGATTGGTTCATATCCTGAAATAACGGGTATGTTACGTTAATGTTCTGGAAAGGAGGCTCCCACAGAGGTGATGAATACAAGGGAGAACGGATGAGCAGATGCCGGGGATGGGGAAGATGGGATCATGTGCTTGCGGCGAAAGTTCCGTGTCTCTCAGGTTTACGAGAGTCGGGCGCATATAAATAGCGGAAATTTGCCGAGGAGCGAGGTGACGCATGTTGCTCCAACGAAGGTGAAGATTCGAGAAAGAAGGCGATAGAGTTACAAAGTTATGTCGCGCGCGTGTAAGAATGGGCGCGTCTGCAGAATGAGGGAGAGAGGGCGGACGAGGACGATGGAGGTTTTGGAGAGACAAGCGTCTGTGCAGAGATGCCGCTCGATCGGGCAAAGTGATCGCAGCACGTGCCCACCGCCCACGCGTCTATATTTGTCTTTTATTCAATGACATCCACGGCGGTAACTTGGCAAAGGGAACGAATCCCTTATAATCCATTTCTTATTATTCAATGGCCCCTCTGCACCTCTCCTCTCCCAAAACACGATGGCGCCAAAGCTGGCGTCGCTCGTGGTTGCGCTCTACTGCGCTGCGGCGTGGTCGGGCAACGTTCTCGCCACCTCCTCGGCGAGCGCCCCTGTCTCCACCTCCACCGCTTCCGCCTCGTCTTCCATCTCGAGTGGCACTGGGGCCACTTCGAGCTTGAGCAGCTCAGCTAGCTCGGCAAGCTCAGCATCGAGCACTAGTGCCAGCAGCGCTTCTAGTGCAACCTCGAGTGCAGCCACCACGACTTCTGCAGCAACTTCTGGCGTGTCGACCCCAGTACCCACTGTTACCGGCCCCTCAACGCTCCCCATCTCGGATTATTCCTTCACTCCTTACCCTACCCCCACCCTCGCTCCTGCGCCCCCTATCTTCCCTGCTACGGACCCCCTTTATCCTCCACCAATCACCTCTGACCTCAATGTCGTCCCCGACTACGCGCCAGCATGGGCCGCTGCGTACGCGAAAGCAGAGGCATTGGCAAGTCCTTCCCCATAACGATATTCAATGTTAATGCAGTGCTGATGATGGACTCTTCGGCAGATCGCCAACTTCACCATCGAGCAAAAGGTCAACATCACGACCGGCGTGGGATGGGCCAACGGCCTCTGCGTGGGCAACACCCCACCAGTGGGCGATTTCCCGGGGCTTTGTCTTCAGGTATGCCAACTCGACGCATATGCGTGTGCGTGCATTTCGCTAAATTTAGCTCGCTTTTGCGGCATCCATTAATAGGACTCTCCGCTCGGCGTGCGGTACGCTGACTTTGTGACGTCCTTCCCTCCTGGTATCACCGTTGCATCGAGGTGCGCATGATCATCTCCCGTAGGCTCACTGGAGTGTTAAGCACGCTCTGCAGCTGGAATCGCGCTCTCATGCGCGCTCGCGGCCTCGCCATTGGGCAAGAGTTCAAGAGCCGCGGCGTCAACGCTGGACTCGGGCCGATGATGAACATGGGCCGCGTCCCGCAGGGCGGACGCAACTGGGAGGGCTTCGGGGCGGACCCGTTCCTTTCCGGCGAGGCAGCGTACGAGACCGTGCTGGGTATGCAGCAGGGCGGTGTGCAGGCGACTGCGAAGCATTACATCAACAACGAGCAGGAGTGGAAACGTACAATGTACTCCTCGTGGGTCGACGATCGCACAGAGCACGAGGTGTATGTGCAGCCCTTCATGCGCGCGGTCATGGCCGGTGTTTCGTCGGTGATGTGCAGTTATAGTGAGTATTCTTTCGGTGAACTACAGGCTTGAAAGGCTCACGCCTCGTATAAGACATGATCAACGATACTTACGCCTGCAACAACAACAAAACGCTTAATGACATTATGAAGCGCGAGATCGGCTTCCAGGGCTGTGAGGCTGATGTTCAACCTGCAATCTTCACTTCCTAATCATCGCACAATAGACATCCAGTCCGACTGGTCAGCAACCATGGCCACCCTCTCTGCCGTCGCAGGCCTCGACGTATGTTCTTATACTTAATACCCTCATTAACCAAAGGTAATAATGATCCTACGCACAGATGACCATGCCCGGCGACATCGCCTTCGGCTCCGGCACATCCTACTTCGGCGGCAACCTCACCGCGTACGTCATGAACGACACCATCTCCCTCTCGCGGCTCGACGACATGGCGACGCGCATCGTCGCCGCCTACTACTACATGCACCAGGACCAGAACTACCCCAACGTCACGCTCAACTCGTTCAACGCGTACGACCCGCTCAACCGCGCCGTGAACTCGCAGAGCGACCACTACAAGATCGTGAGGCAGGTCGGTGCCGCGGGGACTGTGCTGTTGAAGAACGAGAACAATGCGTTGCCGCTGAATAAGCCTCAGAGTCTGGTGCTGGTGGGGAGCGATGCGGGGCCGTCGCTGATGGGGCCGAATCAGTATGCGGACCAGGGCGGGGTGCCGACGGGGATTTTGGCGATGGGGTGGGGATCTGGGTGCGTGTTTTCGCTGGACTTGCTGATAGGTGTTTGTGATGGATAGCTAACCCGACGTCGTAGAACGGATAACTTCACGTACCTTATTTCTGTAAGTGTACTTTGGACACCTTCCTCAGATTTGCACTAACGTATCTGCATAGCCGTACGAAGCCATTCAAGCCCGTGCCCGTCTCGACCAGACAAGCGTGTACTTCGACTTTGACGACTGGGACCTCTGGCAGGCCGGAAACCGCGCTACCGACGTGTCCGCCGCTATCGTGTTTATCAATTCTGACTCTGGAGAGGTATGTACTGGACTGAATCACACTCTCCTCGTTCATAACCTTGAATCTGACCAAACCACTTCGACAGGGCTACATCACCGTCGACAACAACGCTGGCGACCGGCAGAACCTGACGGCATGGAATAACGGCGACAACCTCGTGCTCGCCGTCGCGGCACAGAACAACAACACGATCGTCGTGACGAACAGTGTCGGCCCGCTCATCCTCGAGCCGTGGATCGAGCACCCGAACGTGACCGCCGTCGTGTGGGCGAACCTCGGCGGCAACGAGGCCGGCAACGCGGTCGTGGATGTCCTGTACGGCGCATGGAACCCCAGCGGGAAGCTGCCGTATACGATTGCGAAGAACATGGAGGACTATCCGGCGCCGTTGGTGCTTGGTGGGACGGCGGACGATTATCTTTCCATCAACTATACTGAGGGGTGAGCCTCGTTTATGCGCGTCATGCGGAGGTGAGCTGATTGGCGGCGTCGTTGCAGGCTGTTCATCGACTACCGCTGGTTCGACGCGCACGATATTGCGCCGCGCTACGAGTTCGGCTACGGGCTCAGCTACACGACGTTCGCGTACTCGAACCTCTACATCCAGCCGATCACGCCTGCCGACGATGCGCAGTGGAGCCTCATCACGAACTGGGAGAACGGCGGCGCGACGCCCATCGCCGAGGGATCTTCGACCGCGCTCTGGTATGCCCTTCCTTCAAGTCCACTTTGCCCCACCTCCCTTCCCCTTCCACCACGACGCGAGCAGCCTTCTTACACATAATCTTCACAGGCTGCATATGCCCGCGTACCAGGTCACATTCACGATCGAAAACACTGGCCCCGTGTACGGCGGCGAGATCCCGCAGCTGTACCTGCACCACCCGGCCGCGGAGGAAGAGCCGCCGTCGATCCTCAAGGGGTTCACCAACGTCGAGGTCGCGCCGGGGCAGAGCGCCCAGGCGACGATCACGCTGTCGAGGTACGATCTGTCCGTGTGGGACGTCGTGAAGCAGGGGTGGCGCAAGTCCGAAGGGACCGTGACGTTCTCGGTCGGCGCGAGTAGTCGGGACTTCAGGCTGAACGGGACGATTCCCGCGAGCGGGCTGTGAGGTGGATGGATCTTGGGCGCGGTTTTTGGAACAATGATCTAGACATGTTCAAAAGATCTATATACACGTGTTACGATAGTGGACTTATCGTCAATTGGACATATGTAGCACGTAGTCAGAGCATTGTAGGCAGGACTGTAGGGGCACCTTATGTGTCCGGGACTATTGTGCTTCGAACTGTGGACTCGCATTCAGGCTGCAACGGCTCAAAACATTTGTAAGCTGCTCTGGCATGTCGTGAAAGTGATGCAAAGACCGACGCTCCGTTCAGGCCCCTACAGCCATTGATGTTGTCCCGAGACCGCACCCATGCATCATCAGCTGGTGCATTGGTTTCTGAAGGCTACAGCATTTTCCATGTGTTCATACCACGTCTATCTTACGAGAGCCAGACTAAGCACTGGATAACGCCCCTCACAAATTTAATCAAACAGAGATTTACGTTGACAGTGGAGTATAATGATTTTGCTAAAATATAGTACATACACATTTAAGAATACAAAGCCATGATTACAGAAGAAGGGAAAAACCCCACCACTTACGCCTTAGCATACGACTCGAAACTCCACACCTGCGTCTCGTACACCGCCTGCGCCGTCAACCCCGCCACGCGGAGGAACAACGACCCGTCCAGCAGCTCGATCCCCGCCAACTCCGAGTTCGGCGCCACCTCAGCCCAGTACCCGGCCTTGCGCCTCCCGAAGCGCGACCCGAGATGCAGCAGCGCGCGGACGATCTTCGCGTAGTGGTCGTCCTTCGCGACGATCGCGCTCTCCGCGTGCGCGAGCCAGGGGTTGGCCGCGCCCTGCGCGGCGGCGTGCACCTTCGGATCCGACTGCGCTTCGTAGAGGGAGTTCTGCGCGAAGGGAACGTACGACGCTGCGGCCTTGGTCGAGGCGGACCGCGCGAAATCGGCGATGGGAAGGGCGGGGCGGCCGAACATGACGTAGAACCCGAGGGAGAGGGTGAGGTACGCGCGGAGGAAGATCTCCTGTGAGCGCTGGGAGAGCGGAGCGACGTTGGGCGCGAGGAAGAGGCACGAGGTGACGAGGTGCATGCTGTTTTGAGTGGAGGTGAGCGAAAGGTGAGCTATGTTGAATGAAAATAGCGAGGGGGGACGAACTAGAAGAAGTTGGCCTGCAGTCCCTGGTTCTCAGTCCATCCTCCGATACCGTAGAGGATGACATTGAGCCATTGTAGCTCCTCCATCTTGCGCTCCAGCTCGCCAGGCTTAGACAGATCAATTGTCCACTTGTCGGCGTGCTCGCGAATGCGATCGCCGTGCTGTTCAAATGTGTCACGAATCCCCTGAATAGGGATTTCAAACTTGCGTCCGATGAGCGTGTCGTCCTTGAGAATGCGTGCGATGACGTCGAACGCTGTTGTTCCGCCAGAATGACCGTTCGCAGCGCCGTTGCTGCCGTTGACGGCGAGAGACGCTACCTTCTGCGTGACGCCTTGTACCGAGGTCGTCTTGGGGACGAGCGAGAAGATAGGGTCGAGCATGTCCTTGTTAAACACGATGTCGACAGATGCCATAGCAAGACCTGTACGCGATTGAAGGGGTTTAACACTGAGACGTAGAGTACAAAGTAGAATCCGCGCACCCTCTACGACAAGACCTGGAATGCCAAACTCGAGGCCATACCCAATGTGAATTGGCGAGTGCAAAGCCCCGACAAGGCTGCGCGCTAGCATAGCGTTTCCATCGCCGTTTGAGCCGACGTTATGCTCGTCAGAGTACAGGAACTTTTCCAAAGTTGCCGTGACGCCGTGCTCGTCGATTTCCTTGGAAAAGAAGTTGAGAAAAGCGAGGTAGTACCTGCGTAGCGATTCAGGGGCTAAGCATCGTTTTCGGTAACCCCTAAGATAAAGCACACATACTTGTCGTCACCGAGGTGAGAGCCGAAGTTCTCTGCCGTTATCTCCTCTGAGGGCGTTTTGAGCTCGCGCTGCATGCCTGTGTCGACGTCGTATAGCGCGTCAATGACGGGACCAGTTGCACCGAGGCCGTAGACTGCGAACACCCGATGCATGGCGTGACTATAAGCAGTCATGTGTCAATTCCATGGTCGCGAAGATTGATGCGCGAAAATAGGACACTCACTTGTGGAATCCTCTTTCGTTGAAGAAGACATGGTGTTTGACGTGGTTGTCACGAGCAGTGCGCACCACCGCCTCAGTCGCGGAAACATCGTCCCCGGGGAGTCTCTGAGGGCACAAAGACGAAGGCGGAGCACTGGGCTCAGGGAAGAACTTGTCGAGCTTCTGGAAGGAGATTCCGGTCATGTTGCAACGTTGGTGAGAGCGAGGAATGGATGTGAGACTGGGTGGTGATGTCAATGTCGATGCGAGCCGACGCGAGCTCTTAAAAGCAAGTCGAAGACCCATATACTGATCATGGGCGTCGCCGCGCACGCCACAGGTCCGACTCCATCCGACCGGATGTGGTAATCGTCATCATTTCACGCCTTGAAGATGGCAAAATAGGGCAAAACGCGGTCGCGCCCATCGAAGCTTGTCGTGATGCCGTTCCATGCGTGTACAGTACCTAGGCGTCAATAGGAGGTGCAATCGTTAGTAATCTAGCGACAGACAATACTCGTGGGGGCACCTTCCGCCGCCACCGTAGGAAAGGCCCTCAGCTGAGTTGATTGCTCAGTTCCTGGGCGCAAGAGTGAGAGAAGAATGCATGTCCGTCCCGTGACCTCCTGAAAACTGACGTAGCTCCCTTGTTGAGTTGACGTTGAAGTCTGTTCCGAGACTCTCGGAGAACTTTGTGCTGCCGACGGTCCGCGTCAGCGCTTGCCGTGACCTGGTTTGTCATCGGAGTGAAGCCGTTTGTTGACTCGTGAACGTGATCATTCTCTCACAAAGAGACATGGGAAAGCAGCAAATGCCTACGTAGAGATCGATGTGAATGTTTGGCAATGCAATGGTCGAGATAACAGCAGCTTAGCCCGGTGACAGAGCTGCTGAGCGCTGATTGAAGGCGATGAGTTCAATGGCGGTGAACCTCGGTGAACCTCGGTGAACTCAAACTCTGTCCGTCTCTTTCGGTTTCCTCGGATGCAATTAATTTCCCACGCACCGACAGGCGTCGACCACATTAGGTTCTGCAAGCTGAGCTAGAGGTGGAAGATCTATAGAGAAATCGCACTGCGTAGGCTGTGGTACCGCTGCGCGAAGATAATGGTGTCGGTCCAAACTCCCTGGTGTAGCAAACATAACAGTTGCTTTTCCATATATCTTGTAGTTTTCTTTAAGTCGGCGTGAGTTTGAGTGCCCTAACGAACCCGAACGTGGTGGTCGAAGTTTTCAAAGTGCTCTACGGACTTTACATAGCCATTTCATCCTTTCGACTTTGCCATGAGCTCAGTGAAAGCTCGAATTGACGCCATAATTATGTAAAACAAGCTAATCATTGAACTATACTGTACCTACACGACCGCAGGTTCAAGGGGTTTTTGCGTGACATGGAATCAAAATAAGTTCCGACGAGACCAAGGTTCAAATGTTCGGCAAACGCGTGAATTTGAACCAGAGTTCCAGGTTGGTGACATCATCGGGACATCATTGCTGAAGAAAATGAAGGTGAAGAGGATATTTCATTGGAAGGAGAAGAAGGCCACGCGGGCCACCTTTTACAATGTCCCGGTATTCCTCGTCCATTGGGCTTGTACACAGGCATCTCAAACCATCGCCACCGGTATGCATATTGACTCATTGAAGCCTGCCACTAGTGGGGAGCTCGACATCCCATCTCCGGTCGACTGGGGTCGTGGTAAGGGTCTCGAAAACCGTAAACTTACAGTAAAAGGAGTGCAGAAATCACTCGCTGCAGCGAATGGCTTTACTACATCAGAATGTAAGAGTCTTAGTATTGTTCGTCACGTAGGGAGGTTCATTGTCTTGTGTGGTGAGTGACGAACCAGGTCTTAAGTTCATTTTACGGGTCAAGCGTGAGGCGTGACGAACCAACGGTCGTGTAGGTACAGTAGTACGTACGCTTATGAGACAAATCAAACAGAGGCATGCGTACAATTACGGATACACACCCCTCTCACGCTTTGTAAATCGCTTCAAAAATCCACTGCTAGGTCTCGTAGCATCAGGAAAAACCTCACCGAGGGATTTTACGCAAATATCCTGAAATCCAACAGAATCCTAGGTATTCCATGGAACTGACGGATTTCACGGTCCCTTCCAAGTTTCCAGACGGAATTTCGCGGAATCCGCAGAATTCTAACAATGCCTCACCCGCTCCTTTTCACCTGATTTGCCACCACTCGAGCCTCAGGATATCGCTATTTCATAGTTATGGAATGGCAGTCGAAACAATTATCATTATCATCAACCAACGTAGGTAACGCTACCGCCTATGTGCTCCTCGGAAAATATATCCGACGTGTTTGACAGCCTGTCTTTATCATCTGCTGAGCCGCAGCCAATGATGACCTGCCCGTGCATGGCGGGCTCGTCTACCTCGGGCATGCACAGCTTGCTGATCGCGGTCACCACCGACATGCTCACTGCCGAGGTGGTGAGGGTCTGCATGGGGACGCCCATGGAGACGTACATGCTCAGGACGGAGCCCGACATCATCAAGAAGCCCAACATCATGACGAGGTGCAGCTCCGAGCGAGTCATGAGCTCGAGGGACAACTTCACGAGACACGCGGACTCGCCCTGACCGAATCAGGGCAAGATGAAGGCGACGGTGGCTTCCGCGCCCAAGCCAGGGACTGGGTAATTGTGTCAACACTGAAATCAGAGTTCATAACTGAAGGCAAGTACGTACAAGTTGTTAATGACTGCTTGGCTCCGAGCTAGGCAAGGATGCGTCATGGTGAGCAAGTAGTAGGAAAAGGAGGTACATATAACTCACATATTAATAGTACAGCATCTCAAAGGTGATCGTGGACAGCGTGTTAACAAAGGAGCTCTGTGTGATAATGTCAATCAGACTATTTAAGTAGACGTAGCGTCAACATACACCTACATCAAGAAGTTGAATACAACGTCAGTGATGTACATAACAACAACGGACGGACAAAAGGGCTCGCACTGAGGATAACAGGACAATCCGGCACCTCGCCCCGGGCCATCTATCCGCCTCCCTTCCCTCCCCCTGTTCATTGCCTCGCGAAGAGGCGGTGGCAGCCGGAACATATCTGAGTCCTCCATCTCAACTGCAGCAACGTTGCTCACATCCTCAAACTGCACCCTTATCTGAGCGGCGACTGTCTCCGCATAGGTCTGCAGCAGACCGAGGTCGGTGTAGAACACGCACACGAACGTCTTGGGCTTGGGCAGTGCTTGTGTAGGGTTAACACGAAGTGGCCGTGCATGTGCAGCATGTCGGTTTTGAACTCAACGTGGATGGGCACGAGCACGGTTTGGTGGGTGCGGCAGCAATGGTGGTGTCTGGGGACTTGGGGAGAGCGAGAGAACGAAATCAGGGTAGGGAGGTTAGCAGAGCAGTAGTTAGAGGGAGAGATTGGAGCATGAACTCACGGGTGCTTGTGCATCGTCGGCACAGCCAGACGCAACTTGATGAACTGCGCAGGCGGGATCACACTCTAATAGCTCTGGTCCAGCTCCGCCCCCTTCCTTCGTGGCTGGTGCTCGCCGATCCGCTTCCACCCTTGCGAAAAAACACTCATCCCGCCACCACCGATCTGTCCGCTCCGTATCGCAGCGCAGGACACGTCCCCCCGCTCACGACAAAGTTGCTGTTGTCAGAGTCGAGCACGCCTGCATTGGGCAGCCCGTAGCCCAAGCCCAGGTCCATGTAGCTAGCTTACAGTGCCAGATTTGTACGACCGCGCCTGCGTGGGGAGTATGAGTGAGGGTACCAGGTACTGAGGTTGAAAGGACGCGGGAGGAATGAACAAGAAGAAAATGTGCGAAGTCAAACATTTGTACATGTTTATTTATGACGTCAACACGGCTAAACGGCGCGCATTGTGTTCGCGCCCAACCTTGCTGGTTTCATGCAATCAGCCTCATTCTCTTTCCTTCAACTATAAGTACCATCAAAGCCTGGAGTATCCCATTACTCCAAATTGTTCAGCACTTTCACTGGAGAAATATGGGGTCGCACGGGCTTGCACCGACACACAACGCGATTGCCCTTTTGGCACCCCAAACTTGCCGAGGACAGCACTGCGCCTGTGCCGTCGCAGTCCCTAACGACCTCTAATTTCTACATTCACAGCTAGTACATGCAATGTTAACTATCGGATGTATCAATTTTCAAGAAATTTATAGCATTGAAAGTTTCCTTTATCCCTAATTGCTATACAAGCGTATGCTTGTCCTGATGCTAAGATTCTTTGTCCAATCGGCCAATACGGTACTATGCATTTGGAATGGAGTAGAAACGTCCACTATTTCCTACAGCTGCAAACACGGCTCAAGGAAATCTCGAGAATTCCCGCGGATTCCACGGATTTCTAGTGTAATTACCACTCGTGAACTTGTTTTTCGAGAGATTCCCCCGTATTTTGGTAAAATCCCTCGATGAGGTTTTTCCTGATGCTACACCGCCTGCGCCATCAACTCCGCCACCCGGACGAACAATGACCCATCCAGCAGTTTGACACCTGCCAACTCCGAGCCCGGCGCCACCTCAACCCATGGTCTTGCGCCATCCGAACCGCAACCCAAGGTCCACCAAGGTCCATATGCTCGCATATGATCGTCCCTCGCGACAAACGCGCTCGCCGCATGCGATCGACACGGGTTTCCGACGCCCCACGCAGCCGCGTGCACACTGACGTCCGATTGCTCCTCTTACAGTGAGGGTTGCGCGGAGGGTACATACGACGCAGCGGCCTTGGTAGAGGCGGACCGGGAAAACTCGGCGACGGTGAGCGGCGGGCGGTCGAACATGGAGTAGGTCCCGAGGAAGATGGCGAAGCGTGAGCAAGGAAGAGCTCTTGCGAGCGCCGTGTGAGGGGTGTGATGTTGGGCGCGAGAATGAGGAATGAGGTGACGAGGTGCATGCTATAGAATCGAGAGCATCGTTAATGTGTTGCAGACGAGAGGGGAAAGGGGACATACTAGAAAAAGATGGCCCGCAGTCCTCGTCCCCCTACCCATCCACCGATGCCATAGAGGATGGTATTGAGCCACTACAGCTCCTCAATCTTGCGCCACAGGTCGGCATTAAACAGGTTAACCGTCCACTTGGAAGCGTGCTCGCAAATGTGGTCGTCGTGCTGCTCAAATGGGGTTTTTTTAGAATAGCAATACCAGGGCTCTCGTTTTTACGCCAGACGAGTGCGTCATCCTTCAGGACACGCGCGATAATGTCGAATACTGTCGTCTCGCGAGAAAAACCGTTTGCAGCGCCGTTGACGCCATTGACGGCGAGAGACGCGCCCTTCTGGGTGATCCCGTGAGCAGAAGCGGTCTTGAGAACGAGGGAGAAGATCGGATCCAACCGCCATAGCAAGACCTACGTAGACATGTTAGAAAGAGAAGTCGGATCACGAAGAAGATCGCTCACCTTCGACTACTATTCCCGGAATACCAACCTCGAACCCGTATCCCATATGGCCTAAGAGAACTTGAAGAATGCAGATTAATTCCTTCAATGCTCCTCTACTAAACAGTGATCATGCTTCGACGCGGTTGATTGACGGATGCTAGCTAAATCAGCCGCTCCACATGGACTATCTGCTCGGCCAGCAGGCTTTGGATTGGATCGGCGCCAAGAACAAGGAGTTAGCTCTTGAAGGTCTCCGATGGCCTCAAAAAAACAGAATATCTGGAGACTTTTTTTCGAGAGGGACGCTGAGTCAGTTACCATAAATTCGTGGGGCACGCTGGAAGAGGTATGGTGAGGCCAACGCCATCGGTCATGGATGCTGCATCCGGTACCCTCTTCCACCCTACCCTCCAATCGATCCTCCGCGTCAGCGTCTAGTGAGCTACTTGATCAGAGGGGGCTTATTCCTTAGGTGAGAATGGCGTATGAGATGAGTGGGAGATGCGCATCGAAGTAAATTCAGAAGATGGAGCAATGGGTACTTGAACGGAAAGCTGATGAAAGCCAGTGGTTTCTTTTGGATAACGAAGTCCTCGGTTCGGATCCAATAAAGCACGGGACACTAAAGTCCCACGGTCTAGAGTCGGGTGACAGATGTCCAGGAGGCGCTGGTGGTCCAAAACAACGACCAGGTGCGTGCTGTCTCCCGTCCTGTGGTCATCTCAACCCAATTGCATGAATTTGCTGTAGACTTCTCTGCACGAGCTTGGAACAGTGAGTGAGACGGGCTAGTGGGACTGAGGAAGGATTCATATCTGAGGCTGCTTCTGATCCTGATCTTTCCCCAATCCGTACCACGTTCGTCGACAAAACAGCGCTGTCCGGTCCAGCAAGCGCGATCCACACAGCACTGCCAGCGCCCCTTCTCCATTTCCCCCCTTCCTTTCCTCCTCCACCCTCCCTGGGTACCGCTGCCCTCCTTACGAAACCTATCACTTATTGGCGCTCCACGACCTCTCACGACCTATTTAACGACCTGCTTTGATTTGACGCCATGAGTGGTGCGTGTTCACCTGCCTTTCATCTGGATCATGACATGACATGAATCCACCTAATCGACCTCTTCAACGACCAGTATCATCTTCTAACGACCCTTTTGACGACACGCGCCGTCCACTTCTGCTCGATATCCGTCGGTGGTCGCTCCTGCGAAGTCAGCCTATACCCGACAACTCCACACCGCTGTCTCCGCTTTCCGCATCCTCACACCGTCACCCACATCTTCCTTCATACCTCGAGTCTGGATTCTACGATACCCGTATGTGACACCACCTTATCTTATGCCGCTCACGACATCACAGCCAACCATCCCGATCTAGCTCCCCCACGCAGCAGTCTAGCAGAGAAGCTATCTATGCGCGACGCGCGCTCCGAGGACCTCGACCCAGACCAGGATACCATTGTCCCGAACAAGACAGGAGGTTCACAGGGCGGAGATGGATCCGGTGCTCCACAGCCGCAGGCGCCGGCGAAGAAGAGCCCACCCACGACGACGAAGAGCGGGAACACCGCATCGACGAACGCGCTCGTGTCCGCATGGCAGGACAGGCTACAGGTGCTCACCGTCGTCGTGCGTCTTCCTTGTGCCTTTCAGCGCTTCTCGTTCGTGTCGCTAACATCATGCTGTATAATGTCCGTCGATGCAGACAACGTTCCTCGCGTCCATGGACGGCACCCTTTTCTCGATGACGAACTACCGCACCTCGCCCGCCCTGCTGCCCAACGAGCCGAGCGACCAGCTCTCCGAGCTCATCTATGCCGCGTTAGTCGGCGCCATGATACTCCATATCTGCGCATGTGCGTCCTTTCTCTATTTTTCTTCCATTGCTCTCCTTTCAGACTCGCTCACCGACATCCCGACGAACAGCTCTCCTAGGCTACATAGCCTCCTTCGTCCTCGTGAAATATACCATCATTGAAGCTGATCCGTACTACTCACACCCGCGCGACCCGTCGTACCACGGTCCCCCGCTGGACGGCAACGGCGGCGGACCGCCAGCCGCGCAGCTCGTTCTCGAGCCGCTCCGGCTCCGCCGCCGCCAACGGGCGGACTCATCGCTCCCCACTCCAGTGCTGCACACACCCCGGTACATGCCCCCGCCCGCGGTGGACCCGTACGATCCGAACGCGATTCCCGCTGCCGCTCCGACCTGGGAGGGCTACCCCGGCAACGCCGGCGGCTCTACCGGCGGCGGTAGCGGCGGCAGCAATAATCCAGGCAGAAACAGCGACCCAGTATCGCAGCCCCACGCGTCGCCGCCGCCAGAGCAGCAGCACCACAAGCTGCACAAGCCGCGGCCCGAGAACTACCATAAGCCCTCGAAGATACCGCCTCCGCCGATCCGGATGCTGACGCGGTGCTTCTACGGCACGCTCGTGCTCGCGCTGCTCGGGTTCGTGCTTGCTCTGCTGGGCGTCGTGGTGTATGCGTGGGCGGCGCTCAGGGAGCCCGTGGGGATCGTCGCTGCTTCGTGTGTGGGTGTGGGTGTGACGACGGGGATTGTTGTGTTGATTTGGTAGTACGCGGGGTCGGACGTGGGTGCTGGTGGATGTACGTTGGTGCTCATGTTGGTGCTTGCGTTGCTGTATTTTGGGGATCGCTTAATGACTCTCATCGCTGAACCGTTCACGATACCTTACGATTTCTTGTAGCCGTCATCATATCTTTATTACGTAGTTTTTCGATATCCCAGTGACCAGGCCGTATACGCCTCGACTACGTCAGAGTCTGGTATACGATACATCTTGTACTTGTGCAGATTGTACGTCTCCTAATGAGCTAATACTTTCTGCCTACCCATTCCAGGGCGCTTAAGGGTGAACTTTCCTGTTTTTATGGAGAACTACCTGCATTTTCCGACAAGTCTCTTGTGCGGGTGTCTGCTAGCAATCACGTCAAGTATCACTTTGCAACGCACTGTGGAAGCCAAGCCTATCTAGTAGCAGACTATACAACAACAACATTAGTATATTATTATTATTGTTATGCATCCATTAACGTCCATCGGGATTGATCATCCCATGTCGGACGATTCGTACGTACGTGTCAATTAAGTGTGAATGGCCCATTGCCCTGTCCCTTTCGGTCCCCAGGGGTCCCAGGTTCGGCATTGTACGGCCCCCCCCTGGTTAGCCTGTTTCCGACGGGTTAACATTAGTATAAATCCTCCCCCGCCGTACGGACTGCCTCGTCTGTCTCCTTCAAGTTGAAGAGTATCTTATAGGCAATGATCGAGTGGATGTTTGTTTGCATTACCTCCCTGCGTTAACGGCTGTTAGAAACAAGTCCAAGTGAACAGGTGAATAAACGTTTACAGAGCCGCCAATACACCAGGATGATCCTAGTCATTTCAGTTAGTCAGTATATTTATTCATATCATAAATATGAAAATCTTTAGCTGCCGAGACCTTACCAAGGTAGATTGGGCCACAGAATTGATCAAAGAAAGGACTACATCGAGGAACATGTGAGTATGTCACAAACGGTGCTAGATTTAAGGTGCATACTAAGCGCAAAAGAAATGCTGGAAAACGTGTCTCGGTACATGATTCTTGTAAATGAGTGTTGAATGTATCGAGACGCCTTCCTCCATCTTATTACAAGCAAACAGAGTTGGACTATCGCTTCGATAAGCGAAGCTTCAAATCTCTCCTTTCTATCCAGCTTACCTAGTTCTAAAAACGACAGAGCAGAGTACGTAACTGCCAAACCGTTTCGGGGTTGTAATACACCGCATTCGAGTGGAGTGGAATCTGTCAACATTGACAACGGTGAGTTATTGGTGTTCATCAAGATGGCTGTAGGGCTTACCATTCCAGCGCAATTTGAATGAAACGACAGGTATTATCACAACACATGCCTGTTCGAGGAGTGAGAAAGAATCCATGGGTCCCTTGTCGCAATGCGGACATACTACAACCAGGGTAATCATCCCAAGTAGAATTTTTCGGCTGCTGTTCCATATCACGTACAGCTGAAGTAGCATTAAAGTAGCTGCAGCAAAAAGCGTTGCAAAACTGAATGCTATTTGCGGCGATGCAATATATGAGGTGACGGAATAATTGCTGAAGAACGCTTAATAGTGACAAACCTATGCCAGGCCATTTTAAGATCAGGCACTGGAGGATGTTGTATTAAGCATATTTACTGTTGTGTGAAGCATACACTCGTAACTCACATGAGTACGGGCTATTCAAACATAAAGTCAGGTAAGTTTTTCGAAAGCAACAAGATTGCAGCGGAATGCGATTACCATAAAGTGTGAGCAACGATGCCACGAGTGGAGAATAACGAACCGTGATAAACGCGATCGAGACTATGCTCCATTTTTGACCACATATGAAAGAAACCTTCCAACCTTTGAGAAATATGAGACAACCTTTATAGAGAGAACCTCCTACCTCGTGCTTGAATGTGAGCAAGTAATTGTAGATCTATGACATCAATAAGTTAATCTCTGATTGAAGTCTTCCAAGTTAAGGGCGCAATTAACTCACAAGTAAAGTCAAGGCGGATGTTGACTCAGTAATATTCATTAAATACGTTGGTTACATCTTGATCAACAAAGCGAGGAAAATAAACTAACCAACGGAATACTTGACGGCCAAACATTCAGGTTAAACTGGGAGATTATGGTTCCAAACATTACTTACTTCTGCCACATGTAGTTGATAACTATTACCATTTGACTCAGAGGTCAAGTTCATGGTACCTTCATCAGGAAAAACCTGACTGCATAAATTGAGAAAGATTGACCGTTCTTCTCGTAAGTTGAGGATACTTGTAGAAAGTTGACGGAACTTGATGAATTCCTCCACCACGAAAAAGTTCGCAGCCCCCTAAAACCATTGGCTGAAACTTTTCAAAAGTTATGGCAAGTTGTGACAAATCTGGACGTCTATCGGGTAGGGTTTCGTACCAGCTTTCGGTATTTGACTCAAATATATCATGGCTTGTTCGCATTAAATCGATTATATTGATAGCAATACGATTAATAGTGGGCTATAGAATGTAGTAGAAACGAGGGGAGTAGGGTACCGTGTACGATTCGTACCATCAATAAGTAACATAGCGCGGGGTGGTACTTACGCAGGTGATGCTAGACTGGGTGCTGCCGGCTCTGCAGTCTCTTGTGTCTCTTGCTTCGCCATCATATCCCACCGGACCTCACCGAGGATACGTTTGACGTCGCATGTCATTGACTTAGCCGCCAAGGATGAGCCACTGCAGAAGTTAGAGGTCAGTATCATCGGACCACGAAAGCAAACTCAAGCGACTTACGTGCAATCCTTATATATACCGTGCATCAACTCGTGATACCTTCTGGGAAAGTTCTTACGTATACTTGCAAGCCAAATTAGCTGCTGCTTGAAAAGACTGTCAAGCCAAGATCCCGTAAAGTTCTCCGAAGTGCTGTTGACCCTATCCTTCAAGATGGCGGAAACCTAATTGCGTGAATTCGTCAAATAAAGGTATTAAGAGCTTGAAGTAGAAACTGGATACGTACTGCAGCAGATGCCATTAGTAGCATCGAAGGCGTAATTTCTTTCTCGTCCGACAAAGATTCGATTGAAGACTTGAGGCGATGAGATAGTTTGAGGCCGAGGTCAGCAGGCTGCGCGCCAGTGACTTCTACGACAGTGAAGAAAGCCGCCTTGACTGCCTTAGAGATGACTAGATTCTCGAATGGTCGGGATCGATCAATCTGGGGCGTGCTCGGAAATAAACGACTTCGAGTTTGTGCCGCATCCGAAGAAACTACATACCGATTCGTCAACATTATTATCAGCGCCGGTATACTTGGGGTTTTTTGGGTAAATATAGCGACTTTGATCCCAAAGAAAAATAACATCGTCGTGGGACCTCGACTCCGAGTCGAGACCGAAAACGCCAACGACAGCAGTTCCAATAGCGCTTTTGATTGCTGCCCGAGTTGGTCCGCATCGGTTCGTAAGCTGCAGAAAAAGATCGTAATTAGTGAGGGTCGTCCGCATAAGGAGGTTTGACGTACATAATTAACGCAGCGCTGAACGTAAAGCTCATAAGAGCCGGTGGTGATACGCTGTACCATATCACCTTGCTTGTTCAAACCTTCTTGTTCAGCGCCATCTGCGAGCGCATGAAATGCGATTGGGTCAAGGCCACCAACAGCGAGAGGGGAGACGAAACTCTCAAGGTACTCATCCTTGAAACCAGCCTCGATAACCTGCGCCACCCAATCGAGCTCATCGCAGCCAAGGACAATGTAACGAGTCATGAGCTCCATGCCCCGTTTCAGAGTCCTCTGAACGTGCGAACGCTGGGCCCGAATACCAATCGTTTTCCCGCCACAAAGCCGTAGCTTAGTCTGAGGTAGCCATTCCGTGCCGTCGCTTGCATATTCCACAGTGGTGTCTGAGTCAGTGTCTGTGCTCGAGTCGTCAGAACCGCCAGATTGCATCTCCCGCCCCTCGCGTTGAGACTTGGACTTGGTTTGGCGTCGCTGAGAAGATAGCTTGGCCTTCCGCATCGAAGGCTTGGCCCAAGAGAGTTTTGGTTTTGATGTACTTCGCCCATGACCAACCTCGGGAAGCTGTAAAAAATCAGTGCCACCGCACACAAATAGCATACATAGAGCTCACTTCGTCGTCAAGTTTCTTCTGCCGGTGGGTTAGGCGTGCCTGGAAACGATTGTGTTAGATCATGAATGACGCTGGTAATAAGTAGTGCATACCTTCTTGCTCGTAACTGCAGCTCCCTCTTCCTCGACGTCTGAGCCACTCGCACGTCCAATCAGCTGCACCTTCTGAAAATTGTCGTTGGAAGCAAGAATAGGAGAACATGATGCACGAGCTCACCTCATTCTCAATAGCCTGCGAGGTAACAACCTCATTAGTATCCTCCACCTCCTCTTCGTCTGTACCCTCGTCATCCGAGCCCGAGTTATCCTCCTGATCATTCTCCTCGACACCAGCTTCATGCCGTTCATCATCAGAGTCAATTACCAACCTTGGCGGTCGGGCTCTTTTTCGGGACAACATGGCACCACCGCTATCACCACCAGCATTGCTCTGACAGTCAACCTCCGGTTCACCTAACAAATACAATGATCAATGAGACCAACTTGTCACGTCGACAGGATACGAACTAACCTCCACTTTCATCAGCTTGAGCTGGTCGCTTCCGTTTCCGACTGCTACTAGGTAGTGTCCCTTGGACCAATGATGCGGGTGATGCGACACCCTTATCCTTGGCCTTGGTTCTTTTCTGTAATGCTGACAAGGGTTTGGGTAAAGTGAGTGCGAAGGAGAGGTACAGAGAGCAAAGACCTTACCCGCCTTTGCCACGGCATCACCCTTCGACTTGCGAGTTGCTATCATAATGAGGAGCAAGCCCGTCAGCTGGCTCAGAAGCATGACTCAAACCGTGTCACATACGCTGGATTTTTTTGGGCTGCAGCTTTGCAGTGGCTTTCTTCTTTTGAGCGCTGGTTCCCGCGCCAGCCATTATAAGTCGAGGTAGCAATGGAGATATGACAAAGGAGAGGAAGGGTGAATGAGTGGACAGGCCTTCTCAGGCTGAAACAGATGTAAAGAACGGATGGCGCCCTCGGGCTGAAGCACTGAAGAGTGGCAGCGCGGGCGGATGCGTTTGACGTTCAAGTTGAACCAAGACACCGTGCCGCGTTTGGCAGCATGCACGCGAGGCCCATTTTTCTCACGGCTATCTCTGTCTTCCTCGTCATGCACGTCTGTCCTGCGTGCCGGACTCCATTTTCTGAGAGGCAGTACCTCACGCAACACCTGAATAAAACCAAAAATATAACATGCATGACATACCGCAAAGATCAAGAGCGCAGGGTCCGCCCATCTCCATCGCTACCTCGACAAAATCGGCAGTGTAGCTCACAAAGCAATGCATCCTCATCTCGCATTCCTCATTCATCGCCAAGTCACCCTCCCCAGTTTGCTGGTGATCTGTTTGGAAGTGACTATACACCTGAGGATCTCGGCTATGTGGATACATCCGATGCACCACTGCCGCAGTCCAGTGAAAACAATGCTGCTGCCGTGACATCTCATCATGATGGTAGGTATCAGATCTTGATGATCACCACTTATCATCAACTAAGTAATTGCAGCTGAGCCTACCACTGAGAATACACACCATCTGGATGAAGGATCGGATAGCGAGGAAGAGAATACGTTTCAGGAATGTATATCTGGCGGATGGGAACCAGATAGGGGACCAAATGCCACGGTGGAAGATGCCTTGCCGCGTGAAGATGAAGACCATGTCGATGAGCGGCCACAAAGTCCAAGCACAAATGTACATCAATCCTCGACTGAGCACTTACGGTATAAGCCTGCTGCTGTAGATCTCTTTGGAGGGTCTGCTGGTACACCGATCGGCTTATCAGATGAGAAATCATTTCATGCATATGGCTCTCAAGTCAACGGTCAGTCTCAATGGGCACCCTTTAATTCCGAGATAGACTGGAGACTAGCAAAGTGGGCGAAGATGCGTGGGCCAAGCTCGACTGCTTTCAGTGAGCTGCTTGATATACCAGGGGTGAGAAGTTGTCCATGATTCACTATTGCTTGATCCGACATTGTGGCTTACAAATCTACACATATACTAGGTTACTGAGGCTCTTGGCTTATCGTACTCGAGCTCAAATGAGCTTAACAAAATCATTGACACCCAGCTACCTCGTCGTAGGCCTGTATTCACCCACCATGAAGTTGTTGCTGGAGGGGAGAGCTTCGACTTCTTCTCCCGTGATATCATTGAGTGCATTCGCGCGCTCTATGGCGATCCAAATCACACCCAATATCTAAGTTTCCAGCCTGAACGCCAGTACGCAGACGCAGACAAGACACAGAGGCTGTATCACGATATGCAAACCGGAAGATGGTGGTGGAGTACGCAGGTGCGTTGTCATTCACATTATTCCATGTGTCAGAACTCATAGTGCAACGTGCTGCAGAAAACTTTGGAAGAACAAAAGTCGGGTGCTACAGTTATCCCCGTTATACTGTCTTCGGACAAGACTCAGGTCACACTCTTCAGAAACAAGACTGCATATCCCGTCTATCTCACCATTGGGAATCTCCCGAAAACTATCCGCCGAAAACCTAGTCGACAGGGCCAGATTCTTCTCGCCTACCTGCCTACTTCCCGCCTTGATCACATATCCAACAAAACTGCACGGCGTCGTACTCTCGCCAACCTGTTTCACGCGTGTATGGGCTATATAGTCGAGCCACTGCGTGAAGCCGGAGTACATGGCATTCCGATGACTAGTGGTGATGGTGTAACACGCCGGGGCCATCCTATTCTTGCTGCCTACATAGGTGATTACCCAGAGCAGTGCTTGGTCACAGCAGCCTTTGGCGGAACGTGTCCGGTGTGCGATTGCACGCATGACACTCTCGGCGAATATCCCTGCCCATCGTCACCTCGTGATTTGGATGTCGTCCTTGATGCACTTGATAAACTGGAATCTTCTTCGTTCTCACAGGCTTGTCGGGACGCCAACATACGACCTGTACAGCATCCATTCTGGGAGAGCCTTCCCTATGTGGACATCTTTCGATCCATTACGCCTGACATTCTTCACCAATTGCATCAAGGGGTCTTCAAACATTTGCTGCAGTGGCTCAAAGCAATACTCGGCTCAGCTGAGATTGATGCACGTGCACGGCGACTACCGCCCAACCATAGCATCAGACTCTTTCGGAAAGGTATCACAACTCTTTCACGCGTGAGCGGCACCGAGCATAAACAAATGTCACGCTTCCTGCTTGGGCTGATTATCGATGCTCCTCTCCCTCGGGATGAAGTAACACGGCTTCTTCAAGCCACTCGCAGTCTGCTTGACTTCATATATCTAGCCCAATACCCCATTCACTCCGACAGAACACTCGAAGCTATGGAAGATGCGCTAGGTGACTTCCATACCCACAAGGACATTTTCATAGAGCTCGGCGCCCGCGAGCAGCTCAATATCCCCAAACTCCATATGCTTCTTCATTATGCTCGTGCAATCCGCGATTTAGGCACTGCTGACAACTTCAATACGGAGGCGACAGAGAGACTTCACATTGATCTGGCAAAGGATGCGTATGCAGCAACCAACCACAAGGATGAACTTTTTCAAATGGTTAAATGGCTCGAGCGTAAGGAGAAGGTTTTCCATCATGCTAGCTATATCCACTGGAAAGAGGCGACCTCAACACCCCCAGCAGCCAGCAGCCGCGAGCAATGGGTGGTACCTGACCTTGCCTGCGTGCTTCATCAAAAGATGACGCGTCATCCAACTCGGCCAAATGTCTCTCTGGCTGATATTCAATCGCCAAAGCACTATGGTGCCCGCTTCTTCACGGCCGCCGTTTTACGTTTCGTGACACATCTCCGTCAACCTGACATCACGGCCCGAGACCTCGAGATCAAAACATCGGAGCGTTCTTTGCCTCTGGAACGAGTGTCAGCCTTCCACCGCCTCAAGTTTGTGAATGCCGAGGCTTTTGGTCCAGATACCTTCGATTCTGTACATGTTCAACCATCACGTTACAACCCCGATGGAGCTGTAGCATCTCCTGCTCGGTTTGACACAGTTCTCGTCCGTGTAGATGCCGACACCTCAGCTGGTATAAAACGTTCGTTTTGCTCGTTTTACTCAGTTTGTTTTGCCACAGCTCTGACAATCTAACAGAATATCGAGTTGCTCAAGTCCGGCTCATCTTCACTTTACCTGACAGTGTTATGCGCCTGCTTCTCCCCGGTTTTACAGAGTTTCCTGAGCATCTGGCATATGTCGAATGGTTCAGCGCATTCACTTCGTCTCCGGATCGGGCTTCTGGACTATACAAGGTACACCGAGACGTCAACGGAGGTCAGAGGCAAGCCTCGGTTATCCCAGTAAGCGTCATTGAGAGGAGCGTGCATCTGATCCCAAAGTGGGGTGCTGTAGTGCCTTCACGGTGGACATCAGATAATGTATTAGAAGAATGCACGACATTCTATGTAAACGTGTTCAAGGATACACATACATACTTCAATGTATACTAATCTATCACGCAGTATGAACACCCATAGTGGGCAGGAACTATCCTCGGTAGTATAGAGTTGTAATATGTCTTGTAAAGTGATATTGATTCGAAGATAGAAAAGTCAAAATTACTTTTGGAAACTTGCGCTAATTTTAATTAACTTGACGGAAAATGTCTCAGTTTTTTCCGTACTTGACATGCATTGGGAACTTTACACAAGTTGTATCCAATTTCCAGCTGAGGTTTTTCCTGATGTTGATGCAGCACTGATGCTGAGTTCCTGAGGCGTGCCCATATAAGCATCTCACCTAGTACCTGTGCATGTACAAAACATCTCACGTAGGCCCGTATGTGTGACCTCTGAACGTCTAACACGTCGACGTTATGGGAATGGGTGCAATCACATATACCAGTAGTCCTCAGGCGAGTCTGGAGCTCAAGGTTCCACATGACAGAGGCATCACAATTCCTAGCCGGTGCATGAGTCGCATGAGAGCTATGTATTGTGGCTCAGTATGTCAAATTCTTACAAGGCGAAAGCTGCGGCGCAACTCCAGTTGATTTTATCAGAACCTGTTCATACCATCTGAAGCTGCTCCACCGCAATGTAGATGGTGAGACAAGAGAATGACTACACCACAGTATCACCTACAGATCACAGCCGGCGCTAGAGGGAGAAATTTCGAGTTGCGTGCAAGCTTTACCGTCGGCACGCTTGTGTCGCACCATGCAGGATCGACAGTGCATTTCCATGACAGAGGAAGACGACCAAACAGTTTTCCTTACTTGTCGTAAGGTCGGTGCATGGGAATAAGACCACAATTGATATTGATGGTGAGTTCATCCGAGATAATTTGGTGTGGAGAATCCACTCATTAGCACTATAAAAAGAGAGGTTGATCCCGCATTGGCGAATTGCTGTCCCTGTGCTGGGGATCTGAGCAGACTTTATGATGTGGAAGTAGCGCCGAATAGTGAATATATGGGCGGCCCCGGAGCAGCGTTTAACGCCAAGATGATTTTAATACACCTCAAGCGTTGCCCATCTGATATCCAACCCGCACGATACCGAGATATAGTCCATGAAACGGCAGCATCCTATGGTGTACCAATGATGTCTTGGATTGAATTGACCAGGCCGGCTAGTCGCTTCACACGCTGTGAGAATCAACCATGCCCCCTCGATTAATTATAATTTTGATTCAGTTTGATCCAATGAGATCAAGTGGTCAAGGAAACTATGAATCATCAGACATCTTCACCGGGACTCGACGCGTGTGCTAGGAATCTGAGGCGGTTGCTATCCATCAATGTATAGCTCTATTTACCAACTGGTAATTCATCTTGTGAGTGCCAATCATACAACGGTGCTAAGTGTAGAAATTGTGCGTGTGATACTTTGGGTTGGCATCCGAACGGCTTCGTCCCTCTCTTTCAAATTGAAGAGAATCCTACATGAGATGATTGCGTGGATGTTAGACTGCATCCTGCTCGTAATAAATTTATCAAAAAGTGTAAACACAGATTAATATGAAAGCTTACATTGTCAACAACTCTGCTGTATGAAACTCAAGTTCGTTTTTTTATCAGTCGCCCCACTCGTTTTTCAAATAAAATGGTGTACTTACCGGCAGAAATTGTACAATGGAATTTATTATGGATATCACTGATTCATCACGTCAATGGGTTTGAAAGAAAATCAGAGATAGGTATGAGGTCGCTCACGAAGTATAAGGAGAATGTAAACAAACGTATCCCGATACATGATTGACGCAAGGGGATGACGAGAATAGCGTGCCGTTTGCTTCCATTTCGCAAGAGTGAGGCTCAGTTGAGCTAAACGACATAGTTAGTCCAAGATTCATCAGCAATTTCGAACCCGGAAACTTACCAGACTCGAAGACAACAAGAGATAAGTATTGGACCACAACGATCCTGTCGCTCTGCAAGCCGCAAGGATATTCCAAAGGGGCGGCTGACATGTAAAACAATACACTTCCATGAACTACTCTGTTGAGAAAGCTGTGGTAAGGATCTTACGAAGAGGCCACGGGTCCCAGTAGACATCAAGAATTTGAGTTACCACGGACACGGTAATGCATACCTGTGCAAAACAGTGAGGAACCCGGTATGGGATAATATTGCAAACTTACCGTAGCTACAGCGAGTATACCATATAACACTTTCCGGCTCTTGTTCCATATCACGTACACACGAAACGCCACAAGGATTTCCGAACAGAGTATCGAGGTGGCAGGAAATGCTATTCCAAATTAGCCTTCGAGAATCGAGATACACCGTCATAACGCTGTTGTCTCACCTGTAGATGACCATTTCCATGGCGTGCACTAGCACACACGACATAAGTAATCTTCGGTGCTCACACTTTGCAGTCGTGCCACACCCACATTGGGCGGGTTTTTAAGGCCACCTATGCGGGAGTCAGGAGAGTCGCTGGCATTAAGTCTATGGACGAGACTTACCATAAGCCGTCAAAAACGATGCTATGAAAGGACAATAACGAGCCAGCGTAAAGACAACGCGTACAAAGCTCCACTTTCGGCTTGAAACAAGCCGTTGCTGGATTAACCGTGAGACGCTTTACTGAAAGGTGAACGTGTTGCTACCTCATGTTTGAAGGTTAGTAGGTAGTCGTAGATCTGGGACATGTTTCAATGACAGGACCTGAAGAGATAATTATCGGGGCAGCTTACCACGAGTGCCGATGCAGCCACTGCTCGTGTCGATCAAAGCAGTCTCGACATGAGCCATATTCTGTCAGAGCGCTAGCATAGAGGAAACATACCCGTAGTGTACTTGAGTCCATCAATTAGCTTGAAACAAGAATAGGCATGTGCGAACAGCTTACTTTGGTCAGCTAGATCTGTGACTCGTCAGCCAGGTATACGGAGGCAGAGGTCATGATGTATGGGGCGAATAACGTCAGGCCATATGCGCGAGCGTATTTATACCATGCACACTTTATAGCGTATGAGGATTGAGCATGAACCAAATGAAGGTTTTCCTAGTTTCTGATGTATGGCACCTCCTACTTTGAGCCTCGGACGGCCACAGAACTCCAGCCATAAACACCACCGGGTTCCATATGGTTCTACTGTTAATGCTTCGGTACGAAAGCTTGGGAACCAAGCTCCGGCCGTATCAAAAAAAACCTGTCCATTTGAAATCTGCATGGAATCGGCGCAGCTTACTGTGATCTTGGGAAGCCAGGTATAGTGTCAAAAGAGCTTGATTGAGAATCATAAAGTAAGTACTAACTCTAGTGATTGAGCTCATTGGGTCAGGTGCATTGAGCATAGTTTGACCTGGGGAGAGGTTCCCATTCAAGGGCAGCTGAACACCACTAGCTCGTTGTCGGCATTTAAACAAGGAAGCAAGCTATCTTTCCCGCTTGCGTCGCACCACCGATGCGGAATCGATGCATTGCCAGTACAGAAAAGTATGACTATTAAGGGTTTGCCTTACTTTCTTAAAGCCGGTGTGTGGTAACAAGAACACGAGTGGCTTTAAAGGTAAATTTACCTGAAATCGTAAGCCGAAAGAGCTACGTTCATTGAAACTGTAGAATAAAAGGCTTGCCCTGATTCTTGAGGATGCGCGATCTCTCGCCTTGTACCTCTCGCAGGACAGCAGGTACCCAGACGATAAGGAGTCACCATGTATCGTTTTTGGATGGCATGTGGGAGTCATCACCACGCCACGCCGGAAATGAGTAACAGAGTTTAGTACTCAGCTACTGGATATGGCTCCGAGGTTGGGCGAGGCATTAGTACAGAGCAGATGGCACACACGATGGTGGAGAATCCTGATTTCCTTTGCGGACATGCTCCAATAATCAGGTATCTCAGCTCGAAACAACAGGTCATTTACTAACTTTCCCCAAAGATCGGCTAGGCGACTCTGGATTTGATGAGGCTCTGCGTCATGGCAGTGACGGACTAGGATGGACGCGGACAACCTTATCACGATTTAGGACCACCTCTAACAGGTGTAATCAACCTCAGCCGTCTCGGTCTGGATCCCGCAAACGCAGCGTCGAACACCCGTTACGATCGACTGAAGTACTCAAATACAATACATCTGCATCATCGGCTACACGCATACAGAAAAAGGCGACAAATCCAAAAGGACATTACACAGGAATAGTCTAAAAACGGAGTGGCGTACGATACTAGTCAACTGAAAGTCCTAGGCACCTATGTTCACAGACTGTTCAAAGCCCCGCGCACGAAGCCTTCTTCATCCCCCACCCACCTCCCACCCACAACATCGCTAGTGCATGCGGAAACAGTTCCCGCAAAACCCAATAGGCTCCCCAGGATGCTGCTTAAACGTCGTACACTGCATCGATATATCCATCAAGCTGTCAAACGGCGACACATCCTTCCCGGGCGACGACCGCGACCCCGCCGCCGACAACGCCGCGCCATTGGGATGGGGCTGCAGCAGCGCCGACGAGCCTTGCGGCGCCGGCGACCGCCTCTCAGGCACCAGCGGCGGTGCAGCGTTCAGCAGATTCGTCGTCGACTTGCGCGGGGGCGGCCGCGGCGGTGCCGGGCGCTTCGTGCCCATGTCCGAGTGGGCGCGCAGGCGGCTGAGCGAGGCGCCCAGACCGCCCGGGCCGGGGCCGGGGCCGGAGGCTTGGCCGCTGACGCTGGACCCAGAGCCCGAGTACGATCCGCTGGGCGAGTCGTGCCGCCCGGGGAGGTGCACGTCGTCGTCCGATCCCTTGAACGGCACGAGATGCTCCTCCTCGTTGTGGTCCGCGAGCGAGCTGATCGCGCTCGCCGAGTCGAAGCCGTTGAGGTACGCCGACGCGCCTTCTGCGGCGCCGACGCCCACGGGTTTCTGGCCGATATACTTCCCGACGTCATCTTCGCTCTCGTCATCGGGGTAGGGCACGCCAGAACTAGACCGAGGCATGTGACTTGAGGGCGCAGATGTGCTCTCGACGTAGTTGGTGGGGAACAGCCCCTTGCGGCCGCTCGCGTTCTGGCCGAGCCACCAGTCCTCCGAGGGCTCGCTGAGCACGACGATCTCCTCGCCAGCCTTGAACGGCAGCTCGTCCGCAGTGCCCGAGAAGTCATACAGCGTCTTAACAACCCTGCCTGTTGGGGACGGGGGCTTCGACCGGCGCGGCGGCACGCGGGGCGACGACGACGACAGCATCGGCGATTTCTTCGCCATCGAGCGCGAGCTTGGCGGCCGCGTTCCGCTGCCCTCCTTGTCACTCTCGTCGTCGTCTGAGTCCCCTCCAGCCTTATCCTTGAGCGCAGCAAAGTTCGAGCCCTCCTTCCGCCCGCGGCCGGTCACCGAGCTAACCGCGCTCGACGCCCACCCTGCGACGCTCATTCGCTTGCTGGCCTTCTCCGCAGCACCCGCAGTCGCCGCGCTGTCCGAGCGCTTCCGCGACGCGCGCGAGGTGGGGCGCGACGACATCGTCGTCTTGGATTCTGATGGACGACGAGAATGGGGTTTGCGTGGCCCGTCGTCGTCGGTAGATGAGCCCTGGTTGTTCATGGAGACCGCTGAGCGCTTGGAGCGGACGGAGCGGAATCGACTTCCGTCATCCACAGAGCGACGGGTGTGCTGCGACCCAGCTCGGGATCGGGAGCGCTCGAAGTTGGTGAGCATTGCTCTGCGAGACCACAGTCAGCAATTGGATCAGGGAGGCAGACGACGGGCACGTACTCGTCACACCATCCCTCCTTCACTTCTTGCATGATTTCCCTGTATTGCCGCGCGAAGTTGAGCTGAATGTCGAGGAAATTCGTGAGCTCGCGCAGCTGTTGGACCTCGTTCTCCTGGATTGCCTGCATCCGAGCTCGGACGTCTTCAGACGTCTCTTCACTATTGGGCGGTCAGCTACGAGCCATCACGAAGCAGACTACTACCCACTAGCGTAGCCTGCTCTTCTGAAGCTCGTCCTCTGCATCCTTCCGGTCCTTCTCCTTCTCCTTCTTACTAGCCTTGAGTTTCTCGAGCTTGTTGAGTGCTGCGTCATAGCTAAGCCTAGCATACCCACTATTAGTACACGATATGCAGGTTTTTACAATCTATTACTGACCTTCTGCTTTCGAGCTTCTTCTTCTGATGCTCGTAATCGCGGATGTCCTGCAAGAACCCCTTGCACGAGTTGATGAACCCATCCTGGAACGTGATCGCGTACGACTCCTGCAGCGTGGCGACCTTGCAGTGGGCCCGGCCCAGCTTAACAAGCGAGGAGCCTAGACGGGCGTACATGACGCAAGTGAGACACGAGTGCTTACGGCGCACGCTGCCCTCTGGCGGCAGCGAGAACGACGAGGCAGCGGTACGCACCGAACGCAGACTGGTCTCCGAACTCCTCCCCGTGGTTGAGCATGACAATGCCAAACGTGTCGATTGGCATGAGCTTCTCGTTCTCCTGCACTGCAGGCGACTCTTTCTTCTTCGAGAGCGTGTGGTGGTAGTCCTCCGCCGCCATGTGCAGCCTAGCGAGTTCAAGAACGGTGGGATTAAGGACACGTAGGACAGGGAAGGAAGGGCGGAGAGTATGCGTACCGGATGAGGCCCTCCTTGCGGAGGTCGATGTCCTGCTCGGTCTCCTTGAAGTCATCGTTGTCGTCCGCGGTGACAGTCTTCTCCCTCGAGGAGATCTTCTCGCCCGCCCACTGCCGTCGGTCATGCCGTCTGAGCGCCCCACGTTCGACGTTCCCAAAATAAAGCGGCGCACCTGCTTAAACTTCCCAAGCTGCGGATCCCAGGGACGAGTATGTCAGTCAGCCACCGCAACAATGGAGAGTGGGGATGGACTGGGAGCTCACCTGCTTGCTCGCCATGGTGTCGAGGGTGGTGTGGTGGTCAGATCCAAACGCGGATTCAGACGAGGAATGCCAGTGTGTTGCGTGTTCGCCTCCGGGGCTGTTGCAAATGAAGGAGGTGCATTGTGATTGGGCTGAATGGCATCTTTATACGTTATTGTGGGTGGTCTGACTTTGGAGTCGGCCCAGCCCGGCGGGTGTCGTCCCTCGCGACAAATGGCAACCCTTTATGAAACCCGTCGCAACTCACAACGCCTGCGCCCGCCCTTGTCCCACATCGCAAACCCTGTTGAAACCCCTTTAATGTTACTGTCACGTCTAGTTAAGAGGCAACGTCAGGATAGCAAGAAACACAAGACAGTATATATGTCATCTCAAAGAATGTGCAGAAAGGAATACAAGAGGATAAAGCTGAAAGAAGCAGCGCCTGCGCAACATCAACACATCATTGCGGCCCTTTCGCATGCCGTATGCCCTCGTGCACCGCGACCGCCTCGTCCACCCACGGCAACCTAAAGAACTCGCTCCGCCTCAGCTCCTCCGCGCGGATCGTCGCGCCCTCGCTCGGCCCGCTCGCAAGCACACTCTCCAGGTCGCGCGACTGCGACTCGAGCCACGTCTGAATAAACTGCGCCGGGTCCTTCGCGAAGCTCTGCAGAAACACGCGCTTCGTGTGGGAGTTCTGCAGCGACTGCACGAGCACCGCGATCTAATCAGAATGTCCGTCAGTTTCCATGGCGCACGCCAAAAGCAAGCGGTGGTGGGGGCTTACCTCGTCGTCAAGTTTGCTGAGATCCTGCGTGCTTTCCTTGCTCGCTTGGATGGACACCGCCATCCGATTCTTCAGGTTCGAGTCCTCCGCCTTCAGTTCAATGTCCCATGCAGACGGTCGCTCTGGTGGGGGTACGGTGGGATCAAGGGTGTAGTAGAGGACGACGGGGTCTGGCGGCATGAGATATCGGTTGACCAGCTCCGGGAGATGATAGAACGTCGTCCCCTCTCCACCAAAAATCTGTAAACGCGTCAGTTAAGCTCAGTGAGCAATGACGGGAGGGAGCGTACAGGTTTTAGAGCTTCGTCTGCCCGTATCCGCCGGCGGTCAGTCTTATCCTGCAGCCCGTGGATCTTGATATAGTTCCATAGTGTCTGTATCACGCCTAACCGGCTCTCTTCCGTGATACCAAGTATATTTCCTACAACCCAAATGAGCGTGAGGCCGCACCACCATTCTCCCGACTAACCTAGCTCTGGCGCAATCTTGAATTGCTCAGGGTACTGCGCGAGGTACATGAGCACCCTGCATTTTGTGGGCACGTCGCCCGTCCGTCGAATCGTAAACCCATCAAGGGGAGGCTGCGTGTTTGGCTGGCTTGGCCACTGTCCCAGCCCTCAGCCACTTCCTTCAACAAACGCAGCATGCGGGGGGCGGCTTACCTCTACAATGTTCCCGTCCGGATACACGCTCGGGTCGCGGTCCAGCTCCACAATCAGCCGCTTGATGAACGTCGAGAACTTGCGCGGAGGCACCTTGTCTCGCGACCGCTGGTTCGGTATCTGCATCACCCTCTCCATGAGTCCCGGAATAAAGGGGGTAGGTGTGAATGGCAGCCGGGACGCACCTCGAGTAACCGCCCCTCCACCTTGAGCGTCCACGCCGGGATACCCTCCCCCGTCTCCAAGTTCACCGTCGGATCAGCGCCCTCGGTGCTCTGCCACGCCTGGCCCGACGTCGTATGACTGAGAAAGATCCGCAGCGTGCGTGTCGTCTGGCCAAGTCAAAACGACGTTTAGTCAATATCCGCCCCTCCGCCCACGAACTGCGAAACGCGGGGCGGCCCGAGTCGAGGGACGCACCGAAGGACTCCGCGCAAGCGCATCCTGAATCTCGACGCGTTTCCGCGAAATCGTCCAGTCGAGCTTACGTTCCATCTCCACCAGGTCCCGGTACATCTTCGAGTCCTCGGCGAACTCGGGCGCCTGCTGCAGCGCGTTCGGCAGGGTCTTACTCGTCAGCTTTCGCTTCCTGTTTAATCCTTTTGGTCAGTTTCCCCTCCTCCCGTCCCTCGATGTAACGGTACGGAACGTACTTGGCATCTTTGACGCCGTCAACGAGACCCGGTTGGCGCATCATCTTGTTGGAGAGCGTGTGTTAGGGAAACTACAAGGGGGTTACTTGTGTTCGCGTCGGGACGAGGCGAAGACCAGGACAAGAGAAGCGGGGGCACGTGATTTAAGGCATATGCCGAAACAGCCCCTGAATCTTTTGAATGCTCGTCAACGTCGCTGTCCGACACTTGCTCATCGCAGTCTTGCTTAGTTTTATTATTGCGATAGTGCTTGCGATTGAAACATCATCATCATCTAGGAAACGGAGAGTTTTTATCTGACTCTGCCCCGCGAAAGGCATGGATTGTGAATTATCCTCGTTTACTTTGAGTTCATTTGCTTTCCCTTGCGATTCAAGTGCATCTTCAGCATGAAAGTAGTCGACAACCACAGTGTGACACAGTATACCGAAACTTCGAGTTGTAGATCTGGCTCCTCAAAGTCCTAACACGGCGATAACCACATATCGCTCAACTCCAGCACTCCTCAACCAGCCTACCGTCTCTCTCCATCACTGACACATACTCTGCCGCATCCTCCGCCGACATCTCGCCGCCCCTCTCTGCGACCTCGCGAAGGACTGTGCGCACAGCTGCGGGCATCTTGTTCGAGGACCTGTTCCAATCCCAGCATCAGCTCGCGTATTTTCACCCTGGTTCACCTGAACATACCCTGAGATGATCACCTGCCCCTTCCGCTCGCCTATGAGCGTCCACAGTCTCTCCTTATCCTGGGCGAGCAAGTCCTGTACGTATGGACGCTTCACTCCCTCGGGCACGTCACGCGAGAACGCCGCTCGGTAGACGAGCTGATCATCCTGCGCATGGGCTACCCACTCTGAGCCGTAATGCTGGTCTTTCGATGCAGATCTGCAGCCAAAGTAGAGGGTATTGTCTGCAAGATGCATATGAGCAGCCAAACAGGTCGTGTTTCTATGAGACGCACGCTTAATGCCCTCCATGATCCGCTCCTCGATGATCGCCCGCATTGGCGCAATCCCGGTACCAGGCCCCACGCAGATGACGGGGGTTGATTTATCAGTGGGCAACGTGAAAAGCCCGCGCTGGATGCGTATTCGGATAGAAGACCCTGTATAGAATCAGTATCAGCTCATGGTTATATGCACGAGATATTACGCACCAACAGGGAGATTGGCGAGGTACGACGTGCAAACTCCTTTTCGCGGGACCTTGAGTTTCGTTCGATATCGCACGATAGCAATGCACAGGTGCACCTCCTGTGGGTGCCGCTAGGTTACGTAGATGGGTTAGATCGAGTCGATCATAGATGCGGATAATGCTACCTTCACGGAGGAAGCTATCGAGAACTGCCGCGGCCTCATCGGCGGGAACAGGTCAAACACATATTCTCTTGGCACTCGCGCGGAGCGGAACTCGGTCATCACCTCGTATATCGTCCTCTTGACTTTCGTTGTGTAGTCGTACAGTTCATCCTTCATGCGCTGTCAGACATAGCTTTGTTTTGACGAGAGGGTACACGCACTGCAAGCTCTTCCGAGCAAAATTCGTCCAGCCTTTCCATCTCTAACTCATCGGTAATAAAGTGACGAAGGAGCTGGAAGAATGATCGTCGGGGGACGGCGTTGAAGTCCAAGTATCGCGTGAATAGGGTACGCAGAGAGGTGACTTCTGGGACATAATCGGGGAAAGTTTGATCTTGATCAGGGCGAGGAGTTAGTCAAGCGAGTTTTTGGAGAGGGAACACACATACCTGATGCGACTTGCCTGATTGTGAAGAGCTCGTCTGCGATGCTTGCCCAGCCCATGGTGACGAGAAATAACTCTACCTCGGACTCTTCGGCGACAGGATGGATGACAGCAACGTCGCCTGGCCGATAACTAACATAGCTTAACACTCGTCGACGTGCTTTGTGGTTAAAAACAGCTCACTGTATGTCGTCCTTGAACGAAAACTCGAAGTGTCGCACGTCCTGCCACCAGTCGTCCGAAGTCATCCGCTCATTCCGTGTCAGTGCTGCATCATGATAACGGCCGTCCACATCAACAGGATCCGGCTCATCAACAGATGTTTGGGGCGATATATCCGTCACGGAGACACGCGGGAGGGGCTTGCTACTCGAGGGAAGCTTGTCTGAACCAGCTGGAAGTGGGTATAGATGAAGCAAGGTATCGAGCAGCGCCTCAATCCATGGATCTAGCGCGCCATCAATACTACACAGAGGTCAGAGACAGGTCAGTCGATGGCCGAGTCTCACCACGTACCCAAGCATATGCTGCTCGTCTCCTTCCCCTCGCGCACACACCTCGCGTCCCCCGAGGCTCTCCAGTCGACGCGACAGCTTCTTGGCAGGCCAACAGAACTTCTCGTACGCTGTGTCTCCAAGTCCGAAAACGGCGAAGTCCATGTCCTCGAATAGATCGGACGGAAGGTCGGCGCGAAGGAGTGTAGCCCAAAGGGCGGTCATGGTCCGGGGCTCCGCGCCAGAGCCAGTTGTAGATACGACGAAAACGACGAAGTGCTCATTGATTAGTTCGGACTTGATCGCGTGGGATTAGATGAGCGTGTCGCAGGAAACAATCTTGAAAACTTACAGCTGGATACTCGTCCATGCTCTTCACCCTACACTGGAAGTGGATCCGACGACACTCCCGCGCGATCCTGTCCGCGACATCTTGAGCGGTTCCCGTCTCGGTAGCATAGAGTATGAGCAACGTCCGCTCGTCAATGCCATGCTCATCATGGTTGGAGGAAGACATGGGGGGTGCACATGGTGGGGGAAACTGGGAGTCGATGATTGGTGAGTACTTGGATGATCCCTTGCACCCCGTCAGAAAACAGTCAGCCGAATAGCCCGAACATCCGCGGCCGTTTTACGGCCGATCTTATCTGATATCAATATTCAATCTCCTATTGAATGATGCCCACGCTCTGCGACATGCGCGGAGGCATCGCAGTATTGCTTCTGCCTTACTCTTAGCTTCACTGTCCAGCCAACTGTAACATCCTAACTATCTGGGACTCATCGAACATAATCTTTACGGTACATACGGCATATTATATATAGGAAGGTAGGTACCTAATGGCTTTATTAATACAATCCCATGCCTCCGCGAGTTCAACGTCTATGGGCCGGATGAGGGTGCGGTGTTGGGATCTGGATATTTAGTAATGAAGTCCATCAAAATCCTAACATCACCGTAGTCGTCCACCACAGAGTAAGCATTTGGAGCCTTCTTACGTTCTACCTCCTGAATAAGTGGGCTCCGTCCCCCCGGTGTATTGATCTTCCATGGTAGAAAGTCCCCATTCGCCTTGTAATACCGCCAGAGTTTCATCTCTTTCCCTTTAGCACCGATTGCCCAGCACTTCTGGGACTCGGCCAACGGGAGCTTCCCCATGTAAGTGGACAGTTGACTCTCGATGCGCAACCAGTCTTCTCCATCACTGCCTTTACCTTCGAAGACGAGGACAGGAATTGCAGTGGCTGTGTTTCCAGTGTAGGTGAAGGAACGGACGAGCAGGTCAGGACGGCTGTCCTCCTGGATGCGTAGTTCTGGGTTGACGAGATATTTCACGTCCGTACCAGTCGGGTAGCATTGTTGAAGAATTCTATAAGCGTAGTTTTGATTGAGCGCATGTAGTAGACGTGTGTAAGGGCGGTACGTACGCATTCCAGACGCCGTTGACGCTGCCTTCGTCTTTCAAGAAACCCCCCGCGTCGAGTTTACGGAGATTGTTTTGGGGGAGCATCCTTACTGAGAGAGATGAAGCATAGGCAAGGGAAGCGAGACAAGACAAAAAAAGCACGGCTTTTGTTATCGCTGCTTTCATGGTAAATGTTGTGCGAGTATGTTCTGTGGGGAACGGATGAAGAGAGAGAATGCACATAGCGCATCCTTTTTATATGTCCACGAGCGCTTTCGAGAACTCTCCGAAATGCCCCCCTCAAGCTGTTTTTTGTAGTACAACGCACGATATTTTCCAAGTTTTTCTGCTGGAGCCTTGCGCTGATATGTATCATACGTTTCATGCGATCATCATTAATCATTAACGGTCCGCTAACTAAGCTGCGACTCCTTGAGAAGCGTGGAAAGCTTGCTACGTCGTTCGAGTGAGCTGTACGGATGCTGGACACGTAGCGAGAAAAAGCAGCCCATTACAGCCCATTGCAAATCGATGGGCCAGTTTTCAATAATAGTGTTTGGAGTGGCGTTCACATTGGAGCGGTGACAATGAGCGAGTGGAAACTGGTTGGCGCTTTGCTGGCGTTCTTTTCCATTGCAACGACATCGCGGAGTCGCCGAACCTCTCGGTGAGTTCTGGATGCGAATTTGATTATTCCGAAACTATTCCGTTTCTACCGCAGGCTTCCAAACTCCATGTCCGGAAAAACAAACACTTAGAAGGGTTCAGTTGGGAGAGCTCGAATGGCTTGAATACCGGAACATAAGTTTTATCCGTGTGGTGCAGATGGATTTTGGACTAAATATTGACGCGTCCTTTGGTATTTCCCGAAGTTTTAGAACCCAATAACCTTGTCATAAACCATAGGTTGACTCCTAGTTGAGAAACCCGAGATCTGCCATGAGCCATGGGAGCATTTCAGATCCATGCTGTAACGTGCAAGACTGACTCGAGATTGTCGTGTAGATCACGAAAAGCCTTAAATCTCGAAGAAGGCAGGCAGAGACAAACTCTCACCGGAAAGTACCCTGTATATCTCCGATGAGGGTGGGCTAGGGGACAAAGCATAGATGCTGACTCACAGCATAGTCGTCACCATTGTCATCATGAACATTCTGCATGTTTTAACAGAGGTTCCAGTCGTTTTAGACTAAGGCGCCTTTGCTGTCATAAAAATACCAATATTGCCATCGCTCATATAACATGACAAATAGATGAGAGGAACTTGAGAACACTGACAAAGACGCCGAGCACAGACCACTTGACAGACGAACAGCGAAGGATCCGCACGTTTAGCTGTTTTTGTTCAATAATGACGTTCAAGCTGTGATAAGCATGTGGTTCAGGTGTCTCATGAGTCGAAGTAAAAACATCCTGCATCCCCAACACTTTAACCTTGCGCCACACTGCGGCTCCAGAGACCTTAGCCTGCACACTACAGCAATCGTGCATCTCGTCCTGACTCATTCCTTGAAGTTTATCTCATAAGGCATTTGTGCGATAATACAAGTACAATTCATTGTTTGACAAGCAGTACTCCTCAGGCTTTAAAAGTTGGGATCCGGGTGGTTATGAATGTAATCTAGCAAGATCCTCACTTCGTCGTAGTTGTCCACTACAGAGTACGGAGGAGGAGCTCTCTCCCTGGGCACTTCCTTAGCAGCACCCCTTTCCACCTTCCACGGCAGAAGCTTCTGAAACTCTGCGTTCGCCTTGTGAAATCGCCAAAGCTTCATATCTTTCCCACGGCCGCCGAGAGCCCAGCATTTCTGGGTCGGTGTCAGGAAGCCCGGCCTGTTCAGATAGCCGGATAACTGGGACTCGAGGCGCTCCCAGCTGTCCCCACTGCTACCTTTACCTTCGAAGAGGAGGACAGGCTTCGCAGTGGGGTTCCCTCCAGCACTGTAGGTGAAGGAGCGCACGAGAAGGTCCAAGCGATTTTGATCGTCGATGCGTACTTCTGGAGCGACGACATATTCCACATTCGCAGTGGGATATGACTGGTGAATAGCCCTGTAAGGTGACTTCGATTGAGACAGGGCATGCATTGTGTAAGAGCGGTACGTACGCATTCCAAACACCATTGACGTCGCTTTCTACTTCCATGAAACCCCCCGCTGCAAGCTGACGGAGATGGTTTTGGTCGATCATTCTTGGCGAGAAATATTGAGTGAAAACGAAATGAGTTGAGTGAGACGGAGAACTCACAGTTCCTATTGTCACTAGCTGAACGAGGGATGGATTCCACGGGGATCCGGACGAAGAGTATGTATACACACTACACCCCTTTTATACACTCACGAGCGCTTTTTGAAAATTTCTGGAACGTTCCCTTCAAGCTGTGTGTCAGAAAATAATTGAGCAGACGTCAGGTGGAGCTCCAAAAAGGTATTGGCACGCATTCCAGCGGTGCTCGAGTTCGAGTTCTCTTAGAGTGGAAGAGTCGTTCAGGCCAGGTAGGATATACCAGGTCAGGCATTCATCGCCACCCCAATCTTAAGCATCATAAACCCCGTCAATTAAGTCAAGAACTACGGAGATCTGAAAACCGGCATAGATTGAACGCTTGAGCACTCGTGCTGGTCCAGATGGAGTAACGTTGATTGAATGAGATGATGAGCGTCTAACACGTTAACACGCCCTGAGCGAGGCAACATTGTACATTCTGGGCGCAAAACTATTCCTGTCTTGAATCAAGAGAAGGGCCTAATAGTTTAGGTGAACGATGGAAGCATGGGCAAGACCTTGGGGTCCAGTCCGGAGATTAAGCCACCTTTCTGGAACCTTTCAGTAAGGAAGAATTATTCTTCAAGAATAGCTGTTAACAATGAGCCCTTAAAACGGCCACGACGAAGAGAATACAAATTAGCGCTATATAGATCGATCTACAGTGATAAACACGGATCCATTGCTTCTTTCTATAGCTGGACGACCCATAGCCCTATTACCTTTTGGGAAAGAACACGTTCGTACACGAACAAGCAAGGAACAAGAATCAAACAAGAATATCAGGGCTTGACACTCAGATCGGAGGCTAGTCCTCTCTGAAGCACAAGGTTTGGCCATGGGCCTCGGTTTAGGGCATAAACAATAAGGCATCGTGAAGCACGACATGTCACTTTTGACCGAAACGCTCCCTTCAAAATGGCCTAAGCCATTTTCAGCAGAGATGTAGGAGTATTCAACTCAGCATAGATGGCCTTGCACCCTCACGGCTCTCAGCTACGTAGGTTTCCAGCTGGATCAGATGTACTTAACGCACCAATGTCCGAAAAAATGTTGATACCTTCGACAGCGACAGACGTAGGCTTTGTGTAGAACTCCATCGTTAGATTTGTGGCAGGCCATCATAGCAGCCTGCCTTACTGGTTGCACATAATGAATCCACACACGTTCGAGCTGAATCCAAATAAGGTTAGAGAAATTAACCACAGCATCCTCTTATGGCAAAAACATAGCAATACGCTCGCAGATCCTTGCTCAGGAGACGTATTCAAATACGCATCGTTCCGGGTAATCTATACAACCAGCAAGTACTATTCAAGATGCTTACAGAAGAGTGTGGTGTATCGTGGCCCAACAAGTGTCATATGAGTCTATCGACGCCGAATCCGTACTAAAATCAAACTCAAAAATGACCTTGTCCCTAGGCGTTCTGTCTTCTACTATGCTAGTTCGACACAGTGGGGGCGATCTTGATACCAGAGAACACACCGCCCGTAGTGTAGTACGTCCCGCCCTGCTCGCCCTTGACCGGGTACGTCAGCTGCGCGAGCACGGAGTAGTTCGCCTGCCAGTACGGTGCGTCGGGAATCTGTTATAGGCCATCAGAATCAGAAACCACCCCCTCATAATCCGTTTCGAGATGAAAACCCCAAATACGTACCTGGACGGTGAACGAGTCCGACGACGCGTTGGCCTTGGGCTCGTTGTGCGCGAGGATAATAGGCGATTCGTGGCCGTTGTTGTTCTCGGGCACCTCGAGGTAGTAGTCGATGTACTTGGGGTAGATGCCCGCGTACGAGTGGGCTCAGGAAAGGTTCAGCGTGCCGATGATGGTCTGTGCAGAGCGGGGAGCGAGGTGGGTGAGTTTGTAAAGGCAACCCCTGAGGTATCGTGCACTTACTTGGCCGGTCACGATAGCCTTGTCAGAGGTGGCGTTGATGCTGAACGTGCCGAAGCGGGAGGCTTCGTCGCAGGAGGCGAGGGCAGCGCCAGCAACGGCGAGAGAGAAAAGGGCAGTGGAGATGAGCTGCATGATGATGATCGCGACTGGAGTTTTGGGAGGGAGAAAACAAAAGTAGAAGAGAAGGTAAGAAAAAAACCACCACTGCCAATGTAGGCCTTTATATACCCCCAGTGCAACATGTCGCCGGTCTCGACCGGTTTCCTCGGTGTCTCACAGAAATGACAGTGGTCCGGACGTTGTGAGCTGTGAGTGATGCGGGTTGAAGTGCCCATCTACTACGATTGACTTTTCCATGTGCCTACTGGCGTGGACTCCCCATCGAGGTTGATTTGCTTCGAATTCTGTACGAAAAGCGGCATGCCCAAGGAGCAACGTTTGGTCTCCACTGCTAGCGAGAGAAACTCTGGGAGAAACCTGTCATTGATGTCGGCCTGGCTTGGCCGCGACAGATGTTGATTGAGCTTCTTCATCAGATCTCTGCGCAGAATGCAAACAAGCCGCATGAGATATTCCCAGAAGGAACGACAGTACTCACAAAGTCAAGCCACGATTCAGCAAGGGTAAATATTGGACAGGCATGGCCAAGGCGTGGCAAACTTGCGGAATTGAGTTACCGTAGGTTGCCGTTTGCAAGAGCATGGTGGATCGGAGGCAAACGAGGCCTTGATCGGCAGCTGTCGGGTTCTCGGTCTTTCTCGGTGCTTGATCCATCAAGGCACCCGACGGCGAGGCTGTGCACACAAAATACCGACCAAAACATTGATACATTCCCGAAAGCGAGTGTAAGGCGTACAAGTATATGTGCTGCAGTAGATAAACCCATAAAAAAGAACATCATAATGATACATCGAGTGCGTACGTGTATAATGCACCTCTAACAATCCTCCTCTCTGTCCTCCTTGAGTGCACGAACAAGCCGTTTCGCGATGATCTCGAGCTTCTCGCTGCGAGACCGTTCAACCTCGACGAGGGTTTGCCTACTCCGTGCTGCAGAAGGAGACGACATGACGAGCCCGGCTTTACGAGGCTGAAGCGTGACGCTCAGACGGTCAAATGGAAGCGGAGGCGGGGGCGCAGGCCGTGGAGGAGGGGCAGCGGGCTTGGGCGCTTCCTTCTTCGAGGACCAGACTTTGAAGCGTGACGCAAAGGAGCTTCCGCCTGATGATGATGGCGACGCTTTCTGCGCTAGCTGTGGTGTTTGCTGTTGTTGCAAGACTGGCCGCGACGACGACGGTTTGGCAGCACTCAACGATCGACGGGAACTCGACGGGCTTTCGTCACCGGCCGAGACTACGCCTTCGCGCACACCATATATGCGCACGAGGTCCTCAAGGCGCGCTCGGGGCTGCATGAGCTCAAACAGGTCGCGGAAGGACTCGTCGCGCTCGTTGTGCAGCTCGGTGTCGTCGAGGAAGACGTCCTCGCGGATCTTGAGCGCGATGAACAGGTCGAGCACCGCCGTCTCGCGCTGCTGTAACGGGCCGCCGATCACCATGTCCCTCCTGCGGGCTGCGGACGATGAAGGGCGTTCGCCGTAGGGAGAAGTGTGTGCAGGTGTAGGTGTATATGAGGGCATGGTAGTGGTAGATCCGGCAGGTCTAGATGAGGAAGAGGAGCCGGTGAGGGGAAAGGGATCGGACGTGTAAGGCGGCCGGATAAGGGTATCATAGGCGGGGAGAAATGTGGAGCGTAGTATATGCATACATGCTGTAGCAGTCATAAGCGCTCACGCACCGCAGCGGGGGAGACATCTGGGACTCACCAACGTAGAACGCGCGGTTTACCCTTCTCAGCTGAGTCTCCATCCACCAGAGGGTCTTGCGCTGCCTCTCGACGGTGCTCACGTCTCGATGCGGACCAGCGTCCATTGGAAAGGACATGTAAAGGATCTTGAGGAGAAGGTGCTGTGGCAGAGAGATGAGGGTCGCCAGCGGACCAGGTGGGCGAGGAAAGGGTGGTAGACCAGCATTGGAGCCAGTGTTGCTTGGACTGAGCGGGTTGAGTCGGTTGAAGGGGTTGTTGGATCGGTATTGCTGCATGCTGCTGTATGGTGGGGGAAGAACCGTCTTCTCGTCAAGGACAACCATCGCGCTCTGTGAGAGAGCTGGACTTTATAGGATGCGTGATTGTATTCAGCTGCCAGGGGTAGATGCAGTGCCTGGAGGCAACTTCCGCGATTCAAGCTGGCTGTAGGTGACGAGAGAGACGGAAGCAGGTGAAGAGCTAGGTGAGATCGGTTTGCTGTGAGCTCGATATAAGTAAGCAGCTGAGGGGCGCGGAACTCGGCCCAGGTACAAATATACAGCTTCGCCGCAGTCGTCATCGTCGACGTTTTCCTCCGAGCTCCCCGCAGCATTGCGCCGCGCGGTACTTGCTGTGCTCTTTGTCTTTTCCCACAGCATTAGTATCGGTTTCAACGCTTACACACGACCCAGCTCAGAATACGCAAGGAAGCTCTTCGAGGGATTCACTTGCAGAAATACTTCTCAAAGGTCTAGCCAGGGCAAACACTACCACTGCAATATTATTGAGCTGTTCGGACTGCTGTCAACATTTGGCTCCGCAGCAAGTTCAGGCGCGTCGCAACGTCTTCTCTCTGACCGCAGTCACTCGCAATGTGGACTTCTTCATAGCGCTCTTGCAATCCGGCATAACCTTGGCACAATTCTCGGTCTGCGCAATTCTCGTACGATGTTTTGCGTAGTGCATAGGCAACACACATTGAGATCGCACAGTCAACAAACGTACGATTGTTATCTATATGATTCCCGCGAACGTTTCCCCTCGGTCGAGAGAGAACGGTTTCATCCCAAGTCAGAACACGATGCTTCTCGGTGACATTGCCGACGAAGTCAATTCTCTCGTTATGATTTCAAGTGCGGAACCAAACGTTGCAATGCTAGTCTCAGTCTTCGCTCACTGACTCTACACTTCATTATTTCACAGAGATATACGGTAACCAGCTTCCAACAGTGGCTCCCAACACCTCGACGCATTCATGCAGTATGGGCCTTCTATTCACAACTTCTGCTGGCGGATGTCTTGACAGAACGTGTCTCTCCGTCTTGTTTATCCCATTTCAAAGTACTGAACATCTCCAGACATGCACGACCCAAGCCATCGTCCGTTATCGATATATTTATCATGTCGTGGCTCAGCCTGGCTTTACACCTCTACGCGGCTGCCGCATGCTGCATCTCGTCGATTAAATCAAACCCCCTTCCTTCGAAGGTACTTATTCGAGGATTCTGTGATCCATGCTACGTTCATCAAAATCTGGCCTTCGATAATCAAGGTACTCCCCTGCCTGTGCGCATGTTCTACTTCGATTGCCTGGCCACGACTTCCTCAACCGCTCTGTTGGTTACCAGCCCTTGGCGAAGCGCTCGTCCTCGTCACTCTCAAACATACATCATATCACCGACCTCATCTCGGGTTTTCGTCGCTTTAGGCTGAAGTCCCCTCGCATTTGCGAAACAGTCCTCTCGTGTCCTACTCGCCAGCACAACATTAACAGACATAGGTGACATTGGCCGCATGCACGCTACCACGCAGTAGGGCGATACTTCACCTACCAGCTCCATTTGTACAAGGACCACGCTTTTGCGACAGATAGCCTACACGGGTTCGTGCGTCACCCGAGCTATCTCGCGCTGTTCATCTTACGTGTTTGGCTGGCTGAGGTTTAGCACGGCAGTGCTGTGGACTACATCAGCGGCCCTACGGTGGACCATCATGCTTCGCTGGCTGAATGTCTAAGACGAGTTTCTACATCGACATATTGGAAAGGTGTTGAAGGAGTAAATTACACATAATCGCGGGATGGAAGATGCACGCTCATTTGATCATACGTCTTGAGATAATAAAGTGAGCTCAATGGAGTTTCTTCAACTACCACTAGCCTATTGGGTATTCCTTACATGATCGCCCCAGAAATGACTTTCTTCTGCCCTCTTTTTTCATTGGGAGTTCGAATGAACGTTCAAGTTGTTTTCCTCTGGTTTCCCTCTACTTTCGGCTCCGGGAGTCTCGGGATCATCAGTTGCCGCTGCGTCGCTGGCCACGTTTGCCAATTGAGGTCACTGCTCAGTCGAGCAGCCTCTCGAGCACCATGGTCACTCGCCCTCCCCCAAACTACCGACACGTGAGCGATATTTCACTTGAGAATCAACAAGCTATCATGCACAAGTGATATGCACGCATCACTCACTTGATACTGGGAGTCATTCTGGTCTCCCACTATCTCCAAGACCCAAAGACGTACTGCATCTAGTGCTGTGGATGTACAAACAACGTGAGTGGTATTCCTTGCTAGCTTCACTTACGTCATTTGAAACCAAACCATAGGTGTCTACAGTCGACTATATGCCTTGGTCGGCTCTGCCTTCTATGGACTGTAAGAAAGGCTAATCTTGACAAATGTAGAACATGCGCCTCGGCTGATATGGAACCAACGCATGCTTGCCGGAGAATCTGGCATCAATGTTAGCCTTCTGAAGCCATCACAATACTTATAAATGAGATGCTAACTCGTGCGGGTCTGAGAGCTCGTGCGGGCGTGGTGCAAAGGAACTGAGACACAAGCAGTCCTCGGTGTACAGCTTGCGCTGGCAACAATTACTGGCTCCGGGAGAGTGGCACAATCCATTGAGCCTCTTGCACGATAGGACGTCACTACTGTATAGCTGTAACTAAAGACCGAAGCCTGTTGGCAACGAGGTACGTCTCCATGTGGAACCCCGGATCAGCCTTGTCGATCACTCTGCAGCCTATGACCTTGTTGCAGAGCGTTGCAAACTGCCCATGACTTCTCAGCAATAAGGTGCGATAGCACCTCTATAACTCAGGGCCGCTATTATACTTTGGGATTTTCTCGCCTAATTTTCAGATAGCCCAAGCCTCCAAAAGTATCAAAGGTCCTAGGTCGAAGGCGAAAGAGACTTCATCACACCACAAGTCCCTTTTGACCCATCCTCGTCTATCATGAAGTTCCTTTCTCTGCTGGCGTTGGCTGCTTCCTCAAAGGTGGCTTTCGCCGCCCTTGGGCCTCTTGGAGGTGCAACACCGCCGGTTGGGACTTTGGTGGACCCTCGGGTGTTACCCCTCCGCCTGATCAATACCCCCATTTCGCCTCTCAGGGTGTAAACATCTTCCGCATTCGTGAGCACCACAGTATTCGCTAGAGAATGTTCTCGAGTTGACAAGGATGCTTCGTCTACAGCGTTTGGTAGGGTATCTTGACCGGCATATTCACAGTATTCTCACGAGCTCTTAGGGTGGAACCTCATGACGCCAACGGTTGGCGGAGACATCGACGAAGGCTTCTTCTCCAAGTATGACGGTTCGGTTCAAGCTGCTCGCAAGTCTAGCACTAACCCGTATGTCATCATTGACTTGGTGAGCCTCCGTCTCAATCATTAGGATGTGCGAGCCTGTTCTCATGATTTCGATAGCACAACTACGCCCGCTGGAACGGTACTATCATTGGCCAGGGCGGGCCAAGCAATGACCAGTTTTCCGATTTCTGGAACAAGCTTGCGGCCAAGTACAAGGATGACGACCACATTATTGTGACACGAGAAATTCCGATGGTTTCGTCAACCTTCACTAACCAGCACCTTTCCAGTTCGGTGTCATGAACGAACCTCATGATCTGGACGTCCCTACTTGGGTGCAGGTAAGTTGTGTTCTTGTCTCTGAGTGCGAGCACAAACTGATGGGCTCGTAGAGTGTTCAAGCCGCCATCAACGCTATCCGCGCTGCAGGAGCGAATTCGCAGTACATCTTGATGCCTGGATCTAGTTATTCGAGCGCCGGCGCTCTTCCAACTGAGGCTGGACCGCTTCTTGTCAAGCTCACTGATCCTGCCGGCGGAACCGACAAGCTTCTTTTCGATGGTATGTCATATACAGCGTAACCTGTTGCTGCTTTATGCTGAGTCTTGTTTAGTCCACTTTTATCTCGACTCTGACGGCAGCGGATCCCACACTGACTGTACCAAGGTAAGTTTGGCAGTATTAATAAAACCTAACGTGTACGAGGTTGACCTCTTTCATTCAACCAGAACGGCGTCGACGTTATGACCACTCTCGCCAACTGGTTGAATTCGAACGGCAACCGCCAGGCCATTCTGAGCGAGACCGGAGGCGGAAGCACGTCCTCCTGCGAGACCGAGTACGTCCACCCCATAAACAAGTTCAAAGCCCCCGACTGACGTTTGCGCAGTCTCAATCAGGAGCTTGCGTACATCAAGAACAACGCCGGCAGCTTCGCTGGCTTTACGGCTTGGTCCGCTGGAGCCTTTGCCACCACCTACGGTTTGTCGCTGACGCCCAATGCCGATGGGTCTGACCAGCCGATCTGGACTCAGGCTGGTGAGTAGTGCAATTACGTTAAACGGGTGCCGAATACTTATCTACCCCACAGTGAAGCCCAACTTGCCATGACCTGGCCTCTGACGTCTCAGATTAACAACGCGTTGGAGTTGTGTCATCTGTATAGTTGTGTTTCTAGATGTGTTCGTAGATCGAATGTAATTTGTTATGTATTTGCCATGCTTGGAGTGAAACCGCAATTAGAGGTTGTTAAGTGATTTTCGATTACGTGTAAGGGTGAGTGGAGATTGTGATATATGAACTAGTACCTGGTATGTTGTAACTGTTTAGATCAACAATTTTGCACTCTGGGGTTTACACAATCTGTATGAAAGAGTTCCCACAAAACAGACAATGCTGCACCGCGCTAAGGAGCTGAAGCACAAACCACCCCTTCACATCGGACGCCACCCCATTCGTTTCTGCACTTGGGAGGAGGGCCTTCCTCGCACATCCAACGCACGTCCTCACGTTGGGCGTCGCCAGAATGAAGGAGGTGATCGAGCACCGGGCTAACGTTTCACCAGTGAGACATTCGCTCGCGAGTAACCGCTAACTGAACACTTACACCAACTGTGACCTTTGGGACACGTTGCCGTTTGCAAATCCGCGAAAATGACGTCGGACTTGCATGCTGGACATTCATCATGTAGCGGCTCGAGGAGTTCTTCTGAACTAGTCATCCGAGAAGATAGCAGATCGGATGTCAGGCGGTTTTCAACAGCAGGCAGATCCACAGAAAGACCCGGGAGATGCGCTTGAACCATGATACGTCTTAGGAAAGGAAGGTCGTCCTCTGAAAAATGTCGTAACGGGTGATGAGTGAGAGAGGAGGTTGCGTTGGCGGTGTATGGGACGTACTTGTCAGCAATGGAACTATGGTTTGCAGGATTGTCATGATGATCCTCAGCACTCGCGACGATATCTCTCGGATGATCGGCTGAGCGACCTCGCCACACGCGTTCCTAGCCTCGTCACTCTGGGAAACCTTCTATCGAGAAATGAGTACGGTCATCGACTACATCAGAGCAGGGCAACTGACCCAACACATATCAGCAATTCCAAGCCTCAACCGAAGAAGCGTCAAGCTTGGCCTTCCGTATAAGTGGGTCTTGAGCAGAAGTCTCAAGTCATCGCTATAATCCCGGCCAGCTTCGAGAGTGAACGCGGCTAGTCCGAGCGATGTTGTATCATCTGCTGGGAGGACTCGCATGTAATCGAGTATACGTGAGCGTACATTCTCGAATCTCCCAGAGTGACATAGGCAAAACAAGGTCGCACGAAGCCTGTTGAGAGGCGTGCCGCCTTGTGCTGAGGGCAAAAGTCAGCACATGTAGATTTAGAAATCAGAAGATCGTACGCTTCAGATCATTGAGCTCTTCTACTACCCTTTTTACAACGTTTTCATCCGTCTCGGCGTACATTGATGCGACGATGAGCGTATTCTCGTGCTTGGCTTCAAACTTATAGCTGAAATCGCTTGGGCGTAGCTTCCTGGGAGAGGTTATCAATGGGTACACTCGCATCCATAAACGAGGCGACTCACTCGTAGACCCAAGCAAACGCCCCAGCGCCATCATAGCTCGCCATCCCGTAGGTTCGTCCAACATCCATCCACGTGGCAGAGCCAGCAGACTCGCGCCCCAGAACACCCCTAACTCTCGTCGACATCAACTGCGAGTCAAGCGCCGCGCCGCCCTCCGAGATTGGCGATGCCCACGATGGATCAGACGAGGCGTTATGAATGACGTGAAATGACCCATCCAGGAAGGCCAGGACAACCTTATCTCGTGATTTAACGTATGTCGCCCCACTGAGAGGGGTGAGTGGCGAAGAACCGGCACTCAGGGGAATGTTGCGGAGCTCAAGCACACGACATCCTGACCACGGCGCCCGGGAAGCAGGAGAACACCAGAGATGCACGGTCCCAGGCTTCGTGAAGAGGCAGATAGGCTAACGTGATGAATTCGTCAGAATGTCCTTGTAAGTTCTGAAGAACATATAACAGCTTACTCACCGGCTGATTTGTACGGTCGATCCATACAAGCCCGGTAGTGCCACGCTTATCCGGGGGATGGACCTCCACTGGCGTCGCGGTCGACAAGACGCACTTGTATTGTTGACCAGACATGCTTGTATTAGCATCAAATAACGCCTTTTGCTCGACCTTGAGGGTGACCAGACTTCCGCTGTCCAGCGAGCACGCAACAAATGCTATGGCTAAAAGACGTTAGATGGAATCATTGACTTGACTGAATCGTGCTTACAATGCCCTATCTCCAAATTTCTCCATGATGACCACGCTATTTGCGTGATCCGATGCTTAGAGAACTTGACCGTGCCAAGATGAGAAACGGATCTTTGCTGTGATGACCGCCCCTCGAGTCTACAAGACGTCGTTAGATTCATCTGCATAGTGCTCCCCATGAACTCACCGAAACAACATGAGGTCTCCGGCCCGATTTCCTATAGCAAGGGCTGAGCCATCCATGACAGGTACCGGTACGATACCAAAGTCGGGCTGGGACGACCATGCTAGTGCTGCACAACAGGCAATTATTATCAAGACAGTGTGTGCGCACATGCGGCTTACAGGTTGCCTGGGCCCGAAGTGCCATCGTGATATGATCTTCGCCATTATTTGCAAGCCCATCCAGCAGGAAGGAGGTCACATCTAGTACCTACGGAGACAGTGAGTGTATGCACTTCACTTGTGCGTCTTAGATTCGAACCTTGACCCATTCGCCCTTGAGGTGATGACGGCCAGCCTCCCAAATAGAGACCTCGCAGTTCGAATTCAACACAGCGAGCATACACCTACTACTATAAGCAAGGTTGCTGGAACGCGCAGATGGCTTGCTACCTGCCTCTGGACGACATGTTCGTAGGCGAGCACGCCAAGGCAGTTATGGACAGGTCCAGAGAGCCAAGGGTAACCGTGCTCCAATCTACTCATAGTTAAGTGCAGTCCGTAAGAAAGGCACTGCGGAGCGCACCTTGAGAGTAGCTTGGCCAATAATACGTCGTTGCGCGGTCCGTCTCAACTGCCGTTTTAAACCATCCAATAGGTTTCCCAGTCTGATCGCCGGGAGCAGAAGCCTTAACATCTGGAGGGGCGGAGATGTTGATCCCTGCATCTGGAGTCTAAAGAGCGATGCGTTTAGCATAGGTAGTCCCTGAGCTCCTTCAATGTATATCAGGAGGGTCCAAGATACTACGCACCAGGATGTGAACAGCGGATTTGGTGACAAGGCAGATCTGTCCATCTTCAGTCCATTGCAAACAATGTTGGGAGGGATGTGTGATGACGGCAGGTATGGGAAGTGCTGTGAAGATCGTGGCCGACATCAAGACGAGCTAACAAAACGCGTCGCGGTGGTTCGGTCACTGTCCGCGTCGCCGAACTCGTGCCTTCCATTCGGGGATAGGGGAAGCTTAGCGAGTCAGAAATTCCCACACTCTAGATTCACTCCTTTCATGTTGCGACCATGTCGCGCTTGCTATCCGTCACTGTCCAGACACTCATTGACGCTTCTTTGCCGGTCGTACAAGTGAGACTAGCTATCACACAAACGCCCGCTTCATACCTTTGGTATTCTCACGGGTCTAGCGTATGGGTTACGCACTGATGGGGGTTAACGCTTCAGCGCTTCAGTGCCGGGTCGGACTGAGTAAGCAATTCGCAGGACACCGATGCCAATCCGAGGGGGCGTGACCATAGAACTGTTTCATGTCACCACTTCATTCAAAGTAGCTCGGCCTTCCTCGACATACCCGTTCCCCATCCCATAGAACCTGCGTTCTCAATGGAGGAGATGACTCAGCTTGACGTCCTGCAAAGGATCTTCATCAGTATGTCCGTCTCGAATGGTCCTTATCATGAAACTTATGCTTCGGCCCACCTTTCGGTCAGCTCTATTCCGCCTGATGTAGGAGCGGCCATACCACTTATCGATGCTAAATGACCTCGGCAGCTTGAACGATCGGACGAACTTGCCCTCCGTGTCTTTCCTTGCGGAGATGCAGTCCTTAACTACCTGAATAAGATCATCGAAGAGGGTTCGGTCAGTGGGCTCGGTCAGTCCTTTGCAGAAACACTTATAAAGGGCACACGTTCAAACCAGGCTTCACCAGTCCACATCACATCCCAACTTCTCAGAGAGCAACATCAGCTTCACTGCCGATATCACCAACATGAGCTCTTCTAACAAGCAGATCACTCTCTACTACTCCAAGCTGAGCGTCTACGTCCAAAGGGTAAGTTCGTTGGCTTGACCCCATAACATCGAATAACCTGCTTAAATAATAACTTACAGGCGTCAATGGTCCTCGAAGAGGCCAAAGTCAATTACAAGAAGTATCCCATCCAAATCTTCGCCCCCAAGCCCGACTGGTTCCTCGAAAAGATCAACCCGAGAGGCCTTGTAAGCCTCATTACTCCCCTCTGCGCCCTGGATGCTAAACAGTCAATGCCAGGTGCCTGCTATCACCTATGGCGGCCCCGACGTCCCTGGTGACCAGCCCTCGTCCGAGGCTACCGTTATCATCGAAACGCCCGTCATCATGGAGTTCATCGCAGACCTTCACCCCGAGGCAAACCTGCTGCCCAAGGACCCCGTCGAGCGCGCTAAGGTCCGCCTCTTTGTCGACGCTGTCAATACGCACTTCGCGTCGACCTTCGTCGGCTTCATCGTGAAGGGCGACTCATACCAGACCGTCATTGACGGTGCGCGGGCTGTACAGAAGCTGCTCCCCGACCACGGCAAGTGGGCGATCGGAAACCAGTTCACGATTGCCGACATCGCTCTTGCCCCGTTCATCTCGCGCATCGAGCTTGCAAGCAAGCGCGGGGTCGGTAAATACGCAGCGGGGGAGAACAAGCTCGTGCTCGACGCTCTGAACTCGCCGGAGTTTGCCAAGTTGAAGGCGTACAGTGCGAACTTGCAAGAGCGCCCGAGCTTCAAGGCCACGTTCGATGGGGTAAGTGTTTTCGTAGCCGCTTAAAGTGATGCCCAAGTATTAACGAAACCTTTAGGATTATATCATTGGGGAGCTGACGAAGCTCCTCGCTTGATAAGGGGCAATTCCAAAGCCTGTAGTTCATTATTCCTCCTCTCCTTGTTTATGTTTGACTACCGCTGTGTAATGCCATCTGTGTGCCTCTGTCAAGTTCTGACTGTGTCAGGATTTCCAATAGCTGAGTGTGTATGGTATGACGCTCCACGGAAACATTGTAACACGACAGCTGATTCGGGCATTCTCATGGCACAGCTTACGTGGTACAGTATCTCTCTATAGAACCGAATTGACCAATCGACCGCGGCCAAGCCACCCAACCCTGTCAGCCAATCAGATTGCTGGCCACATATTTATTTCAAACAAATTCAACCGCACATCCCGTAACCGCGCTAACGGTTATAGAACCTCGACCTAAAGATGTCGATGATACGTTTCGTAAGGCCCCGCTCGGTAACAGGTTAAATTAAATTAAGTTAAATTATTTGGCCGAATTAGGAAGGTGTGAAAAACCCGCCGCGTCCAGCTCAGTAAAACCGAGTACTTTGTCAGTTTTAGTCAGTTATCCTGGGTTTCACAGTGGGTCGTAAGGATTATGCAAAAAAAGTGCGCTCATTCTCTTCCACTGTGTCCTTAGACGTTGGGAGTTCTAAGAGAGCGAGTTCAATGTACTGACGAGGACCAGGCATGATGTTAGAGTGCATGGTAGGAGAGAAGACAAAAAGCAAATTCAATGTTTTGTAAAGGTAGTGTAAAGAGGCACCAGTGCAGGAGCCTGAGGAGGGTGCGGGAAGTACCAGATAACCAAGTTCTAATCAGGCCGGAGTCTTCGGTTGGTTCGCACCAATAGAGCTAGAGCCAACGCGGCTCCCGGCGTCTCCGGGAGCCCGATAATATTGAGGGCATGGTACTAGCGTACGGTAGAACTATGACCGAATTATGTAAAGTAAGATGTAGGAAATGACAGGGAATGTGCAATGGAAGGTTTGACGTAGCTCTGAGGCGAGGCTCGAGGGAAGGAGGGTGGGTAGCAAAAAGAAAACTGCTGCCTGGCACAGCACGAAAATGAGCAGATCTCATTGAAAATGAGGAGCAGAGACTTACCGAGGCAGGGCGCGTTGATGAGCAGATGTCGAACTCTGCGCCCTGCCTCGTCTTTAATATTGCTCAGTCGAAACAGGAGCTCGTCGTCGCGATGACGCGACGAAGTCTCGCTTCTGGTCTGAATCGATAGTGCCGGGCTGGCGCGTTCTGGAAGAACGCTAAGGGTGTGTTTCACCTGAGTGAAAATGCCCCTGTGCGCAGGCCGAATAAACGGACCCGCTAAGGACACTCTCTGGGAGCTCCTTGTGCGCGTACCGGCGGTACGCTGAGGAAGTTCGTCGAGGACGCACTTCGCGCGCGTTCCTAGTAGGAACGCCGGCGTAGGCGCACGTGCGCGCTACGACTTTCCGGTCGTGATTAGACTCACGTAAATATCTTGGTTTAAACCCGATTAACTAGTGTTTTACCGTGCACATCTCCAGGTTTTGCAGCTCCTCGCACCTTCCTAATCGGCCAAATAATTTAACTTAATTTAATTTAACCTGTTACCGAGCGGGGCCTAATAAACATTGACTAATGAATGACTGACACCAACGATGACTTAGGCATTATTTCTTAGCAAATGGAGGCTCGGGCATGCAGTACTAGTGAGAGTGACTTCCCCCGCTACGTCCTTATCGCATCCTCCGAAAACCGCGCCGAAGAGACAATGGGTGAGCGGCTTCTCTTCCTTCTGGTTGCGCTTCCATGAGCTTCGACTGGCCTATCAAAATGCGTGACACCTAGGCGAGATCATAAAACTTGCAGTGAACCTGCAGGTTCGAGCCGTTGCATTCACTCAGCTGTCAAAAAGTTGCGCATTACGGATCTACGGAAGCGTCGGACTCCGAATGTTGCCTATCGGAGCCGATCATGGCCTCATTGCGTGTTGTGGGTCCATGATTTTTACCTTGATAGGAAATGCTGAACGCGAACAATAGCACTCGCGTATCGAGCGCGACGTCGCATGGAGTTTGCCGCTGTTTCGCGGTTTCAACTTAGCCTGGTTATTTCCACGGTGCTGAGACTATTTGTCCTTGTGTATTTCGCAACTTTCCCGATTGCGATTCGGACTGGGGCGGCTTGGCCTCATGGTTCTGGATTTAAAAAAGGCCATCGTTTTCTCCTCTTCCCTTCACCTCTCTTCCCTCTCTTCTCCCTCTATCGCTCCTCTGCTCCCTCCACATTTTCCCTCCTCGTTTCGTTGCTGCCTTGTCTTCGCTCTCTCTGTGGCACCGCCCTCTGCTCGTGGACGATGGATCCATGCGACGCCACTGGCCATCGTTAGGCTTGTTTTTATGTAAGGTAATTTATTTCCACCGTCAACGTTACATGCTGACATTCCGGCGATAGCTCATTTGTATACTACACACCCTTGGCGACTTACTCAGGTAATGCTACGCCTTCAGCCTCTTTTCCAACGCGTGCCGACAATTCTCCTCGAAGGTTTCTCCGGTGGCGTCGACCGAGGTTTGCGAGCGGCTGCAGCGTTTTCGCCACGGACCTGTGAAGGCTCCGACCGAGGCCATCAACAGCCGCGCCTCCAAGTGCCTAATAACGGCAAGAAGGACTTGGACTCCTACGTCGATTGCTGAGTCTGCAAGAGCTGAGTACATTCTTTGAGTTTGACTTTTGTCACCGCGGACTCGCGATGAGCTCCGTTCGAGGCCTTCAAGAGCCATGACATCAAGCGCCCACGAGTGGCCGAAGATCTCAGCTGAGTTTTCATTTCGTCTTGTTTTGTTCTCTTTTTTGCGTCTTACGGCAACACGGACTCGCGATGAGCTCCGACCGAGGCCCTCAAGAGCCACCATATCAAGCGCCTACTAGTGGCCGAAGACCGCGACGTCTAGGACACCCTGCTGAGTACTCTTCTTGGTTGGTCTTTTGGCAACACGGACGCCCGACGCGCTCCGAACGAGGCCTTCAAGAGCCACCACCTCAAGCGCCTACAAGAAGCGAAGATGTCGATGTCGAGCCTGGTGTCTCAAGGGTCTTTCTCGGCAACACGGACGCCCAAGTCGCTCCGATCGAGGCCATCAAGAGTCGCTTCTTCAAAGGTATTAATCTAGGTTTTCTTGTACTCGATTTCGTTTCTCTTGGCATCACGGACGCCCAAGACGCTCCGAACGAGGCCATCAAAAGCCATTCCTTCTTAAACTCGGTTAAAATCCTCCTCGTGCTTTCTCTTTTCTCTCGTATTCAAGTCGTCTTCCCTCTATGCTATCTGTCTTCTCTCGCTTTGTCCACCTATCGTCCCGTATATTTCTGCTCGTTCTGTCTATCGTCTCTCGTTTCTCCTACTTTTTCTCGTGTTCCCTATTTTCTCTCTTGTGCTTTCTATTTCTCTTGGATTTCTAGTTTCTCCTGGCGACACGGACAAGCGACTTGCTCCGAACGAGGCCATCAAGAGCCACGCAACAAGAGCCCCGCAAATGGGTGAAGACGGGAAAATCAGGCGCCCGGCACCGCCTTTGGCGGTGGTGAGTCTGATTCATATATGCTCCGAAGGCTCATTCTAACCGCATCCCTGTTCAGTTACAGGTGCGCAATTTAGAAATTCTGAAACTGGTGAGTCGAATATCATTTTCGCTAGCTTGCTGGGTTCTGGAAGATCGGTTTGGCGAGGGTCCGCGTCATGTCGACTGCTCGTTACCTGTAGCCGCTACACTAGTAGATGCTGAAATATAATTGCAATTCCCTTTCATCATTGTCGAGTGTGATTTTGATCAAGTCGAGTCAAATTGAAGGGTAAACATTCGGATTGAGTTGTCTACTGAAGGTAGCCTTGCTCGACGGCTGTGAGACTTCAAGCGCGTTGACATTTATTAAGCTACAAAGAAACCCGAACTCTTATACTTTAATACGCGACGCGATGGCGGAGTATCGTCAATGAATTATCACACCACATCCTTACATCATCCTGTACACCACAGTCCTCAAACATCTTCCTCCTTCCCTTTCTCCTCCCTCACCTCCACATCCTCCGCTATCCTCCGCCTTCTCACCGTCCTCCCGCCCTCGCCCGCCTTCAGGCTCTCCCACACGCCGCCTGTGATACCGCCCTTCTCGAAAATATGGTCGACATCCTCGAGCTCAAGGCCTTTCGTCTCGGGGAAGAACAGGTACACGACAGGCACCCAGATCGCGTTGAAGATCGCGAAAATGACGAAGACGCGCCACCCAATGTTGGCGATTGTGGGTGGCGTGATTTGCACTATTGAGTGTTAGGATCATTGTGTGAGCGAGTGGACAAATAGACGATCAAGAGGGGACAGAGAGACACACCGATGATGAAGGTGCTCATCCAGTTGGAGAAGGCAGAAACAGAGCCGCCGCGGGCGCGGATACGGGTTGTAGATATCTGATCATGCCCGGTCAGTTCGTCAAATAACGTCCCTTCTCATAGTAACACGTACCTCAGCGGGGTAAAGCCAGGGCTAGGGAGAGATGAATCAGCTTAGCGTCGCTTTTTGCCCACTCTAGCAACTCACAATGGGCAAAAAGCCAATACCCAGGAATATCTGGAACAAGAACACCATCGCCGTAGCGCCATACGCAGCCGACGTGCTTCCGGTGGACAGCAAGATCGACGTGAGCACAAAGCAGAGGGACAGCCCTGCAGCGGATATCATGAGCAGGGAACGGCGGCCGTATTTGTCAACGGTCTGTACCACGCCGAGTTGAGCACTTGAGGTTCGTTTATAGAAGGGGAGACGTACCCATATTGGTAAGAAAGACGCCACCATGAAAGTGATGGCGGTAGCACCACCCAGGATGAGGGATAGATTACGCGATAAACCCATAGTGTTCTCGTAGACGACAGGAGCCAGGTAGCTATGCCATATCAGCCTGATATTTCGTTCCTAGCTTTTGAGTCGTGACTTACTTAATCATGTTCGCTCTGGTCGTTGGAGTTTGACATTTAGTAGTAGCAGAGTCAAAACAGACCGAGCTTACCCAGTAAACTGCTGCATGACTTGGATCCCAGAACACAAACACATTCTTCGGAAGTTACCAAGCGGACCGCCTTGTATCAACTCTTTATACTTGAATGGGCCTGTTATCAAGTTAGCCCTTCCATTCTCAAGATTTAGCGAAGAAAGTGAACTCACCACCAATACTCTCCTGCTCCAGCGATACCTCGATCTCTTTCATCTTGTACACGACATCAGGATGGTCGATTGATTCGTGACCCTCAAGTTGTGCAAGGACAGAAGCACCCTCGTCTCGTCGATTATGCGCAATCAACCATCTTGGTGAGTCCGGCAGCACCACAACTTGGATCAGAAGCGCCAGTGCGAATACCGCTTGAAAGCCTGTTTACTCTGACGTCAGGACAGCGAAGTCGGATCTTCGGACCGAAAGTGCTACCTATGGGGAGACGCCATTGAATAGGGCCATCCACAAACGAGAGGCCATAGTCGAGCCAGTACGCCTCGAGCACCCGTGAGTGTCAATTACTAGGCGGGAGTGTAGAAAGGAAGCTCACTATCACCAAGCCCACGATGGTTATGGTTGAGTTGAGGCAAACAAGCATGCCTCTGACAAGCCCGTCACAAGTTTCTGATTGGTAGACCGGAATGGACGAGGAGTTGAATCCGTTTCCCTGGCGAGACTGTGGTGAAGGAATGTCCAACTGACATGGTGGCCTGTACCAGACTCACAATACCGGTGACGATGCGCCCGACGTATAGTTGAGCACGTGTAGTAGCGCTGGTGAGGATCGCCTGAGTAAGAGGCAATATTAGGGGTTGAAAGAAAGAGCGAGACAAGACAACTCACGGTGCCTACAAGCATGGTGATGGCCCCCGACATGATCATCCGCTTTCTACCCAAGGCCTCACCGAAGAAGAACACGACCAGAGCGCCGACCGCGCAACCGATATCCTGGAGATGTACTGAGTCTTTGGTCCGGGTTCTCAAATGAAACCACACACGTATATTGCGACCTAGTATGAATAGTGTAAGGCATATATCGCAGAGTCGTAGGAAGGACTGGACTCACGATGAGACCCTGTTCAGTAGGGTTAGGCTCCCCAAAGTCCTTTCCAAACTGGTTGTTTGCCCCAATCTATGGATCATGTCAGATGCGGCCCCCTACGTACAAATTCAAGGGGTGGAGACGCACGATGCCTGACATGACTCCCTGGTCGTACCCTTGAAGCAAGAAGCCAGTACAACAACATGCTAGAGAAATGGTCATGCCATCGAAGAAGGATTATGTCGGACCACAGCTTACCTGTGATAGCCCACACCAACCTGTCTCCTCTCAGTGGTACTATCCACATCTCGTCGAGGGTTGTAAAGGGAGTCGTCAAGCAACCTCAAGCGCCTGCATCGTGCTTCGCAAACCGAGGATACATGAACGTGACCCCCACCATTGCCGTAAATGACCACTGAAGAATGCGGGGCCTATAATTTTAGCGTCAGGAGGGGTGTGGGTGTGGGGTAAGAAGCCGGAATCCACATAAAGACGGCAAGGCGTCGCCGTCTCTTGAATCGGGATCAAAAGGCTAAGCTGGCTGGCAATTGTTGCTTCCACTGCTGCTAGCTTCCAAGTCGTCGCGTCCCAAGGTTGCAAGGCCTCTGCAAAGAGCCCCTGACAGTGACAGTCGCACGACACTTGTGCGGGAATCGCCGAACTTCCGCGAGGAACGGAGCTCTCTCGGCTTTCTTCCGAAATAATGCCCACAGTCCCTGGCCTTGGTCTTAGTCCATCAATTCATGTTTCTTCGTCGCTAATCATCGACATCTCGCATCCCAAGCATTGTGCATGACACTATCACCACACATACTGTCTATCTCCTGCATGCAGATGGAGGGTCCCGCTATGACTGACTGACTGATCGCACCTCGGCCGATGCGAGTAAAGTAGATCGAGCCGCTTTCTTGCGGTACACCGGACGTTTGTCAGAATTCTGTTACTATATCCTCCACATCTCTATGGCCTCACACGTGCTAAACCATCATCCCCACGCACCCAGCGGTCCGGAGAAGGGCGGTACACTGGTCAACTGACCGTCGATTATGATGTGACCAGACAGTGGCTCAGCTAAATCGCGAAGGATATAATATGCCAGGACATACACTGCGGATGCTGACTTTGCCCGCTTCACGTCTCCACGATGTGGATTGTACCTCTCAGAGGCAAGTATCTTGTATGGGCAGTCACAGGTGAGCACGCTTTTCTTCGTTGAATAGAGCTCGTTAGCTGATGCTCTTCAAGCATGCTGCTGTCAAGGGTTCCTTCTGCTGGGATACGACCAGGGTGTGATGTCAGGCATTGTGAGTGACTCGTTATCCCCTCCTCCTGCTACTCATCAAAGGTATTTAAGATCGGCGCTCAGAACCAGTTCGGACTGGATTTTGGGGAACCAGACGCGGCTACGCAAGGTCTCATAGTGAGTCAGGCAACTCCAAGAAATCTCTTTCGGTAACGTGAGTTGACCATGGCAGGTTGCGATCTATGTAAGTGTAAACAACGAAACTCAGTATGATCTATCCTGAAAGGTGAGGACAGGATATCGGCTGCGCATTTGGAAGCTTGCTGGTCTTCTTCTTCGGCGAACACATTGGGAGAAAGCGGATGATTATGTACGGAGCGTTCACCATGCTCATCGGAACAGTTCGTCGCGCAGCATTAGCGACAAGTCTTCATCAAACCTAACCATTCAATCCTAGGCTATTCTCACTAGCTCAACGACTCGCGCACAACTCTACGTCGGGCGTATAGTCACGGGCATTGTGAGTTAATGACCTAGCCTTACCCTTCCACTTTTAACTCGAGGTCATTCCAAGGGCAACGGCTTCAACTCTTCGTCAATACCCGTCTACCAATCCGAAACGTGCGCAGGGCAGATCCGAGGTACCCTCGTCTGTCTCAACTCAACAGTCACCATCATCGGCCTCGTCATCGTAAGCACGCCCGCCAGCCTCATATCACGATCTGTGACTTACCGTGCTAATGCAATAGGCATACTGGCTAGACTACGGCATGTCCTTCGTCAGCGGACCAGCGCAGTGGCGTCTCCCAGTCGGCTTCCAAGCCTTCTTCGCGCTCTGCCTCCTTTTCCAGGCGATGACCCTGCCCGACTCGCCGCGCTGGCTGATCGCACACGGGCGCGCTGACGAGGGCGCACGTGTCCTTGCACAGCTGGAGGACAGGGACTCGATTGACCACCCTGATGTGATCGAGAAGCTGAAAGAGATCGAGGTGTCGCTTGCTCAAGAGAGCGCTGGAGGTGCGTTCCCCTTCTTCATGTTAATAATGCCTGAGGTCTAATGATCTTCTGTAGGCCCGTTCCGCTATAAAGAGCTCCTGCAAGGCGGACCGCTGGGCAACTTCCGTAGGATATGCTTGTGCTGCGGCATTAACATCATGCAGCAGTTTACTGGGTAAGAGAGAACGTTTTCGACCTCCTTGATATTTTGCTAATACTGTGGGTACACAGAGCCAACATGATAAAGTACGCTATCCGCCAAATGGGTTGCATAGATCTGTGCTAATAGGATGGGCCGTGCATAGCTATCTTGCCCCCATCGTATATCAGAACACAATGGGCATGTCCCGCAACCTCTCCCTTATCCTCGGCGGTTGCACGGCCATCACGTACATGGTTGCCTCCTTCATCCCACTATGGGTCCGCTTACTTTCTACTTGCTTTTACCTACGCTATGTTGGCTCACAAGACTCTTTTCAATGTTCACCTCGTAGACCGTGGACCGCTTCGGTCGCCGTGCACTCCTAATGATATCCGGCGCCGGCCTATCAATGTGTTTCGTCATCGCGTCGATTCTTCTGTCCACCGGGAGCCCCTCGGCAGCATACGGCGCGACAGCGATGGTGTTCCTATTCCAAGTATTCATGGGAATCGGATATCTGCCTATACCATGGCTGTATCCCGCCGAGGTTCGCTAATGCTCTTGCCTCTCATTCCGACGCTGACATGAGATTTTGGGGCTAGATCTCGACCACGCGCATACGCGCACGCGGCTCCTCGATATCTTCCCTCGTCAACTGGCTCTGCGTCTTCACCGTCGGTGCGTCCTCGCCTTTTTGCTCTCTTTCTACGTACTTTTGCTGAGGCGCCGTTACAGTCCAAATCACCCCACCAGCCATCGCCAACATCGGCTGGCGCGTGTTCATCATCTTCGCGATCTTCAATGCCGTCTGGGTGCCGCTGGTCTATCTATTCTTCCCAGAGACGAAGGGCCTCGAGCTGGAAGACATCGACCACATCTTCGAGAAGGGCGGTATCACGGGTGGAGTGTGGTCTAGCCCGGGTGGACGGACGGTCCATAGGAATAGGATCGTCGAGGATGTGGAGGTGAGGGAGGAGAAGGAGCGGAAAGACGGGGTATGAGCATGTGATCGCATGACAAGGGAGAGTGTAAACTTTGTTATAAATCGTTTCGAAGTAAAGTGTACGATTCACGAATCAAGTAATCCATCCAAACCGAAAAGCCAAGACAGGAGGGTTATGGGAGCTTTTCGGGCACATGTGTTTATCTGGCGGTATGACCGACCGTGCTTAGCAAGCTTTGGACGCTCAGAATACCATTGGTTGACAGGCTTAAGTCGGGCTTCCACCGAGTTTACAGTCGCGTGCACGCGGCGAAGATGAGGGATATGACCAAACATTCAGGTAACGATGTCGAGATATTTGAGAAACGTGTCGATGTCCACTAAGCGTTTACCGATGCTGGGCGCAATATAGAGTACCTGACCAAGCGGCATGCACATGTCTGGTTTATTCCGTGCAAAGTCTGTCTTTACAAAAGCAAGAAATATCAATCGTACTCGTCATTACCCCACCCTCAAACGAGGAGCTTCTTCAACTCATCAATGATATAATCCTGTGAGTCTGATCAGCACATGAACTTTCAAAACCATACGGTCGAACTCACCCCATCGAATGTAGCCTTGAAGCTCGGGCGCTCTTGCAAGTTCGCGCTGTACGCTTTGAACTTGGCAAACTCCGGCGAGTTCAACGCGTCCAACACGAGCCTGTCCTCCCCCGCTGCGTACTTCCCGACACCGCACGTGCTCGCAAGCTCAATGCGCGAGACGAACGGCGCGATCGCAATATCGGCAATCGTGAACTGGTCGCCGATCGCCCACTTGCCGTAGTCGGGGAGCAGCTTCTGCACGGCTCTCGCGCCATCCAGGACGGTCTGGTACGAGTCGCCGTTGGCGACGAAGCCGAGGAACGTCGGCGCGAAGCGCGTGTTGACCGTGTCTATGAACAGGCGGACTTTGGCGCGCTCGACGGGGTCTTTGGGCAGCAGATTGGCTTCGGGATGTAGGTCCGCGATGAATTCCATGATGATGGATGTTTCGATGATCACTGTAGCTTCGGGCGAAGGTTGGTCACCGGGGACGTCGGGGCCGCCGTAGGTGATGGCGGGTACCTGTTGAAATACGCTTTAGCGCCTACTCACGATTCAGGGATCGAAGCTAGGCGCTGTGACTTACAAGGCCCCTGGGGTTGATCTTTTCGAGGTACCAGTCGGGCTTGGGGGCGAATATCTGGATCGGGTACTTCTTGTAATTGACTTTGGCCTCTTCGAGAACCATCGACGCCTGTAAGGTTATCAGTCAGCCGGAAGAATCCATGTACTGAAGCACGGTGACGGGCTTACCCTTTGGACGTGGACGCTCAGTTTGTTGTAGTAGAGCGTGATCTGCTTGTCGGAGGAGCTCATGCCGAGGTTATGTGTATGTTCGCGTTATGTGGGAGATTGTGAGATGTGCTGTCGCCATGTTTCGGATATGCCCCCTTTATGCATTTGCAAAAAGCATGACCGAATCCGTTCCGTATGATGTCTTATTCAGGTACTTCGGCCATAGAGCTGGAGGCTCTTATCCAAATGACACGACAGCCGTATCTGACCGAGAGCTCAGGTTGTCAAGCGTCGAAAAGCCTTGAATATGGACGAGTGGTACGCCCCTATCTGAGGTAGATCAGGCCCGGGGCTGACAGAGGGCAGGCCGAAATGTTAGTCTCGCGATGAGCTCCAGTGGCTGTAGGTCAAACTGCTGAATCCTTTGTCGGGCGTCGTTTTTAGTCATTACCTCGGGATGAATGTTTCAGACAAGAAACAACGGTTGCGCGAAAGAAAGCCGAGATGCCTGCAATGAAATGGTGGCTCAACGGCAGTCTATTGTTGATAAAGCGCCCTCCGAGTCGGACTGGCCTCGGTGTCCCTGCGAAGAGCTTACACAATTCGGTGTCGACTCGGACCACCATGCACTGGGGTGAGGAATCCAGGGATCCATAGAGATGAAACACAACAATCTGGGAGGTTCCGGTGGGATAACGGACTTCTCATTCTGTCCGGTGAGCGAAGGAAAGCTGAGCGTCGTTGACCACAGCGAGCGCGATGGAAGAGGAGCGTGAGAACTCCCGGCCTGCCGTGCGAACAGGACCATTCTCGACTGCGCATCAGCTTAGCACACTCCGTTTCCGGAACATACGCGTAGGATTCCGCAGTGACAATATACCGACGCCATCTTCTCTCCAGCAGCTCCAACTAGCACGCTTGGTCCACTCTTGCATGTATTCGGCGAGGAACAGGAATGTTTTCGTGCGCACCCTCTTGAGTGGAAACCGTATCGTCTTTCAAGGAGTTGAAAACGCCATGGATTCGACATCGCTAAGCACTTGCCCTACATTGACAAGCGACGGAACGGAACACCGCGATGGTGCTCGAGTCAGAGCTCTCCTAGAGCAAGCACCTGATCACGAGGCTATCAGCGTTTCCTCATCATAAAGCTCGTTTGGAGACATCTCGAGCTCTCTTCTCTGTTCGTCCTCGACGATGTATATCAGGCCAGCCCATGCCGTCCTCGAGCCCGAAACACTCCGATCCTTGTACGTCCTCTCTCCATCGCTATCAACTTCACCTCATAAACACCTGATCTTTCAAACGTCCAGCATAAAAAGCAACCCTCTCGGTATCCTCACCACAGCCATCTCGCACCCCGACATGCCCTTCCTCCAATCCTCACACATCCCCTTCCTCATCGACGCGCCCACATCCCCCTCCGACCCGTCCGACCTCGGCTCCCTGCGGGGTCACATCGCCGCCGCGAACCCACAAGCCAAAGCGCTCGTCGCAGCCGCCCGGGCCGCGCCCGGCGCGTCGCCCGACGCGGGCACACTGGCGCAGGAGGTGCTCGTGCTGTTCACGAGCCCGACGCAGAGCTACGTCACGCCGAGCCTGTATGTGCAGACGAAGCCCGCGACAGGCAAGGTCGTGCCGACGTGGGACTACATGGCCGTGCAGGCGTACGGGCGCGTTACGGTGCACCACTCTGCGGCGACGGAGGAGGGGACGCGGGCGTGGTTGCAGCGGGCGGTGTGCGATCTGACGGAGCATGCGGAGCGGGAGGTCGCGCGGAAGGAGGAGGGGGAGGCGTGGGAGGTGGCGGATGCGCCGAAGGCGTTTGTGGATGTGCTGAAGAGGGCAATTGTGGGTGTTGAGATTAAACTGACGAGGTTGGAGGGGAGGTGGAAGGTGGGGCAGGAGCTGAGCGAGGGGGATCGGCAGGGTGTGGTGGACGGGATGAGGGCGTTGGGGACAAGTGTGGGCGAGGCGATGGCGAACGTGGTGGAAGAAAAGGGGAAGAAGGATCGATGACTCTCATACCGTGGTATCTTTGCGTTACACAATTCTCGTGCTTTTGAGATACCAACTATGTTCCCGTATCCATCAAAGGAGTCGCTCAAGAGGTTAGCTGCAGCCATTGGCTACCGCGACCAGCGCCCGTCCGTTCACACGTGTCGCTCACTCACCGCGACCTCCACACTCATGATCGACCATGTAATTATCTGCTTCAACCATTCATACCTTTCTTCAGCAAACAGCTTATAAGCTTTCAAAGCTTCGTCTGCGTTGCATTAACGGCAATGGACCTTGGTCTCAACGATGTGCATGTCCTCATTACGGGCGCGAGTGGAGGGATAGGATTGGAAACGACGCGTCTCTACCTCTGTAAGTTCATGAGGAACCGGAAGTCGACTCATCATCCTGAATGAGTCCTCAATGTCATAGCCCTGGGTGCACGCGTTACGGCACATTACAACAGAAACCCAAAGCCTCTCCACGATCTCTGCACCCATCATGAAACGACATTGCGATGCATACAGGCGAACCTAACGAACGAGGACGACGTTACGCGTCTATTTGACCAAGCGTCCGATAATGCACATGTACCCGTGTCGGTCCTCGTGGTCAACCACGGAGTATGGCCAGAAGAGGATGTTCCACTCGCAGACATGTCGCTGCAGCAGTGGAACAACACTATCGGCGTCAATCTTACCGCGTCCTTCCTCGTATGTCGGGGGTACCTCCGCGCCCTTCGCAAGGCCGGTGAAAGTGAGAAGGCGAAAGCTTCAATCGTCCTCGTCGGAAGCACATCAGGAAAGTACGGCGAACCCGGGCATGCTGACTACGCTGTCACGAAGAGCGGTGCGTACACTGGAAAACTCGGGCTTCTGTTCATGTGAGAGATTGAGCTGATGTGAGCACTGGAAGGTATGATGTACGGCCTGACAAACTCGCTCGAGAATGAGATTGTCAGGATTGCTCCCAAGGGGAGGGTCAATGCCGTTGCGCCTGGATGGGTGAAGACGGCTATGACGGAGGAGACGTTCAAGGACCCTATGCTTCTGTATCCCGATCTCGCGACGTGAGTCCTAAGCCAGCTTCACAGCACACCACAGTCAGGTCTGACCCAGTGCAGGACACCGCTAAGAAAAGTCGCGACAGCAATGGATGTGGCTAATCAGATTGTGATCCTGTCGTCTCATGCAGTCTCCGGTCATGTGTCAGGGCAGGTTGTATTCGTGGACGGAGGGCAAGAAGGTACACTTTTGAATATGCCCGAGGACCTTCCGTCCGATCTTTGACATCATTCATTGAATGACCTGCCTAGGATAGCTGCTGTATACCCTTGTACACTGTACTGCTGATCTTGCGACAAGGTTCGAAAGTATGAAACTGAGAGTACATGATGATGGTTGCACACGACCAGCTCGGACGAGGAGTAACAGGGTTAGGGGCGTGGTTAGTGATTCCCGTTTATGGGCGGAGGAGCAGTTGCTGCTGCGCCGTTCGCGCGTGGGTGGACAACAGAGGACAACACTCTTGATCTTGTACTTTTAGCTGGACCACAAACTCCTCGTGTTTTTCTGTCTCCTCCTTCAATATACGACCCTAATCGCACTTCCTCATATCCTACCCCTCTCCTCCTACCATCCGTCAACATGGTGCGTCTGGTTTCGCGTTTCTCGACGTGCAGGAGGCATGCAGTAGCAAAACATTGAACTGACCTGCCTGGTGGTTTTTGAACAGTCTACAAACTGCAAACGTCGCCTGATGCGCGACTTCAAGCGTCTCTCGACGGATCCTCCTGGTGGCATCTCGGGCAGCCCAAGTCCAAACAACATTATGGTCTGGAACGCCCTCATCATCGGTCCAGGTACGTTCTTCCCCTCGCAACCACTTCTCCAGTCTTCCCACCTACCACAACACGCTGTCCCACACGATCTCATACGCGTAAACCACCACCCACACAGCCGACACGCCCTTCGAAGACGGCACCTTCAAGCTCCTGCTCACCTTCGACGACTCATACCCAAACAAGCCGCCCACCGTGAAATTCCTCTCGCGCATGTTCCACCCAAACGTGTACGCCAACGGCGAGCTCTGCCTCGACATCCTCCAGAACCGCTGGTCGCCCACATACGACGTCGCCGCCATCCTCACCTCCATCCAGTCCCTCCTCCACGACCCGAACCCGAACAGCCCCGCGAACGCCGAGGCCGCGCAGCTGTACCGCGAGAACATGAAGGAGTACGTGCGCCGCGTGAAGGCGACCGTCGAGGACTCGTGGCTCGATCCGGAGGAGATGGACGCGGTCATGGCGGAGGACGGCGACGGCGACGGCGGAGGCGCGGCGTAGTGGGGGTTCCGCGCCGTGGATCGCGGGTCGGGGATTCGCTCATAGCGGACTCTCTTCGCGGTGGGCTTTGTCTCCCGGGGTGGCTTGTGGTATAGCTGTGTTCAGACATTTACGCTTCCTCATCTTTTCTTTTCTTGACCATCATCGTTTCAATCTTATACATACCTAATACATCGCACCGTATTCATGTCATGATCCTCATTTCTTCTGGTCCCTGACCGCATGGCTTATTCGTGGCAGCCATATGATTCTGAAGCCACAAATTGACTACTGATTTGCTCGTGTGATCTCAGCGACCGATTGTGTAGCATGCAAAACGCTCAATATCTTATTAACATCGCTTCAGGTATATGAAGCGTACAATAAGGTATTACAAGGAAGTAGAGACGGGTAAAGTTCTGTATAAACGAGCGAATAATCGAGTTGGTATCTTGTGGTGAACGAATGGAAGGGTTTTACTGTAAGTAAAATGTTAGATGTGTAGCGTAGCGTCCAATACGCCGTTTTAGAATCTGTCTCGGTCCAGTGCCAAACGGAGAAAACCACCGCTCAGGTGGGAACCGCCAATCTGAACCAACGGTCCACGGGTTACCAAACAATCGAATCACAGAGGCAGCGTGCCCTTGAGCAAGAACTTGCGGCTGCTCTGCCCGACCGAGAACGTGTACACGCCCTCGGCCTTGCGCCAGCCCTGGTCGACGACATCCCACACGCTCAGATCGTACCGTGAGAGCGTGAGCTCGACCTTCTTGAGCTGGTTGGGCACGAGCTTCACATTGGCGAACCCGCGGAGCACCGAGGGCGGCTCCGCCGCCGACGCGGGGTAGTGCAGGTACAGCTGTGGGATCTCCGTGCCGGCGAGGTCGCCTGTGTTCTGGATATCGAAGGTGACTTTGATGTAGGGCTCGTGCAGCCTGTGGAGAGGTGAGCACCTGGTGGGAAAAGATGGGTGGTGAGACTCACCAAAGAGCAGCGGAGGAACCTTCTGCGATGGGCGTGGCCTTGCCGTCCTCCCAATTCGCGATGAGCGCGTTCTCGGCGTCGTCGGTGCTCCCGACCTTGCGCGCCTTGAGGTTCGTGTACTTGAACGATGTGTAGCTTAGCCCGAAGCCGAACTCGAAGCGGGGCTCGATGTTTTTCTACAGTCGCCGTTGTCAGCTACTAGCTAGGGAAAAGGGAAGTGGACGTACGGCATCAAAGTGGCGGTAGTCGATGAACAAGCCCTCGGTATAGTCGACGTCGATGATCTCCTGGCCCACGCCGCCGTCATTCAGCTGCGCAGGATAGTCCTCGGGCCGCTTCGCGATCGTGTACACGAGCTTACCGCTCGGGTTATACTCCCCATACAGCACATCCGCGATCGAGTTCCCGACCTCCTGGCCCGCAATATTCGCCCACACCACCGCCGTCACATTCGGATGGTCGATCCATGGCTCCACAATAAGCGGGCCGACGCTGTGCACAACCACGATCGTGTTGTTGTTCAGCGCCGCGGTATTCAGCACGACGTTGTCGCCGTTGTTCCACGCTGTGAGATTCTGGCGGTCGCCCTCGTTCGAGTCCACGTTGATGTACTGCTCGCCCGAGTCCGCGTTGATGAACACGAGCGCGGCGTCCTGCACGAGCGCGAGCTGCGACGCGTTGTTCGGGTTCGTGCCCGGCTCCGGGGTGATGCCCCAGTTGTCGAAGTTCCAGAAGACGCCCGTGCCGTCCTTGCGCGCGCGCTCTTGGATGCCCTCGAGCGGGGTGATGAGGTACGGGAAGTTGCCGGTGCTGGTGGGAACAGACTCGTAAGCTCACGAAGAAAGCGACGGGAGAAGATGGCAGACGCACCCAGAGCCCCAGCCCATCGCCAAAACACCGTCGTCGCCGCCCTGGTCCGCAAACTCGTTCGGTCCATACAAGCCCGGCGCAGCGTCCTCGCCGACAATCACGATCCGCTTGGGCTTGTTAAGCGGCAACGCACCGCGCTCGTTCTTGAGCAACACCGCACCCGCCGCACCGATCTCCCTAACGATCTTATAATGGTCCTCCTGGACATTCACATGCCCATTCGTCGCCTCGTCGTAGTTGTTGAACGCATTAAAGTTCACCGCCGGATAGCCCTCGTCGTCCTGGTGGACGTAGTACCACGCCGCGACGATGCGCGTCGCCATGTCGTCGAGGCGCGCGGACGCGATCGTGCCGTTGTGCACGAACGTCGTCAGGTTCCCGCCAAAGTACGAGTCGCCCGAGTCGAACGTGACGTCGCCGGGCATCGTCATGTCGAGCCCCGCGACGGCGGAGAGCGTCGATTCGGTCGCTTGCCAGTCGGACATGACGTAGCCCTGGAAGCCGTACTCGCGCTTGAGGACGTCGTTCATCATCTTGTCGTTGTTGCACGCGTACGAGTCGTTGACCAGGTCTGTCATCGCGAGAGGGGAGGGTTAGATAGGGAAATAAGGGAGGTGAGAGGCAGTAGGACGCACTGTAGCTGCACATGACGGAGGCGACACCGGCCATGACGCTGCGCAGGAAGGGGTGGGCGTAGAGCTCATGCTGAGTCCTGTCGTCCACGTTTGAGCTAACCTGCGTGCGGAAATGCTCCTGCTCGCTGTAAACAACAAAAAGTTAACACTGGCTCCCTGAGCAAGAAAGAAGATAATGCCCACTTGTCGATAAAGTGCTTAGCGCACGCCTGCACACCGGATGACTGCATGCCAAGGATAGTCTCGTACGCGGATTCACCAGTCAAATAGGGGTCAGCGCCAAACCCTTCCCAGTTGCGCCCGCCGGCGGCGATGCGGCCCATGTTCATCATCGGGCCGAGGGCGACGTTGACGCCCTTGCCCTTGTGCTCTTTGCCCAACGCAGCGCCGCGCTGGCGCATCAGCTCGCGATTCCATCTACGGCATAAAGTCAGCGATCTGAGATTATGCGGAGAGAGGAGGCAAGGAGACACACGTAGAAGCGACGGTGATGCCAGCCGGGAACGCGGTGACGAAGTCGGCGAAGCGGACAGAGAGGGGCGAGTCCTCGAGACAGAAGCCAGGGAAGTCCCTGACGGGCGGCGTGTTGCCGACGCAGAGGCCCTTGGCCCAGCCGACGCCGGTGGTGATGTTCACCTTCTCCTCGACGCTAAAGTCGGAGATCTACCATTGCGCTGTTAGACAAGCTCCTAATATCTTGGGAAAGGCTGAGCTCACCATGCTCTTGGCCTTCTCATACGCCGCAGCCCAGGCGGGCGCAAAGTCAGGAATGTCTTGCGGCCCATCTGAGCGGACGGGCGGCGGCTCGAGAGGGTCAACCGACGGGTACCCAAGTAGGTTGGGCGCGAGCGTGGGCGTCGGGAAGGGCGTGAAGGGATACTTGGAGAACGGGACCGAGATTGCGCCAGTTTCAGTGGGCACGAGAGAGACGGTGGTGACCGGGGTGCCAGAAATGGTGGTGAAGGTGACGCTGTCGCTAACCCAGGCAGAGCCAGAGGCAGAGCTGGATGTGGAGCCAGACGAGGCAGAGGCGGAAGAGGTAGGGGATGATGAGGTTGCGGAGGACGAGGAGGTGGATGAAGCAGCGCTGGTTGACGAGGAGCCAGACGCAGACGACGAGGCGGATGATGCGGCGCTGGATGCCGAGGACGAGCTCGCAGCGGAGATGACGGGGAGGAGAGAAAGGAGCGACAGGAGTTTGGCGTACTTCATGGTGACGGATTTACACCTTGCGTGCAGACACAGTCAGATATAACCGTGCGTAGTGCTGCAAAGGTGAAAGGACGAGAGCCGTCAGCTGGAGGGAGAAGGAAAAGGAAGAGAGAGGCGTGCCTTTGGCTGGTGTCAGAGAGCGCCTTTTTCAATTTGGCCGCATCCACATTTTGCATCAAGGTGACACATGAACGTAATCTCATCCCTGGCAAGGTTTGTATTAGGCTCGCGATGAGCCCTGCAAGGAATAACTCCGGTGAATGCGCGTCAGCCCAGCGTTTCGATCAGGAGCCTCGTCCTGGTGGATTCACGGTACGTCCTGGAACACGCTGGATTTGCGCCTTTCAGAGATTGAATTTGTTTGGGAGTTGCAAGGAGAAGCATGTTGGTGTGACCAGGACGCGAGAGGCAGGAGCGCGTCTTGGTCTCTTCTTTGGTGCTCCACAAGTCAGTCTGGGGTCAGATCATCAACGGCTCTTTTATGCCCCATGTGTTTCTTTGCTCACCTGATGGCTTGTGCTATCTCGTCACTGTCACTGGTTTGGTCTGAACACATATCGAAAGATCATGACCTGTAATCCCAAGATGCACTCCTCCATCCTGAGACTAGGCTAGGCAGTGGTCATGATTTTCCTTCTCGCCGCGACACATCTAGGCTCACGCACACGGCCGACGCGTGAAAACCCAAGATCATGAAGAGAAGGGTGTTGTCGCCAAGTCAAAGAATGCAATGACGAAGACCAGCGGAGCGGCGATTGCCGGCATTGCTGTGGAGCGGCACAAGCTCACTTCAGGCTGTCGGCACGGAGACCTGACAAAACGCGATCACATGTAATGCGTCCTCTCGGTCGATTACCCGAAGATACGAGGCTGACGAGGAGAACAAGGCGAAAGTAAGCAGAGATGTTGTGTATACTGCCCATCCAATTTCAAGGGTGAGTTTCTACAGCCAATTCTATGTTTATACACTCGGGTTGTATACAACAAGTTATCATCCCCATCCACCTCCTTGCCCATACTCACCTCCAACCTCGCAACAAGCAAGAGTGTACTGCTCGACTTCCTGCTATCCGAAGAGCAGCTACAGAAGCTCGCGTGGATCACTGATATCGCATTCTTCTATAATACTTGCCCGCTCGCTCCTCCCGAGCGAACGAACAAACGGACATCGTAGTAGAATAGCCTGCACAGAGATCCACCTTATGGATTAATGCTGTACGTCTCCCTCAGCGACAGTCACAGCTTTACCTCAACCGTAACCCGCTCCCTAATCGCCTTCAGAATATCTGCTTATTAGCACTTACTACCTCACAGGCCGAACGCGGCTGCCTGGCGTGCTGACTCCGCCTTCAGTAATATGCAGCATCAAGTTGACGTGAACTGTAACAGTGCTTGACGTATGGGTGTCTAAACGACAATGGAAATGCATGACAGACTGAGACTTACACACGCACATTGTTGCTCAGTCCAGATTGCATATTGCTACTATCAACCAATACACGGTGCGTCTTTCAAATTCCATCAGAACTATTGTATAAACCGACTCCGAGCGGAGGCAGCTCTCTTGTGTACATGTCTGATTTCTGCAAGATTGCTTATAGCCGTGCAAACTTTTTGGTACGTCCGATTGGCTCGCGGAATCTCTTCTTCTACCAAGCTTGCGCAAGCTAGAACCAGTGTTTTACTAGATTACTGATGGATACCACTAATGGCCCATGGCAATGGAGCGATATATATATTTCATTTCAGCAATTCGGCGGCGGACATCAACTTAAACTACAGTTTACTGCAAGGGGTGCTTCATAAACCCCTCGGTAAGGGAGAGATTACTGACCTGGTACTAGTACTACACACACGAAGGCGTCAAGTTAAAATGAATAGATTTTGTTACTATCGGGTACGAGAAAGAAAGGGGAGGGCCCAATGCTAGGTATAGCTCGTGGCCGGCGCTTGCAAGATCGGACGTTTTGAGTAGAAAAAACTTCGTTGCAACCTCGTAAGGATAGTCTACGAAACAGCGTGCCTATGTGTGTCGTAAGAGACAAGCAACAAGTATTCTACTGCAGAACATTTTCGTAAACAAAACAGAGACATATCTGGAGTGTGCCGTGTGAGCGCAGCCCGTTAACTACTACTAATACATCTTCGAAGACAAAGCAGAAGTATATAAAAACCGGAATTATTTCTTACTTGCAAGCGTTACAAAACATCCTAACATCGCCTCTTCCTCGATTATCCAAGTTGCATGATAGGAACGCATTAATGAGCCAACGTCCCGGACGAGGAAGCGGTGTCGACCGTTTGGACTCAGATCCTGTAATTACACTCGGTGAATACTACAATTTTCGGGCGATCAGAAAACATTGAACACGTACGGCAGAGGGATGAGCTTAATGCTAAGAGGGCCGTATTTCGACCCAAACACGGTAGCCGACAGGTCCAGCCAGAGCCATTTGTCTTTCAAATAGACACGCGCCTCGCCCGACAAGATACCGCTAATGCCGAAAGTGAACTTGACACCTTCGATCAAGTTTCCTTGGAAGCTCGCAAGCTGGAACGTCCCAATGATCGGGATCCTGACGGAGAACGATGCGTCAATCTGGAGACTGGTAAGGTTGACGGAGCCTTTGAGCTGCAGAACAGAGAAAATGAGCACGCAGTGCGAGTGAATGGGCTAGGAAATACTGACGATAAATACAACACCCCAAAGTGGAATCTCGATGTTGAAGTCGTAGGCTGTGCTGTCGACCGAGTCTCCAAAGACGGGAGCACCTGCTATGGCGTATACATGGACGATTTCTCCTGTTTCGGTCTCGTGTTCATTGCGGTGACCTTTGAGGAACTTGGGTAGGTCTGAAGCAATTGTTAGAGAAAAGTCAATCGAAGTTAGCATTGCGGATGCATACCGACGCGAAGATGATCAACGGTGCTCATGCTGCTGGTTTACTTGTATACAAGAGTACGCTGGGTTAGAAGGAACTGAGGAAAAAGGCGGGGACGTGACGCTCTTTATATGTTTTCACTCAGGCAGACGCTCTCCCGGTACTATTATGGTACATCCATGAACTACAATTTTTCTGAGTGTAGGACTTGAAAGTTGCCATGCTTGCTTGGAGGACGGTTTACCCCTGTTTCATCCTAACTGTAAACGAGCTCTTACTACTACAAGCCTCCGCCCTCCCCCTGACATCTTAAAACCCGTGTAACTCGCTGGTTAATCAAGTAAGTTGACCCGCCAGAACGTTCCGTCGTTTGTTATTCATGAACATACCGCCATAGCTCACTCTCAGCCGGGTATCACGGCCCCATGGGGCTGAAGGTTCGGGTAATGATCGACGCGCCACTAACATCCTGCATAGTCCGAACACCGTTTCAGAACCAATCAAGAAATGACATGATCCACTTGCTTCTGTATCACATGAATATACCACGTTCCAGCGTCTATGTCATTCAATTCTCCCTACTGTGTCATTTGTTCTATTTTTATCTGCGAAACATGTCAGCCGCAGGCCTGCGTTCAAGACGGAGCAACTTCAAAGAAGGCAGATATATATCCAGAAAAAGCCAAAAAGGCTCGTAGCTCAGCGGATTTGATTAATCTGTAATTGCTTCGTGGTGCATCTGAATGTCGTGCGTATAATGGTGACACTGATATTCCTTCAAAGCTAAACAACGGCCCATTGATTACTCTACATAGACTTTACTGGTGGAGATTTTGGAGTTCGGAACCCGCTTTGGAACCAGAAATCCGTCCGAACTCTACGGAGAGCAGCAGAGACCAGCATTATGGGTTACGGATTTCGAGGCACACCGGACTGTAGTCGCCCTTACGCCACACTGGTTGCGTATTAAATTTTGTCCCTGTCAAAGGGACTTCATCTGTCCACTGCGCATCCAAAACGCGGACAGCCCGCTCAGGGAACGTTCCAAACGCTCTGCACTTCTTAAGGGACCATATTTCAGGTTACTAGCCACTTTCAGTTAGTAGAAATCACAATCGCTTGGAGCCTTCTCTGTGCATGGGCCCAAGTATTCAGTGGATAAACTTTGTAAGCATGATTTATTGTCGTGCGCAGAGCACTACGTTCATTATCCCTAGCACCGTGGAAAGCGGATGAGCGTACGTACATTTGATTTCTGCAGAGGGCTTTTAGGACCACTTTAACTTCTGTGCCACTGCACAACAAGGCAAATTACTCCCAAAATTTTCATGTAAGGCGCACCTCTGACGATGACATAATGCCATAGCACCATACCTTTTCGACCATAGGCTCGCAGGAGCATGGAATGCTTTTTAACACACCCGGGCTGTCTACGATGGATGTCTTGAGGGCCTGATTCGGGATCAGACACGCCGAGCTCGCGGAGCAAATTATATCCACCTCCGACAAGCTCGCAACGTCCAGTTCGTATGCTTCGCTCAGGGACACCGGCTCGGACTTTGCTCACATTGCTACAACGTCTCGTTCTTGATCGTAACATCCGCTGCCCAGCGGCACGGTAACTCAGGGCAACGGCTTTCTTTAGCTTTGCTTCAGCTGGTTTTGGCCATTTAACTTTTTGCTTTCGTACTGAAACACGTCCACCATATACGACGTGTGCCTATTACATCATTGACCCTACCCGGAAAGGCGAGCTTAAGTACCCTTTCTTTTTGTATAACCACCTGTACCTAGATGTTATATCTACGGCGAGTTCGCTTCCGTTTTTGGTCGTTGTATCGACACAGCACACGAGCGTTGCACCATCAACCCTTCCGATGGTAATCTGACACACTGACCTTTTCCCCCGAACCGCACGGTTCGCGTCCCTGGTCCGGAGGAAACGGAGCGGGAGAACCGTCCCAAGGCCACTGGCACGAGTACGAAGTACAACAACTTCTTAGAGAGCTAGAGGACGATCGGATATATATGTAGTTCTCTTTTTGTAGCATTATCTTTTGCAATTTATACGATGTTCTTTTAAGAAAGAAAAGATTCTCGTGAACCGGGAAAGATGGAAGATTGATCCAACGTAGAGCAACAGCCTAAAAGCATCTCAGCTGTCCGTTGGTAGTCAAGTCTATCTGGCTATGAACGGATGTGTCAGACGAAGATGGGATTCCTTCGAGTAGTTAAGATGACCCCGGAAGAACCAGGCATGTTAGAGTCGGAAACTTCACTACGCTGCATACTTCGTTGTGTTTCCTGTCTCCTTGCGGCGTAGTCTGATGGCCCTCTGGAGGTTTACGGGGCCACAATGAGCCAGTGGACCTGGCGCTGAACCAAGCTCTTTTCAGAACGTGTATGCCTCATCCAGCACGCAATTATCTATCCTCCTCTTGGACTCCCTGCTATCGGTCAGTTGAACCGTATTATCAGTCGATATTGAAAGCAATCATATCCAATGACTAACTTCCATGCAGCTAAATTCATTTACCGACTGGTGGATTTCTGCGTTTCCCACCTGTTCTGTTGTTCTCGAGAGTGTTTCAAACTCTAATGAGGAGTCGATGGTGTCCGGCCGTTTACCCAGTCGAAGTTGAACGTCCCCTGGAAGTTTCTCTGTGCGCGTGATAGTGTGAGACACCAGGCCCAGGTTTTTGAGTTCTTCCGTTTCTTATGCACTGACGGCACCCTCTCTTGTAGTTCTAAAGCTGCTGAAAACGAATGTCCGGCTAGGATACATGATCGATCGACAGCACCATCATCTGCTCGGCCCCGATATCCAGCCGAGAGCACTGGTGACACGCTCATATTCATTCTAAACAAAGAAGGGGTGTAGGTTTGGGATGGTATCAAGAGCTGTCCACGATTGGATTGGAAGCGTCAAAGCAGCTGAAGCTCAAATCTGAGGGGCCCCGGAGCAAGGATCATCAGAAGATCGTATGTCACGAGCTAGACGGAGTCACAACCCCTGTTCAGCGGATTCGCAATATCAAAGGAATGTTGCATGCCAAGAAATGGCACTCGTGACGCATTGAGGGAGCGAGCAAAGATATGTGTCGTATTCTAGTGGATTAGTGTCTACATGCAATTAGTCAAACCTATATTTGTCTACAACACCGTCCCACAGCTTCTTCGTGTCCACGACTGCATCCAAGCGTGCAGCGAGTAAGAACGCACCACTCAGTTTCCTAATCCCGGACGGCCGCAACGAAGAGGGAATAATCAGCGCCCTGTTTTCTCTGACGCGGGCACAGTATCGTAAGAAAGACCCAAACTCACCGATTCAGACTATACGTCTCCCTCGGCGGCGGCGTCAGCCTATACTTGAGCATCACCGGAATCTGCTCCCTGATCTCCCTCGTGATCCTCGCCCACTCGCTCCCGGGGCCAAATGCGAACGGCTGGCGCGTCGACGCCTTAAACGGTGTCGCAAGGTGCACTATCGAGTTCACGTGCGCCTGCACCATCACCTCGTTTTCCTCGCCCGTGAGGTAGCCAAGCTGGAGAGACCAGTGTTTGCACGCTGCGACGTCGCCCGCGGCGGCGGCCTGCAGGAGGTGCAGCCAGTTGTCCATGAATGATTTGGAGTATTCGCGGGTGGCGCCGAAATCGACGAGGGAGATCTGCGGGGGGTGTTGTTATAAGGTCTGAGAGAAACCGCAACACGACAGTGGTGGGCGCGGGGATGGGGCGGGGCACACGTACCTGACGCGTCGCGGAATCATACAGGAAGTTCGTGAAATTCGGGTCCGTCTGCATCAGCCGGAACTCGAACAGCTCGCGCAGACACAGCTCGATAATCCGCTCAGCGATCTACGCACGAGACTCATCTTCAGTCAGCCCATTCCAGAGAGCGCGTGAATGAAAGAATAGAGAGGACGGGCACTGACCCCGTTGCGCTCCTCCTGCGTCAACCCCTTGACGAGCGCCTCCCCGACGCTGACGCCACGCACATGTTCCATGACGAGCACATTGTCCGTGCTGCCCTCCCACGCCCATGGGATCTTGAACCGCGCGTCCAGCCCGAGATACTCGGCCGAACCGTACCGGCGCAAGAACCCCGCCTCACGCTTGTAGTCGCACTCGTCCGCGAGCTCCTCTTTCATCACCTACCCTCGGCCCCTCGTCAGCCGACACACAAACCTAAGATTGGTTGTGTGACACACCTGCATCGTCCGGTCCAGAAACAGCCCCTTCGGGAGCAGCGCCCCGGCCGTGAGAATCATCTTGACGTACCCCAGGTCACTCGCGATCGAGTTCGCGATGTTCGGGAACTGGATCTTCACCGCCACGCGCTCCTCCTTGCCCGTGGGCGACGCGGCCGCGGCCAGCGTCGCGCGGTGCACCTGTCCGATGGACGCCGCTGCGAACGGGACACGGTCGAACGAGGTGAAATTGGACGACCAGGCGGGGCCGAGGGCCTTTGTGAGGACTTGCTAAGCCGTTTCAACGCGACGTGAGTTTTTCTCAACCAGCACAACGGTGGTGCGAGGGACAGCGCACCTCCATCTGCCAGTCCGGCATATAATGCGCGCTGTCCTGCACGCGCCTGAAGATCTTGTCGACCTCGGGCGGGAGGAGGTGCGTGTCCTGGATGCTCATGAACTGCCCGAGCTTGAGCGCCGCGCCGCGCATCTGCGAGAGCTTCGATACGAGGCGGCGGACGTTGGCCTCGGTGAGCATCAGGGAGCCTTGTTGCTGCGTGTCGGACGCGCCGGACGTGGAGCGGCGGAGGACCTCGGCGGCGGCGCCGTAGCTGAGTGAGGCTGCTAGGCCTGTAGATGTGTGCGGGAGAACAGTTAGCGGTGTGGGACGGGAAGGGGAAAGGGAGGCGTACCGCCGTAGTGGAAAAATCGACCTATTCGGGAGGAGGGAACTTTAGAGGATTGGAGGTTGCGGGTTTGGATGGGTTCGTCTGGGAGGAGGGAGGAGACTGCTGCATCTTGAGCTGCCTGCAGTATATGTCAGTACGAAGGCATGAACAGAGGTATCGGCGCAGAAAGCAAAAAGTGTACTCGCCTTGACCTCTTCATCCATTAATGGTGTTTGAGGCTCATACACAGCTGCATCCGGAGCGTCAGGCGAAGGAGCAGGCTCGGGAGGCACAGGAGGGCTGAACGGTAGCGAAAGCCCACTCTCTTGCTGCACTGGTGGTGGTGGCTGTCCGGTCTCCTGCGTTTTTGCCTTTCGCTCCTCCTTCATAGGTGGAGCGCAACTCTCTTCCATTGACTTCATGCCCTCACTACCCAACCCACGTCCATCAGCACCCTCGGAAACTGAGCTTTCCTCCCGCAAGTACAATCCATACAGCGGCGCGTCTGTCTTAATATTTGGCTTCGGCTCCGCACGAGTGCGCAGGTGCTCCGGGTATGACGCGTCGATGCCGCGCTTCCTCTTCCCCAGCTGTGCGGGCACCTGGCGCACGGCGTGTGTTTGCGCCTGGGCTGCGCGGATCTGGACGGCGCGTGCGGCGATGTCAGCGGCGGAGTGGAGGGCGCATAGCCAGTTGTAGGCTGCGCCTGGAGGCATGCAAGGTTCCGCCTGTCTGATTCAATAAGTCATAGGCATCGAGCGTAAGAGAAATTGCAGACCTTGGGCGACGTCAGAGGCTGAGGCAAAGTGCAACGATGTGCCCCGACGTTCCCGGACGGACCGAGATTTGAGCACAGCCACCGCAGCAGTTTCGCGTCTGTGGGTTTTGGTCTCGGCGTCTTTGGACTTGGTTTCTGACCAGGACCTGCTCATCGTTGCCGACGTCGAGCATGAACCAGTACAATGGCCTCGTTAATGGACCTCTGTATGGACGAAACCCCAACATATCTCGCTTCATCGTCCGCAGGTATGAGTTATTCGTCTTGGATGGGCAAGGTCTGATGTTAGGGCTTGTCGCGCTCGCGTCTGGCTGGGGTTCGCCACTAGCTCGGACGTGATCTCGGATTTGAGGATCAACGTGCACGACGAGGAGTCGGACAAGGTCGTGTGGTATAAAGTGAGTATCTCAGTCCTCACCACAGACACCGCGCCTCTCTGATGCGCCCCACGGCAGGAACGCTTCCTGAACGACACCGAGATCGTCGAGCATGTCGTGGTGCGTCCCGTTACCCTCCCTCCACCCCCACGCCTAGGCTAGACTTTCGCCTCCCATTGCACACCGTCCCAGTAGCATAACCACACCTCCAAAATCTGCTGGACGATCCACCGCCCCAAGCGCGGCTGGTACATCCGCCTCCGCGCGCCCTCCTTCCCGCCCGGCTTCTTCATCGCCCTCGCGCCCGTCCCGCGCAGCTCACCCGACTACATCGACGCAGCGCTCGCCTTCGCATGTCGTGTCAACGTCCGCCTCCCGCCCGCGCCTCCGTTCTCCCCTGCGTCCCCGTCCTCGCCGTCATCGTCGATGCGGCCACGACCGACGAGCGCGGACAGCACCCTGTCCGGGGACACCGTCGTGCACTCATACCCTCCCACGCCGCCTGCGGCTGCCGCGGCGCCGATCATTGTGACGCCACCGTCACCAGAGGCGGTCGCTGCGAAGCTGGACGATTCGCCTCCTGTCACGCGCAAGAGGAGGCCGAAGCCGAAGCCGGTGCCAACGACGGTGTCGCGGTTCGTGCTCGCCCCGCACGCGCCGTACGCATATCAGACGGCACCTCGCATGCCAGGAGGGATCAGTCTTGCGGCAGCGGTGCCTGAACAAAAGTCATCCTTCTTCTCGCGCGCGCTGTCGATGTTCTCAGGAGGGAGCGGATCGTCGACGCACGCGTCCTCGTCCTTCGCGCTGCGCATAGCGGGTGACCCACTGCCGTCGCCTATGTCGTCTGCCTCACCGCCCGCGGGATGCTCGTCCTCCAAGTTTCCCGAGGGGCCGTCGTCGTCATCACAGCTGCCCACCATCCTGACGACACCTCCAGCGCCCCCGCCTCCGCCCCCGCCGCTGCTCACGTTCCACGACCAGACGCCCGTATGGACCGTGCGCTCTGTGACGGGACTGCTCGAGATAAATAGAGCGGAGGAACGGGTGCTAGGTGTCGACACGAGCTTCTGGATAGCGGCGGCCTTGACGTATCTGGAGTTTTTGGAGGATAGAGATGTACGTCCTCAGTTTATTACCATCGTCCCTGAGAGGTTCGCTGACTCTGTACCTCTCTTGTAGAGCTACCTAGCAGCGCTCAGCGACTAGCTTTCTGCGTCACATCACGATGATATACCCCACCTATATCCCTCTCGCTCAATCTGGTTCTGGAATCTGTACGATACTTATCATATATCCCTGCCCTTTTTTCTCCTCGTGCTATGGGGTAATCTAATATGTTGAGATCTACTGCTTGTAAATATGGTGTTTCACTTGGACAATTGTGCTATGACCTGTCTCCCGTCTCCAAGTATTTCATGGTTGCCATGCAGTTGATACTGCTATATAGGGGCTATTAGACATTAGCGATTCTCGATCACGTGGCACGCGGGGTTTGAAAACTGACCACGGAACGTTCGAACCAAGCCAAGCCGTCAGCCACTCGTTGATCATTCTTCTCCTCCTCGTTCCAACTTCAACATGGTCAGTATTCGAGCTCTATGGTTGATTTACTGTACACTGCTGCGATAATCTGACGTGTCTCGGACGTAGGCCCTTGCACCCGTCGCGATGCGCAAGCTCATGCGCGAGCTCTCCCAGCTGAAGCAGAGCCCGCCGGAAGGAATACGCGTGGTCACGAGCGAGGATAATATGTTGGACGTGACTGGGATTATCGAGGGGCCTGGTAAGCGCGCTTTTGGTCTCCAGGTTATGTTGAGTGGGTGCTGACGGCGCGTTTGCGTGTTTGTTTGAATGGATGAAGAGGGCACACCGTATGCTGGCGGGTACTACAGAATCCGGTTCAAGTTTACCGAGGAGTTCCCAGCTGCGCCGCCGAAGTGTATGTATCGCCTTCCTCCTCTTCATTACCCCTGTGTCCACCGTCTTAATTCGTGTACGTCGCTCACGCCGTTCATTTTGATCATATTATAGGCTGGTTCGCAACCAAGATCTTCCACCCGAACGTCTCGGGCCAGGGCGAGATCTGCGTGAACACGCTCAAGAAGGACTGGAAGCCCTCGTTCGGCATCGCGCACATCCTCGTCACCGTCAAGTGCCTGCTCATCTACCCGAACCCCGAGTCCGCGCTCGACGAGGAGGCCGGCAAGCTCCTCCTCGAGGACTACGAGAGCTACTGCGCGCGCGCACGGCTCATCAACAGCGTGCACGCCACGCCGCGCACCCGTCCGCCGGAGTTTGACGACGGGAAGGGCGCCGATGGGGAGGAGGGACAGGCGGGGCCATCGAGGCCTCAACAATCAGCGGCTCCGGCGCCGCCCGCGACGCTCCCGCCTCACTCGATCACGCTCCCGCCACCACAGCTCTCCGCCGCATCGCCGCGGTACAAGTCGATGTCGCCCTCGCCCCTGCCGCCGCTCTCGCAGCCGCTGCAGAGCTCGCCCGCGAACACGATGTCCATGGCGGGCGGTGCCCCACCAGGCGGAGCTTCGAAGAACGAGAAGGATAGGAGAACGTCGCCGGCGCCGTTGGGCCCCGCGGACTCGAATATCGCGGCGGGATCGGGGGCGGGTGCTGCTGCTGCGTCTGGCAAGGCTATCAAGCGGACTGCTGTGGGTGGGATGACGAGTGCGGAGAAGCGCAAGAAGGCGCTGAAGCGGCTATGATCATGGTATCTGTTATGGTGGGTGGGTGGTCGTCATTTATGTAGTATAATGTGTGTCGTTGTGGTGTATGTGGGATCTATGGACTGGTGGTGTGTATGTAGTGTGTTATAGGTAGGTAGGTATGCTGTATTGCAACAGGCAAGTAGGTAGTCAACTTGTCATGACCGTATGACTTTTCTTTGCTTTTATTCATCGCTTTGTGACAGTTTGTGACCTTGTTTTATGCGTGTGACTTTTGACGCGTACACGCGACACGGGCGTTTTAAAACCTCGGACTTGGCCTGTCTTTATTTTCTTCCCGCTTACTCCGACGTCAGCCTCTTCCTCTTCTCCACTTTCCACTCTCCTGCTCCTTGAAAATGTTCGCCCGTGCATGTCTCCGTCAGTTCAACGTGGCCTTCACGTCCGCATCCCGCGCCGCTATCACAAGCCGTGCCACCACAGCTGCAATTGCTCTCCCAGCATTCCACCGGCAATGGACGGCGCCGTTCTCGTCCTCGAGTGTCGCGCGCTGGCCTGAGGAGGAGTCCTATGAGAGAGAGGAGAGGACGGAGAGGAGGCCTCGGCAGAAGAGCCCGCCGTCGGACACGTTGTTTTTGGGCAACTTGCCCTTCTCGGTCAGCGACGAGGAGCTCAAGATTGCGTTCTCGCAGATTGCGCCTGTCAAGGACGTGCGTGCCGGTGCGTCTTTTTTTCAGTACTTTCCTCGTTTTGCTTCGTTGCTCAAAAAAAAATTCTGCGTTCTTCCCCGAACACCGCTATACCTGTCCTGTGGCTTCTCCTTCCTCGTCGTACACACGACCCACGAACTACCGTGATCCTATCCGTGCATGTCTCCCTCCAGCTATAACGAGAGACGGCATGCACAAGGGCTACGCGCACGTCGAGTTCCACAGCGTTGCGGACGCGAAGCGCGTGTACGAGTCCGACCAGGAAGACCCGATCTTCATCGTCGGGCGCGACATTGTTGTCGACTACAGCGCCCCGCGCTCGCCCGGCGGCGGTGACAGGGGCGGTGGCAGGGGCGACGGCGACAGCAGGGGCGCGCGCCGGGTAGACAGGGGTGGCAAGCCGAACCGTACCCTTTATTTCTGGGGCTTCAATGGCACGACGGAGGACGAGGTGCGCACGGCGTTAAAGGAGTATGATGGCGATATTGTCACTGTGCGGTTCTGTACGTTGTCTCTCCATTTCCACTCAAGGAAGAGGCAAAGGCTAATCGAAAACTTCTACGCGTACAGTGCTCGACCGGGAAACAGGCAAGCCGTTCGGCAACGGGTTCATCGACTTCCAAGACGTCGAGACCGCGAGCAAAGTCAAGGAGGCCATGAGCGGCGTCGAGTCCGCGCACAATGGCGAGACGATGAACCTGTCGTTCTCCCGCATGTCTGGCTCGCCGTCCACGAATATGCGCCGCCCGAACCTCGAGCGGGTTAGGGGGGAGGCCACGCACCGCGACAGGCAGGACCGCGGCAGGCAGGACCGCGAGTGGCAGGGCGGGCGGCAGAGGCGGTCTGAGCCTCGGGAAAGCGAAGAGCGCTGAGAATGCGGCAAGGGGGCGAGGGGGGCCGCGGGTTATGTGTATATCTGAATATGAATGCTGAGTCTTGGTGCTTACGACTATCTTAGAGACAGGTTACGTGTTGCGAGGAACCTTGACAAAATATTAATACTTCACTTCTCCTCAGACTGGTTGAGTATCTCAGTGTTCTCGGCCGCTTGCGGCCGTTATGGGTGACCACGCATGGCGCGTCAATTCGGCACGCTAAGAGGGCATGAAAACTAAGTCACGACGCCTTCCTTCTGCTTCCTTGTCATGCCGAGTCCCTGCCTTCGGCGATTTGTCGGGCAGGGCCGTATTTCTGAGGCTGCGTCTGGCTGCGTTTGTTTGGCAACAGCTTCGGAAGCAAACACCGACAACGCGTTCTCGAACGGTCGACAGGCGTCAACAGGTGCCAGCGCGGTGCGAACCTGCAATGCACCAGGTACATTTTGCAGTTTGTCAGCGGGATGATCAGGGGTGATCATCCGTCAACCGACACCGACGGCGATTTCATCCCGTATCAGAGGTTTTTACAGCTGAACGCGGCGTTCCTGAGCGTGCTCAACGACGATGAGGACCAGCGAGCAGCTATATAAGCACGCATGTCTGGAACTGGGTCTGACCTCCATTCCCTTTCGTCTTCGTCTCTTCTACAAACGCTTCCTTCTCCTCGGAACATCCTCCCGTGATCCTCTCAAGTATGCAATTCACCGTTGGTGCCCTCTTCACCCTTGCTGTTGCCGGCGCTGCCCTTGCTGCCCCCGCTGAGCACGTGGACGCGAAGCGTCAATCTGGCTTCTGCCCCGAAGCCTCGCGCTTCGGCAACTTCAACCTTACCCCTACCCAGGTCAAGTCTGGCGATGTAAGCGCTCCTCATGTCATGCCAGTGGTAGTCTAATCCTGACGTATCACCTCGACAAGACCATCACCGGCACCCTCAACCTGACCTGCGCCCAGCAGTACAACATCGTGCCCAAGTACATCGACTACTACATCGAAGTCCCCCAGAACAACAACGGCTACGAGCCGAACATCCTCCTGGCTCACCACGAGCCCGCTGCCGGTGCCATCATCGACTCGTTCACCACTCAGGTACGCATCTGTTGGTCGCGGTTCAGATCCGGCATATGTGCTAACCCAAGGCTCAGGTCCCCTATGCCGGGTACTTCAACGCGAGCTATGATGTTGCGGTCCAGCTGACGTACGCTGTCGACGGCTCGCAGGAGGGCACGTCGTACTACGTGACTGGCGGTGTCTACGCCCCTATCAGCATTACTCCCACCGTTACAAACTAATGCTCGAGAGTTACGGAGGCTTGATGATGGTGATTGCATATCACACTACCTTTTACTTTTTTCCGCGGACTCTGGGACTTTGATGGACTCGTATACATACATACTGCACTTTCTACCTCAGTATCGACTAATGATAAGAGATATTCTGGTTTGATGACACGGTATCCTGCTCTTGAGGTATCTAACCTTCCTTCAAACGACAAACTGGGAAGCACTACATAAAGTGGATTCCAAGGTGGATTCTGCTGTTTCCAAAAACCCTAAAAGTCTATCTTGGGGAAATAAACTCTGTTCTTGCCTGAGCAACGATGACGTCCGAGGATTAACTTTCCAGAGTTGAGGTATACTTAGTGCGTACCGATACTATGGAAGTTGTCACGTTATTTATCAATATATACGACAAACCCACGTCAACGTCTATTCTATCGCCAAGTCACAAAGTACAACTTCGTGTAGACAGCTCTATATAATCCCAGGCACCAACCAATACCTGACTCTGCTCGCCCACGCCTCCCACTCCCTCCCAAAATGCCGACGCAAATACTCGTCCTCCAGCGGTAACCGCTGGAGCATAAACTTCCACGACACAAGTATGATTGACGAGCACACCAGCATGATCGCGTACCGCAGCGGCGCGAACGCAGCAGCGCTCCGGAGCCACGAGCCCGGCGCTCCGTGGACGACCGCGATGCCCGTGCATATCATGAGCACGAACGTGTAGCTCGGGTGGCGCACGACCGCGTACGGCCCCGACGTGATCAGGTGGTGGTCGCGGTACAGCGTGAGCTGGAAGGTGAAGTATTGCCCCAGGGTGCGGTAGCACCAGCAGCGACCGATGCCGCCGAGCGTGGCGAGGGCCGCGCCGGTGAGGAATGTGCCCGATAGCTCGGTGGAGCACCTGCTGGGGTCGTATCCGAGAAAATCGAGCACCCTCGACGACGTGGACGAGGGGTATTTCAGCGCGACGGTGATAGCGGCCTCTGCGAGGGTAGGTATCACTGCAACGACCTGTTCTCAGACAGCATGCTTCAAGTCGGCTCAGATGCTTCGAGGCAGAGATCCAGAGCAAGAAACGTACAGCGAGTGTCTGCCCCATGAACCTCCCCATCACCATGTCGCCCGTCGTTCTCTTGACCTGCTCTAACGCCTCTTTTGGCGGATTCGGGTTCGGGTTGCTCGCCGAGATACCATTGCCCAGGGCCGACGAAACGAACAGACCTAGCTTGAGCCACGACATTTTCTGCGCCTGCGGATGCTCAGAGTGGCTTGCTTGAGGGCGCTGTGCCCAAAGTTGTGGCGGTCTGTTAGTAAGGATGCCCTGGCCACATTCCCTCAGTTCCCCCAGTTAGCCATAAGCGATACACTTCCCGAGGACAAATTAGTGATGCGTTGTCTTTTGCTGGAAAAACGGATGACGAGGGCTAACAATAGAGCGGTATACAGATAGAGGCTTTGGGTTGCCGTCCTAGCAGGGCGCCGCGGAGTAATCCGAGGACGCGGACACGGACATGGTGGTTTAAAGGCTGTAAGTGAAAATTCAATAGGACTTCCATGTGTATGGAACGCGAAAAGGGCCATGAGAGAAACAGCGGAGCGGTTAATACGGATCAGGTTTCCCAAAGGGTCTTTCGCGATTTTCAAGCTGTAAGCCCTTTGGCACTAGTATCGTGTCCTGTCTTGTGCCAGCGAGTGCATTGAACAGTTACCGGAAAAACTGTTCAGCTCACCTTGACCTCAGTGAGAGCCTTAGGTAGAGAGCGTGCTATGTTTTGACCTTCGCACTACAGCAGCCGAACAATGCTCAAGGCACCAGTCCGCAGCCACCGCCGCTTCACCATCAGAGCGGTACCGGGATAGACAATGGACTTCCACTGGCAGGTCACGCTCCGGAACTTTCAGACGCTACGATCCCGAAAATCTTCAGGGGCTCAAATCGGGATCGCTGCTGTACAAGTTAGGACGCTATTTTGGACCGAGATGCAGGAACAACACACAAGGTCGACCGTGAATAGTGAGCTCATGATCATGTTCCGAGCAGGCGCACGTATTGGGGCAGACTCGGCGGCACGTTCTGGTTTCCCCGCAAGGCTTGTCCAAGCGACAAATAGCAAACGCATCTTTGATGTGGCGGGGGCCGAGCACCTCTTGAGCCTTCGACACGATTGGGGGACGCGGCATCCTGTTTTCGAGCGAGTGCGAACGGGTCACACGATAGGGAGCAATGCTGCTACGGCGTACCCAAATCGCGAATGCAAGGTCGTCAGTGATTATCCGGTTGACAAAAAGATAAACCTCTTTTGTCTTCTTGCTATGAAGAACCCTTGAAGGTGGGTGTGCAGGTGGAACAGCGCGGGTTGAGCGAGGGAAAGAGCTGCCCCCCTCCGCGGCCCGGGATATTCCGGGATGGGTCCGGTCCTTGCCGAGCATCTATTCTCCTGAGCGAGAACGACTCTATCCGCATCATGTCCCGGGACAAACGGTACAGTAATGTCAGTGTCTTCGCTGCCGATCAAGAGTGTGGGTATGTGGAGTGACAATGAGAGTATGCTAGTGGGGAAGCTATTCTTATCGCACAGCGAAGGGCGCCAGATATAAGGAAAGCTTTTGTAGATATACTTAGTCACAGCTCGAGCTAGCCGAAACCTATTAAAGACGAGAAGAGCTACAGTATATGTATCCACACATTTCATGATCACTGAGTATAGTTATAGTCAGGCGGTGGGCCTACGCGAACCAGACTCATCTTCCTCGCCGTTGTAACGGCTCGGCGAGCCTGCTCGGCGAAACCACTCTGCTTTCGTTGCGCTTGCCCTTGAGAGCCGCTGGGTCCACTATCCGCACGCCGATTTGGTGCAAGCTGCAAGGGCTCGCATGAGTATGTTATGCCAAGAAAGTATCAGCACGATATGCACTCACTGGAAGGAGAGGCGCGTCAGCGGCACTTTGGTCGTCCGCGCCTGCTAGATCATCACGCCGTCCACCATACTGCGAGCCTCCAGCGGTTGCCACCTCGCTGGTAGCGACATACGTCGGCGCAGAGTACATGTTCTGCTGTCCTCCCGACCATGGGGGCGATGCTGGCCCCGAGTGCGTCTGTGCAAAGCTTGGCCGTGGCTCAGAGTGAGAGTTCGACTCGTTCGCGTTGTACGATAGAGAGGGGATGTCGCTGTAGTGTCCTGACGTAATCGCAGCACTGTGAGGTTCATAGGGGTCATATGGAAATATTTTGTGAGGCGCAGGCATGAGGTCAAAGGGCTTCGCGGCATTCCGGTAGGCGTCAACTTCCTCTTTGCGCCAGCGCCGGAAGAAGTATGCGCCGGAGAGTAGGCCAACGAGGGTGGTGAAGGCGAGAATGGCGAGTCCGGCTGCGATGCCGGGGGTAAGACTGGACAGGGACGTGTGATGAGTTGTCCTGCAGTAATTGTTCGAGGTATTGCTCACCTTGTCTTGCACAGACCGAACTCCCTGAGAAGGTGTTGAGCACTCCGGGTGAGTGGATATTGGAAGACTCACCCTGAAGACGTACTAAAAGATAGGTCAGCATGTTCTCCGACGAGACTTGGAGTCTCAGAACACTCACCTCGCAGTCTTAACCTCCGCATAGTCGATACTCAGCTCCATAGGGTCCATGTTTGTAACCACTAGTTGATGATTTCCGCTACCGAGGTTGCTCTCATGATAGATTACCATCTGATACTGAGGCAGAGGTTTCGTAGCATTGAAGTGCTGAATCGAGCCTCCGTCCAGCTGGACAGAGTACTGTCCATTGCTGGGTCCAACCGTACCGTAGAGGTCTATCACGTCCCCTGATACGAAGACTCAGCTGAAGCTGTCTTAGCTCTGAAGAAACTAAAGGTTACCCTACACTAAGGATGAGCGAGAGGACGAGTATAAATATGATGACCTACAGTAAATGTCAGGGTGACCTGATCGTTGGTCTCAGTCGTGGTGCTAAGTCGATTCAGGGATAGGCTCTTGGGCTCAATGCCAAGGGAACTCACTGTCCGGAACCCTGGCTGAAGAATGCAGCATTTGAAGGCTCAGCATCACCGTTCCATGATCCCGAGTACACAAATGCTGAATCCGTGTCCTGGATAACGGACGTAAGCCACGAGCCACTGTCGTCCCCAACCGTGGTCTCGAATTTAATCTTCATTCACCACCACCGTAGGTCAGGTTCCGAGCGCATCTTACATTCAAATCCAGCACGCACCATGTCGAAGTCTAACCATGACCCAGTACTGACGTTTCCCGTGTTCGTGATCACGATCGTGTGCTGCCCCTGTGAAAGCCCCGAATTCGAGTAGAGTAGCTGCTGCCACTGACTCATCGGCGAGTACCCGTTGACGGTGGTAGCCCCCGTGCCATCTATTTCGACGGTGAAAGTCCCATGGTTGACCCGCTTCGAGCCGTACACCCACACGCTAGTCCCCGTGAACGTGAGCTGCGCAGTAGCATTGTCCGTAGGAGTGCTTGTGAACGTGCCATCCCAGTAGCTGTGGCACACGCGTTAGAAGGAAAAGACGCAGAGAAGGGGGATAGTACGCGTACTAGCCCGCCGCGTCATCCTGCGTTGATATTGTTGGGATCCACCCGCTATCGAACGTGATCATGGGGACGCGGTCGTCGAAGAAGGTGGTGAGTTTTGGCATCTCGAGACTACTACGCGTAGGAAGTTTATGGAGCGGAATGAGGCGATGAAAGGAGGTTGAGGAGAACTGGATAAAGGTCGAGGAAAAGGCAAGGCGTGTCTCGGAAGGTTTTCAAGTGTCAAGTCTAGGCCTCATTGTCAACGCCATGGGGGGTCCGCTTAGCGAAGGGTTAGCAATCGTCGCATGGCCACCTCGACCCTGCTGAGACTTGATAGAGCTTGATCTCGAAATTCAGCATGCGAAGTAATGAATCAGAGGAAGGGGGCAGGTGTCGAGAGAATCAACAGACGCTATCTCACGCTTGATGTCGATAAGCGCCTAACAGGACCTGTTCCGAGTCGGAGATGAACTAGACGCCGACAGTGACGCCGACAATCTCGGAAGCCTGTCAACGCGTTACAACATCAAAACACACCAGGGATCAGTGCATAAGTTCAGCATTGCTGGAGACTGGCACTGGGGCAGTTTCGATAAAGCGCACCTCCAGGGTGCTGAGGTATAGCATGAGTTCCTGCAAACGCTCGAACCCTACCAGGAAGCTGCAACATCACTATTATTCGGATTGGCAACAGATTTCACGTTCACTCAACGCGCCGACGATAAATGGATTTTACAATGTTGACTTATCAACTTTACAACGTTAACGTACATAATGCGCGGAATTTGAAGCGAAACACTGTATCATACAAGCTAACATGCTATCTGAAACGCAAAGTGCAGAACGAAGTGACTCCAACAATCTACTGGCCGCACTTGCATTCGCCAGGCTTGCAGTCGCAACTATAAAGAACAACACACTTAAACTGCACGCATTTGCACAGCAGATATCTGGACGTACGTTTCTCCACAGTTGCACTTGGGGTTACCGCAATGCATGTCGACGGGGGTTTGGATGGTCTACATCGTCAAAAGTTAAATCATAAAGAACAAAGTCGGTATGTGGTAGAGGCTCACAGCGTGCATTATGGTTTGGTCGTAGGGCAACAAAGTTAACTGGTGACGGAGGGGATGGAAGAGTCTTACTCGAGGGGGCAACCCTTATAAATCGTTGAGTGTTTGCGGTCGTTTGTGAAATGCCCCACTCCTGCGCTCGGGTAGGGGCTTGACATTGACGTTTGGCAAGGTGACCTCTGGTGACCTGGATGAGGAAGCAAAAAGGGTGGATATCTGTAAGCGTGGCGCATTTAGGAGGTGGCCAAGCGCGATTCGGAGAGGCAATTTTGCCAGCCATAGGCAATTTTGCGAGTAAAGAATAGCAAATCACTGAGGTACGCAAGGTCCCATGAGCAATTCAAGGGGCAGTGTGGTCTTCCATCGTCAGCCGAAGTGTTCTTGTGCGTCATGAATCAGGTCATGTTTCACGAGCACCCCTGTCACGGAGACTCGTGGGAGTCGGAGGCGGATCGGATTGAACCGGCGTTCTCGGACTAACGTGTCTGTCTTCTCCAGACTCGGATGCAATGCCACTCCCAACTCGCCATGGGGCGAATATCCGCGACAGAGACTACGGAAATGGGTACAAAGGATCTTTATAACATATTAACCGGGAGATAACGTCTGTGTGAGTCGACTGAAAGTGCTTTCGCTAAACCATTCTATTCCGTCGGACCTGTACCATTAACGGTGTACATACTCAAAAACTATGGCGTCTTCTAGCCTGTTGCCTACTCGAAGTATCTGATATCGGTGCTCAGGTTTGGGACTCGTATGGTAACCCGCTTTCCATCGCGTAGATGTAATATAGTCACTTTGTCTCCTGCGACGATCAGCTGTAATCCCTTTTCTTCAAGTTCAAGCGGCCTGTATTGCACAGGGAGCCAACAAATCTTGTGATAGCGCTGTTGGAGCCATCCATCGTTGCACAAGCAAAGATCTGACCAGGAGAAACTGTCATAGTATACATCCGGATTCTTGCCTTCTTCAACCTCGTATGTCTGTCCCGCACCTCCCGCTTCTGAGGGACTGGCCGTCGTCATGTTCAATGCGTACTCCGTTGATCTGTCCCGAAGGTGAATTCTCTTGAAGCTCGGGCTATACGCCAGCCTCCTGATTGAACCAAGGTTTGGAATGAGCGAAATCGTGAGAATGTTCGACGTCCCCAGCTCCCATCGAAGATGTCGGATGAATCTGCAGTTTCCGTCGGCGCTCAGGAAGTCGACAGCGTCTATGGTAACGGAAACAATCCTGCAGTCCGATTCACGAGAGCCGCGAGATCCTTCAGTACCGGACGTCTCTGGGGCGACGATGGTTGAACCTTCGTTCTTCACGCCACCGTCTTTCAGCGAGAATACGAAAATTCTCCAGATCAACGCCGATTCCTGTGCTGCAAGCGCCACAAGTTTATCGTCCGATGAAAATTTGATAGTCGAGGTCGACACGTGCAGCTTCATCGAGATTGGCGCATGTCCTATTGGATGCCCTGAGCTGACGCTCCAAACCTCAATCTGGCGTTTGTAACCGGTCGCCGTCGCGAAGTAGGTAGAGTGTGGGGAAAATGCACAACAGGCAGTAGACGCCGAGTAGGGATTGGAAGTGGTACCAGGCGTCTCTGGTGTAATCTCGCGGAGGATAGAATATGCTGTGGTGGCGTCTTCGAAACGGTAAACGAGGTACCGTTCTGTCGCTGTCGTTGACTTGTAAGCCTTTAAGTCGGCATTTCCCGAAATGCACACCAGCTGGTAGTCGGCAGGGACCTCGGAGGTAGAGAGCTGGGACTTTCCGTCGGGTTGCAGGATAATCTGAGCGAGGTCAACGATCCAAAATTGCCTAGATTTCCGTGCGATGCCAAAGCACTCCCCAATGGAAGACCGCCAAGCAGATCGTTTTTGGTCGTGAACTGTAGCGATGTGATCTCCCTGTTTGATAGCGACCAGTTGGTCGGAGAATTCGATGGCATGCGGGTATATTGGTGACGTTGACGGCGGTACCACTTTCAGGAAGTTCTCATCGCTGCTAGCGGAGGCAAAGGGCTTCTTAGGACTGCGGAGAAGATCTCTCAGCCGTCTTCTATGACTACCCGGTGGTCCCATCAAGGATTTCGACCTTGTCCCAGAGGGTGATGCGGCGGCGAGTGTATCCTGCAGCGACATCACCCTGGTCATTAGGGATAACTTCCAGCTGCGCTTGTTTGAGGACGGAGCCGCTGCGACAGTGAGAATGTCATCGGTGTGACTGAAGATGGCCCACGATGACTCTTGCTCGCCCTGCCATAGGAGATGTCCGTCCGAAGGATCAAAAAGGAAGAAGGCACTAGGATTGATCGATGATTTGAGCACGGATGAGCTTGCTTGGACAAGCATGCAGTCGTCCCTGGATGAGAAGTCCACGGCTACTTCCAGAGGCGTCTCTACGGTACGAAGAGGCAAGGAACAGTGAGCGAGTGGCTCAAGAGTACTGACACAATAGATACGAGCGACGATGCCCTTTCCGGCTGCAGCCCTGGAGACGGAGAACAACACGATTCTGGTTCTGTCGTGTGAAATGGCTACGGGTCCAAAGAATTCTTCGTTCGGTGGCGCGGATATAGGTACCACAGGTGGCTGATGTAGTCTCCATAGATAACAGTTTTGATTGTCGCGGTATGCAAGAAAAGGGCCACCGTTGACGATCCCGCTCCCTCGTATACCTTCCAAGCGCTGTGATGTGATGAGTGTTCCTGTCGCAGTATCCCATAACTTGATCTCGGAAGAATCTGAATTTCTGGAAAGTGTCGCAACTTGCGAGCCGTCTGGAGAAGGTGCGAGTTCGAAGTCCTCTGTTTTCATATCTATGACACGGATAACAGGATCCCACTGGGCGTCCAGACCTTCTTCAATTCTATTCCAGCTAAGTTCCTCAAGCATATGGCGATATGTAAAACGTAGTAGCGACGTCGTGGGGCAGCATGGGAGGGCAGAGTTGTAGACCTCAAGAGGTGATACACTGATAGGGTCATAGAAGCACATGATGAATCTCCAAGCGTCATAAAGTAGAGCTAGAGCGTCGGTTTTGCGCGGAAATGAGCCATCTGTCCAGTTCTATAGAGAGTATGACGTCAGCTTCACGGCCATATGAGTAAAGCCGCAACCTTACCTTGACAGTTTCTCGAGCGGCTCTGAATAATCCAGTTGCAGTATGTAGCTTGCCAAGGATCGCGTACATTTCTATGGCGTAGAGAAGCCGCTTCTCGAGAAAATCGAGAAGGCAAGAGTGGAGTTCATCATCTCGTCTAGCGTGCTGAAGATGGTACAGCCAATGGTGGGAGGCATATTTAAGGGCGCGGGGGATGGCATCACGCTTCTGAGAAAAGTCATAAAGGGACGGGGCATCATGGCGTCCGCATATGTCACGTTTGAGCAATGTCGCCATTGTGCGAAAACAGCGGACGGCCAAGGGGGCGTGGATAGCAGAAGTGTTGACGTAGCCGGAAGCCCGTACGCGATTCTGAACAAACTCGCGGAATGAGGTTTGTGCGATTTGGACAGGTTCAGGCGAGCTAGAGGAAGGGATAGAGATCAGCCCCGAGAATGCTATAAGGCGCGAGTGAATGTCGATTCCGAGAAGAAGGCGTAAATCTGGTAGTGACAAAGGCTCGGTGATGTTGATAATGAAGGAAATGTATCGCAATCCATCCTCACGGACAGAGTCGTCCATGTTGTCAATGATGCCAGCATACAAGTTTTCAACGTTGCCCCACGTATACTGGACTTCGCCCCGCAGCGTGCCGCACAGCAGCGGCAGGCGCTCATGGGGGTGCTCTTGATCGATGAGTTGGACCACGGTTGCTGCGAAGATGAAACGCCCATCAGCACGCTGAGATAGCAACGCATAATCGCTCTCTGAGGGCCATGGCAAAGGACAGAAATCGGAGAGGTCGTGGGAGTTATATATCCGCTCGAATGCGTTGCTCAAGTACTGGTCAACGTCCTTGCACGAGTCGTAGTCCTCGATGCTTATAGCCTTCATGAGGTCGACAAAGTTTTTGTCGTACATAACCGCTCGGATTTGAGACCAGGGTCTGCTAAAGATGATGATATGATGGATTGGGAGCGAAGGGTCTCGAACAAGACCAGCAAGCAGTGAAATGAATGGTCGGACATGGTCCAGTCCGTCGGTTGTGCCCTCGTCAAGGCCATCTACAATCAAAGACATCCCAGGCTTTCCTTTCCGTATTTGCCCTAGGAACCTCAGCATCGGCACAATGAGCCTCTCCAGCTGGTCATGGTGTGATTTCTCCGGAGAGAGCAGAGCAGGGTCGATGGAGACGGCGTCCATGATAACTTTGCGTGCGAGGGGATGTTTTAAACCGAGTTGATAAGCGAGGGTGAGGAACACGTTATCAAACGTGCTCCGATTGGGGTGTCGCTTGGAGAAAAAGAAAGTGCTGGCGAGCCTGTCCTCCTGACGAAGCTCGTCTGCGAATGTATGCGCGATCGTCGACTTTCCTGACCCAGGCTCGCCAGTTATCCATAAGATCTTCCGACTTTGGTCCTCAACCATCGATCTGAGAGATTTGAGGATCATGGACCTTGTTCCGGATAGGCACTTAGAGTGCGGCTGGCGCTCGTTTGAGTCATAGATAGCGCCATGAGCGCATGCTTCGGTGAGCTTTTGCCATGCGCCTTGGTCCCCTTGTACAGGAGCGTAGACTGAAGGATACCGGTCAGACCACCAGAGTTCGCGTTAGGAACACAAATACTCACTTTGATAGGCATGAGCCATGACACGTAATTGTCATTAAGCGCGGGCTTGCGCAATGCGTTAAACAAGGTGGCGCGACATCCGAACATCCAATGGGTAGAGGCTTGTTCACACTCAGACGGATGCCGCCGCGCCGAAAATGACCACTTTTGACTCGCTTTGTGGCCAGTATGCATCCATCCGGGAGATTAATATTGTGCGAGCCAGCTTCAACATAAACTACAGAGGTTGCATCGAGCCTTCCGCCCATAGTTGTTGGACTCGACGAAGCACTGAACCCGATGATCGATGATTTCAGTGTAGACAGCGGAGTTCCTGACGCTCGGAAGTTGCCGTAAGCAAACGCACAAACGTCCTCGCGTCGAACATGCAGTGCTTCTTGTGCATCATACCGAGTCGAACCAAGTCAGAGATAACACAGACATGGCGCAGAGCTCACCTAGTAAGATGAAGCATGTATACCATCAATACAGATTATCTAACCTTATTGACAGGATATGCTCCTGTGCAAGGCGACCTCAAGGGATGGCAGAGGCTCGCCCATGACTGCGCCCAAGGTGCCATATACGACTCCAACGAACGACAACCCCACTCCACGTGTCTTCGCGGCACAAGACTTAGCGTCCTTCAGTCGCTCAGGACACTCGTCGAAGACCCAGATCGAAAGATCATATGGATGGCTGGCGAGTCCGGCTCGGGAAAGACAACGATTGCACACACCTTCGCAGATGAGCTTCGTGAGAAGGGAAAGCTAGCAGGCACGTTTTTCTTCTCCAGAAAGCACGCTAAACGGAGCACCTTCGATCACGTCCTCCTCACTCTCGCGTATCAGCTTGGATTGCAGCACCCTCGCACTCACGAGATCATTATGAGGGCCATCTCCGACGACCCTGCTTTACTCGCGCCAGAAAAATCATACTACGATCAGCTCGAGAAGCTGATAATCGAGCCTTTGAGACATCTAGCACAGGTGCGGAGAGGGGAAGCCGGCTTGTCTCTCATCTTGGACGCTCTCGACGAAGGCACGACTCGCGGGCTTCACCATATAGAACCTCTCATCTCTCTTCTTACTCGCCTTGTCCGAGATACCAATCTCCCCATCCATACTATCATCATATCTAGCAGATCCTGGCCACAAATAGATACGGTGATGCGCAGCAGCACTTTCGCCCACGTTATGAGGATCGTGCGTCTCGAGGAGCACGACTCACGGCAAGACGTCGATCATTTCCTCCTGGATGCGTTTGCACGGATCTACGATGCGCGCGATTTGTCTCACTTTTGTCCTAAACCCTGGCCTTCCCCACACGAGTTCACGATGCTCTCCCAGCGAGCGAAGGGACGTTTCATCTTTGCCGCAACTATCGTTCGATTGCTTGACCAGGACCAACCTCATGAACGTCTGTCGCTTGTTTGTAGTATGTTGCGTGGTGATGTGGAGCACGTATGGGGCGACGTCGATCACCTTTATGCTGCCATTGTCGACAGCATTGAAACCTCCGCCCGCGAGACCGCGCTGAAATATATCACCCTCGTCGCCAACCTTGCAGAGCCTTTGTCCCTCTCTAATCTTCGTCTTCTCTTCGGTGTTGACCTTTATCCGACGTTTTTACCGTTTTCGGCTGTAGTTTCCATCCCGCCACTGGAGTCCCATGATGCTGTTCAGATATTCCACAGCACATTTCGTGACTTTCTTCACAATCGTGATCAGGCCGATGAGACTCTGGGCAGCGCCAAACGGATACACCACCCTTTAGCTATCCGCTGCTTCCGAACGATGGCGAGGATGCTCAAGCGAGATATATGCGGTCTTCAAGATCCATCACTTCTGCACGACGAAATACCTGACTTCCCCCATAGGCGTGACAACATTCCACGCGCTCTGCGATATGCATGTCTCCATTGGCTTTACCACCTGGAGCGCAGTATCCCGGATATAGAAATGCAAGGATGTCTACTCGAGTTTCTCGAACAGCGGCTCTTATTCCTCTTGGAAACATGTGCGGTGCTCGGAGAGCTAGATGCTGCAGTAAGAGTTCTCCGATCAGCCCATAAACACATCGTGGTAAGTTGCCTATGTCCTATTCCTCCCCTGGCGCGCTGGCTTATCGCCAGTACAGCATTGGTCCAGATCCTCATTTTCACGAATTGAAAGCGTTTTGGCCCTACTGTATGACAGCTGGCGAATGACCATAGACTTTTTCGATCCCATAAGCCTCTCAGCTCTCCATGTTTACGAGTCAGCCCTCCCTTGCTGCCCCGCAAAGTCACAGCTCCGTGTCACATATGAAGAGTTACTCGCCGAAACTACTACTTTTCGGTTTGAAGACGGCTTGAATGACCAGTGGCATTGTGTTACTCGTGTTATTGACATGAAAACAAGCATCTTCATCCTTGCACTATCGCCAGATGGCTCGCAGATTGTGACGATGTGCCAGACTGCGAGCCATTCTAGAGAAATGAAGATTTGGGATACGGCCACAGGACTTCTTGTCAGGTCGCTTCCTCTGGAAGGCTCGCATACCAAGATTGATCTCGTTCATAATGGCTCTTTGGTTGCGTACCGAGACGAACAGACGTGCTTCTTATGGCAGCCATTTAAACAGGCTGCTCCAGAGCCGCTTGATATACCGCTGCAGGACCGCATGGTTGGAGATGGATTCCAGGTCTCACACGGTGATGGTCGCATCGCCTTCAGCTGCTTATCAAACTCTACCTCTGAAACCACGCAAAACCCTCTTCTTGTCATCATTCGAGTTTATCATATCAGTACCAGAAAGCAAGTATCGCACTTCCCTCTAACTCAATGTCCCGGGCGTCGGTTTTATCCTCAAGTCAGATCCATGGAGTTTTCTCGCGGTGACGACTATCTCATGTTCTGCGCAACGTCGAATGTTTTCGACAACGAAAATATCTACGGCATTGTCTTTCTCCTCAATCCAGCCAACGGTCAGCTGTTATGGCACGGCCACTGCTATTCCTACAACGCGTTCTGCTTTTTCAGCGCTGATGAAGATATCATCATTGTATCAAAGGATTTCAAAACTGGGAAGTACCACGCTGAGCTAGCTTTCACAATCAACGGAGTTTTACCTGGGATAACTGTGACAGCTTCGCCGCTACACATGCTAAAAGCGAAGAAGTGGAGGTTCCGAAGACTGCTTTGTATACAAGCGAGATCAGATGCCGTTATGGAGCAGCTGAGCAAAGCGCAAGTAGCAAAAACGTCGCCTTCGCTTGAGCAGCCTCGCGCCATTGTGCTTATGAACGCATTCGCAGGTTTAATCCAAGGTGACAAGATTGCAGGCTTTGGCCGCTGGACGAGGACTAGCTGGAAATCTCACGGAGAGGAGTGCTTTGGCGTTGTGCACACCAACTCACAAACTCAACAGCAGTTCCCAATCATCGATCTCAATCAAGTAGATCCTCAAAGTGTTCCAGAATCCTATTCATCACCTTTCCCCGAAACAGATCCTGACGGCTATCGACTTGAATGTACATCGGATGAAGCAGACATGAGAGCCTACAAATCGGATTCAAAAGAAGCGTACCTTATTATAGCGACTACCACATTCCCTGCAGCCAGAGCCTTCCGTCGCAAATTGGTTCCAAAGAGAGCTAGCTTCAAGTCTTATTCCTCGTCCGGGGTTCGATGTGCCTTCTCGCCGAAGTCCGCATATTTTGCGGCTGTATCGGGCCACAGACGTCGGTTAGACATTTGGGATGTCAGATCATTTACTTACATTGGCGGTGCACCAATCCCAGCATCCGTGCTCGCGTGGACCTCAGCATTCACGTTCTCAAAAGACGAGAAGCTGCTAGTGCTGCAATGGTACTCGGAATCCACGTTATGGGATTTTGCGGTTTACTCTTTCGATAGCAACACTGTCAAGCAGGTGGGCTCCTTCTCGCCACCATTGTCCGTTGGTGAAAATAGTACGCCACCGCAAGAGTGTAAAGTTGTCTCTGTCACATCGGACTCAGTCGACTTCCTCTGCACTGATGCCGTTTACTTACAAGACGACAACACTGCCTACCACCTTCGGTGGCAGAGAGCAACATCGACGATTGTCGTCGTCTCTAAATTCGCTGACCATGGTCGTCTTTCGCACTTGGCCCACACCGCAAGTTTCAAAAGAATTTTGTGCCGCGAGTGGCTCCCCGAGCAGCCCACTGGTAGAGAGTACGCTCTGAGCTTGAACGTGCCGCTAGAGCCTCCTGGTACTGCAGATTCAGATCGTACATATGATTTGGGAACGTACAGGGTTGACGACGACAATGATCCAACCGCCTTCTACGATTGCCTCTCCTGGTCGGATCTTTGCATGGACGTGGAAGGTTGGCTCCGCCAACGAAGTCGTAGAATCTGCTGGATGCCCGAGCGCTATAGGCCCGTTGACATATACAAGAGTGGCTTGAAGCTAGCTATCAGTGGAGATAAGGTCACGATACTGCACTTACGAGATGAGAAGCAGGTAACTATCCGGTTACTTGGTATAATAATCAGGTATTTTGATTAGGCACAAGGGGTCTAATTACCGCCATTTGGGGCTGGAGATTAAGGGAGAGAGTGAAGAGACTGCGCAGATACATTAGAGATATTAACACACGGCTGTTGGACATAGAGATCGGATACTTAGTTGGTTGGCTATGATGTAAGTAGTTTCCGAAACCAACTTTTATCAGTGTTCTTGAAGCTGATGCAAGCCTTTCTGCATACGCACGTATTTGACCTACGTTGAGCCCTCCTGCTTCGAAGGATAAAGAGGGGCTTGAAGCGAGAGGGGCGGAGCCATGGACCATGTCATGACACGCCGAAAACGCGCCGAGCCCGCGTGAACGCGTCCGTGGCAGCTGCACGTGGCACGAGACGCTCCAGCGCCGCGTGCGAAGCGGAGGGCACAACTCCTACTACGATGTCGACCATGTTTCCCTACACCTCCGCCCTCCTACCCTTCCTCCCACCACAATACGACGCCTCACTCGGCGGAACACCAACAACAACCCGCGTAACGGTGGAAGCACTGCTCGCGCTCGCGCTCGGCGGAGAGCCGCCGCCTGACGCGTCCGATACGACGCGTGCAGAGTGGTGTGACAGGCAGGCTCGTGCGCTGGATGCGCTGCGCCCTCTGAGGACGAACGGTGCCGCAAAGAGAGGACGCGAGGGAGAGAGCGGGGATGGCGATGCGGCTATGGGTTCGGGTGCGCTGATGGATACGCCCAACGGAGGCGGGAAGCGGCAGAAACTTATGGGGCAGTCGAACGGCGCCACGCAGAGCTCGCAGACGCTCACGTCCGCTGCGCCTTCTCAGAATCAACGCCAGGCTCAGGGTGCCGATGCCGAAGATGATGCGCCGGTGTTCACTCTTTCGTCCGTCTCCGCGACATCCCCCGTGCGCAAGAAGGTGCACATCACGATCCACGAGCGCACGCTGCGCTTCGTCAACCCGACCTCGTCTGCGCGGGAAGCATCTGTCCCACTCTCGTCGCTCTCGCGTGCATTTCTGGTCCCGACGCGGGGGAAGACGAAGCCGCACTGGACCGTCATACTCATGCTCGCGGACGAGCCGGAGAAAGGCGCACCCTCAAGTATTCAACAGGTTATCTTCGGGCTCGATGCTACATGTGCGACACCACTCATATACACCGAGAAGAAAGCCCAGATGCGGGTTGAGAAAGGCAAAGAGAGCATCACCGCCATCCGCGACTTTCTCAAGCACCTCCCCTCCCACGTCACCCTACACGAGCCCTCGACCGCGCACTTCCGGAGTGCATGTCCGCCCGGCCTCAGCACGTCTGGAGGCCAGCGGAGCGCAAACGAGCGCGCGGCGGTCGAGGCGTATCTCGGCGCCAAGGTCGGCACGCTGTGGTTCTTCGACGAGGGCATGCTGTGGGGTGAGAGCAAGCCGTGTGAGTTCTGGCCTGTTCATGGCCTCGCGAGCAAGGACGGGCTGAGAGTGGTCAGTCCGACCGGGCGGACGTGTTCGGTCATCCTGAGGCGGGTTGCGCCTCCCAGTGAGAAGAAGGGAGGTGGTGATGGAGAGAGTGACGAGGAGGAGGAGGAGGGCCCCGAGACCGAGTTCACCATGATCGACGGGCGCGAGCAGGAGCCCATTCAGACGTGGATACGCGCGCGGGCACACCGCTTCGGTCGTGCGCCTGGGGAGGTGACCAGCCCCGTCAAGGGCAAGGGCAAGGGCGGCGATGCAGCAAACCCAAAAGCCCCTGGTGGCTCCTTGGCGGTCCCCCAGACGGCGGCAAACGGACCTGCATGGGATGACTCGGACTCGGAGGACGAGGATTTCAATGCCAGCGACGACGGCGACGACGGCGACGACTCTGATGCTGATTCCGATGACTCCGGTTCGGGCGGAGAAGACGATGACAGTGAGGGCTCAGGCAATGAGGATGAAGACGAGGTCGCCGCCCGATCCGAAGCGTCGTCAGGGCCGTCCGGGCCGTCAACGTCAATGTCAACGTCCACCACAAAAAAAGCAACGCGGCAGCGCTCAGGGCGAGAAACCTTGCGAAAGTCTGCCGAAGACGATGCAGGGCGGGACGAAGACGATGATAGTGATGATGAAGTTGAGGAGCTTGATCCTCGCCATCACCCCTTGCTCAGAGCCGGCGCCGTCCCGCGACTATCGCGCGCCGCTGTTGACGCTGTCGTCGACATGATGGGCGGAGGTGGGGCTAGCCCGGCCAGGGCTGGAGTTGAGGCGGAGGTGGTAGCCGATAGCGAGGACGAGGAGGACGAGCTGATGGACGAGTAGATTCGTGGTCGTCGGTGACTAGTGCATTGCTGCGATGATCTGGACTCGAGGCCGAGGCGTGTGGGGAGTAGCCGCGCGCTGTGCAACCGTGTGCCAGCAGCGAATGGACCAGTATACCTCCGGAAAGCCTTGGAAAATTGCATCCCACTTCCCCCTCGCAAAGTAGGTATCATGATTTAGTGACGTACGTACACTCATGTATTCATTCGTTGTTTCACTATGTTTTATTAGACGAAAATGTGCGCACTCGACCTACTCGATGAAGGTTTCTGTGCTGTCAAGCAGAAGCAGGCAGAGGCAGAGGCACATATATGTCAATAACAAATAACAGCCACCGTCTTCTGCAACGTGAAGGTGCTCCAAGCGGAGTCATTTTGTTGCCAGGAGCTGCGGTGAGTCACTGGCAGAAATACATGGGGCTAACCCTTGACTCACAAGCTTTTATTTGCAAGTCAGCTCTGGATCATAGCATGTCGACACATTTGTTGTGTGGCATGAGATAAGAAAATGTTGACATTCCGCTGGGCTCCATACTACCAGGACCATAGTGGAGTGCAGTTGCCATTAGCCAAACTCTCGTTTCTGCATTCAGTTCTGGTGGAGTTTCAAAGGCTCCGGTCAAGATACGCGCTTACTGGATGTCAACTGTCCGATCATCGAACTTCGATCAGTGGGCGTCTATTTGGTGAGTATTCTCGCACACAAGTTTGATGTGCTCACACAAGCTTCTACATTTTCCACTCGCACTGGTCTTGTCAATCCATCCTTCTTCAAAAAAGTCGATGAAGGTGCATAGGTCTTAGATAAAAGTAAGACAAGCATCGCACTACATGGGGGTCACGCGCGAAGAATCCGATCCGAGCGTCCGCGTCTACCCTGCACATGTACAGTGGCAGTGCACTTTGTGCGCCTCGGCTGCATCCCCGTTGGGAGGTTACATAGTGTGCCTGGAGCGGGGCCTCGACACGCTGACACCAAGTCGACACCCTGCAAGTCGATGTCAATGCTCTGTGACATGCAGGGACATACGGGGACATGGGCGCGCCATTATATAACAAACACGATCCTTGCGTCTTGCGAAACCTTTTTTTGTTTCCCCCCCTCCCTCCTGGGTCTCCCTCTCTTTCGTCTCCTTCACCTCGTGATCACACGAGGCTTGGAGCGCGCGCCATGCCTCAGCTCACGACATTCATCGATGATCGGGTCCCCCTCATCCAGTACGACAGTAATTGGATCCAGGGAGATTCACAAGTCGATAACTTCGCCAGCAAGTGAGCGTTCGTGCCAGACACACCAAGTTATCCTGTTTTCTCTCCAGGAGCTCACGTTACCTCCCCCTGTCTGTTACGTGCAGTTATTACTTCGGCACATGGACAGACACCAACGTAACCGGCTCGACGGCCACATTCAACTTCAACGGGACGTCTGTCACCATTCTCGGTTCTGAGAGGCCCAACCATGGCACGTTCTCCGTCGAGCTCGATGGGCAGAATCAAGGCTCCTACAACGGCGGCCAGACGAACGGAGCCAACCTCTTCCAGGTGCCGCTTTTTGAGAAGGACGGGCTTACTCAGGGTCCGCATACTGTATCGATTACGAATACGCAAGTCGGGGACTATCTTGATATCGACCTGGTGCGTGGTTTGTGAATGTGGTTTAGAGCGGCCGGCTCACATACTGGACATGAAACTTTGTAGGTCAAGTGGACAAGCTCAATCGGCGATGATGATGACACGCTGGTGCAGAGTGTCATCGAGGACACGGACTCGAGCTTTTCTTACGACAGCTCGTGGAACAATAACCCACAGAATGCGTACATGTACAGCGGCTCGTCGGGGCAGTACGTTACTTCCAGCCCTTCCAGCCCGATCTAGAGCTGATGAGGCTGTACTTTATTTCCTCCTGTACAGCACGACGAGCAACAACGGCGGCTCCGCCACCCTCACGTTCACCGGCGACGTTGTATCGCTATACGGTACCGTCGGCCCATCAAACGGGGCGTTTTCGGTGCAGATCGATGGCGGGGTGACGACCAAGTACAATGCGACATCGGTTATCACGATGTACCAGTACATGCTCTTCCACGCGGACAGTCTCGGCGGCGGGCAGCACACGCTCAAGCTTATGAACCAGGGCACCTCGAGTCTGAACCTCGACTACGCGGCGGTGATGGCACTGAGCAAGACGGGCGGCGGGAGCTCGAGGTGTGTGCTTGAGCTTTCTCACCCCCAGCACATCATACTAAACTCGGCGCTGCAGAATATCATCAGGTGCAGCAGCAGGCATCGGCGTCCTCGCCGCGACGACCGCCATCGGCTTCCTCCTCGCCGCGTTCTTCTTCCGCAAGTGGCGCAACACTGGCCCGCAGCGCGACTGGCCCGAGCCGAAGCACGACACGCTCCCCTACACCTCCTCCGGCCCCGCCGCCGGGCAACCGGGGCGCGGGGCGCCGACGTCCGCGACGTTCAGCAGCGCACCGCAGCCCATGTCACCGCCGCCCGTCGTCAGGGGCGCGGTATACCCGCCACATCTAGGGCAAAACGAGTCGGTCTCGCATGTGGAACGGTACGGCACGTCGGGGATGAATAATTACAACGTGGGTGGAGGTGCAGGCGCGGGCCCGTCGTCGTCGGCAGCGGGAGGGAGCGACTATAGCGCGGGGTACGATCCGTACATGCAGCAGCACAACCAGCGCCTGGTCGGCGTCTCCCGCTCGGACGTGAGCCAGCCGCTGTTGCATGGGGAGAGCGGGCCGCCGTCGCCGAGGGCTACTTCCGAGGTACGTGCTCTTTCCCTCCTCACAAGTCGGTCGAGGTGCTTATGGTTCAATTTGTGACTGTGTATAGCCCGACAACGCTGTCGGCCGCGCACTACCGCATGTCCCTGGGGGCACTGTGACGGGCTACAACGAGAAGCGGGCGCGGGCGGGCGAGCTCGGCTCTCTCTCGGGCACCGTGCGCATTGCGCCGCCTGCGTATTCGCGGGACATCGATGATGATCTCGTAGGACAATGATGGATAGGTGACTCTGCTCTCGTTCCTGACCTTTCTGTCCGCCTCAACTATCATTGATTGGTTTTCGATTTCTTGGTTTTCATACCCATACATCCTCCATCCACGTATACACATACACGCGCATATACTCGGCCTACCACAGTGGTACTACCAGGAGTGGACAGTGACGCCAAGTGCACCTTGTGCTTTCGATCTGAATTGTAGCCATAGTAAATATTCTTGCTCTAATCACCCTCACCTGTCTCTATCTCCAATTGCCATTTACAGTACCACCCGCTCATTTTCACGAAACATGTGCGGACATTTATTTCTAACGATCACACTCTTTGCTCTCAGACATACACTGATAGGACTTTGTTTTGCTTTCTTGATTGGCGGATTATGTGTTCTCTTTTGTATGTATATATTGCAAGGTGTCTGTCTGCTCGGCGTCGGGGCCGCATACATACTATCGTTTCTCGTGTGACACTTCTACAGTGTTAAGTCGGCTGGTCCTGCTGATCAAAAAGTTTGTATTCGACACCTCCATGCCACACGACCATGCTCCAGCTCTCAACCCCGCCCACATGCGACACACGTGCGGAAGCAGATCAAAGCAAGTAAGACTACAAAACCATCTCCGAATCCACTCTACTCTAGCTTTGCTTCGCAGCCGCGCCGCTGCCCTCCTCCGCTATTCGCTGCTCGCGGCGGCGCTTGACGTCCCAGTTGTACACGCGGGCAGTGTTAACCTCCATGACGGTGATCTGCTCGCGGAGGAACTCGAGGTCCTCGATCGTTGTGGATAGGCTTGTGTTGGCGAGTTCGAGCTTGGATGTGAGGAGCGCGATCGCGGCGGGGAGTTTGTATGAGAGCATGACATTGGCCTGTGCGTGGACAAGGGGGTGCCGTGGTTGCGAGAAGGTGGCAGATGGGTTGGTCGAGTAAGGGTGTGAGGAGGGGGTGGGGTCAGTGAGGACATCAGAGATGAGGGAAGGAGAGACGCACCCCGAGCCAGAGGTAGACCGTATCCGTGTCCTCGAGTGTTGCTTCGGCGTATAATGTATCGTTCAGCTCGAACGTGGTCGTGAGCTGCTTCTGAGCATCCTCTACGTCGTCTTCCTCATCATCGAGATCATCCTCGTCTTCATCTACCTTGCCTTTACCTTCCTACAGAAAACAGCACCGCGCATACGTTAGACCCCTATGACGCGCGCGAAAAGGACATATACATACGCGTCTGGCATGCAAGAACTCCACCATCCCGAGCGTCTTTTTTATATCAGGGATCTTGTCCTCGAGACCCTGCCGGCGCTGCGTCAGGTTTGACTCCATGTAGCGGTACTTCCTGCACTGCGGGGTCAACATTCAGGATCGCTCCGCCGCGGTGATGACTCCGAGAAAGACAGATGACTGGGGTGAAGCGGAGGCTGGGGAGAACGAGGGGCAGCAAGACGTACGCAATAGCGTCTTGGAACGACTTGATTGTATTCTCGACGGATCCGTCGGTGCCGCCGAGATACTCCTCGACATTGACCTACGGAATGATGAGTGATCTACCCCAGGGATGCGAGAATGGTGAGAGCATACAATGAAGGGAGCTTTTGGGATCCCGCGAGGGTTCTTTTCTTCTTGGAAGACAGACTGCACCGACATCGTTTAGTGTGGTGGTCAATCGTGCAAAGGAGGACCGAAGGGGTTTGGCTGATCGCGTCTCCAAAATGTCATGGCATATGCACCCGTTCGTGCACACGCGGCAAGTCCCGGGCGGAGCGCCAATCGCCCTGTGCCTCTATCAACGCAGATTTTTTCTCCTGTCAGTATTTCTCTTCTTCCCGGATGCCCTCTCCCTCCTCCCTATTTCATTTCGTTGTACGATGTCCCGCCTCATAGTCAAGAATCTTCCAACATACCTCACTCCGGACCGTCTGCGCAAGCACTTTGAGCAAAAGGGCGCGCCTGCGGGTACGATCACCGACGTCAAGGTCTCCTTCAAGCCCGATGGGACGTCGCGCCGCTTCGGCTTCGTAGGCTTCAAGTCCGAAGCCGAAGCTCTTCGGGCCAAGGAGTGGTTCAATCGGACGTACGTCGACTCGACGAGGATCACTGTGGACGTTGTTGATGTACGTTTCTCGCCCCTTTCACTGTCTGCTGCGGTTATCGTAACTTTGGGATGGCAGGGAACGAAAGACGCGCCCGCACCGCGGCCAAACAAGCGTCGACGGCTTGATCCCACTCCTGAGGACGAGAATGCTCCTTCGAAGGCAAATGGCGGAAAGGTCGACAAAAAGAAGAAAGCCAATGTAGCTGCTGGTAAGGAGGCCGAAGCCGGGACTGAGAACTCTCAGCTGGCTGAGTACATGACTCTCATGAAGCCGAAAAAGGGTCCTGCATGGGCCAACGATGCCGAGGTGTCGCATCCTGCGGCGCCTGTACCTTCTTCCTCTACTACTGCTAAGGCTACCTCAGAACAATCGAAGGATTCAGCTGACGCTAACGACCCCCCTGACGAAGAGATGGCGGAACCGTCTCCGCATGTACCTGACGGTGACGAGGCGATCTCCGACATGGAATGGATGCGGCGACGGATGGCCGCCGCTTCTACTCTATCTCAGCCTGCTGAGGACGCTCGCGAGGAGAAAGCATTTTATCAGTCTGAAGACGAGGACGACAACACCCGACAGGACTCCACTAAAGCGACACCGGAGCCAGAGGCTGAAAAGGACCCGGCGAAGGAGACTATTCTTGAGACATCTCGGCTCTTCCTCCGTAATTTGACTTTCTCGTGCACGGAAGAGGAGATACGCGAGCACTTCCAGCCATTCGGCAATATCTCTCAGGTGAGTTTTCGATATCCTTGGTATATCTGGCGAGCTGCCCGTTGCCTGTCTTCGCCTTTCACGATGATAAACTGTATAGGGACATCAGATCCGCTTCGGCGGGATGTTGATCCTTCCGGGAAACCGATAGTAGAAATTTATTCTGATTTCTTGATTTCTTCAACCAAGCATTTCGATCATCGAATCTGACATTGCTTTCTTCATAGGTGCATATCCCACTGGACTCCTCGACGAGGAAGCCAAAAGGCGTCGCCTACGTGACCTTCTCCGAGGGCGCCTCTGCTCTCTCTGCGTACGAGTCTCTCGACAAGAAGTCCTTCCAAGGACGTGTTCTGCACATCCTCCCTGCTGTCGACCGCATTCCGAAGCCCGAGCAGCCAGGAGACGATAAGAAGAGGAGTGTGAAAGATCAAAAGGCCGCGCAGCGCAAGGTGACCGCAGGACGTGAGTTTAACTGGAGCATGCTGTACATGAATGTTCGTCGTACCCCTCACCTGTCGTCGTGTACCTTAGCTCAATACATGCCGTTCTTTCTGCTTCGTTTTGTTATCGACCGTAGAGTGATGCCGTGATGTCGTCCGTTGCGGATCGAATGAACGTGTCCAAGGCCGATATGCTCGACCCCGAGTCAAGCAATGCGGCTGTGAAGATGGCGCTCGCGGAGACGCACGTTATTCAAGAGACCAAGGCGTTCCTTGAGCAGCAAGGGGTTGTCCTCTCCACGTTCGACGACGACTCATCGGGATCGGGGTCGAAACGTGTGAGGCGGTCGGACACGACAATCCTCGTGAAGAACATACCCTATGGGACGAGCGAGGCGCAGATCCGGGAGATGTTCGAGCCGCACGGGCAGCTTGCGCGTGCGATTGTTCCGCCTGCGGGGACGATTGCGGTTGTGGAGTTTCTGCACGCAGACGAGGCGGGGAAAGCGTTCAAAGCTGTCGCGTACCGGAGGCTAGGCAACTCGGTGGTGTATCTCGAGAAGGGGCCGTTGGGGATGCTGCGGGATCCTGACGATGTGCCTTCTTCGTCTGCTCCAGCCACAGCTAGTCTTGCTATCAGTAGAGGAGAAGCGGCGAAGCCCGTGACGATCGATGATCAGGAAGCTGGCGCAGGCGCAGGGGATGAGCCAGCTCTTTCGGCGGGAAGCACGCTGTTCGTGAAGAACCTCTCCTTCGCGACTACGAACACACGCCTCTCGCAAGCGTGTGGTGCCCTCCCCGGGTTCGCTTTCGCGCGCGTGCAGACGAAACCCGATCCGAAGCGCCCTAGCGACCCCACGGCGCGGCTCAGTATGGGTTACGGCTTCGTGGGATTCAAGACCCCCGAGCACGCACGAGGCGCGCTCAAGAGCGTGCAGGGGCTGGTGTTGGATGGGCATGCGCTGAGTGTGAAGTTTGCTGGGCGCGGGCAGGAGGAGGTGGGGCAAGAGGGCAAGGGGGCATCGTCGAAGGGGAGGACGACGAAGATGATCGTGAAGAACGTGCCGTTCGAGGCGAGCAAGAAGGATATCCGCGAGCTCTTTGGGTGCGTTGTGGTCTCTTCGCTACCTCACCTTTGCTTGCTGTTTTCTGACGCGCGGGTGCGTACAACAGTGCACACGGCCAACTCAAGTCCGTTCGGTTGCCCAAGAAATTCGACTCGCGTTCGCGCGGGTTCGCGTTTCTCGAGTTCCTCACGCGGCAGGAGGCCGAGAACGCATACGCCGCTCTGCGCCATACACATTTGCTCGGGCGGCACCTCGTGCTCCAGTGGGCGGAGGAGGACGGCGCGACGGATGTGGACGCGCTCAGGGCCAAGGCCGGGGTGGGCTTTGGCGGTGGCGCGGAGTTGCCGTGGAAGAAGCGCAAGGTGCGGATTGGGGACGACGATGCCGGGGAGGATGGAGTGGACATGTAGTATGGTACTACGTTAGTACGAGATCCATCAACTTCCGTTCCTTCATTTTTCATCTATCAGACGCACTACCTGTAAGGTGCGATGAGTGCTACGCTCAAAAGTACTAGCATTGTCTGTACTATTGGTCTCAAGAGCAATCAAAGCATACATCATCCGACCATGTGGCATATAACTCTAGCTCCTTCGTCGTCACATCAAGTCTTGTCCTCACCATCTCCAGCGTATCCTTGTGAAGCGGAAGTCGAAGGGGAGGGTTGTCCAGTCGCGCCAGCTTATCCATCACCGCAGCCACTTTGTAAGGATCGCCGTTGGAGGAAGCGGGGTCTGCGCAGACCTTGAAGTACTGCGAGCCCGCCATGTTGGGGTCAGTGTAGGCAGGACGCTGTGGAACATGCTTCATATGAGCACCCGTGATCCTTGAGCGGAAGGGACCATGTTCAACGATTGTTGCCTGAGGATGTTCGCATCAGAACACGAAACATTGGATAAAAAAGAATCCGGTTTTAGACCTTGATATTCCAGGCAGGATCGACTTCTTGCACGATTGTCTCGGTTAGGCCTTCTAGAGCTGTGAGGGTGCTTACTGTTAGATAATCAATATTTGCTTCGTAGCAAGTAGCTACGAACCAAATTTACTGAGGCAGATATCTTGTCAGTTGACGAGGAATGCTACGAGAACCGGAATACTTACGTTGCTGTATAATACCCAAGACCCGGCCTAGCGTGGACACCGAGACAAGACGAGACTTGTATTAGGCGTCCTCCGATCGGCTTGTTCACCTCCCGAAAGAATTTGAGTGCTTCCCGAGTAACATAGGAGGCGCCCCAGAAGTTGGTTTCAAACATCTTTTGTGCGTTACCCTCGTCCATCGACTCGACCTTTCCCCAGGTCATGATCCCAGCATTGTTGTACACAACGTCAAGTTGACCAAAAACTTCTTTTACCTTGACGAAGGCCTCCTCGACATCAGACTTCTGACTGACATCGAGCTTGAGGATAAGCAGTCTTTCAGAGGGATAGATCGCTGCCAAATCCGCAAGAACGTCAGGCTGACGAAGTGTCGCAATGGCAATGTCACCGTTTTGAAGCACAAAGTCGGTCATGGCACGTCCTAAGCCCGACGATGCACCCGTAACTGCCCGTGAAGAGCAATGAGCACTTGTAAAGTATGAGAAAGGGAAAAGCTCACTGAGCCAGATCTTAGTGTTCCCAGAGCTCATGGTGGCTATAGAGGCGATAGGAGAGTGCTACCTCGTAGCTCGAGCGGACCTCTTTTCAATATTTATTGAATGTCCTTCCCCGCCTTCTTATTAAATGCTATTGCGGCGATCTCGAGTAGTCACCCACATCTTCCACGCAGCAAATGCTTCTGATAGGAAAAATTTCCACTGACCGCGCGATTGAACTGATCGAGCAGATACGCCACGATCTGTCATCGTAACGTCCGTAAATATTAGCCGAGAGAAGGTGCAAGCGCCTACAAAATTGTTACACATGGAGTCTTTCAATTCCAGAAATATAGTGCGATACGAGTTACCATGATTTTGAAACATCTATAAAGCCAGTGGAAATCCATATTATGAGTCTAACTTGAGCGAATAGTACCAATAATCAGGGTGTCCAAGGTTGTTTGACCGTGGATATATTTTCTTGGTCTACAAATAAGGCTAGTGTCGTGTAGGCACAAGCAGAGGTGATTGATCAGACGCAACACCTGTTGTCCGAGTCGGCAGGGCGGGGTGTAGGCTGTCAAACACCTTTAAACACCTTTGAAAGTCGAGTAGGCGAACACATTAGGGGTTCCGGTGAGCGCTTGAGCGGAGATACGATGATGACAAGGCGAAGCTGGTGAACGACGTAGTGACAACAGCGAACAATTTCAAATTGATGACCATCACCAACATTTTCCACGACTGAGAAGCGTGCACACTACATACTATTTCTATGATGATTTTGTCCATGATTCATTCGATAGTGGGTTGGTAAATACGAGATTTACTCTAGGTTAGGCATAACCTACCTTCGTAGTACGTACATGTGCTAGCATTCCCTGCACTGTACATGTCTAGAGGCTAGAAGCAGACATCGTCCGACCACGAGGCGTATTTCTCGAGTTCCCTCGTCGTCACATCAAGCTTGTTCCTCACCAAACCCAGCGAGAATTTATGAAGGGGGAGTCGAAGAGGGGGATCGTCCATTCGCGCAATCTTATCCATCGCCACTGCTGCTTTGTATGGATCACCATCGGAGAATTCGTCGTCTGCGCAGACATTGAAGAAATGCTGCCCTGTCATGTTTGGGTGGGCATAGGCAGGGTGTGAGGGAACGGATTTGATATGGCTGCCCATTATCTTTGAGCGGAAGGGACCGTGTTCTACGATTGTGGCCTGAAATTGAGTGTCCAATCAGAATGAGCGTACAACGCCAGAGGCCAGAAAACTCGAGACCTTGATGTTCCAGGAAGGATCGACTTCCTCCACGATTGCCTCAGTTAGGCCTTCGAGAGCTGCGGCAGTGGTGGTTTTAGTAAAAAAAAAATATGGGCGCAGCAGAGAGCATTAGCTCACCGAATTTGCTGAAATAGATGTTTTGTCAATTGCCAATGAACTCTAAGAGCACTGCTTCACGTACGTTGCAGAGTAGTATCCAAAACCAGGCTTTGCTTGAATGCCGACACAGGACGAGACCTGTATCAGGCGTCCTCCGGCAGGTTTGTTCACCTCCCGAAAGAACGCCAGCGCCCCCCGGGTAACGTAGGATGCGCCCCAGAAGTTGGTTTCAAATATCTTGCGTGCGCTATCCTCATCCATAGACTCGACTTCTCCCCAGGCCAATATCCCGGCGTTGCTGTATACAACGTCCAGGCGACCAAAAACCTCGCGTATTTTGGCGAAGACCGTCTCGACTTCGACCTTGTGAGTGACGTCCAGGCTGAGAACGAGCAGTTTATCCGGAGGATAGAGCGCGGTCAAATCAGCGAGAACATCGGGTTGACGAAGGGTTGCAACGGCGACGTCACCGTTGTTGAGGACAAATTCAGTCATAGCGCGCCCTAGACCAGAGGACGCGCCGGTTACTATGTATAATAATGTGAGCAATTTGTAGGACCAGGAATGATTAATGATGGAGAAGCGCACTGAGCCAGATCTTCGCGTCGCCAGAGCTCATGGTGGTTCAAGATATAATGAGGGACCATTATGAGGTAGTAGAGCAAGGCACATTATAACTTTGAACGACTCCCGTTCTACCCCCATCGAAGTATATCCCAACTTCAGACGAAGGACACCCCATGCTAAACTCTGATAAGCCAAATATCCCCAACACAATACTACTAAGGCGATGAACCGAGTTCCGCAAAAACGCTGTTCCCGAAATACTCTCCAATGCTACCTATTCCGCTAGGCACGTAGAGCGCCGGCATTACGCTTTCAGTACGTCATGGACCACTTTTACTTACAGCGACAACAAAGAACACATGCTTTCCGGAAGTCTCTGATGAGAAGAGGTGTGCCACTGATGCGCCACGACCTGTCAGCAGGACATTTACCAACCGTCAACTGAGTTGAGGCGCGATGAATTATACCTTGTGCTTACACGCGAAGTTTTGGGCTATAGACATACCATAATGTCGGAAGCCTGGGAAGATGGATCAGGCCAAAGAGCTCCGCGGAGTGACCATGTATAACATAATATCTATAAATCCAGGTCGGGGATCTAATATGAACAAACGCCAATCTACAGGATGCCCGATCATAAATACGTGTTTTTTCAATCTATAGGTAAGGAGGGCCAAGAGCTGCAGGGGAGGAAACATAGGTTTAGTCACCGTTTCGGAGAAGAAGTAGAAGCCTAAACGCACCCTGGCGGAACACGCCCAAAGTGAACTCGACGACGAGGAGCAGGACACCGCCTCCGGGCGCGAGACGGAGGACCTTGGGCAGGAAGCCCTTGTACAGTGCCGCGGGTCCTTCTTCGCGCATGACGGTCATGAGCCTGAACACAGAATTTTGGTCAATGCGCGAGACATGTGGAGCATGGATGATTGCCAGAAGAGGGGGATGTGGATACGTACGCAGGGTAGGTCCAGTTGTATTTGGGAACGACGCCGGGGACCTTGCTAGCGCCTTGTATGCGGGACTTGACGACGTCGAAGCTATGCGACGCGTGTGTCAGACCATGGAGAAACGAGACGAGAGCGAGTGAAAGAGGCTTACGGAGTGTTGACGAGGGTGCCGACGAAGCCACCAACGCTACCCGAGATGAAGTTGTTGAGCAGTTGGGCTTGCGGCGTCTACGGATGCACGTGTAAGCGTTAGTTGAGAGAGAGAGAGGAGACAGAGGAGGACACAGTGAACGCACCTCAGCCTTGGGCATCATCGCCTTGACCTGGTAGATACACCCAAAGTATCCTCCGTTCCACCAAAAATGCCGCCAGAACGTCGCCTCCATGCCGTTGTACAGACCAAGCACACCCTCCTTGCGGATGACCGTCTTCACGACGTCCATCGGGCCCGCGAACGTGCTCGCCTTGTCTTGCAGCCTGTCGCACATCGTTGGTCAGCAGCTTGCAGAGTCATGCCAGGTAGTGACAGGGAAAGAGGCAGGGAAGGAAATGAACGCTCACTTGATCTTGACGAGCTCGAAAGGAACGACGACGAAAGACTCGGTAGCGCCCGCGCTACAGCCGGTGAGGATCGAGAGCTGCGGCGTCATCTTGCTCTCGCCCGTGAGATTCATGTACGTCTTGCCCCAGAAGTCGTTGGCGGCGCTGTTGCGGGCGTAAGTCAGCACGTCAATGATGTCAGGTTGAGTCGCAGAAGCGGAACGTCACGCTTGCGTGCGGAGTTATGTGCGGGACATGGCGGGCGAAACTCACAATTTGGTGGCGCGCTTGGGGGCTTCGAGGAGGAGAGGAGGGACGAGACCTTGGGCGGGGAATAGTTTAGTAGGATGTATTGGTTTGAGGGAAGGGGAAGAGGTCCTCACCTCTGTAGAGGCGGCCAAAACTGTGCACACGAACATATATGCGTCAGATAAAGCTACACGGACGAGGAAGCAAGACGACGCACCCTTCCTCCTTTATTATCGACTGCAGCGTGCCAACCATGCCATGCTTGCCCTTTCCCGTCTCCAGCTGCATACGCGTCTTGACCTTGTTGCATAGCAGTTAACACCGACATGAACGGGTCAAAGAAGGGTGGATAGACATACGACATCTAGATAGACGCTCAGCTTACGAACGAAACTTGAGATAGAAAGTGTCAACTTACCGAGGGGGTAGAAAGTGAGAATCTCAGACACGCCAGCGATAGCGCCCGCCGCGAAGTTGGCGATGAACGGAAGGGCTAGAGAAAGTGCCCGCGTGAGCGTGTACGGAAAATGGGCCGTGCATGCGCCCTGACTGGGAGATCTTTAGGACTCACGTTTCCTCTGATCGGTGGCCATTTTATTATGGATTGTTTTTGGGGTGTTAGTTTAAGGTGAGTGGGGAGGTGAGAAGGAGTGTCAAGAAAAGAGAAAGAGTCTAAAGAAAAGGCGAGGAACGGATCTAACAGCGGCGAGCGACTATTGGACTTGTGATCGGAAGTGCTCGGGCGTCCCGTCCGGGGTAATCCTGTCACGCTCTGCTGTTATGCATGTCACATTCTTGGATGGTTTCTCCGACGTGACGCCCTTGTGACGTCGGAGAACCGTGACAGGTGCAAAGTGTATCTGGGCCTTGTGTGCTCACTGACTGTCGCCGTCGTTCAGCGCGACGCCTTATGCCGCCATGGTCTACATCGCCTCCTGGCAAGAATTTCAGGAGGCTGCCGAGGACCTCTACACCAAGGCACCCAACACTGTACGCATCGATCGCACGATTTCGATTTGCTGTGCTCTCATTGTTCTTCATGCTAATACTTTCTCGTCTCTAGACACGCTACTGCGTCAAGTTTCGATCGTCAGAGGGAAAGCTGGTTTTGAAGATCACAGATAACACAAAAGTGCGTCATTATCTCCCCGGCTTCCCTCGGGATAAACCCGCCACTCTATCATGTCCTCGCCGGTCGAGTCGAGGCTGACACGCCCACATCGCGATCTCCAGTGCATCAAGTTCAAAACATATTCATCCATCTTCCTCAATCGGTTCGAGGCACTCAACCTTTCCCTCATGCAAAAGATGCAGAACAAGCGCGCACCACCACCACCAACACTTGCTGCTGCTGCGTCCGCGTCCGACGCGATTGCGAAGGACACCGCCCTAGATACACCACGAGCCACTACCCCTTCTGTTGTACCGACCCCGTCCGGCCCCGCTTCAGGCGGCGTGAAGAAAAAGAAACCCAAAAAGAAAAAGTAGCGGACGGGCGCTTCTGCGCTCGTGCCTACGTCAGAAGAGGGACGGAGCGGAGGGGAAGGCGGTGGGATGTGGGCACCGGGAGCGTGGATGGGGATTAGGCATGGCTGTACGAAGTTGGTATGTTTGTTTTTTCATTACATGGCGATGACATGGCGATCGGTTGGCGCGGGGCTGCGCTGCGCTGGCCTCGCGATTGCCCTAGCTTGCATGCTTTGTCGGTTGCCTGGCGGATTTGTGCGTTAACACCTCCGATTGATGTGTTTCCAGGTGCTCGGAAATGTGCAATAATGCGATAGTTCAGGGCGACAGCCCCCCGCCGCCAGATCTCCCCTCTCAGCTTGACTTGATTTAGTGTGCGACAGCTACTCGGATGGCCGGCACCTGGGACCGGAATTGCTCTGGCAGTCGGTCGCGAAGGGTTCGGTGGTACGCACTTAACGCACTATCATTGGAAGTGGAAGTGACAGCACCCTTGTATTGCGTGCGTCTGTGCCTCCACAAGGAGGCGTCTTCAAAATTGTTCTCGCCTCCGTGGCCGTCGCGGCTTAGAGCGACGACCTATCAGGAATATATCTTGAATCTTGCAAAAACTTTTGACACTTGAGTGGACGGTTTAGACTCCCTTCTTTCATTGTGTCCACCTGTCCGATTTGTCCGAATGAGAAGGACGGCTGATAAACATAGGTTCATTGAATGCCTGGCGGGCTTAGCTTGAACAATCATCCCCTACACACTCCGTACACATGGTCATGCTCCCTTGCCAAAAAAGTCTCCTGATCCCCGTCTGATTGTTCGCCTCCTTCGCGGGAGCGAGCTCTCTGAGTGTCAATTGTGTTTCGGAGCCCCAAAATTTCGTCCAGAGCCTCGAGGACGTGGATCCTGCTGACACGGAACGAAAGCACTAGGTTCACAGAGGTGTGATGCGGTGCAGCGGACGTGCGGCTCTCATGACCGGGCAGGCGTCAACGCAGATCTCCATGCTTCGCGGCGTGCATCGTTCTCCTAGTGGAACGTCAGCGGACGCAAGCCGCGAGCCATACAGGTCAATTAAGGCGTTTGCGTTATCAAGCTCTCACTTGGCGTCGTGCTCATTACCACTCGAGCTTCTCAGGCCGATGTATCTTGGACCGACATGAGGCTTGGGGTACCTAGTCATTTGGCAGTCTCCGGCATGCGGGGCCGTGTAAGCCCTGTTCGACGGAATGTTTGTCATCGCTCTCTCATGCTAGTCACAGTTATGTGTCCATTGAATCTTGATATCGATAGCTGCGTGGCATCAAAGTCCTCGTTCTCCTCGCAAAAAAATCTTGTACATGTACCACCTTGCACTTAGTCAGCGGTGCCGATCCAAACCGGCTGTTCAACGACATACCGGGGGTGCTCGCTATGATTATCACTATCACTGTGACCCTGAGCTGCTGGCGGGCGCTTAATGTGAGGCTGTGCTTGTGGGTGCGATGCTGATATGATGACATGGCTAAATATAAGTCGCGTGGGGATGACGGATTCTCGACGGGTCACATGCTGGTCACCCGTCTGCATGGCTCGCGCTGTTCTCCCCGTCCAACACCGTCGACTCTCCCATCCACCCAGGCCATCTAGAGCACCGGCATGGGATGCTAGATTGAATTTGTATACTAGATCTTTGATCATCTTGCGAGCGTCTGCTCAACCGCCAGCTCTATCAGAATCTTCTGACAGCGACTGACGCGGTCCATCCTCTTGGCACGCCTGCGACGACTCGGATCCAAATCTGCATCTATACAGCTCACTCTACTCTTCGAATCGCAATAGGCATCCGAGGTATGACCACCTTGTATTATGTCAAGGGCCGCAATCTATCCTATTCTAGCGCTTACGATTCAGCTTCCAGAAGCTCTATCATAGATTCACATGGCTCTCCGAAGGTATACGACATCCATTGACGGAACTATCCCGGCGCCTGCGCTCGTGTACAGCGATGAGGAGGTGCTGGCGTCGCAGGACAATGTCGGGATCTATGACGGGTGAGTACAGTGTCCTGTCCTCTCCCTTGTTCGCTTCCCAGCCCATGCCCATCCGTTCCACCTCAGCCTTCCGATGTATCACTTTCTTCGAAGGTTTACGACTATATGCGTTTTTTTACGTATACTTGACGTCATTGTATCACTTGTCCGACGAACCATTCCCAGTGCTTATCGCAATTGTAAAGCCTGCAGAAAGCGCCTGACCACCAGAACGGCACGATCCACGTAACATCTCACCGCCTCTTCTTCGTCCACGCTTCCAGACCCCATGCACTCTCCTTCGCGATGGACCTCGCGCACATCGTCCGAACAGAATCCTACTCAGGCCTCTTCTCGTCCTCGCCCAAGGTCACGCTCATCCTCGACCCCGATACAGCCTACGACGATATCACGTCGATATCCGCATCAACATCTACTCTAGACATCGCAGGCAATGTCGGGGTATCTGATCAGGTAAACTTCGCGTCCTGGACGTGCGAAGTATGCAATCATCGTAACCCGCCCGGGCTCAGCCCGACAGCCGCAAAAGTATGCGCGCTGTGCGGCGTCCCGCGGAGCGCTGTCCCATCTTCCAGTTCGATATCGAGTTCCCTGCCATCTTCGAGCTCTCTGCCCACCTCTGTTCTCTCGACGCGAACTGCCACGCCCGATATACCCGTGAAGGGAACCACGAGCGAGATCACGTGTCCGGCGTGCACGTTTCTCAATGTACCCTCGCGGACGATGTGCGAGATATGCGGTACACCTCTGCCAATATCTACGGCCGGTGCGAGTGCGAAGAGTGCACCGGTCTCAAGGCCCGTCACGCCGTCTGGAGGTGGCCCGAACGCGAACGAATCATTGATCAAAATCAGCTTTAGGAAGGGAGGGGATAAAGCGTTTTATGCGATTTTGAGGCGGTCGTTGAAGGCGCAGGCTTGGGAAGTGCGTTATTGTATATTCATTCCCTTAAATGGAGTGATGATTAACGTGTATGATCTGGCAGGGAAGGCGAATAGGAGCTGGTACGCCTAAGGGCGGACCAGGTTCCGGTCAGGGCACAACAATGGCAGGTGGTACGGCTGACACGGGGGCACCGCGACGCTTGGGAATCGGTACGTGTGCATACTATTTTCTGGGTTTGACGGACGCCTTGAAGCAATGGCTCAACTCTGCTTAATTATTTTCTCGCACCTAGGGATAGACGCTATCCTACGAAACGTAGAAACATCCGCTCAAAATACCGAGGACGACCTGAACGACGCATTCAAGGACCTCGATGCCCTCATGATCAAGGCAAAAGATCTCGTACAGCTCGCAGAGGAGCTCAACGAGAAGCTCACGACGTCATCAAGCACCACTACGGAGAAGTTTAGGACGGACACCGTTCCTTCATTTGTTTCTTCTGCAGCTTCGTCTACTGTGTCTGCAGGATCGAGTAGATATGAGCAGTTCACGGCGACGACGCTCGTACCATCTACTGAGCCCGAAGAGGCTACATTCATCCGCTCTTCTCTGTCACAACTTGGGCTGCAGATGGCCAATGCTCCTATTACGGCAGACATGATCAAAGACGAGCGGAGATGGGTGGAGGAGCTCGCCCGGGAGCTCGCACAGGTTTTGCAGGGCTCCCCAAACGATTTTGGGAGATCCCGCCCTGGAAAAGCGGGACCAGGGTCAGGGGTGGGTATTATGAAGCGACGGGGTATTGTCGCGCTCGACGAGGTCTGGGGAGGATGGAATCGCGCGAGGGGCGTGTGTGAGTACACCTCTCCTTCGAGGCTAAAGTGCCTGAAAACTCAATTGCCTCGGATTAATTATTATCACAGCTCTCATCCCGCCGTCCACATTCCTGCAAGCCCTCCCGCACCTCGTGACGTACACCTCACCGCCCATCCAGACGCGTACGTTCAAGTCCGGCCTGATGGCGCTTCACACGCCGCCGTACACGCACACCGCGTTCGCCGCGCGCCTTGCGGGCTACCTTACTATCTTCGACGGAATGAACACGCCGCAAGTCGCGGAGGAAGAAGGCGTCGCCGTGGGCCTCGCGGCGGAAATGGTCGACGCCGTCGAGCAGGATGGCACGATATGCAGGGACGATCTTGCATGTGCGATCGTGGGTGGCGGGGCGGGTGGCGCGGGCGGGGCAGGCGTGGATGTGCGGTGGGTGATGAATGAGTGGGAGGGCTATCAGTGGGATGGGCAGGAGTAGCGGTGCGTTCTGTGCAGTTTCCACTGTTTTTTTTGTGTTTGCTCTTCATAGAAGGGGATGGACGATGCATTTTCCTCTTTCAAATTTTCATTTCTTCTATTACCTCTTCAACAACGTATATGCTGCTGTGTGTCTATATCGCTCCATTTTATACCAGTGTTTCCACCAATTCTCCAGACAGCTTGTCGCGATTTTTACTGTATTTGAGACCGTGGACTCGCCTTCGACTATGCGATGCCTCGGGCTGGAAACTTCGAGTCCAAGCTCGGAGTTATGATCAGCCACCAATGATCACCATCATCGCCGTGTTGTCATCATCAGCATCAAGCCTCATGGCCGTGCAAAAGGCGTCTGCGCAAGGGCTGATTTCGTTTGATTACTATCCTGGCATTTTCCGGCTGGCGGTGATCTGAGCTCCAATCTAATCGTATGCAGATGCGCAGAGATGCACAGCCATGCACTTGGGCCCTAAACTCCACGCTCCGGAGGTTCATTCGACTGCAGATGCCATGATGACGTCCAAAATGAATGAGCGGTCTCTTCACCTGAGCCCACCAACACTGATGTGGCATGGTCGCCGCACCCGGGCCTGCAGCAGGCGCACTACCGGCAGAACGGCAGCAGCCTAGCGCATGCGTAGCGTTATTCATAGGCAGCCCACCCAAATTGCGGACTGAATATGAATAGTGCCGAAGCTCAGTGCGTCAAGGGTGCAGGTGGACTTTTTGTGTCTCTGGGCTCACACGCGCTGCGAGGCGCAGTTGCGGTTCTGCGCGTTCCCATACATGCACCGCCAAGCCAGCGTGACGAGCCTAACTTTAACCTATGTTGGACGGCGTTCTGTGTGCCAGGGCGCTTTATGTTGACGCCCTGAACAGGTCCTCGGGACGCTGGGGTAAGCTTGAGCGCGGGGGAGGTTTGTCATTATCACGACCTCGGGCTCGGGCAAAATTGAAAAGTCACGGGAGTGCTTGTGGAAAACCATAGCAGTGCTCGAAGATCGGTAAGATGTTAGAAAATGTTAGTCAGGCTTCGGCGTGACTTCTGCCAGATAAGGATTTGTCGACGGTCTTCGATCTCTTCTAAATATCGAAGCTATCTGTAGATACCGGATGTCATCATGGTTACCGCTGACGACCCTAGATTTTGCCTGACTATCATTACGTGCTTCTCCCGCTTCGACGCCCGCCTTCTTTCCTCAAAAAGATCCAAGGGGTGTTGAACCGAGCCGAAAAGAAGGAGTGATGTCAGTACTGAATACATACGCTCCTTGCGTGGACTCATCAGAATCCATCTTGAAGCATCCGCACGCTGGCTGCGGCCCACGAATGTGGGACTGTAGGTGCACCTGCCCATCATAGCCGAGGCGCCCCCTGGGAGATCTAGGATGAGGTGGTCTTATTATGATACCAGGAGATGACCGGTGTTGTGATTGTTATAATTATCGCTGGCATAGTGGACGAACGTAAATGCACCCATACAGTACATATATTTACACCGCCAACGCAAGGAATGAATCGATGCGTCAATGTCGATGAATTCGCATGGCGGAAATAGCGTATCGTGTCGTTCTCCTTCGCCACTAGAACTGGAGTCCAATATTTTTGGAAGCGCAGCTTAATTCCAGATCCAACCCGTTCTCACAGGAGGAAGCTCAAAAACACTTTACTGTCTTCGTGCTCTTGCATTCGGAATTCGTAGGCAATTCGTATGTTTTGTTCGTCAGCCTGCATCGAAGTCATGTGCCCTTTATTGCGCTCTCCACGGGCTGACTACGCAGTTCATGTATCGTACGTTGTTTCTTGCAACCAACAGCTTCGGCCGTATCACGCCAGGCTGCCACGAGGGTCGCGCGAAGTCGCTTTTCCGGTTCATTAGCGAGTTTATCTTTCAGCCATGCCTTCGCGTCGATAGGTCGAATGACTGCTTCTTAGCCGACACCGTCGGCAGAACGCGAGCGCCGCGCGAATTCAATCATCTAGGACATGCACAACGTGACATCGTCCACCCAAGAAGTTATACTGACTCATACAGCGATTCCTAAACGTCTCGCTTAATCATGACGTGCATGACAATTGATGTCAGTCAATGATCACTCGGTGTATTGCTCGGTCGGCATTTGCACGCACCGATACCTACCGATGTCTCCTCGATCATCGTGATCGTGGTCAGTCAATGTATTCAACTCCCTACATTATCGCAGGTACGGCACCAGACAGGTACAGCGGCCGTCCCGCTCGCTATACAGCCCAACTTCCCAGCGCCCTTTTCCTCATTCTCAGTAATCTCATCTGGGCTTCCCCGCTCCCCCGGGCCGCTCCTTCGAGTGGCGTGCACTCTGCGCACTGCCTCATTCGGCCAGTGGACGGTTTATGGTCGGTGCGGCCCCGTCCTCGCCGGCGTACACGTACTTAGGCACACGCGCCATAATGCCTTCGCAGATCCTCCGAAGCAAGTGCAATCTTATCGCGCCATATTAGCTCTGGGATAACTTCGGATGGCTGAGCCGGTCCTTTTCAGTCGGCGACAGCGAGCGAGGATTAGTTCTGATTGGTGGCGTCGTTGGGCGTGTCTCGTGACTCGTGACGTCGAATTGGGAGGCGCCGGTGCTATACACGACAGCCCTCCGCCCCCGTCGGAGGGAAGAGCGTGGAGGACTGATCCATGTGTAGATCCATGAAAAAGTGGTGATCCATATTAATCGCTATGAAGGTAAAATACCGAAGGTTAGAGTTTGGCTCGAAAGATGGCGGACACCTGCACCGAGGACTGCGACTTCTTTTCTGGTTGGTTTGCTGGAGGAGATGTGGCACTCCAAAGTGATGCTCGCGCCGGACTTCCGGTTGGATGCGGCGCGAACAACGGATGGTGGATGAAGATATGTTTTGTTGTTGTACTCTTCTTCTCTCCTTCGAGAGGCTTGAAACAAATGATGAGCACAGAACTGATGGTATGCACGTAAAATGATAAAAGTAATACCTGTGATCCCGTACGTCGCATCTATCATTGCTGACTTTCAAGTCCGAGGCGTGCACTTCCACAACTTCGAACGCTTCATAAAACAGGCACACAGCGAAGCAGAGTGCGAGCCTTCCAAAATGCGTCTTGTACTAGACTCATCAGTGTGATCTTGAGCACGAAAATGGGCAGGCCTGGTGCAGGCTCACACCTCGTTTGCTGTGGTTGTGTCATTCGTACACGTCGTTCGTGCTGTAAGAAGTCATCCGTTAATACCTCTTCGAGGAAAGACCCTTTTGGAGTGCGAAGACACACTAAACAGTCAGTGACAGCTGGCGCCGGCATCTAGAAAACAACGATGCCATAGTACCGCTTCAATTGAAGAACCAGCTGTGGCGTTCGTCTTCTTATTCAGGAAGTTCAACATCGGACTCGACACCCATATAAACATAGGTTGTATACGTTAGCGGGATGCTTCCTGTGTCAAATAGTATACAGATCAACATTGATTACAACGGTAAACAGGACTAACCGTACTCTCGCATGTGAGCAAAACCGGAATGCTGTACAGCACGAGACCGGTGGTGAAAGTGGGTGAACGTTCTCAAGTTTCGCGGGTACCCCAAAGTAGTATGTGGTTGCGAGCGCGGTGCCTCGGAATCTCTCCCTCGAGCGCAAACATAGTCACCACGTACATACGATGTCGTTGCCGACGTCGGGCGCTTAAAATCGTCACCATCGTCCTTGTACTCTTTACCGCCGGAACAACGATTGTCGTTTCGAAAGCTCAAACAAGCCGATCGTCACTCAGATGAGCGGCACGACACGTCCCGACGAGGACTCGGATCGCGTTCGCCCACAACTAGTAAGAGCCTTTGACTCGTACGGCGATGATCGGAACCACGTTTTTGTGTTTTAGATGCGGGGGCTTGCGTGCATGGGGCTGGGGCAAACGGACGGAGAGGCGGAGGCGACCCTAGAGTGTAGCGTGGCCTGAGATCAAATTGACGGAGCAGAAACCCAAGAACGCCGTGCAAAGCCGTCCCGGTCGTCGAGAAGAAAGCCAATGGGTGAGGCGGAGTGGAAGCAATAGCGCGCCAATTATAGCCTCCGCGGTAACACTTTTCGGAACCAATCGGCGGATTCATCCTCTCAATTGACGTTGCTCTCGGAGGCTTGCGGCTAGATCTGTCCCGTTCGGCGGTAGGGCCACTGAGGGTCTGGTCGTCAATCTCGGCGAGATTCATGATGGATGGGCCTGTGCGTGGGTGATAAGGGGTGATATGATGATCCTCGTTCGCTGAAGAGATGCGCGCTCGTGGAGAAAGCAAGAAACGGATTAGGTTGCCTATCAAGACGCTGGCTCCGTCTCCAGCTGGCTGCCGTGCCGACCAGGATCATTTGGGGGCCGTCTTCCGATGCCGAGTCCGCTAGTGCATACATGCTACATGCTTTGCTTTCACTGGTTTGGTGCCTCCCGGAATGAGTAGCACAAGTGGCATTCGGAAGTGGGCGGGTCAAGATGATGGATGAGTTCGAGCGAAGGGCGCAGGCGCAATTGAGGTATCTGGCAACGTGAGGCGGTATCCAGCGAGAACGAGAGCGAGTTGCGAAAGCGAATGCAGCAAATCGCGTATACTTTCGGCGAGGTAACCTCCGGTGCATATGACAGATGTCAATATTAACCAATAGAGGGCAAAAAAGCAGTTTGCTGGACTCGGAAGCAAGGGGGAGGACAGCTGTGTGGAAAGCTGTACAGGAAGGGATCGGGTGTGGATCTGAGTGAAAATGTATGCGATCGAGGAGATCAAGGCGGTTACGTTGAATCGGACATTCAGAGGCTTACAGTAGCCGAGACTACGATTAAGGTTATGGGTGCACAGGCACAACTCTTCTTACGATCCCGCCGTGGACCCAGGAGGTCCATGTCCCCGTGATTCGCGATGCAAAATATTCAAATCTGGTCATCATGTATTTCTGGAGAACTCAGAATTCCTTCGTCGACCTACCAGTTTACCGGGAACATCCCGACGTCTGCTCATCCTCCAAATCCTTCATATAGCCCCCTCTCGTCCAAACATATGCTTTCCGACAAGTACTGACCTCCTCGTCCCCCCTCTCCCTCTCCCTCCACCCCCTCTCCCTTTCCGTCCCTCACTGCGGCTGTGTTGCGCTCATAACAGCCTCGTCTATTACATTCCCCCCCTCGCTAGGACATTCCATCATGTCAGTATCCTCTCACCACTCGTTGCTCAAATACTCATCCCTCCCCCACTCGTAGCCCTTTCTGTGCCATGTACGACTTCTACTCTCAGCGCTCTCTCAACCACCCTTCTTCTGCTTCCTCCTCTTCTCGTGCATCCTCACCCCTCTCGGACGTCAGCCTCTCTCAGCATGTTCCGGACTACCTCCCCCTAGGCTCACAAGATACCTCGTATTCGCATATGGACGCCACGTTAGTGACACAACCCAGTCCAGATTCGAATCCCCATCTTAACTCTGGCATCCTTTCATCTAGCTATCTTCCGCATCATACCACCATGGCGGACTTGCCATCACATAGCACCAACGAGTCGGCGCATACATTCAGCCGACCACTCCTTCCTGACGAGAAGGACAAGCTCGTCACCCTTGACAGGCTCAGGCTTTTCCTCGCTACGGCCCCACTCAAGTGGTCGTCACCGTCGCATGATGACTTCGAGCTGGGGACATCCACCCAGATACCCTCTCCTCCCAAAGCTCCGTCGTCACATCCGGCCATGAAGCGCTTCTCGCTCCCGCATCCCGTCGGGGAGCAGATCTCTTGCGTGTTGTGGTCGGGGAGGTACTACATCACGGGCACAGACATCGTCCGTGCTCTCGTGTTCAGGTTCGACGCCTTCGGACGGCCTGTCAAGAACATGAAAAAGTTTGAAGAGGGCGTCTTTAGCGATCTTCGCAATCTCAAGCCAGGCATGGACGCGTCTCTCGAGGAGCCCAAGGTGAGCGCTTCAGCCTGCACCCCACGATCGCGTCGGTTATCATCTGAGCTACGCCGTCTCGCTAATCACGGCGTTGTTCAGTCCCCGTTTCTTGATTTGCTGTTCAAATATCAGTGCATTCGCACGCAAAAGAAGCAAAAAGTGTTCTTCTGGTGCGTTCATACCGTACCTTTTAGACTTTCCTCTTCTGATCAATGTTTTTTCCTATTGATTTTCCCGTCCTCTTCCCGCCCTGTCCCCCTGTTGCAATCGCGACATGCTATCTATGTCCATATTCTCTCTGCGTCTGCAGGCAATCAGTGCCCCACGACCGCCTCTTCCTGGACGCGCTCGAGCGCGACCTCAAGCGAGAAAAATCTGGCCTGGAGCCAACCTCCGTGGTCGCCGGCGAACCTGCCCTCTCATTTACGTATGACTCACAGCGGAGCTTGTACGAGCAGTATAGCAAGAACCGCAACGACAGCGTTGACTCTTCCACCGGTTCTGACCAACGTAGATCCCCAGCTGATAGGGACAGGGACAGTCCCGTCCCTGCAGCGATCGCGGGGCAGGTCTCGGCGCTCCCTGGCGTCCCTGGCCACAGTCATGGGTTCGTCGCGCTTCCGTCTGGCTCTTCTCCCTCACGTGCGGGGCACCACCACCACCAAGCTTCTTCCGCCGCACAGAACGGGATCGCGTCATCGATTCTGCAGAGCTACGTGTTCGAAGGAAATCCGACGTATAAGCAGCGGCGCAAGCGGCCGACGACGGCAACCAACCATGGCCATGGGCTCAGCAAGCCGTTTCCGGGCGCCGCCGCCACTGGGCTCTCAGCAGGAACAGGGTACGAAGATGGGCTCGGCGACCGTGGTGAAGGTGCTTCTTCCGCCGGTAGTCGATCGTCGTTCGATATGGGCATGGGGTATGGGCCTTCTGATAGGTCCATGACCGCCGCAGATATGTTCGTTTCGCAGGCCAGGGGAGAGCAGGACATGAACGTGCGTCGGACCCGCGAGCGAGTGATGCATGCTCAGCGTGATGCCTTCGCGAAGGCGGAGTCGCTCGGGTACTCTGGCGCCCAGCTCGTTTCCTCTGGTCCGGGATCGGCTTCTGGAGACGATTCTAGTGCGCACTCGCGCTCGTCGTCTGCGGCTTCGATGGGTGGCGGCGTCAGCAAGGTGTATGTCTGCCCCGTGTTCCAATGTGGGCGCCTGTTCAGGCAGCCCGAGTTCCTCCAGCAACATGCCACCCGCTCCCACGGAACCATCCCTTCCCACTCCAACACATCGGAGACGTCTGTTGCTAGCCAGCAGCAGCAGGGCGATCAGCTCAACCTCGGCCTTGCCGCCTTTGCATCTGATCCTACTCTTCCTCATGGCGTCGGTGCCGGATCTGCCAACGGGGTCTATTCCGACATCGCAGGAGATCTGAGAAGAAACATTGAGCAGCATGCGGTCCTAGTAGATGGAACGCTCCAGGACGTGCTTGGCGATGAAGAGGGAGTCGTAACCATCATGAGCGACTCCAGGCATCCGCAGCGGTCCGCGACTGCCCCTACATCCGGCGTCGACTACACTGCTGGATATCCCATGGCGGGCCTGCTCACGGGCACCCAGCCCGACTATGCGTACGGCATGGGAACGAGCATGGGCGGGATGGACATGGACATGAACATGGACGGCCTCTCTGCCTCGGGTATGCCCATGCCCTCTGCATACGAGACGACCAGCAGCAGCAACGGCGCGCCAATCACAGGCCCCTCGTTCGTGGACGAGTTCCACAGCACGTTCGACACGCGGCCTGCCACTGCAGGTGGCTCGCCTTCCTCCGCACCCACAGGCGCGGGCGGCCCGGCACGCCGGCATCGAAGCACCACGCCTTCGCTCATGCATACCCACGGGGCCCGTGCGCACCAGCATCAGAGCTCCAGCCCGAGTCCGCGTGGGTACCACCCATACGCAAGCACAGGCCACTCGCGCGTCAGCTCGAGCCACTCGAGTCCGCGCGGTCTCGGCTCGGGGTTGTCTCTGTCTCCAACTTCGCTCGGATTTCGCCCTGCGATGATGCCCCGCGCGCTCTCGGTGCAGCCGCAGGCTCACTCTGGTGCTGGTGCTGGTGCTGCGTCTGGACTGCCTGCATCTTTCGACGGGGTGTTCGGCACGAGCTCCAGTGGTGGGTTCGATGTTGGGTCGTCGCTCGACTTTGGTGTGGGTGCCACGGTTGGCGGATTTGCCAACGCGAGCATCGCAAGTCAAGCCCAGAGTCAGATGCACTCGGCGATGATGGACACGAGCGCGTCGTCGCCACCATTTGCGCTGGATGACTGGCCATGGTCAGCGTCGCCGTCGTATGCGTCTGCTGGTATTTTCTCTGGTGTCCCGTCATAACTGGCCACGGTCACCCCTGCATTGTTTATTCTTCATTTTCTTTTCTCTTGCTGATCGCTATTCCCGCATTGCTTTGCTTTACTTCAATCCGTAGTATATCGCATAATGTATCCCTCGCTCTTGCTCTCCAATTCCCTAGTTTTCCCTGTTCTCGCTCTCTGACAACCCCTACTTATTTACCTAAGTCTATAAGCTACCTGTATGAATACCCTACTAGCTATCACCCATTCATGTAATTCTGGCTCACGTATTACGTTCTACGTATATGCACTGTACATCGATCACGGCATTTTGCGGAATTTAACAGATCATCAATGATTTTTTGTATAGCCCCATCTCCAATCTTCCATCTCCTGCTGAGCTCTTCCATCCCTCGTCTCATCAGGTGGTGTTCGCCGCGCAGCTCCAAAAAGTATCGCGGGCTCTCATGAGAATGTTCTCCATCATCGATTAAACACGTATGTCCAACTGCGATGATGGAAAAATGCAGACAGATAGATAGATACAGTAACATTGATCTGCAGCTGTGCATCATCCCCGCGTGTGTCCGTGATACGACTCGGATTGGGTTGTGAGGATCCCTCGCGCGCTCGGATCAGTTGTGACGCCGCAAGCTGCGCCACAGGTACGATGGCACCATGTCGCCGCATGACAGCCGTGCTATCACTTTTTAGTGCGGTGCAGATGTGAGGATACAAAACCGAGGAGGAGTGAACGCGGAGGCTCTGTAGACGCGCCGTGCTGTGTCGGTGGGCCTCGTTCCATCTTCGCGGAAACCTTGGAGCGCCCAGGACCGATGCAAGTTTTGATCGTTGGAGAGCGACGAGAGCCGGAGGTACGTATGGGATTTAATGGAAACTTGAATATGATATAGTGTACGTAACGGCTCCAGGCGCCCAATGTAGGCTTTTGGAGATGTCAACTCGTTCATAGGCGCGAACAGCCGGGAAGACAGACTCCGAGCTCGGGTCTATAGCGACCAACTTTGTCCATTTTTCATGACCGGGAGAAAGGCTCCCGTAGACCGTCTCGGCGTCGGGGCTGCTGTTCTCGACTCGGAACCCCACAACAGACTCTATACAGTGCTTGTTCTGAAATGGACTAGCTTATGGGAAAGTCAATCGAGCTCAATCGAGTCGCAAGGCTGAGAGCTGCTGAGAGCCGAGGCAGCTGGTAGAATTAGGGAAAAATTGTAGAGCAGATAGATACCGCTCCCACAGCAGCTTTTGAACGCTGATCTTTTAGCGCTTACCTTCTCCTTGGGTCTGCATTTCGGTTGGTGTGGTCTGATGGGGCATATGATATGTAGCGGTAATACTTGGTGCCGGCGATGAGAGTTGCCCCTGATTCCTGAGAACATGTATTGATAAATACCATCGGCGGTTTGGACATTCAGCTAGATAGTAAACTTACATGGAATAGTTACTCACCCCAGACACATCTGATCTTGAGGCACAAATGGTCTCAAGGTTTCTCTCATACCTGTGCATCTCCTTCGACCCGGGGATCATCTCTGGTTTGGACACCACACGGGCATGCGACAGCGATAAGATGGATTCTGGTTTCTCACCCAGGCGGCTAAGAAAAATCGTTGATGTCAGCGGCCATCTAGTCCATGCGCTGAAATGGAGACACCCATGATGATCTTAGTGGTTATGGATGGTGAACTCACTCAAAAGGTCGCCGTTACCCATCGCTAGAGAGTCCAGCGCAGAATGACATGTGCGCCATTAGCATATCCCCCATGGCACATACAGCCATTGAAATGCGCTCCCGAAGTAGGATCTTCGAGTCCCAACGCAGCTATATCGCGGGCTGTCAGAAGCCTATCTGAGGGTCAATTGAATCGAGCAGTCTGGGTTACGATTGCATTACGAAGGGTCGAGGAGTAATCCCACTACGACTGCAGGCCAATCAGGTCGAAGATCGCAGGAACGTTCACAAAAAGGTAGGTATTCCCGAGTTGGGTATGCTCGGGTTTGACGGTCAAGATAGGCGTTCAAGTTAATAACCATGGAGAGGCTTAACATAGATCCTCGTTCTTAGCGCGCGGAAACATGCAGCCGAGTGATGCGGTTCCTCGCTCGCAACTCACGAGGTGAGATGTCCGGAGGATGTTGGCCGTAGCGACAAACATAGCATGGGCCTGGTACGAAGGATACATTAGCAAACGACGAAGTTCAACGTGATGGACGGAGGAAAGTTAACTGCTTGGATGAAGAAAAACCCATTAGTGCTCATCGCCGCCGGCCCGGGTGTGCCGAGCTAGGATGCGTCATCGCACAGCCACATGCGCTCGCTCCCAGTGACTCTGAGCAACGCACCGCCAGTTGCTTCCGTTCCTACCCTAACCTACTCCTGCACTACACAGCTCGCGCCCCTTTTCCTTTCGATCTAACATGTTTGCAGGATTCAAGAGGTCGCTTGTAAGCCTTCTTTCTCCCAGGGCCCAGGTCGAGATGAAGTAGCGAGCTAACGAGCTTTGATTGGAAACGCTGTGCCCCTTCGCTACAATTGGTGACGGATTGGGTGGGCTTGTCGTCTTTTGAACTGCACTGGTCTCTTCACATCGCGTGATGGAACTTGAACGGGATGATGACGTGGAATATCGTGCGCATTGCGTCGCATGAATGCTTGAAATTTGGCTGTGCGTTTGCAATATAGCCCCAAATCTCCATCTTGTGAGTCACCATTTCTTGTGGTCAACACCCCTCTTTCGTTCGTGCTTCGCGGCTCTATCACATTTCCACATTTCCCTGTTCTCTGGACCTTTTGCCCTCGGATACGCTCCGGGGCCGAGTTACAACCGGTCTCTTTGTTTGTGAGGGTCATGCTGTATAGCGGTTTACAGCATGGCGCTCGGAGCGTGCAGTCGCCAGTTTGTTTAGGCCCAAGTCCTAGATGTACTGTCTTTGGAATATGGCTCGCTTCCTTGATACTGCCGACGTCTCTTGACCAACCGCTGGGCGCGTGGGGTGCAGAAGTGGAAGTAGTTGCATCCAGGCGTGCGGCTTGGATATCCGCGCTACTGACACTCACTCTTTGTGTTTGCCCCGCAAAGTCTCTCCTGAATCGCCTGATTGCATCGGAGCTCCTAGTGATGCCCCGATCGCTGTCGTTGCTTTTCTTTCCTGGTCATTTTGCCAGCCGTTCATCCTTCGGATGTTATAGCCCCTAATTCAGACTTACTAACCGTTCTTGCTTTTGTTACCCAGCCACAACCCCTCCTCGCCTCCATCAACCAAATCTCTCGCCCTTCTCCGAGCCGCCCTTTCGTCCTCGTACCCGCCTGATTCGTCCAAAGGACCACTCAAGTTCGACCTCGACGTTGTAGAGGGACCGCCAACTGCAGACCAGCTGCAGACTATCCTCGGCTACCTCCCCTTTCCGTCGGCCAACAGTCCATCTGCGCCTTTGCGCGCTTTCCTATCTCCGCACCCCGCGGGCGGAGATGAAGGCGGCGTCAACAGCGCAAATCAGCTGGCGAAGCTCGCGCAGTCGAACCCGAAAGCTGTCAAGTGGCCTGTTGTCGTCGATTGGGTGGGTGGACGCGCAGCTGTGGGTGACGTTGAAGGTGTCAAGAGCATTCTGGAGGAGATACGGAAAGTGAGGGACGGGGAGAAGGAGGGAGGGGATGGTGTGGATCAGCCGAAGGGGTGGTTCTCATGAGCTTCAACTTGGGGCGAGATGGAAAGGGCTGTCGAAGGAAATAGACTTGTGAAAACGCTTAGCTGGTGATGTAAACTCATGTTAATGTTTCATGTACAATAGTGATTCAAGCTAATCAAAATCACTGCTCAGAACTGCATGTTGCCTTCATGCCAACTCTCATATCTATGCACAACGAAGATTCAAAACCTCTATCCCGCCAAGACGCGAACAGTCTTCGCCCGACTATTGTACAAGCTTACATTCAGCTCTCGTACAGATTATCTCCCCGGTAGTACAGTCACACTCAGCTATTGTACAGAGTATCTCAAGAAAGACAATCACACTCGGCTATCGTACAGAACATCTGCCATGATTCGTGATCACCGCCATGTAGGTGGCACAATCTCAGGCATGGATCCAGTTGCTCGTCAAGAGCTCTCCATGAGGCTCCCAATCGTCTGCAAACCACTGAGCAAGCGTCTCATCCTTCGGCACTAGCACACGCGCGGAGCGCAGCTCGAGCGACGGCATCTTGTCCTCTGACAGCTTCTCCTCCTCTGCCTCCTCCGCATCGGTCGCAGGCTTCGCCTCTGCAAGCAAGATACCATCTGGAGTTATGATACGCGCATGGATGCTGCGCGTGATGGCCGCGATGACATCCTTCTTTGAGGCATTTGGCGTGTTGAGGCCCGCACGTTCGAGCACGTCCTCGACAGCCTGCTGGGGGATGGTAAGCGTAGCGTGGACGCGCGCGTTACCGGAGCTGACGCGGGCGGTGCAGTTGGCGCAGTTCTCGGGGAGGATACGGCTGAAGACGGAAAGCTCGTCAACGAGCTCGCCGTGGACGTAGAGCTCGAGTCTGTGCGACCCGCGGAACGCGAACTGGTGCAGCGACGTGTGGACGTTGAACACGCGATGACCGCTGGGGGTGTGCGTGAGCTCCAGCCGTTTGCCGGGGGTGAGCGCGAGAGTGGAGGGCTCTGGCAAGGCTACCTGGTGAGCGAAGAGTAAAGGCTGGAGGGTAGCTTGCGCGGTGAAGACGTCGGCTCCGGGCTTGAGCTCGCGTACTGACACGCTGGAGTAATAGCCTTGGAGAGCGGCGATGCACAGTAGGCGATGATCCTCGGAAGGTGGCTGGGTGATGTCTATCGTGACCTCGGTACTTATCGGCGAGTGGGGGGGCGTGTAAAAGAGCTTCACAGGCGGGTACGTGTAATCTATGATTAATGGTTGTTAGCTCAGAAAATGACATAAACCGCGGGTACTTACGCAAGTTTGCCAAGCCATCCCTTAGGCGAGCATCATCCGAGTTCCAATACCTATTGTTATCCTTACGGAACGGGGCCAGGATTGTCTTGGAAGAAATGTGTTCATTTGGACCTTCTTGCCAAGTTCCATCGCCACTAGCTATTGAATAGAGATGAGCTTCGTAGTCGCCGACTGTTCCATAGTCTGCTTACAGAGTGGGGTGAGCTCTTGTTCCTTGTTAAGATAATAGCCACTTCCAATCCAATATTCGGGATAGCAGTACTCCCACAGAGCATATAGGCGGTCGATGTTGCAATGGTGCATGTGAAAAATGGGATCGAATCCTATAAAGATAAGATTTGGTCAGTGATCACGATGTCGTGCTCAAGGATGCCTACCTGCTAGCTCATTGTATGCCTACATGTCTAAATGTCATGAAGGGAATTGCCAGTGAATTCACAACGACGAACCATGTCTCCTGAGCCACCAAGGTCGAGATGCAATTTATTGTGTGGGTCCTCCAAAGAACCGAGACGGGATGCTGGACATTTTTGTACTTCATTTAGAAGGATTATCTCTGTTTGAAAAAATGAAAACATACCATCGGGCGGCTCTTTCATGTCCTTGGGGCGGCCGGTTGTAGCAAAATAGTTCCAGCTAAATCAGAAATTATCAGCATCCTCTCCGTAACAGGCAACCATATAACCGGCTTACTATGTAGGTACGAGGTCTTTATCGGCTACTACGGGAGGGAACGAGAAAATCTTGGCCAACTTCTCCGAAATAAGGTTGATAGGCTGCAGCTTAGCGTCGGCTAAACCTTCTTGGATAACCCTGCACCCCAGATGTCTCTATAAACCATTCAAACTTGGTTCAACGTGAATACGCACTTGTTAAGCTGAACAACATCATCCGCGGGTTGGTCCTTGTTAGATACCCAGCGGTAGGTACGATCCCAGCATGCAAAGTCGACGTTTTGCAGTTCCTTTGGGTACTGCGACGAATCAATTTTATCAACGCCATCCGGAATGTGGGAAAACTTGTAAGTCTGAAGCGAGTTTTGAACCGTCCTTCTCGCGTTGTTTGGCATCAGGATGGTCAGGGTCGAATTCGTGAATTCCTCAGGGACGCCGGCAGTTGCAACGCCCGGAACAGACCAGTCCCAATACCTGTTACCAATGGGTCATGTCAGCACAGCCAATAAATCAGACAAAACTCCTACGGGAAGCGTAAGGCCACCGCTGCGACGTGCCACAGCGCCTTTTCGTCATGGGAGATTGTGTTGTCATTCTCAATCGTGTTTTTGTAGATTAAGATAGCCTCGTTTGAAACCGCTTGCTGCGAAGAGGACGCTTAGCATTATCCTGAGCGTACCAAAAAAAAGTCTCACTTCGACGGCGAGCATGAGAATTCGATGCCAAGTAGGGAAAAGAGCAGCTATAAACCAGATGAGCCTCGGACACATGAGCGCGGAGGAATCACGACACACTTCCGTGGTAGCAATATCCTGTGGGCTCGTATTAAAAAATCTGAGAAATTAGCGACGTATATTCGACGTACCTGCCCAATCCTTAGAACTAGGATGGTCTGGCCCAGCGGGGTCACCGCTTATGCAAAATTAAATTAACGTTATGCACCGTAACAGCGTGATTTCGACTCTGAGGCTCACCTCCATCGCGAGTATGGAAGCCCGTGAATGCCACCTAGAAGGAATCATGTTAATCGCATTACTTCTGCCAGTTGACGGTTTGCTGACCGAGTTCTTGCCAGCTGGCGGCGGTCGGTTTATAGTCCTTCTTTTGTAGGTTGGCCAGTGCTTGAACAAATAGCGAGAACTGAAGAGGTTGTTTGTGAATGAGATCAGCTATCTCCAGCCGGGGATGGACTCTGCCTATAGGTTTGCAAGTTAGGTTGACACTACGATCCATTCTCGAGTCATTGAGTTGCTTACCAGTGTCAGCGCCTGTGACATAGTATGGTGTTGACATGGTGGGTATGTGTTACTGAGAAGAAACGATGAGCGGACGAACGTTGCTTTGGATACGTCGGGCGAATGGTACAGTATTTATACTCTCAAGCATAGTCTTGACGCCCGAAATATCCTCGAAGGTAAGGTTCGAGGGCCGCCGAGAGCACAAGCAGGCATGAGGCCACCCTTGACGTGTTGGAAGTGTCACTGAGATGTGCGCCGTCAAGGAAAATTAGGAACGTTCCATCACAAAAAGTGCACTACGTGGGTGAGTGGTTTGGGGAAAATAAGACTGTGCCCGACATTACAGTGGCTTGTGGAGAGTAATAAGGCCCTCTGAGAAGTTTATCACAGCAATAAGGACGAGTAAAAGTTCAGATGCATATTGTAAGCGGTGTGGCTACTTAGAAGATCAACAAAGATAAAAGTATCTGCTTACACAGAGACTGAGAGATATTGCACGCGCTCGCAAGCACGTAGAAAATATAAATGAATACCTATAGGCGTACAAGTTATTATGCCAGTGAGTTATAGCCCAACACAACCAAGATATATGTTTCCTGACACGCCTTTAAAACACGCCAAACCCTCCAGCATCGATCAATGCCTCGTCCTCACCCATCTCCTCGAGCCCATCCAGCTCACCTTGAACTGCCAATGGCTCGATTTCCTCGCCCTCAGCACCTTCTAAACCGTTCTCAGCGCCTTCTAAACCATCCTCAGC